GTCGATCAATAAACGACAAACTAACATTACGACCGAATTTCAAATCGTCTGAACATCCGCCCCATTCAAATCCATCGGCTGCTGCATTGATCGAAGGTGTTTTTACCATAGCGCGTGCGGCTCGGCTTGTTGTTTGACTTTTATCACAACCGCATTCGGTGAGTTCGCCTTTCGCACAAGCTTTAGCGATATTGTGCATGACAGCCGCTGACGTAAGTGCATAGATGAAAGCAACTTCAGGTGTTTCTAGAAAAGAAAAAGTGTACATAAATATACATCACTTCAGGTGGTCTAATTATCCTCTCTTTCTGAACATATTGTTTGCCAAGAAAAGAAAAAGATCAGGGTCTTATCGAATGGTATGTTTTAGCTTCAAGGCAAATTGAACGAAGAGTATTCTTGTCTCGAGTTGTATACCGATGACGACATCAAATAAAAAGCAAAACTTCAGCTCGATGTGATGTAATATAATTACAAGCTCTCAGTATTCACTAACAATATTCTTTTTCTCACTCGAAACTTACTTCTTGCGATCAATTTTCCGAACATTTCAGGTTGGTTGAAGAGTGAACAATTCCATCGTTGATTTCGGAATTGATATTGACATTCGTCGATAGCCAAACGTAGTGATCGAATGATAATCGAGAAAATTTTCGGATTATTTTCGCAGTAGAAACGTTGTTCAACGGTTAGAAATGTTAACGATGTACAGAATTGCTTTTGTTCGATAGATCGATGTGATGATGACCATAATTGAAATGACGGTAGACCAAGAGACCTTGAAGCAAAAATACTCTTTCATAGACGATGTCAAAAATAAGAACGACTTCGTCGAGAGATCAAAGAACTCCAGGACATTCAATCGAATGATCTTTTTTTCTCACTCCCACCTACATGTGTGAGAAATGATCTTGACTTCAAAAGCAGTTCTTCTCTTTCAAACTATTTTAGACACTTACCACCAGAATCCATTACACTGTTGGATAAGAGTCACAAAAATTAAGATAAATTGGTGATAATGGAGAAGATGCATTTGATACGTGTATAATTGAGCTAACGACAAATTCTTCTTGTCTATGACAAGTGCACCTGCGTGTAATGTATATATGAGAGGGAGAGAGAGAGAGAAGGAATGAGATGCAGTGAACATTTTTCGACCTTTTATAATAGGAAGCGAGAAGGGGAGAAGGAGAGAGAGAGGAGACAATTTGTTCTCTGTCTCTCTCCCTCTCTCATGACGAAAAAAGAAGCGAAAGGCAGGCTACAGTGAAAGTAATAGTATAATGTTCAAGTTGAATTGATTGGTGTTGAAATATTTCAAAGAAAACAAAATATCCGGTCGGTTCTCGTTTGGATATCGCGTCAGAATTCAAAGATAATATTTAAGATATTCGAGACAACTTCAATAATTTCAAGTGAACTGTCGCCACTATGAAACACGATTTTCTGTTTCTGTTTGTTTTATTCGGAATGTTGTTTTACTTCCGTTTCATTTCTGCTTGCTAAACTCTTCATATCAACAAGTTCACATTCCATTGAAACTATGCAAATCAACACAAAGTTCTTTTCCTCTCTCTTCATTCTCATGATAATTGATTGTTGTAATCTCATTAGGTTTATTGACAAATATAATCGAATAACAATCAATTCGATATTTTCTAGCAGCAATTATGATTGAATAAGTTGTATACTCATCAATATCATCATTATTTTTTAATAGTCTTTTACAGATTGCTTGTCTCGTATCGAAAAACTTTCGTGTGATGAAATGTAATCAACTCCCTAGTGTGTTTATTGACCAATGTTAATCTCCTTCTTCGTTATACTCAAACTTCAAAGTTAAATTTCATGCTGATTAGTGATTAAATTGCTCGATTGGATATACGACGACATGCATGAGTTCAATATCATCAACGTCATTACATCTGTCCGCTTTTTCCTTGTTCGTCTTCTCATCATTCGATCTTTGAAGATTTTTCCGCAGCTGCGTGTCGTTATTAGATCATCATATTTTGACAGAGAGCGAAGTATCATAACGTTCATCTGACAAAAAGAAACGCAACGTTTTGAGCTGCGGTTATATTCCGCTGCTGGCAGCTTGTTTCAACCTTTAAAGGGAGAATTTTTTATCACCTGAATCGTGTCGATTAATCAGACAAGTGTCAAGTGATAATAAAACAACGACGACGACGACTTCTCTCCGGGACATAAATGATTCATATCGCGCAACCAGCTTAGTGCAGTTGTCTTGAGATTGTATCGTCTTGTTTGTGTATTTGTTAGAAAAACAATTAGAGATTTATATCGAACCACGGGATTCTTTTGAAAACAAATAAGATCACGGGACATGATGTCGACTGCCTTGATAGGCTGTTATTTCGAGTATGAAAAGAGAGCAAATTTGTCTTAACGTTAATGGATTTGTCATAGATAATTAACATTAGTATCAACTAATTACTTTTTCATGAGATTTAATTGATGGTTAAAATATAGCTTTTGTCGATTGATTCTTTAATGACCTTATTGTTGAAAAGATATAGAAATTATGTTTGATACTAATGTCAAATGACTTCTTTCGATCACATGTGAATGATGAAAACAAAAATTTCTTTTAAGTGACAGTCTAATCATACAATTAGCAGTTATAAGGTCGACCACAATCTTTTGAATGTGCACCGTTCGTTCTCAGAACATTCTGTTGCCATGTCCAAGAGATTTCTGGATCTAAGCCCCATAATACAAGGTAATAACTTACAAGACATTCGATAGCACAACGATCAGCGTTGGGCCTGTCACAACCATTATCACCAACCGTACCTTCACATGCCATCGTATTGTGTTTCGTTTGCTTTCCGCCATCGGTATATTGGCCAGTAACAATACGAACGAAATCTGAAAATCCGACGTACATATTCAGGTATATTTGCATGTTTGTTAGAGTTCCATACGCCATTTGATCGGTTACACCCGTGCGTATACGTCCATCATGATGTGAACACCAATAGTAATGCTCTCGATAAGGATGAGGCAGCAGAATTCTTGCCTCGTTATCAAAAGTGCCGAAGACCGGTAAATCAGGAATTGTTCCCCAAAAATTCGTATCTGGTCGAAGACGAAGAACATAATCGTACGTAATACCTTCGATTAGCATATAGTTCCGCATCAATTGACCAGCGAGATAGACTGTTTTGAGTTGCGATTGCAACCGATTCAGTTTCCCGCCACATTGCGTGACATGAGAAGCATCGACTCCAGAGAATGCCTCTTCGATCTCATTGACGTTTCGAATACGGACTCCTTTCAAGTTATCTTTATAGCACTTGTTTAATTCGGCTAGTATGGTTTCATTATTCACAACTTTATTATTTGGAAGATGCGCTTCTTGAACGTATGTAAAGATGAAAACATCGACGGAGACACCATGCATCTGCTGCCATTTCTTGATGAGTTTCTCAACATGTGACTGGCATGCTATGGTATTTGATCGAAAAAAACCGGCAATGACCATTGCCAATCGTGGACTTTTTCCTTTGCTGCTAGTAGTCATCTGTGCAGGCACCGTATTTGATTGATAGATGATTTCTGGATGTAACACACACAAATGTTCGATCCGATCATGTTGAAAATAAATTGCCAATAAACCGGAATCGGCAACGGATAAGACTGGAAAACCGTGAGTTGTACTCAGTTTTTTACATTGTGGCAATAAACTTGACGTCCATGTTGTTTTCCAATCTGACAGAAAGGTTGTTTTTACTCGAACTTGAAGAATTCCATTTGATTGTAAAGTAACAATATGCTTACCAGGCCAGGCGTCGCCGGTCGATGTGGAGAAAAGTGATTTTTCAAACAAATGCGTTGGTAAAAGTTTATCGGATTGGAGAATTTCCAAATAACGAAGATTACCCGATGGTTCCAATCGTAAAACAAATCGACCATTTGGTGAAACAAGTTCAGCGTGTGTCTCGTTGAGAAAATTCTCTACGGTTAAATTAGATCTGCTCTGAGCCATAGATTTACTTGCCAATGATGCATAGTTTACATTCGCAGGCGTCTGTAACGTTAACTGACATATGTACGAGAAGCTGGGTCGTTTGAAGATCAAATAATATACACTAATTAAAGCAAATACTGCACAGAAGCTACGTATCATAAGAGGGAACAGACTGGATTTGCTGGTCATGTTCGCCATGTAGATTGGAAAACTATACCCGGAAAATAGATTGAGTATTCAAATAAATATCTTATTCAGCATGACACTTTCTTGCAGATATATTTGCAGAAGGAAGAAAAGTTCTTCAATGTTTATAAAGAGGTTGCAAACCAAAAAGTATACTTTTCTGCAAAAAAACTAACAGCGGAGTGTCAGTTTGAAACATAAAGTAATTAAAATAATATGCGATTCTTTTTTTGCCGGTTAGTTTCTAGACATTTTCTCGACATGTCTTATTTTCAGTAATATCTGTAAAAGCACTAGAAAGAAAAGCGATTTAATTGCATCCATTAGCGCCCTCTGTGGTTCGTGTTGATGGCACAGAAGAATCAACCATTCAACAGCGTTTTGTTTTCATTACTACACAACGAGACGAGAAAAACTTCGAGTTCTGGTTTCACGAAAATTCAATTCGGATCAATCATGTCTGTTATTGACAAGAAATACCGTGAAAAATGTTGGCTGACGCGTGATGATTATTGGAAATGTCTCGATAAAAACAAAGAAGAAAAAGAAAAATGTCTACAACTTCGTCAACTATTTGAATCAAGCTGTCCAGCGACTTGGGTGACACATTTCGATCAAAAACGTGAATACGATATCTTCAAAAGACAACTCGCACTTGGAGAAGTAGAAACTGACAAGTTAAAATCCATTAAAGGACCGTCGAAATCGTAATCACAGATCACTTTTTAGATTTCAGTGCTCCGATAGCTGTTTTCTCTTTTCGAAATAAATATCTGCACTATTTAGGTAATTTATTAAAATTCAGTCGAAGTTAATTATTCTATTTTGCTTTGGTTTTGGAATTTGACCTCAGTCTCGATGAATACACGGATCGAATCGTTAGCACAAATGTAATGCAAGTCAGTACGATTAGAATTGTATGTTCTGTATCAGGAATAATCTCATGATTTTTGAATCGGGGTAATATTCGATGATAGTGTGCATGGTACTGTTGATATTGTCGTAGTTTTTCACCGGTTCCATCCGCATACCAAAACCCGATGCGGAAAAAGTACGGCAACCACCAAGACATGAGTTGTCCGAAAGTGAAAAGCATCAAATAAGGTACGTAGAGCAACATGGAACGTTTCATTCGATGGTAGTAAACATAAGCCGCAGCAAGATGCGGCAAGGAATTGATTTGAACAGTGAAAAATTGCACATTCATCCCCACGACCTCACGATAATGCTTGTGGGTAGTAAAATTCTTTATTTCTAGTTGCCATGCAAGATATTCGTAGAGGAAAAGAATCAATTGAAAAATACAAACAGCTGGTAATGACATGTTTCATACACGAAAACATGACCCAGGCTAGTATTTATAGGAGAAACTAAATGACGAAATGTTTTCTGATGCAATAGTAAATATTTTTTCTGTTATCTTTGACGAATGTTTGTGTACACTTATCGGTTAGTCATGGTGCAACTTATCTTGTAAAAAGTCGCGTATAGCTTCGATACCAAGTTTGCAGGTGAGTAAAGGTGGATAAGTTAAAGGATTCTCATCGATATTTGTAGACAATGGATTGATTGTCCAGTCTAGATGTGTCAATTGTCCGAAATGATTCGGTAATTCGTGCAACTGATTCTTTCCTAGCCATAGGGTTTGTAGCTGCGTGAGATTACAAAGCAGTTCGGGCCATTGTTTCAGTTTGTTTTTGAACAATAGCAATGTTTTCAAAGATTTCAATTTGATTAACGAGGATGGCAAAATTTCGATTTGATTACAACTCAAATCGAGGAATTTCAATCTTTCCATATGACATATGACCAATGGAAAGGCTTGAAAACAATTCGATGCTAAATGTAAACTTTCCAATCGTATTAAATTTCGGAACGAGAACGGTAGTGTTTGTAACTTATTGCACGAAACAGTTAGACATTCGAGATACTTGAGCTCGCCAATCTCGTTCGGTAGGGATGTTAATGCATTGACATCGAGATTAAGAGTGCGTAAATGGTATAAACAACCAATTTCACGTGGAAGATTAATAAGACGAAAGTCTAAGCCGGAGATATGTGCGGTGGATAAATCGAGAACTTCTAATTCGGATAAACGGAAGATTTCTAGATGAAAAATCGAATGAACGTTCACTGATAATGATCAAGACGTCTTTGGTATTTACCTGGTGATATTGGACAAACAGATCGACCGCTTAATTTCAATTGTCGCTTATATTGGCCACCAGATTTCATATTTTTATGAAATATAAGCGCTTTAAATTTTGATACAGCCATTAGAACTGTGAAACTAGTGGCAGTTCGACGATTAGAAACCGTGCTTCGATGCATCTCAACTCAATTCTTCTTTTTAACGAAGAAAACATTTTGAAAAAGGTGTTATTTTTATAGGAAAAAGTGCATTTCCGTCAGTAGAAACTTTTCTTAGCAGAATTGATTGGTGAAAAGAGAAATAAAGAGAAGATTTTCTTGTACTTTTTTGTTTCGTTTGATGGTTATTTTTTTAAATCCTCTTCTTTTTTGTTTCTTCAAAGAATATAACAAAACACACTAGCTCACTGTGTTCACAAGAAAAACCACGTGCAAAAACAACGAAAAAACAACACACACATAGAGATTGTCGCTTGTTTTCGCGATGATTATCCTGTGAATGGCTAGTGAGTCCAGAACCAATTGTTGAATCACCTTAACGATTCGACTTGGCTACACGTTCGAGTTCATCTTTACGTTTGATGGCGAATGATGTCGACGATCCCTAAAATGAGCGTAGAATATCTTTTAGAAAGGTTTCTCAGGTAAAAGATGCGTTGTAGAAGCAGCCTATCAAACAATAATTCTCGAAAATTATCATTTGCGAATGAACAAAACTTCAAATTTAATTTTGCACACGCCGACGTTCAAAACCACATGAATGAAAGGTGGTAAGAATTCTAATGGAGTGCCTGTCGATTTCAGTGAATACGATATACTTACTTTAGCAGCATTGATCAATTCATCGGCAAGACATTCAGCAATAGTTTTAACCGATTTGAATGCTGAATCACGAGCACCTGAAAGAAAACATTTATCGTATAAGATGAAAGTGAAAAAAATTCAATGTTTCATGTTACCTGTGCAGAGTAAATAAAGTGCCTGATTAACTCGTCGTAATGGTGAAACATCGACAGCTTGTCGTCGAACTGTACCAGCACGACCGATACGTGTTGAATCTTCACGTGGTCCACTGTTGATGATGGCATTAACGAGTACCTGGAGTGGATTCTATGGCGAAAAGAAATGGTGATTTTGATAGAAAAGGGTTTCGTAGATGAATGAGTTCTACTTCGCCAGTAAGTAAATGAATGATTTCGAATGTGTGTCGGACGATTCGAACAGCCAATAATTTTTTACCATTGTTACGTCCGTGAAACATTAATGAACATACGAGACGTTCAACGATGGGACACGATGCCTTACGGAAACGTTTTACTTGATATCGACCAGCTGAATGTGGAAGAAATTTTGGCTGTTTGGCGCCAAGAATATAATCCTAGAAGAACCAACCGCCTTAGTCAACACATGTATTGCTCGAAAAGATAAACAACGAACTTCAAGAGACATATCCGAAATTTGTACTTCAGCTCCGCTCCATTTTCCAAATACTCGAATGTCAGTTCCTATGTGTCCTGTTGGATCATCAGCTATTGCAATATCCGTCATGATGATAGAATGATAATTATGGGATTTTTCACACACGGATCTAGAAGAAAAATCGACATGAAAGATTATCAGAATACAATTAAGTAAGTATGTGCAGTTTTTGTTTTTATTTATTATTTGTATGTGAAGCTGCTCGTATAGCCATGTTATATTGCATGTTTAAAAGTCCTCATATTCGTCTTTGGTGGATTGTGATTGGTCCACTGTAAAGTCCATGAAATATCGAGTTTTTTCTCGTTCTGGATCGATGTCAGAACAGGAAAAAAAGCAGACCGACGTACGAGATGTAAGTGTGTAACATACGTGTTGTTCTTCTTCGTGATTAATCAATCAACCTTATGCTCATTCTTATCGGTCAATGGATTGAATGATTGAGATTCTTTTTCTTCTCTCTTCACATTACTATTGTTATGCATACGAAACCATCGAATTGCAAGTTCTATACAGTATACATTAACACGTAGCCTTTTCCTACTCATCGGCTCAATATCAATCTTATACAATGAACTATTTGCTTGTTACGAGAGTTTAAAAAGTCATTGTACCATTTCCTCTATTCTTTCTCCTTTTATGAACAAAAGTGACATTGGAGGTGTGCTCTTTAATGGAATTAATAATGTCACGAGCATCATGAGTAATGTACTTCTCTCGGGAAAGCGAAGGTGGAAATGAGGGAGTATGCAGTCATCGTTGTGAATAAATTCAATAGGCGACAATTACTTTTACGCAAGACATACGCGATAAATGCGCTGATTCACCGATAGGTTAAAGCATGAAAAAAAGAGAGAAATAATTCTCGTTGCTTGATGTAATCTTTTCATATAGTAAGTTGAGCGGTCGACAAATATATATATGTATAGATGAAAAGAGAAAGAGCAAATGGACAACCTGACACAGTTTATTTTTCTTTCAACACCTCACGCGTACGAACAATGACGAGCAAGTCTATCTCTATTCTAGATGGCTAATCAACACATTCAGGCACGTGGAGCGAAAGGTAATCGATCTCGTATAGAAAATAGGTTGTTAGGGAGAAAGATTCATTTTAGAATATGTTGTTTTGATTCCGTTACAAAAAACGTCGACGCTTAATACAGTGCTTATTGAAAGACGGAAAGTCACAGATATAACCGATAAGAATATTCTTCATATTGGTAGCGGACGAAATGTCGATTTTATCATCTACAAAAATTCGCAGCCAGGTAAAGAGTTTTGTCTTTTATTTTTGCCGATCGATTCGATTTGTTTTAGCTCAACGCGATAATGGACCTGCACAGTTTTCTTCTCAATTCAAAGTCTTCATGACTGATCAACAGACAGCAGAATACCATCAAGAGAATCGTACTCTGCGTCTCTGGTCATATCCATCAACACAAAATGAATGCCTGTCCGATGCACATAAGTTTATTCGTACGTTGTTAAAATCGGATGAATTTCCTCGCGGTAAACACAACAAAAAACATTCCTCACTTGAACATTCCTAGTTCGTTTGTCTTTGAAGATTATTTTTCTTTTATTAAACGACTCATGGAGCTGTTGCGTCAGTTTACAAGTATCCGAAAGCTTGAATTAGAAATTCAAACACTGAACCAGCCGGATCTCGACATCAACGATCATCCAGGTAAGCTAGTTCAACATCTCATTTTCGTATTGAAACCTCGTCTTCTCATTTGTCGCTTACCAATTTTCAGTTGACCAATATGTCTCACGTTTGATGCTCTATGATAATGATTATCTTTCCGAAAGTAGTATTTTGTTTTAGCGAAACTAACGTAGATCTAATTTTGTTGAACTGGGGAACAAATCCTACACTAAAATCGATTATCTTGTTGTAGTTGAATCGAATTATTCAAGAACAGGATATCATGCATGATTTCTTTCATTGATTTAGTGCATGGAAAGAATCCAAAACGATATGCTGATTTAATTAAAGAAAAATTATTGGATTTACTTGAACAAGCATTTCCCAATCCGATGTTCGTCAATGACTTGGTGAAGTATGCTCATTGAATTGCTCTTATTTAATGCACGAGCTGATTATTGTTCTCTTTTTTAATAGATACGTTGAATGTGATGGTCAAACAGTTCTTCAATATCTTCTTGAATTAGAAGATAAAAATCTCGTTAAGCATCTTGATCAAGATGGGCAACAATGGACACGTGTGATCATCGCGGCCGAAGAAGAAGATACTCATAGTATGTTAGAAGAATGCGTTCGTGTGCTCGAATGAATGCTTTTGTCTTGTTCTCCGTAGAAGTGATCTTGTACAAATCGATTGCTGAACTATCGAGCTCGTTTCGACCAACGATTGCCATTATAACTGTAAATTATTTTGAAAAATTAGCAGTCGATGCAATGATTGAAAATAAAGTCACTTTCGTTCGGCACAAAGCAGGTAATTCGTTGCAAATATCTGTCTTTATCAATCAATTCTATCACGTCAGGTGAATCAAACGTTTATACAATCGGCACGATTGGTTCACATCATGTTGTTTCAACAAAATTACCGTTAATTGGCCGTAGTCGAACTGCACAAATCTCTACTGGAAGTACAACTACTCGATTATTGGGAACATTTCAACATGTACAACATGTGTTTATTATCGGTTGTGCTGGCGGTGTTCCACACTATACAGATGTAACAAAACATGTTCGACGCGGAGATATTATTGTTGGCTATCCTAATGAAGAAGATTATATTTACGGTAAATAATTTCATTACCGAAATGATCAGTGTCTCTGATGTAATAATGATCAAATGAAGAGGACATGGATCGCATAGTTGATTAAACTTTGCTTCTTCATTCTAAGATAAACACTTCATTTGCTGTTTCTTTCCTTCTCTCACTAGTAAGCACTTGTTAACGAGTCTGGATGACTCTATCATCTTGAGTATTAAATGACGGAGATTATATAACTTCAAGTAAGACAAGTTAATCAGCTCGAATCAAGAAAGAAGAGAAAGAATGACCTCTTTGTCGTAGGTTAGCTCATAGATATTCGTAGTGACTACAGAGAGATAAAAAAGATGAACTGGGCTTTTCATTTTGCCGTATGTAATTCTATTCGTTGAATATTAGGTATCTATGAAGCTGAACAGTCGTCTGAAGGTTATGAATTTGTCTCGACATGCTACAAACCGAAAAGTTTTCAATTGTATCAGCTTATGGAACCGATTAAAGAAAACTATGAACAAACAAATGCGACTCGACCGTTGACACACAAATATCCTTGGGAGAAATTTCTCGAAGAAGGTATTCAGTATTTACTCTCCCATAATATTGATTGTTTACCACCGGCAACCGATCGTCTTCACCTTAAAATGGATAATGGTGAAATTGTCGAAGTAAAACATCCCGATCAAGGTAAAAAAGATTATCATCGACCTACGATACGCTTCGGTATGATTGCTGGTGGAAAGAATCTTCTAACTAATGATTATTTGAAAACAACATTATGCGATCGATGTAATGTTTTATGTTTCGACTCCGAAATTGATCAAGTGATCGCGGCTATCCAAGGCAATCGAACTGAATCGTTCATGATCATCCGTGGTGTGTCCGATTATCACGATGGAACATTAAACAAAGAATGGCAACCATTTTCCGCATTGTGCGCAGCTGCATTCATGAAAACAATCATCTATAGAATACCAAAATCGTCCAGAGAAAATCCGCTTACACATTCGACAAGTGACCACGACGAAGATATCCTTTGAAAATAGTGAACTCTATACATTTCATTTTTATATACATTGTTTTATCTGTCTTTTTTTCTCGTCAATAATCAATAATAATAATGAGTATCTTTTTAGATGATATGGCTTTTTGTAGATCTGATGATCGACAACGCCTGTCGGTCGCATTGGATGCTGGTTATGTCTCGATAGCATCCGTGCCGGTTGAACAATTGACGAAAACGTTTGGTTTACATGGAAGAAGACTAACCTGTGTTGTTGGTGCAATTCTGACTTTATTTTTAGTTAGTTTTCTCAATTTTACGGTAACTATTTACTTTTGATGCGTTACTTAGAACCGTTTGTCTGTGACTTTTCAGTGTCTTCTATGGTTTTTGTATAAACTCGATTGGTCATTGTTCGATAGTAGTCGCTCGAAAACTGTTCAGTATAATCAAATTCATGATCAGATAACCTTCTTCAAACAAGTAACTTGCAAAGATCTCGTTTATACCAATCGGTCAGATCATTCAACTTGGATAGATATTTCTTCAGATAAACACGTAAGAACAACTTCTTTCTTCAGAAATATGCAATGTATTGACTCATTTAGATTGATATATCAGGTGATCAGAATTCCATATTGTTTGACGAAGATCAAATCTTATTCAATACTGATAATTTCCATTTTAATAATCAATCACTAATTGATTTTGCAAATCTTCAATCTTATGAATTCGATCCCGAAATTGAAACTCGTGTGCATTTAAAACGACTGAAATGTGAATACGTATGAAACACGCTCTATTGCCAGAACTTCATTTTTTTTAAATATCTCTCTCGTTAGATACACGACAAACACATGAATGTGTCCGCGACAAATCAGTTGACAGTATCTAATGTTAAACATGCTCACATCGTTAGCGATATGATTTTCCTAGAAGCCAATCGATACAATCGTCATTCGGTTCTTCGTTTTAACAATAAGAACGAGAAGTACGCTTCTCGCCAACAAGTTCGTTGTCACTCGAATTGTTTCGTTGAGTTGATTGTCTTCTTCTGTTACTAGAAAGCTTCAACTGGGAATCTACGCTTTCGAAGTGATGTGATGTACTTCGAGTTACCACGAATGCCTTTTCTGAGTGTAAATTATCGGAGTGAATCGGGCATATACCGACTTTGTATTTGTAATACAACACATCTATTTTTACGTAGTTTTGCTCACCAACCATGTCCACGTTGTTAGAGACATACTTTTATTTGTATGTGGTGCTTCACTAACGTCTGCTCTTCTTCTTCGTGCTAAAATTTATTTCCTATTTGAAATCTAATAAAACCTTTCGACTCCGCAGTCACCGAGATTCAGTTACACGTGGGTCACGCACTCATCCAATGTTGACAATATTGCTATACATATATATCATTGGTTTGAAGAATGTTATGCCTGAATAGTTTTGTTATTTCACTTTCAAACGTAGACAACTTTTCGATGATTTGTCGTGTGCGTATCAAAATGGAAGTTTACGTTTGTATGTAAAGTCCTCTGATGCTTGCAAAGAAATTGTCTGAGGAGGATCGGGTGTTGGCTGCTGCTGTTGGAGGTGATGTGCTTGTGTCTCGTTGAGGTTTAGATCGAACGAAGTATTTTTTCTAGCGACAACTCCAGCTCAGTCAGCGGCACCATCAAGGCGTGGGAGTATGTATTTCACACAACAACAATCAAGTGAGAAACTACCAACTTCAATATTGTATATATTTTTTGTCAATGGATGTGAACGATTTTCCTTTTGCGGTCTTCAAACGATCTTACTTTTATATTTCATGCATTATTTTCATCAAACAGAAACGGCTGCAACCGTCGATTATCATATATTTAACTCTCTGTATCATTTCACTCCGATTGTCGGAGCGATTGTAGCGGACGGGTTCATTGGTCGCTATTCAACCATACTAATACTTTCAGTAATTTATGCGATTGGAACACTTATCTTATCGATTACATCGATACCGAGCGTTGGTCATAAAGAGCTGTATGTTTTATAGATTGGACAGAAAACTTTTCAAGCCTCGTTCATTTAGACTTGGACCAATGTTAGGCTTAGGCCTCATCGCATTGGGAGCAGGTGGAACGAGACCATGCACAAGTACTTTTTGTGCCGACCAAATATCTTCATCAAATGTAAAAAAAATGATGATTATCGAGTACCAAAATCAATGTATTTTCTTTTACCAGATAAAACAATTGGGTTTCATGTTTACTGTGTATTATTTTGTGGAACAATTTGCTGGATTAGTAGCTAGAATGTTAACTCCTATACTTCGAAGTAGATATTAGATTGAATACGATTTAGATGAACACATTTCGTGGATATTTTAGGTGATGTTCAATGTTTCGACTCTGATTGTTATCCACTAGCTTTTGCTGTTCCAACATTTTTAATGATGTCTGGAATCGGTAATATAGATCAGAGCAAACAATTTCTATGCTAAGATTATTCGAATCGTTTTCATTTATAGTTTTGTTTATCATTGGCACACCATTGTACAAACGTATTCCATCGAAAGAAAATGCCATAGCTCAGTTTGCATCGATCACCTGGGTAAACTATTCTCTTCGAAACTTCAGTTGACACATTTGTTTGATTTAGAGAGCGATGCGCAATGGAATAAGTTGCTCGAAAACAGAAAAGAAAGAACATTTCTTACACTATGCAGATGATAAATATAGCGTAAGTGAGATCGTGCGAAGAAAGCGATAATCGAATGTATTATTCCGTAGACAAGGGATATCAACGATGTTCGATTAGTTTACCGTGTTCTCGTGTTGTTCCTACCACTGACAGTGTTCAATGCGCTACAAACTCAAAAAGGCTCGCGTTGGACTTTGCAAGCATCGTCGATGAGTGGCAATTTAGTATGTATGAATTTGAACGGATTAAAAGGTTATACTGATTGATCAACTAGGGTCCGTTTTTAAAAATTGAACCTGATCAAATGCAAGTTTTGGCTCCGTGTCTTAGTCTTCTCCTTATTCCACTGTTCAATCGAGTGATTTTCCCGGCAGCTGCTCGCTTCAATTGGTTGCTAGAGTAATTCGACATGAGGGAAATAAAGAATGTTCTATCGCTTTCGTTTTTATTTCGATAGACCGTTGCAACGAATCTTTCTTGGATTGATTTTAACAGCTATCAGTTTCGTTATTGCCGCCATACTACAAAGAGCCATTGTGGTGCGAGGCTATTTGTCATCACTACTGTCGAAGGCACTTTTTTTGCATCTTTAGTTGAAAGCAAATCAAGCACCTGTACGTCTTTATACGGATGTTTACAACGGTTATCATTGTCCAATATCAATAGATTCTTATACTATAATCAACTCCGGAAATGTTCGTTCGTTGGACTTTTGTTAACTTAGCGCTCTTCGAAGGACTTATTTTATTCTTAGGCTATTCAATATTCTTGTGTATCGTTACAGAAGAATAATTTAACCATTGTTTCCACATGCAGCAACCACAGTTTGAAGTACAGTCTAGCTAAAGATAGACTTTGTCCATCAATAATCGTCCTATCCGACGAAAAGAAGGCAACACCAGATACGGAAATAAAATTGACACCAGTAAGAAAATGAGCCACTTCTCCCGACAGCCGCTCGTCATTCGTTTTCTTGTTGCGCTTCAGCTAACAAATCCGATTTCACAAATTCGAGGAGTAAAACAATATGCCCTTCTGCGGTAATAATATTTGATTGACATACTCTCGATACGCACGTATCTTTCTAGTCTGGTATCTTTCGATGATGGAAACAATACGATAGTTACACTCACACCGAACAAATATACGTTTAATATCACTGGTGAATTGGTTCCAACTGAATATGAATCTGTTCTTGAAACAAGGTGATTCTTTTGCGAATGAGATCATCTAGAAGAACTCTATAATCTTAATCTAGATATCGCATCCATTCAGTAAGTACAAATCAAGAACCAACTGGCTCGTTCTATGTGGAAAGAAGTGGTGTTTATACCGTCCTACTCGTGAATCAAACGGAAAATAAAGTTTGTAGAAACACTTAGCTGAAAAATCATGCAAGGTGAAAGAAATCTGTTTAGATAAAAGCACTTCTTTTTGAAGATGTTCCACCATTTACAGTGCATATGCTTTGGCAAATAATTCAGTACTTCTTTTTAGTAGCTGGTGATGTTTTAGTTAGTATAACTGTATTGATTTTTGCCTATGCCGAAGCGCCAAAACGCTACAAAGTGGTGATTTCATCAATATGGGTGATGACATCAGGTGTTGGAGATCTTATTGTGATAATAGTGGCTCATTCTCATCTAGCTACAACTCAGGTGAATAATGAAAATATCGAGACAAATTCGACTGATATATTTTCTCTAGACCGGCGAGTTCTTGTTCTTCGCGGTGTTTATGGCTTTTACAACGTATATTTTCGGTATTTTAGCACTGCATTTCGTTGAAGAATCTTTGGTTGATCATCACGTGAACGATCATCAATCTGAAGATCATCGTTTGCTTGCTGATCAGAATCTAGTGCATTGAATCATTCTTTTTCTCTCGGTTTATTTTACAATAAAATTCAAGTTTTTATTCAATGAAAGTCTTCCCTCATTTATTTTAATTTTAACAGAATTAGATATCAGTTTGATCTTATGATTAGGATTGAACAGAACGACGGCCAACACGAGGTAACATAATTATCCGTTTAGCCAGTTGAACATTTTCGGGATTGAATTGTTTCTTATGATAGTAATAATCCTCGATAGGGATTTTGCCGCTGAAGCGATCGTTGATAGCATTGGCATAGTTATTGAGGAACGAAGTGTCAATTTGACTTTGAACTTCATCATCATCAACAATTGTCGGTTGAGAGCTACCAAGTTGAATAAATGCGCAGAGAAGCACAAGAAAAGTCATCACTAAATCAGAAGACAATGAAGAGAGCTAGTTAAAAATGTGGACTAGTTACATTTGAAATAAGATACGAGTTTCGAATTCATTTTTGTCGAAGATAATGAGTGAACCAGTTAGTCTACTGCGCGTAGGTACGAGTGTGTGTGTAGTGGAGTGACGACGAAAGGAAATGAAATGACAGTTGTTTTAGTAGAATTCACTTATCATATAAGAGTGTCTTTGAGAGAAGTCTGTTTGTGATGCACGCGCGTTGAGCAGGTGTTAAAGGAAAAAAATGATTTGATTGCAAGGATTTTCTCAGTGACGTCTTTTCCGCTAAATATAACGGTAAGAAAAAGCGAGATCGATGCTCTCTTATCGCTAAATGCTAAATGAAATCATCAACTTTTACGCATCGCTCATAAAAAATGTACATAAGTCAATATTTAGTTAGTTTGCTTTTTTTCTTACGAATGTGTTAATCTCAAGAGAATAGAATAGTGTGACACGCTGATTATTCCATTATTTATTACTCACTTCGGCAATCACAATCAAATGGCAAGTCTCAAAGTCAAGTCATTTAAACAATCTTGTCAGTTTTCTTCCTCGAATTGGAATAATTTTTGAATAAACCATTGACATAAGCTTTAACCCAGATGATCTTGGTATGCTAAATAATGTCGATATCCAGTCAAAGTCGTCTTTTTCCCTGATAAAGACATAATTCATGCACTCGGAGAAAAGATGATGTTTGAACTTATTTCTTTGTGTTAGGAAAAAGTTTTCAATGATCGCAATAGTCATTAATCGTAGAAAAATATTGGTATGTGACAAAATGACACGAGATCATCTTCAGGCGCGCATTAGAGATTTTCCACTCTTGACTTATACTCGTTAACCGATTAGAAAGATTTGTTTTCACATCATGTCAAAATCATATTGAGCAGTTTCAAGTCTCTTTTACACGTTTGTACTCTATGAGGTTCATTAGCTGAATCAATACGTCATCAGTTAACCGAAATTTGTGCTTATTACAAAATTTTTTAAAAAAAGCTTACGACACTCGGTATTCCCAGGCGGTCACCCATCCAAGTACTAACCGAGCCCGACGTTGCTTAACTTCAGTGATCGGACGAGAACTGGTGTATTCAACGTGGTATGGCCGTAAGCGACAATAGTAAACTGACTTTCTCGAGCCATCGCGGCGATCAGAAAGTTCTTGGAACTTCATCTATATTGGACGTAGTATTCCTCAGGGAATTCCACGCCTATCTCATTCATAATTTGTTATCTAAGTTTAGATTGACAATTCAGATTCATTTTTTATCGTAACACTAATGATCAATAGTGTCGGAAACAAGACGCTATCCCTGCTTCCAAACACCCTCAATTGAATCAATTTTGACCGGGTCGTTCAGTCACGTTGTTTGTTTCTCGATGTAACTTCAAAATGTTGTGCACCGTGCGGATCGAACAGTGAACCATATGAGATATTCGGTCATGTGCGTGTGGCTCCCACTATTTGAATAAGAGAACACACGAGTTTCTGAACGTACACGTGCTCTATTTGAGCTTTCATTGTTCAGAAAGTAAAGGAAAATTAGTACCGGCCAATCCAGACTGTGAAAAGGGAAGACAAGTTTTTTTCCTCTTCTACAGCACATGTTTCTTTTGCGTGTATGCTTGAGACTGACTACCTATTATTTCTTCTTGGTGAAGCTTTGTTTCATGCTATGGCCACTAGATGGTCACTATCTATCATTGCTGCGAATGAGCAAAGGAGTAGATGAACGAACATTAACTCTTTTTTCCGTGATATGAACCCGACGCATAAGCCTCTTTTCAGTAGAGGGGTGAAATTATTAAGACATTCGACAAATGGACAAATACACCAATCAATTCAATACGGTTGATCAAGAAGCATACATCATGAAGATCGCATAAACAAACGAACGAGTGAAAAGAAGAACAACAAAAAAAGAGAATTCTGCTTTTACAAATCATCAGTGAAAGACACAGGAAAAGGATAAGAAGAAGACGATGATGACCACAAATGTATTCTATTCACAAGTTTCTGATTAAAGAGGACGAAAAATTGAGTTTTACGTGTATGTGAATACAAAGAAGAATTAGAAGGAAATCAGGGATTTATACATGTAACACATACACGAAGAAGAAGAAGAAGAGCAACAACAACAGCAAAAGAATGAGTTTTTTCTTATGCCTTGATTTCCTTCAATTCACTGATCTGTTTGATTAAATATGCTTTTTCATCATTGAACTGTTCATCGTCAGTACCTATAGTAACGATGTCAAATAGAACGATGTCTCGCGAATACCAATCACTTACGATCCGTATGAAAAGTAGTAAGGAATTCAATCAATTTATCTCGATTGCGTAGAAGTATATCAGAAATTGCTTTAGGTTTCGATGGATTCGCCACGAATATCTATTGCACCAATAGAACGAGATTTGATATCGATTTTAAGTAATAAAAACAAACCTTGAACACATGAAATGCTTCGAATTGAATATTTTTACTCTTTTCCTTCAGTAAATTCATCTGTTGTTTTAAATTATCTGGATTGGTTATATATTTAGTCATAACTGAAAAATTGTATCGATCAAGTAGGAGTTCACCGAGAAGCTACAATGCAAGAGAAACTCATCTTCAGCAAAATGTCATCAAGTATCTGACTTACTTTCAATGATTGTCGACGCGTTACATAGTTTTCCGAATTCAATAGGTCACGATATTTACTGAAGAATGGATCGTAATTTAGTTCAAGAAACTCTGCACATAGAGACTTATGTTTGGTTAATAAATCCTAAACAAAAATCATTATAGCACATCGAACTTCAAACAAAAACCATACTTTGAAAGTCGCAAATGCATCACTTGCAATATCAAAGGTCGATTTTTGCACGTAATCAAAAAACTTATAAAACTCATCTGATTTCAAGATAATTTCTGCTAATTCTTGAACACGTATACATTCTCGAAGCATCATACCGCAATTTAATGCTATATCAGCATTCTCATATCTACATCAAACAAAGCACATTCGATGCTGATGGTTGCATTTTGACACTTACCCTTCAATCAATTTGAACAAGATGACAGGTCTTTGAATAATATGATCAACAGCTGGATATTTCGTTCCGACCTGTCGGCGGAGAAGATTGTTGACAATAGCGACGATTTCTTTTCGATCTTCGAATGTCACTCGACTTAAGTTATTAATCATCGCTAATAAAAGTTCCTGTGAATAGATTCCGCTGCACAATTGCGACACATCACTTATTGCTGGCTCACTACTACCATCGCGTGGACCGAATAATCCATCTTTCAAGGCAAGTAATGCTTTATGAATGTTCTTAATTGCCTGAAACATATCAAATGAATTCCACTCGCCGAAATATGAGATTCACTCGTCATTACCTCTTCATAAATCTTCTTCTCCTTATCGTGTTCAATTTCGATAATTGTTAAACATTCTTTCAAATGCTTGACATAATCCGTCTTCGAACGAGACGATAGTAAAGCACTAAACGGCATTTTCGTCGACAAAATACCGATGAAACCAATATATCACCTCGAAAAAGATGTGCGCGTTGCTTTTGTCGGATAAGAACAAAATGCGAATGAATATCTAAAACAGATATCGAGAACGAGAGCAAATTATTCAAAATAAGTCTTTTATCAGCGATTACGTGTTAAGAAAAAGAAAAATCTACTTCCCAAAAAACGCAACAAATAAAACGTATATAGCATATCTTGTTTCGCCCACTCGTGTTTGCTTGCTTGCGATCTTTGTCAAAAGACGAAGATTGGTGATTGTCTACTTTCCAATCCAAATGAATAAGCATCAGAGGGCACCACAAGAAATTCCAATAATAACAAGAAATGACTTGCGCCGAACGAAAACGTTTCGATCTATAAAATAAAACCTTTTTTTTTATATACACGAAGACAAAAGTCGTCATAAACGTCAGCAGACGACCATTTACGATCATGTTAATGTACGACTACGCCGTTATAAAATGCAAACACATCGCTTCGAGAAGCGCATGAAATCTATTAACTGATCTGTTCATATTCAAATTAGAGAAATCTGTAAGCAAGGTATATCAATATTCTTTATTTGTGTTTTCTTTCGCCGTATGAGCGTTTTATATAATAAAAATTAGAATAGAAACTTGGAAGCATGATACATAAAAAGAAAAGAATAGTTTTGTATTGTTCTTTTTGAAACGAATGAGCTATTTCAAAAGAAAAAGAACAAAATCCATTCTTTTACGTAGTTGTTTTGTTCGAATTATTGTCGGATTAGGAACACATGTTAGTCGACTCGCTCGTAACGATGTTTGCTAAGTTGATGAGCCAAACAACAAGAAAGAATAACAGCCGCGAGTGGAAATAATGCAATAGTTAAAATAATGCCACCAAAAATCGGATAGTTACTTTTGATTGTTGAAATAACTGTTGAATAACAGCCCTGCAAGGAAAACGGAAATTATGAACACTGAAACCATCATTATCTACTCACATTTGTATTAAGATCCGTTGGAAGATTAACTGTTTTAAGATGCGTTGAGGTACATGTATGATTCAACGATATTTTACAGCATGATGATGGTACTTGACTTTGTAAACTGCCGTACGGTGTTTCAAACCAATCTGTGTACGAATCAATACCACAGCATGATAGCTAAAAATGAAATTTCGCTCAAATTCTTAGTTCGACTTCGAAATCAATTTACAGCGCGTTGGAGATGATCAACGTGTAAACTCATGGGTTTCTGTGGATATTGATGCATAATATTTCTCACATTGGTCTTAAACGCAGTTTCATACTGAACAAAAGACGAAGAATAAATAAATAAATACATTTATAAAAAGCTCCATTAAACTCACCGTTTGTTTTCTCATTATAACAGCAACAGCCAGAACAACTTCCGCAATTAAGATAAGTAGAATAAGAATGGAATACTATAACAAAAACTAATATAAGAATCGATTGTTGAAAATTAACTTACGACATATAATAGAGTAATATGGCCTTTAATTGTGCAGCTAAATACCAAACAATTGATATGAACATGAGGTTCTATCGAAGTAGAAGGTTTATTCATACCAAAGTGCTGAGAAACCAATGAGAAGAATGACGATTCCAAGGCCCATCTAATAACAACAATTAGGGTGTGAATGAACAGCAAACAATGATGACTTACCACAACGTATGGTGATGAGGATTTCATTTCAGGTGTGATTTCTAGAAACTCTTTAAAATGACTTCGTAATGCGATGCCAAGTAAAAGTAAAATTCCTCCGCTGAGCTAAAACGATACATATATAAGAGAATTTCTCATTTGACATCATTTACTATAAAAATCAGATTGACGAAGAACAATAATGTACGCAGAAAAGCAAGACTTGCTGTTGTTTGAAATCGTCGCCAGGTCATGTTGAATTCGATTCAAAAAACGAATGTACTAATCGCTTAACCGTTGTATGTGTATATGACTGTTCTTCGGACACACTCGATTAAGATTATATAGGCAACAGTTAGATTTTCTTTCATTCTTTTCGTCGGGTTTACATCGTACATGTAAACAAAAGAGATATGCGTGAATATAGTCCGTTCGTGGTCGCCAGAAAAGAAAAAAAAAGCTGCACTTGCCAATTAATTGGAGCCCATAGAATCTACTTATACATCGACCATCAATTAAACATGTCATTAGCTTTTGTAGTATCGCACGGTCATTGACATTGAACGATAGAAGTTATTATTCTAAATAGACATACTCTATCCTAAATAAGTCTCGATGCGTCGAGTATGTCTAGCATTGCAAGGACACGTTCTTAATAAGGCATGATTAATAGCAATTTGCCCTCTAGCCATCGCGATACAGACATCTTCGCTAGATATTTGTTTTTAATAATTTATTAGGAAAGAAAACCACGACGATTAATTACAAGCACAAAAAAAACGAGAGTGAAATTTCGCATCATCTGTATATAATACACGAGATCAGAAAAATGAAACAAAAAAGATTTGTATTGTGTAATCTACCAAAGTAAAGAAATTGTGATGAGAATATTGGAGGTTATCTGTGTCAATAGCCGAAAAAACGAATCTCTACATATATGTGTATATCTATATGAATAAAGGAGTATACAAACAAACCCTGAAAAAGAGAAAAAACAACATCAATGACAACAAAGAGCGAGAGAAAAATGCTATTGAAAACAGATGATCGAAATTAACATTTCGGTGTTTGATTTTCAAAGAATTTATAGGTTGGATTTTCATAACCATTCATTTGTAAGTTGTGTAATGCTTTTTCTTCAGGTGAACACGAATCAACTTCGGTAAAGACATAATTCTTTTCGTATTTATGTCCGTACGAGCGATTTTGTCGAATGAATCGAAAGAGAAACAAGCCAATGGAAACGCTGACGACAAGTAAACATCCGAATACATATGGTAAATATGTAACGAAGATATTCTTTGGCACGCGTTGGATTGGTACTATCGGACGAATGTCATTCTAAAGAAAGTGAATTGAAAACATGATGACTAAGACTCTTTTCTATGTTAATTTTACTTCATTAATAAACGCTTGTTGATTTTGATCGTCAATCTTGATATCGAATGTTGCTTCGCTTTCATCATTACTATTATCCCAATCACTTTCGCTTGGCTCGACTTGATCGTAGTTAATGGGTTCAGGTTCAGTTGTTGTTATCGTACTTGTCGATGTCTTATCTTCACCTTCGTCTTCGACATCGTATTCGTCATTACTCGCGTAATCGTATTCATTATCATTGTCGACATCATAGGAATTTGTTGTGGTTGTCGTCGATGACATTGAAAATGGATAGATTTTCTTTTCATCTCGACCGAACGGTAAAAGGCGGATCTTTTTTGTAGTGGCGACTGTCGTTGTTGATGTAGCTGCATAATCAGTTAATAATTTATCTGCCGCTTGATTAACTTCGTCATATTCTGAGAAGAGTGTGTCTGTAACGGATAAGAGATGCAATGAATATGCGTATATTGACAAAAATAACATGTGTACTTACCGACACGAGGTTGAATTTTCGATTGCAGATTTGGATATCGTCGAAGTTGATTTAATGCCTCATTGATGCGATCGACAATATATCGTAATCGATCGTGTATCGATACTCGTTTACNACTAAACGGCATTTTCGTCGACAAAATACCGATGAAACCAATATATCACCTCGAAAAAGATGTGCGCGTTGCTTTTGTCGGATAAGAACAAAATGCGAATGAATATCTAAAACAGATATCGAGAACGAGAGCAAATTATTCAAAATAAGTCTTTTATCAGCGATTACGTGTTAAGAAAAAGAAAAATCTACTTCCCAAAAAACGCAACAAATAAAACGTATGTAGCATATCTTGTTTCGCCCACTCGTTTTTGCTTGCGATCTTTGTCAAAAGACGAAGATTGGTGATTGTCTACTTTCCAATCCAAATGAATAAGCATTAGAGGGCACCACAAGAAATTCCAATAATAACAAGAAATGACTTGCACCGAACGAAAACATTTCGATCTATAAAATAAAACCTTTTTTTTTATATACACCGAGACAAAAGACGTCATAAACGTCAGCAGATGACCATTTACGATCGTGTTAATGTACGAATATGCCGTTATAAAATGCAAACACATCGCTTCGAGAAGCACATGAAGTCTATCTGTTCATATTCAAATTAGAGAAATCCATAAGCAAGATATATCAATATTCTTTATTTGTGTTTTCTTTCGCCGTGCGAGTGTTTTGTATAATAAAAATTAGAATAGAAATTCGGAAGAATGAAACATAAAAAGAAAAAAGAATAGTTTTGTATTGTTCTTTTTGAAACGAGTGAGCTATTTCAAAAGAAAAAGAACAAAATCCATTCTTTTACGTAGTTGTTTTGTTCGAATTATTGTCTGATTAGGAACACATGTTAGTCGACTCGCTCGTACCGATGCTTGCCAAGTTGATGAGCCAAACAACAAGAAAGAATAACAGCCACGAGTGGAAACAATGCAATAGTTAAAATAATGCCACCAAAGATCGGATAGTTACTTTTGATTGTTGAAATAACTGTTGAATAACAGCCCTGCAAGGAAAATCGAAGTTATGAACACTGAAACCATGATTGTCTACTCACATTTGTATTAAGATCCGTTGGAAGATTAACTGTTTTAAGATGTACTGAGGTACACGTATGATTCAACGATATTTTACAGCATGATGATGGTACTTGACTTTGTAAACTGCCGTACGGCGTTTCAAACCAATCTGTATACGAATCAATACCACAGCATGATAGCTAAGAATGAAATTTCGCTCAAATACTTAGTTCGACTTCGAAATCAATTTACCGCGCGTTGGAGATGATCAACGTGTAAATTCATGGGTTTCTGTGGATACTGATGCATAATATTTCTCACATTGGTCTTAAACGCAGTTTCATACTGAACAAAAGACGAAGAATAAATAAATAAATAAATACATTTATAAAAAGCTCCATTCAACTCACCGTTTGTTTTCTCATTATAACAGCAACAGCCAGAACAACTTCCGCAATTAGGACAAGTAGAATAAGAATGGAATACTACAACAAAAACTAATATAAGAATCTACTGTTGAAAACTAACTTACCACATATAATAGAGTAATACGACCTTTAATTGTGCACCTAAATACCAAACAATTGACATGAACATAAGATTCTATCGAAGTAGAATGTTCATTCATACCAAAGTGCTGAGAAACCAATGAGAAGAATAACAATTCCAAGGCCCATCTAATAACAACGATTAGGGTGTGAATGAAAAGCAAATAATGATAACTTACCACAACGTAAGGTGATGAGGATTTCATTTCGGGTGTGATTTCTAAAAACTCTTTAAAATGACTTCGCAATGCAATGCCAAGTAAAAGTAGAATTCCACCGCTGAGCTAAAATAACACACATATAAGAGAATTTCTCATTTGACATAATTTACTATAAAAATCAGATTGACGAAGAACAATAATGTACGAAGAAGAGCAAGACTTGCTGTTGTTTGAAATCGTCGCCAGGTCATGTTGAATTCGATTCAAAAAACGAATGTACTAATCGCTTAACCACTATATGTATATGTGACTGTTCTTCGGACACACTCGGTTAAGATTATATAGGCAACAGTTAGATTTTCTTCCATTCTTTTCGTCGGGTTTACATCGTACATGTAAACAAAAGAGATATGCGTGAATATAGTCCGTTCGTGGTCGCCAGAAAGGAAAAAAAACTGCACTTGCCGATTAATTGGAGCACATAGAATCTACTTATACATCGACCATCAATTAAACATGTCATTAGCTTTTGTAGTATCGCACGGTCATCGACACTGAACGATAGAAGTTATTATTCTAAATAGACATACTTTATCCTAAATAAGTCTCGATGCGTCGAGTATGTCTAGCATTGCAAGGACATGTTCTTAATAAGGCATGATTAATAGAAATTTGCCCTCTAGCCGTCGTGATACAGACATCTTCACTAGATATTTGTTTTTAATAATTTATTAGGAAAGAAAACCACGACGATTAATTACAAGCACAAAAAAAACGAGAGTGTGAAATTTCGCATCATCTGCATATAATACACGAGATCAGAAAAACGAAACAAAAAAGATTTGTATTGTGTAATCTACTAAAGTAAAGAAATTGTGATGAGAATATTGGAGGTTATCTGTGTCAATAGCCGAAAAAACGAATCTCTACCAATATACGTATATCTATATGAATAAAGGAGTATACAAACAAACCCTGAAAAAGAGAAGAAACAACATCAATGACAACAAAGAGCGAGTGAAAATGCTATTGAAAACAGATGATTGAAATTAACATTTCGGTGTTTGATTTTCAAAGAATCTATAGGTTGGATTTTCATAACCGTTCATTTGTAAGTTGTGTAATGCTTTTTCTTCAGGTGAACACGAATCAACTTCGGTAAAGACATAATTCTTTTCGTATTTATGTCCGTACGAGCGATTTTGTCGAATGAATCGAAAGAGAAACAAGCCAATGGAAACGCTGACGACAAGTAAACATCCGAATACATATGGTAAATATGTAACGTAGATATTCTTTGGCGTGCGTTGGATTGGAACTATCGGACGAATGTCATTCTAAAGAAAATGAATCGAAAACATGATGACTAAGACTATTTTCTATGTTAATTTTACTTCATTAATAAACGCCTGTTGATTTTGATCGTCAATCTTGATATCGAATGTTGCTTCGCTTTCATCGTTACTATTATCCCAATCGCTTTCGCTTGGCTCGACTTGATCGTAATTAATTGGTTCAGGTTCAGTTGTTGTTATCGTACTTGTCGATGTCTTATCATCACCTTCGTCTTCGACATCGTAGTCGTCATTACTCGCGTAATCGTATTCATTATCATTGTCGGTATCATACGAATTTGTTGTGGTCGTTGTCGATGACATTGAAAATGGATAGATTTTCTTTTCATCTCGACCGAATGGTAGAAGGCGGATCTTTTTTGTAGTGGCGACTGTCGTTGTTGATGTAGCTGCATAATCAGTTAATAATTTATCTGCCGCTTGATTAACTTCGTCATATTCTGAGAAGAGTGTGTCTATAACGGATAAGAGATGCAATGAATATGCGTATATTGACAAAAATAACATGTTACTTACCGACACGAGGTTGAATTTTCGATTGCAGATTTGGATATCGTCGAAGTTGATTTAATGCCTCATTGATGCGATCGACAATATATCGTAATCGATCGTGTATCGATACTCGTTTACGCTCGGCTTGTTGTTGATCGACAGCACGTAAACGTTCGTAACGATTGACCAAATGAATACGGTCGCGCAGTAGAAGTTGAAGATAATTATAAAGGGCTTCTTGAATATCTTCAGTCTAGAAATAATTATAGATTAAAAAAATCTGAGTTTTTACTGATTCTATGTCGACAGGAAAGGAAAAAGAAAAGCAATTAAAGTAGTCTCCTATTTCTTCAAGTATACACTCTACAACGGACGTTCAGTTCAACAATTACGTTCGTTTTCTTTCTTCCGTTCATTCACACTGGGTCATTTATGTACTTAATAAGTAGCTCTCTTTTATTCTCAAGTACACGCACTCCTATTATTAATAATCAATCTCTGCGTTCATATACATATGTTTCTCTCTTTCTTTCATTCGCTTGTCAAATATACATCGATACATAAAACAGATACAAACGGCCTTCTCTCTGTCTTTCTGATAGATAAGTAAACTGTTGATTCATTTAGTCAATAGTGATGTAACAATATCGTGTTCAACATACTTTCAATGGTAGATTGTTCCATGCATTGATGAGTTTTTTATTGGCTTCGGCTTTGGCTGTATTAAGCATATTATCTAAGTGTATTTCATGTAGTTCATTGAGACGTGTTCGTTCTTGGCTAGCTGCTTGTTTGAGAGATTCATATTCTCGACGAAAATCGATGTCGATTTGTTCGCGTGCTGCACTAACATTGCCATTGACTAAAAATTGAACTTTCTTTTGTTGATTTTGCCAACGGGTCTTTAATTCATCGATCTGTTCTTTGTATTTCTGTTTGAACGATTCCTTATCTTTCGCAAATCGTTCGCGTTCTTCGGTAGCTGTTTGATCATCATTTGTATCTTCATCATCTAAAATTTCAATATAAATGGATTATCACATAAAAAGAAATGTCCTACCGGCAAAATATGCTGAGTCGGTATTCCATCGGCGATAATCTTCCATCCAGCTTGGTTCGCCTAAATGAAAAAAAAATGTTTTGTTATTTTCTTTTCAAAGCATAAACATGTCGGCTGAGATCTGAGCTACATGCCAGAGAAAATTATGTATACGTGATGGAATAACAAGTAAATGTCGGAAACTGGATATTCTCTGTGGATACTCACGTGATGCTAGTGTCATTGCTATAATTCGTTGATTTGAAGATTGTTGTCCATCTTGAATAGGATCATCTTCAAGTAAATCGTTGTCATCTTGTTCATCAAGACTTGTTTCATAATCGTTATCATTGGATTTTTTCGTCGGACAGCAAACAAATTCAATACCGCGAAAGGCCGACAAGCCACACCAATCAAGTGTCATAACTGAAGTGCTCAGATTCATGTTTTTATTTTCACATTCAACCGATGCCAGTTGACGCCATTGTTCAGCACGTAAACATTGATCTGTACCGATAATACTATTCATGGTACAATCTACTGTTGGTAATGTAATCTCTTCGCGTTTCGAAGTCAGATATAAGCAACGGTAGGGTTGGACGAATTCTTCAGTACCACTGCCTTGTTTACATCGATGAATGTTATCACCATTTTTGTCGATCGGAGATATTAATTCACACCAATTTTCAAAACGTAATACTGTATCTGTGCGAACAATATTGCCAATACGAAAGGATGGATACGCCTAACAAATCAGACATGCCGATTAAATGACAATGAAATTCTAGCTGGCAGTTCATTTCTCTCTTACTTGTTTACAAAATTCGAGAATACTCTGTTCATCGTTGACACATGAACTGATTAAATGTTCAACCCAGACATGTTTGTCAGTGTCATAATACAAGTTCGCCTTCGAGCTATTACATCCTAGAACAGCTATTTGAGGATAGTTATTGTTCATAGTTGATTTGAGCACGACGCCATTAACCTAGAAGTATGTTACGGGAATCAATTGAGCAATCTCGAAGATGAATACGTACCACATAAATAAAAGATAAAACGACAGCAAGGTGCAGTATAGACTGCATCTTGAACACAAGGTATACCTAGACTAAATCAAAAGTTCAAGTCACGTAATAAACATTTAATGTATGATTTCAGCCATTAGCCATGAACGAAGCCTTCGAAATGAAGTCATTTCGGAGAAAAAATCAAATTTAATCTGAATGATATATTTAGAGCTGAATAACAATTTTAAAGATTTTTATAAATTTATTTTATGAAATTTCGATCGTTCACACGAAATATCGCATCTGATGAATTCTATTGGTCTATTTGTTGACCAATCCGATCACTTTTGTTTTCATAATTTATTTGATCGAGTAGGGTGAACCAGCCCAATCAGTCTATTTTAAATGTTCTCCTTTGGCGATACTGTTATTAAAACTTAACGAAAGAATGAAAAACTGTTTTAATTTCAGAAAAAGAATAAGATGCGTCCGTTAACTGACGAGGAAACGAAGATTTTATTCGAGAAACTCTCGAAATAGTAAGTCATCCACTGTGTCGCAATGCGAATATTCTTTGCAATCTTCTAGCATCGGTGATAATGTTCGGATGCTATTGGAGCGTCCCGATGGACTCTATACATTTCGCTTACACCGTGAGCGTGTCTATTATTGCAGGTTGATTTCTTATGAACGAAAGACTATCTGATTTGAATTACAATATCTTCTAGTGAAGCAATTATAAAATACGCAAGTAATTTTCCTCGGAAAGAATTACTCAGTTTCGGTACATGTTTTGGTCGATTCACTAAAACACGTAAATTTCGATTACATATAACTGCATTGGATTTTATTGCTCCATACGCCAAAGTAAGCCAGACATTCTAAAACATCGCTTTTCTGTTAATTTCTATGTCTTAAATTATTCTAGTTCAAAGTTTGGTTGAAACCAAATGCTGAACAACAATTTCTCTATGGACACAATGTTGTTAAATCAGGTCTAGGACGTATCACAGAAAATACGCCGAAATACAATGGTGTCATTGTCTATACCATGAATGACATGCCATTAGTAAGTTTGATTTTATTTCAGAGGGTTTTGAACTTGATGTTTTCATGTAGGGATTTGGTGTAGCTGCAAAATCAACAATTGAATGTCGAGCAGCTGATCCCATGGCATTAGTTGTTTTCCATCAAGCTGATGTCGGTGAATTTCTTCGTAATGAAGATGCATTAACATAATACGTGTTTTGTTGTTTTTTGTTATGAAAAATAAACAAATTTGAAAGTCCATTGCACTGTTTTGCTAGACGCATAATCACTGAATAGTAGAGAAGTATCGATCGCTAAGGATATTGTTGTTTTACGGAATCAGAGAAGTCGAGTATATTTAACGCGCGTTTCAGATGAATGATTTGGCGACGGAAATGCTTCCAGCTAATAATGGTCTCCTTCGGACAAACACTGATCAACTCGATGGTACTCCACGAGCACAAAGGCTGATAAAAAATCATCAAACAATGATGTGAGTAAAAGGTCGTTCTCGGAAAGCATTCTCTAATGACTGTTTGAAAATTAACAATGCAACAGAAATATTTCGATGAACTCTATTCTATTCTGTTTGCTTGACCAATCGTTGCCAATTTCAATGGGTTAGTAATATGCCGTCCTCTTGCTCTAAACGTAATTCTATAATCAAATATTGATTCTTCCTCCTCTTAATTTGATACTTCCTGGGGCTGTCATTCGAGCAAAGGTCGCAGACAATAGTTTTGTAAATTTATTTAACTGTTTTGTAGAACGCCGGTGGATCAAAGAAATAGCTGAGCGATGAATGTCAGTATCTCCAACTACACTCGTCTGCTCACATTAATTCTACCATGTGTTTTTACTTTGCATAAAAAATCGTATACTCGTCGCTTCTTAATTATCTTTATGTGCACCTTCATCATTTACATAGCATACAAAGTCTACAGTCAACCAGATAAACACGAACAACTAGATGTTCTCTTATCACCAAAGTATATTTTTCATACAAACTCATCTACTTACATACCACTTATAAACCAAAAACAGAAATCTTATCCACTTGTACTTCTTTGGACGGATCTATTTCGCGATTCGTACTGGAATCAGCCTTTATTTTTCAATGCATCTGCACTTGTGTCATGTTCATCTACAGATCTGTGCCAATTTACACGCAATAGAAGTCGATTAGATCAATCATCTATAGTAGCGTTTCATCTGTACGATGCCACTCGGTATCAATTGCCTGAAACGAATCCGTCGAAGGATAATCGCCAATCTTGGGTGTTCGTTACCGGTGAAAGTCCAATTAATTTTTATTACCAAAATCCGTCGTTTTTTCCACGAATGTTAGATAATTATTTCGATCAATCGATTTCATATAAATACGATTCGCCTTATGCCGTCTTCTCGCCGATTATTGAGCGCCGAACGGCATCGATAAATCGAAGGGAAGAGAATTTGAATCGCATTAGTTTGAAATCTAAGAAAAAGCCGGTTCTATGGTTTGTTTCGAATTGTAACACATTTTCTCAACGTGAAAAATACGTCGAACAATTGAAAAAGTACATACCTGTGGGTATTTACGGTAAATGCGGTCAACAATGTCCCGAAGTACCGAATCGACGATGCCAAGTCAACATCGACGAATATTATTTCTATCTATCTTTTGAAAATTCTCGTTGCAATTCGTATATCACCGAGAAATTTTGGAATATCATTTCGGACAACGTTCATCGCCTCGTTCCGATTGTTCTCGGCGCTCCGGACACTGACTATCAACGCATAGCACCAAATCAATCGTATATACACGTGAATAAATTCCAGACGCCGAAGCATTTAGCGGAATATCTGTACGATTTGATGAATCATACCGAAAAATATCTCGAATATCTCCGATGGAGAGAATTTTATGAAATCGATCGACATAATTCGCAAGGATGGAATAATCTATTATGTCCTCTTTGTCGGATGGCCTCTAAATCTCGGCTATTCCCCGCCAATCGAATGAACTTTTCCGTGTGGTACGAACCCAAACTCGAATGTCACGCGGAGGACGTTCAGATCTTCAAACAATGCAAGCAAGCCAATCTCAGAGATTGGATGACTTGGGTAAATGGAAAGCAGTGCCCATAAGAAAATTGTTTGCCGTTTTTCGTCTTTTTGATGAGAACTATAAAAATGCAATGGGTTTCACACACAGTGTTTTTAAAATGCAATTTTTCTTTTATATAAATAAAAAAAGAGTTTGCTGTTTGATCATTCTTTTAAAGTTTGTGCGTTTTCTACTGAAATTGTCTTTAAATCAGGAGCTATGAATGCACGTTTAGCATCTGGTGAGAACATTACTCCTGGAGAGTAATATTGTTTCCATAATGATGAATCTAAAAGCTCGCGGTTTTGATCGAGAAAAGCATTCGAATTCGAGACGGATGAATCGCATTGTTGTGTGGCATTCCAAATTAATGTGGCCCATAGTTGGGTCATTGTTTCATGAAAACCAACGGTGAGCTTCGCGGCGTGCAGTCCATTGAAATGCTGAATACCTTGACGAATTGTTTCCAAAGCTTCCTCGAAACTTGCCGATGATTTACACACTAAATAAGCCATGCGAATGTGTGCCACATGTGTCCATTGTTCGAACGGTAAAACTCCAGTTTGAAACTCATGCAAAAACTGTGCATCAGTATCCATGATGAAACAATCAAAAGAACGGTGCGTTATCTAACAACGAAGCGATACATTGACCTTTTCGAGTTCTGTTCTTATCAGAAAACGCTCCGTTGACATAAGAGACTTGCTTTATTTTTGAAAATAAAAAACAAACTATAACATACAAACAAAAAATGATCGCACTCGTTATGGTCTGGGTTGGCTATAAGTGAAAGTTTACAATGAAGACAAAAAGAACCGAAAAGCCACGGAGCGGTTTGACTAGTAGACATCAATAACATCTATTTACCTTGAAAATAAAAATGATATACAGTACAATCCCGGTATTTAAGTATGCTGTTGTCCATTCGTTTTGTTATGATTCCGAAGTTTTTCCATTTTAATACTGTGATCGAATACGACACGCTCATGCTGATTAAGATCTTTGCCATTTTCCTCATTATCACGACGAAAGATTTCCATTAAACCTTGAATGATACTTTCTAAATAGGTATTTCCACCTAAGACATCAATTTCATCATAGATTTGTTTAGCCAAATCATCACACACTTGACGCGTATATTCCAACGAACCAAATTCATGTAACAGTCTTACACAGTAACGTTTCAATTCAATGTCTTGTGTACGTTGCTTGAGAATGTGAATAATGCGCGTATCGGTTTCACGTGTGTTAACCGCATGTAAGATTGGAAATGAGAACTTGCCTTCGGTTAAATCTTCACAATACGATTTATTATTTGTATATTCTTTTGATATTAAATTGCAATAATCATCACGTATTTGAAATAGCAATGACAGTAGTTCACATAGTTTATTGAAATTGTAAGCACTGCGTATTTCCGTTGGTGCAAATAATTGCATGAGACGAACACCCAGATTGAACAATCCACCGCATTTCCTGATAACCATTTGACGATATTCCCCTTCGGATGGCGAAACAAAGTTGTCACGCCACCAGATTTCCATACCTTGTCCATGGTGCAACTCTAACATTTGGTCTAAAAGGAAACACGGCATCATTTCTCTTAAATGAACGCTCTGCATTCGATAACATACCGACAAATATTTGTGTCACATCAGCATGTTCCAATGCAAGAGCTTTCTGCATAGCGAGGAAATATATGTAATTTGCAGCGTTAATTGTCAACGGAATTCCATAGATGTTATGAGCAACAGGTACGCCTCTACGTAGTTTGGAATTGTCTTGAATATCGTCGATGAGCAACGATGCATTGTGAAGCATCTCAACAAGATCTTCGATGACAGTGAGCTTTTCATCAGGTATGTGTAACCAGAGATTAAAAGCCTGGAAAAAACGAAGGAAAATGAGATTCAGGAAAGAATTATGTTAATTACTTGGATTAGTTTCGGTCGAATTTGTTTGCCGGGGATGGTACGAATGTATTCATAGGGTTCAAGAAGTATCTTCAATAGAATTTTCGTCAAGAATATGATGAATATGACACGAAAGGAATTACTTTATTCTCTGCATCGGGATCCGCCGTTATTTGCTTGTCATTTTCCATGTTTGAATAAGAACAATATCTAAAATAAAACAATAATGCTTCGCATGACAATAGAATCTTCGATTAAGATGTATCATAAACAATAATAGACGAAAGACAGCAGTATATGGACATAGTATTTCTACTCCAAGGAGCGACATGCCACTGTACATGTAGAAAAACAAAACTTATAGAGGTAATTTCTTTTCTTTTCTCTCAATAACAATCCTGGCAAGAGAAAAGAACAGAAATTCACATGCCAGAACAGAAAACGAAGTTTTTTCTCTCTCCCCTCCCCATTGCACGCATGTCCAATCACACTTTGCACTCAATGATCAAATCTTCGTTAAAAAGGTTATCGACCTAAATAATCAATCGAATGCGTATACAATTACGATCAATGTTTTCCATTGAAATGCCAGTTAAAGATGAAGGAGAAGTGAATTGGTTTCTTCGACAATATCCAACATATGCGCTGGAGAACAATGAGAAGATTTGTTAGTATAGTTCTAGCATTTGATGATGAACGAGTATCTCGCAAGACAGAGAACAAGTTAATGACACCAGCCATATGAGAGAAGAGAAGAAGAAGGGCAAGCGATGTTCTAATTTCATTACTATCTATCATGGCCATTATGCACTAGTGGGTCGCTCATCGATCAGGGTCATACATACAAATTTCCTCCTATGTTCATGGCCAGAAGAAATCAAAGATTGAGCATGTGATCCATCCAGGAACCGCTTTGCATCTTATTCAAAACTAAAAACAAGAAAAGCGAAACAGTGGGATATCGAATCACAGCAACAACAAAAAAAGTTTTCTTCTCAGATCGCTGGGATAAATACTATTAAGTGCAGAATTATTCAACATTTGTTTTAACATATGAAGTTTGAAATGGATTTTTGATTGATCGAAGTAATTCCTCACCGAATACCGGTGGCATTTCATTAGCACCAACCAATCTGTCGCGTGTTAAATAATACGCTGTTAAACGGGCTCGTGCATATTCCTGAAAAGAGACGCGTCACGAAATGATGTCTTACGCTTCGTTTTTCATACCATATAACCGAATTTGATTGCTGTTGATGTTGCCATATGAATAGCCCATAAGGTCCAAAAGAAATTCGAAGCAAGTGCATAGTAATTAGCTTCTTTCATGATTTGATCGATTAGTTCTTCGCGGCTTGAATCTTTCTCTTGCGGTGAATCGACCGGACAAGGTACCGATTGATCTTGTGAAGCAAGCATTGCGTCGATGTAAGCCGACAGAAAAGTACGCTAATGAAAAGAAAATGAAGCTTTCATCTGAATCACTCAGTAGGATATGCCTATCCAAGGTTATTTCCAACTGTTCGTTTCGATTGCAAAAAAACATGCTTACCTGTTGTTCTCTGTTTGGATAATCAGTAAAATTAACTTTGAAGCGAGGCCATTCTTTTGACGAGACGTAATCAAACATAAATTCACAGAAATGATTACCAATATCATATCCACTAAGAAGAAAAGGACTTCGTGTACTTGTCTTTCCAGTTGGCTTGATCTTACCGATAGTTGTATGAGCAATATTCGAAATCGATGACGGTGAAATTGTTCGGATCAGATTTCAGTCGGAGAATGTTTCCTGGTTGAAAGTCGTTATGACACAATCTGATTGGGCTCTCGATTTTCGCTAAGATTTTTCTTGAAATGAATCGATCGAAACGATGAAATGGAACAAACAGTTTCAATTTACTTTAATTCTTCGAATTCCTCGGCGAATTTGCACACCGATTGCAGTTCTTGATAAATCTGACGATCTTCTTCGATCTCGAATTTATGGAGATCTGTTGGTAAAGTTGAAAGATATCTTGAAAACGAATATTTCCGTTATCAGAAAAATCCAACAAAATATCGGTACGAACTGCTCAATTGTATTGTATAACCAAGTCGGTTCTTTGACTAATGGCATATCAAGTTGATGTAGTTCGCCAAGTAATCGACCAGCTAGTTGAGAGACCTTCGGATCGCGAACCTCGGCGACCAGTAATGCTTCAGCCTAAATTATCACAATCTGAATGAAGTTTCGTTCTCAGTACCGGAGCTATTTATACAGCATCCGAGGATTTCAAATGACACGGACAACTGTATACTTTTCGATAGAAAATAGAGCGATAATCGATTGAAATCAGGACATACTCAAAGTGTATGTATGTATGTCAGGTCGTATTGTACCTGAAAGTAATACTAAATGCTCTGGTCTTATCGCTTTAAAACCTGTCTAGCCTGATCGATTTTTTTTTTCAAAAATCAAAATGTTACTCAAGATAGTCGTATATTGACGATATCTGATGAATTGATAAAATATTTACAGAACTTACATCAACAAATTCTTCCAATCGTCCTTCAGGAAAGATTCCATGGACATGTGGACCGATTTTTCGATCCGATAATAACGTACAGACGACGCTATCAATCAGAAGAGTACCACGGTGTTTTTGATGAACTTCACCATAGATTCTAGAAATGTTTGCAGTGTAATAATAAAAAAACAGACTTTTCTTTCTTTTTAGAAGTTCACTACCTTAAAAGAACTTTTCGAGGTTCAGAACCCTGAGATTCAACATCGTCCGGTAGCGAGCAACAGTACAAATAATTCGATAGACCACCACTGGAAAGCAATATGGATAAAAAAAAAGAGAATTCGATTAAAATATACATACGAAACACGTTCTAAATGCATTTGTTCAACAGTAATCGACGACCAAGCACCGCGGAGATAATTCTGACACCATTCAAGTGCCTGATCGGGTGTTACTATTTCTTGTGGCGTTGCCGATTTCCGCATTAATAGCCTAATTAAACACAGAAACCCTTCGAATGTGATGAAATTTTTCTTCAGAAAATAAACTATCCAAGAAAGAAGCCATAACAAATCTATTTTCATTATCTGTCTCAATCTCCGTAAAGACAAACATAATCAATTGATTGATTTGTTTTTCTTATAGATGATCATCGATATGCATATGTATCCGAGCTCAATGGGGAACTATCTGCTACTTTTGAGTCTAATATTTGACCACCGACGATCGGCCTAAACTCTCTACTTCCGTACCGTTTTACTGGACTGGCCATTTTATGAATTGAATTTCGAATTTTATCAGTTAATGACATGAATAAAGAATTAATATTAATACAGATCTACAGAAACGAATCTAAATGAATGCATGCAATATGGTCGTATTTTGTATCACCAGAATGACATTACTACTCGAATATTTCGTGTATAAATAGAGAATTTTTTCCTGACTAACTCATCTTACTAGACGAATGAGTCATTTTGCACTAGCATCGTGTCAATGATGACGCATATGCACACTTTTCTTCTTATCTCGAATACTATTGAAGGGATGTCGCTTAGCAACAGTCGACGACTCAACATGGCTGCTATATGAGAAGTACGTATAATCACATTCAGTAATCAATTGACGCTGAAAACAAAATGGCTCCGACAGAAGTATGATTATTTTTCATAGATAACTTTGAAAGGTCAATGTTTCGCTGTTGAAATATTTTAGAACGGTGATGATCGAGGTGGACAGGGCAAACAAGCAGGAAATGGTAACAATAATATCCTTTTCGATCAATCGAAAAATGAACAAACATCGTTGACAAGTGGCTTTAAAAAGTTGCAAATGCATTTAAAAAATTGGAAATTGTCAAAGTAATTGGCTTCATTTCTATATTCTCGTGTGTATTTCCGGTCGTCGTTTGTAGTCATCGAGAAGAAATCACTGCCGAGCGTTTAACACCATTTCGTGTGTTTATGATTGCTAATCCAAGAGAAAAATTTACACCTCAAGAAGTAAGTTAGTTCAATTCGACGACAAACATCATTCTCAGCATCGTCCTTTCAGTATGATTCGATGAAGCGATATATCGACAATGGTGGAAGTATTTTATTGACATTAAATGAAGGTGGAGAGTCTCGACAGAACACAAATGTGAATACATTTCTAAAAAACTATGGTATTGAAGTGAACGATGGTAAGTTTTCTTTGATTTCAATTAGATTTCTATTGAAATCTTTTTGTAGACAGTGTCATTCGGGCGGCGTATTATAAATATTTTTATCCAAAAGAAGCATTGGTTCTTGATGGTGTTCTAAATCGAGCTGTAGCTGAAAATGCGCATCTAATTGCTGCGACTGCACCAACGCCAAAGAATAAAAAAAGTCAAAATGCAGTTGTAGTGGACAAATCACTACGCGCTCAAGTGGCACGGTAAACCCGCATTCTTCAATCGTATATCTAAGTTTACTGGATTTATTTCTAGTTCTTTGGAATTTGTTTATCCATTCGGAGCGTCTTTGAATGTTCAATCACCATCTGTACCTGTTCTGTCGACGGGTACAACTTGTCTACCAACTCAACGAGCCATTTGTGCTTTTTATACATCGCCATCTAAAGTTTGTTAGGCAAAGCCAAATCGAATGGGTAAAAAGTCATTTTTCATTCGTAGAATGGAGGTCGTCTATGTGTGTGTGGTTCGACAATGATTTTCCATGATAATTACTTGGAAAAGGAACAAAATCGACGATTATTAGTAAGTCGTTTGATAGGTAATTCCAGACTAGATAATTTGGCGTTTTTTTTCAAGGATGTCGTGATAGAATTTCTTACAAACCCATCGTTTCGTCTGAATGATATCGATGCTGAAGTACCTGATGTAAGCGATCGGACGGCATAGTTTACCATCACACAGTATATATTTGTCTCCTAGATATCTGATGAGATGCTATCGCCCGATTTGCTAGCAATGTCAGAAATGTTAAAATGCAGTTTACACGACGTTGAGGAATTACCTAAAGATGTGCGCAAATTGCTCGATACACAATTATACAATTTGGATTTGACACTCATACCCAAAATGATCCGGTAAGCTCGAATTACGAATATCGATTTGGTGATTTAAAGAATTCTCTAGCGCATATGATGAGTTGCAAATGAAACATGAACCGTTGACGTTGATTAAACCTCAATTCGAAGTTCCAATGCCAGCGTTGAAACCAGCTGTTTACCCACCAGTATTTCGGGACTGTGAGCCTCCTGCATTGGAATTGTTTGATCTCGAAGATTATTTTGCTTCGGAAACATCACGTTTAAATCAATTAACGAACAAATGTTCGGAACACGATTTAGATCTGTTTGTTAAAGAATTCGGAAACATCGCGGGTATATCAAGTCGTATGCCCGCAGATCAACGTGGTGCCAAACAAATTCTGGAATTTGTTGTGACACAGTTATTTGAATTCAAACGAACGTATCATCCAGGCGTAAGCAGATGTTATGAAGGGCAAAGTAGAAAAGTTTTGGAAAATTGTTTTTCGTTTTAGATGGATGACGATTATATGGGTGGTCATAATTCCCTTGACCCAGGTCGATATACGTTCGGAATGGGAGGCGGCGCGGCGTCGAACTTCGATCATCTTGTTGTCGATTAATCAGTATTGTAATCGTTTTCGTGTATTTAAAGAAATAAAATGAAATTCATCATGGCAACCATTGCTATGATGTTAAGTTGATGTTTAGCTGAACATGAAAATCGTATATATCACTACTGATGTATTGCCTTTTGCGTCAATAATATGTATGTTTAACTCTTCACCTCTCAATCTACGCGGCATGCAGGTAGTTTCCTGCTCCAGTCAATACTTGCTAATAATGTCTTGACTTACAACGATTAGGTTCATACTACTCATTAAATAATCTTCCGCGTGCTGTCGGTGTTCTTAGAACTGGTAATCTGACATGTAATATCACTTAATCTATATAATTCATACTCGTTCCGAAGTTCCTATCCCGATAAAAATAGACTTGCAGAGTGTGATGACCTAGTGATCTGCTGCTTTTGTTCAGCATGATGCGAAAGAAAAGAACCAAACTCGATGAATACCGTTTTGATTAAATCTGTCTTGCTATGTCACGGATGCATTGCATTGTATTTTTCTCTTCACGCTCTTGTCAACATTTGATTATGTCGATTTAATTCGTCATTAAATCCCATAATTCATCGGAATGATGCATGTTGGTTTCGGGAAACATCACTATATCCAATTATAATGAAGTTCTTCTTTTTATAGAACTACTCTACTTCAATTCTCAGAGTTCCTGAAAATAGTAATTCTTCGAGACAATGCGTCCTTTTATTTATTCATCTTTCTCATATGCAAAAGATGCTAATCGTGTGAAATTCGCACGGAAATCTTCCAGCTGTACTTGAAATTACACGAAGATTCGAATTTAATGTAAGACAAAATAGTTAAAGCGCGTACATAAGCATGTGTGAGTTAAATATATTCAATTTTTTGGCGATATATGGAATGAAAAACGCTTTAGAGAGGACGATATTCACCAATGAAAGCATTACAATTAGGACAGTAATGCTGAACGTTTTGCAGATCTGATACGCAGAACGGAATAAGGCAACAGCCGAGCCAGCAACCAAATATAACCAGGAAAAGACATATAAGCCATGCCAACAATCCACTCGTTTGTTCTACACGAGTAACAACTAAAGATTGACAGTTTGGACAACAACACTGAACAGGGTTCTTCGCGAATGTTGTCAGCGGAACACCTTGCACTGCATAAGCAAGTGGTGCACTGGGATACTTGACTGTGTTAGGGTCATGAATGAGTTCTTGTGGTGGCACTACATACGCACCTGCGCGTTCGCCAGGAACATACTGAGGGTATTTACCGACGACGTCCACTAAATAATACAGAATATTATTCGTCACGAAGGTCTACATGCAATAGCTTACTGTACGGTGGTGGAGCCGCGTAGTGATTTTCACTCATTGCTCTATTTTAGATTCTATATAAATCTACAATGCAATGAGAATTAAAATCTCAAATAGTTCGTCTAATAAAAGGTTTACGCAGATACATTTTTGGTAAAGAATACTTTCAAAGAGACTGCCAATTGTATCCTAAATCAAGTAGAATCTATGGATTACCTCTTATCGTTATGAAAAGAATGCTTAGTGAAGTATGACTAATTCATATGATAAACAGTAGACACTCTTGGAGTTCTCATGATGGAAGCAACGAAATTCGTGAGAACTCATAAAAATATTAGTAATCGAGCTTGATAACATTTACAATACTTCCCTTAGTGGAGTCAGTTTACAAAGTCAATACGGGCACGAAGAATAGCACTACGTCAAATCAGAGTGTTTTGGTTAAATTTTATCAGTCTATGAGACTTTGATAATCGTCTTACTTTATGACAGCAACGTGACTAATAGGAAACAATGGCATTGACAAATGACTAACGGGAACTTTCTTGTTCTTAAGTCAGCCAGTAAGGAGTTGCTAGTTTTCTTTTATTCCCAACGTACAAACTGCTCTGCAATGGCGGGGTGTTTTTCTCTTCATCGCATCTCATAAAAGAGAACAAATGCATTTTTTTTCTTCGTCTCATTTCTCTTTCTCAGCTATGTTTCATACTTGTCGATGGCAAAAATTCAATGCTTCCGTCGGAATCCGGGAGAAAAAGAATAATGCATGGAGTCGTGTTGAACACTACCGCCATCTTTAATAAGAAAAATATTCGTTCACTCGTTTGTTTCATTAGTTGTATAATTTATTTAGCTTTTCTATTCATTTTAACAAACGTCTAATTATACATTGACACAAAATTCACTAGTGTTCCTTTTTCCTCTATTCGGAACATTGCTAATGGTTGTTGTGCGATTAAAAAACAAGACTACTCATTGCATTACATCTATCATCGTCATTTCTACCACGTAAGATGTGTACCTACGAACGAACGGTAATAAAAACGACCTTCACGATACCACTATATTCTATGCAATATAATGGATGATCTTCTTCGTTTTTTTTGTTTTCATTTAACAAAAACGCGCCGAAATGATTTAGATTGATTCTTTCTTTTTCATACAACTAGTTTCTTCCTTAGTTGCGTAACACCAATGCAATTGTTTTTTCCCTATGTGTACGTCATTTATCGCCAACGCCTACCTTGTTTTTCTCTTATAAACCAACGAACATTTCATCATCTATCTCATTTCGAATTTCAGATATCTGACTCTATTTCGTTCCCTACGCACAAAGCAGTTAACAACTGATCGCCAATTGAAAGTTTAGTTTCTTTATGAAGTTGTCGATTCGAAGTAAGATTTTTGGTGTGAATGAAATTGAACCAAAGTCAAATGATTTTCATATTAGATATACAAGCAGCTGCCCACGGCCATTACTGTCATTATAGACGAACAAGACAACCGACCGTTGTTCAATATTCTATGTTACATGTTTCATGCCCATCTGGCAATCCGTCGACCAAATCGTCTTTCGCTAGACAGAAACGCTCAACTTCATCGCGATTCAAAAAATACCGACCAAATCTAATATCCATTCATCCCTTTGAGAATCATCCCTTACACATCAATATATCAACCTATTCTATATAGCCATGGCTATGATCAATGTTAATCGTCAAACAAATGATATGTTCTATCGCTATAAGATGCCGAAACTTATAGCTAAAGTTGAAGGCACAGGAAATGGTATCAAAACTGTTATCGTCAATGCGACTGCCATCGCCAAAGCTCTTAATCGACCAACAACATGTAAGAATTTTGTTTTCAGCTGACCTGATATCATCGCAATCTTCTATTTCTTTTTATTATTAGATGTTACAAAATTCTTTGGTTGTGAACTTGGTGCTCAAGTTCAGATGAATGCAAAAGAAGATCGATACATTGTAAACGGATCACACGACTGCGAAAAACTTCAGAATCTTCTTGATGGTTTCATCAAACGATTTGTTCTTTGTCCAAACTGCGATAATCCAGAGACAAAATTGGTACGTTTGACCCTACTATCTAACGAAATCGGAATGTTGAAAAAATTTCCTATCCGCTGGAATTTATCAGTGTCGCCATAACATTCAAGAATGTGAGGCGCAAATCTGCTTTACACTGGTGTATCTCTACACACACATAATCTTAATTCTCATATTAGATATTCGAGTCAAATCTGTTTTCACTTACAATACTTTTCTGCTCTTTAGAGTTTCAGTAGTAAACGAAATGGTGGTGATATTCATCAGGTGTGTGCTGCATGTGGCTATCAAGGCACCATCAACATGGCTTCACACAAACTCACCACCTATATCGCCAAAAATCCACCAGACGCTGTAAGTCAACCCCATTATCCCCTTTCCGCTCTCTTCTCTATACTCATCCCACTTTCTACAGGAAAGCAAAACTGACACGCCTACAGACACAAAAGTCAAAGGCAAATCGAAAGGCAGCAAGAAAAATGCACACTCATCCGGCAACACCAGAGATTCCGATGAAGGCAGTCCAAATGAACATGCAACCAAATCAGTAAGATCATCACCCTTACATCATCGTCCACCGCTTTTCTACTTTTCTCACTTAGAATGGCCACTCGAAAGATCAAGGCGGTGACGAAGAAGACGACGATGAAGACTGGGGCGATGATCTTACACCAGCCGTCGACGATCTCACTTCACAGATCAAAGGCATGATACAGACCAACGATCTCGATAAGCCATTGAACGAGCGATGTGACCAGTTCAACCGTCTCGTCGAGGTATGTCGCATCTCGCCTTACCCTTGTCCTCGCTGACCCTTGTTTATGTAGAAGAAGAAAAAGGACAAGCAGCTGAACCAGATCGAGACCATCAAAGATATCGTTGCCGAAGCCGAACGACTCGAAATCATGGAACAAGCACCGTTTGTTGTTGCACAATGCATATTCACAGAGAACATCATCAAAGAGATTGACGAATACAAAGTGCTACTCTCCAAGGTAATCACATTGTCTCGGTGCGGCTGAGCTTGATCGCCATCTCGCTGTTCGCTTATCGTGTTTTAGTTGTGCACAAAGAATACCAAGGGCCAAAAGTATCTGTTGCATGCCGTCGAAGCACTGATTGGTGAACGAGCTGATGTTCGCGCCAAGATTTACAACAAAAAGACCATGTCGAAGATCTTGCTGAAGTTCTACGATGAAGATCTGGTTGAAGAAGAGACATTCTATCGATGGCATGAAAAGGCGTCGAAGCGATACACAGACAAAGTGACAGCGAAAGAAATACGTGAGATGGCAAACGAGTTCATTCAATGGCTGAAGACCGCTGAAGAGTCGAGTGACGACGATGATGACAACGAGAATAGTGATGGTCATGCTGAGCCCGAGGTAGGAGAACGACACGGAGGAAGTGGATTGGGAAATGAATGTTGTTGCTGTTTAGATTGATTTCACTCACAGAGCTGGTGGTGGCATCGAAGTTATAAAGGAGCCAGTAACTAAGGATGTGGTAGAAGACAAGATTGAACACAATGGCGAAATTATTGATATCGACAATATCTGAGAGTTTACTTTATTTCTTTTCTTTTCTTTTTCTGCTGATCAGTTGCTTCTTGTGTCGCTTCATTTAGATTGCCATTCTTGTTCATTTTCTTTGCCTTCATTTATTCTTTCCTCATTATCTCTATCAGTGCTGTTGTCTATTCTACGTACTCCACTCTATTCCTTTTCCCACTGTTACAAACAGATTATTTATTCATGAAAATAAACGCAAAGAACGGATTTTGAATAGATTCATTTGAACATCATTTATACGCACGACAGAAACTAGAACAAGTATGCTCGAATGATTAGTTTGACGTTAATCTGTAGGCGCCACCCGGTTGATATCTATTTTTGGTTTTGGTTTGAATAGTTTAAAATGAATATTCTGCAAGACGCGAAGTAATTGTCGACGGAATCTTTCGGACACGCAAATATAAATATAGAATGGGCTCTAAAATAAAGAATACAAACAGAATTCTCATCCAGGGATTCTGACTAAATCATATTTACTGAAAAATGCAAATAACTGACGACGACGGCAGTATTGTAAACAAGATGAATTGCTGTTGTCACCGCTGCATTGTTTATTTGCTTTGTATTCAATTGAACAATATACGAAACAGTGAATGGTATTATAGCAAAACAATCGAGAACAACGTGTGTTAGGACCATCACTGTCAGTTGTTTATCTAATTGTTGTCGAACGATCGGAACTGTCCGATATGCTAATTGTTGAACGTTATGATAAGCCATTGAGCCGAATATAATTGTGATGGACATAGGTAAAACGCCCATGAGAACAATAACAATGCAGTAGGCACGATATTGGATATAGAAGGTGTTTGTCATGACACAGCTGTTTTTTTGAGAAATTGGCGAACGAACATGATTAAAGAGAAAAAAATATGGGAGACTATGTAGAATCCATACAACACTAAAAATTATGACCAAGCGTTGAGCTACTTTGATATTACACCATCGATGAAATCGAGATCGAGTACATGTAGCGAAATATTGATCCATGGTAGCTAAGCAAAAACATGTTAAAGATAAGATTGAACACACTGTGGATAAGTAGTTTCGAAACCGGCAATAAAATAACGAATTTTCGGTTCCGTCATTATCATACAGCGCTAACAGAACGCGAGGTAATACGGAACTTAGTAAGTATCCTAAGTTAACGCCAGACATGGCAGTCAGATAAAAAGCACATGAGCTTTGTCGGAAAGTGCGAAGAGTAAGAAAAACAAGAATATTGAGTAGTGAGCCTACTACACCCAGGACGAATAGCAGAAAACTACCATAGATAGTTATTTGCTCTGCTGCGAGTGTGTAAGATGTTTCCGAAGAAGATGACATGATGAATCTGAGTAGAAATGTTCATAACAAAGCAAAATGTCTCTTTCTTAAATAGATGTATGCCACTTTCAATCGATGCCATTTTCTCGGTCGAAGAGTCCTATTTAACTAGCAAATTAGTTGTTCAGCACGATTTGTTGCTTTTAAAGTCTCGGAACTGAATATAGATATAAAAAGTTTTTGTGATAAAATATGAAGCTTTTTCAATCTGTCTTTCATTTTCCGATGAATATTAATTTTTTTCCTGGATGTAATTTGTGCGGCGCATCGAAAGTCCATATAACTTACAACGATTGAGTCGAGTACCTCAGAGAAGTGCGAACTGTTGAGATCATGTCAAAGCACCACGTTGTTTGATGTATGATGACGACAGAACATCTGGATAGGATTTCGTTCAGCAACTATCAGTCAGAACATGTCAATTGTACCGTGCTCAAACATGTGTCCTATGTAATTCTGTTCAGAAGGAAATGTTGAAGTTCTTCAAGGAAATAATGAACCACCGCACTAAATTTTGTCAACTCCCTCTGTCATCAATCAATATCCGACGATTATCTGACGCTTTTCCGTGTCTGGAAAGATTTTTTTTGCACTAATATTATTTCGCCACAAAAATTTTACTCAGTAAAAGCCATATACTTATAGCACATCACAAGAAGTCCAAGTCACTGGATCGCATTTATCAATCTTGTAAAATTCATTTTTTAGTTAGACATGTGTAGGCCTGTACTGAATGAACACTTACATGAATGGACGGACAGATATCGGTGGTACTTTATGGATTTATTACTATATTCTATATTGTTTCTGTTATTGGTTAGATGCACATAATCGTTGATTGGTGTTTGCACCGATTTTCTTTTGATATGCAAACGACGAAAGAGTAGTAACATCGTCACCACGTAATGATCAATAATTTTCGACAATCATGGCTATGATCAATGTTAATCGTCAAACAAATGATATGTTCTATCGCTATAAGATGCCGAAACTTATAGCTAAAGTTGAAGGCACTGGGAATGGTATCAAAACTGTTGTGGTCAACGCTACTGCAATTGCTAAAGCTCTGAATCGTCCCACAACTTGTGAGACTAAACCTGCTTTTTCCTCTTCTCCAAACAGTAATTTTCCATTATTTTTCTCTCTGATCAATAGATGTGACCAAGTTCTTTGGTTGTGAACTTGGTGCCCAAGTTCAGATGAATGCAAAAGAAGATCGATACATTGTAAACGGATCACACGACTGCGAAAAACTTCAGAATCTTCTTGATGGTTTCATCAAACGATTTGTTCTTTGTCCAAACTGCGATAATCCGGAAACCCAATTGGTAAGTGGGACTTACTACTTTCTTTCTTCATACGTCCGATATATTATTAGAGTTTTCGTAAGCGGAATGGTGGTGAAATTCATCAGGTGTGTGCTGCATGTGGCTATCAAGGCACCATCAACATGGCTTCACACAAACTCACCACCTATATCGCTAAAAATCCACCAGACGCTGTAAGTCAACCTCATTATCCCCCTTCCGCTCTCTTCTCTATACTCATCCCGCTTTTTACAGGAAAGCAAAACCGATACGCCTGCAGAAACAAAAGTCAAAGGCAAATCGAAAGGCAGCAAGAAAAATGCACACTCATCCGGCAACACCAGAGATTCCGATGAAGGCAGTCCAAATGAACATGCAACCAAATCAGTAAGATCATCACCCTTACATCATCGTCCACCGCTTTTCTACTTTTCTCACTTAGAATGGCCACTCGAAAGATCAAGGCGGTGACGAAGAAGACGACGATGAAGACTGGGGCGATGATCTTACACCAGCCGTCGACGATCTCACTTCACAGATCAAAGGCATGATACAGACCAACGATCTCGATAAGCCATTGAACGAGCGATGTGACCAGTTCAACCGTCTCGTCGAGGTATGTCGCATCTCGCCTTACCCTTGTCCTCGCTGACCCTTATTTATGTAGAAGAAGAAAAAGGACAAGCAGCTGAACCAGATCGAGACCATCAAAGATATCGTTGCTGAAGCCGAACGACTCGAAATCATGGAACAAGCACCGTTTGTTGTTGCACAATGCATATTCACAGAGAACATCATCAAAGAGATCGACGAATACAAAGTGCTACTCTCCAAGGTAATCACATTGTCTCGGTGCGGCTGAGCTTGATCGCCATCTCGTTGTTCGCTTATCGTGTTTTAGTTGTGCACAAAGAATACCAAGGGCCAAAAGTATCTGTTGCATGCCGTCGAAGCACTGATTGGTGAACGAGCTGATGTCCGCGCCAAGATTTACAACAAAAAGACCATGTCGAAGATCTTGCTGAAGTTCTACGATGAAGATCTGGTTGAAGAAGAGACATTCTATCGATGGCATGAAAAGGCATCGAAGCGATACACAGATAAAGTGACAGCGAAAGAAATACGTGAGATGGCGAACGAGTTCATTCAATGGCTGAAGACCGCTGAAGAGTCGAGTGACGACGATGATGACAACGAGAATAGTGATGGTCATGCTGAGCCCGAGGTAGGAGAACGACACGGAGGAAGTGGATTGGGAAATGAATGTTGTTGCTGTTTAGATTGATTTCACTCACAGAGCTGGTGGTGGCATCGAAGTTATAAAGGAACCAGTAACTAAGGATGTGGTAGAAGACAAGATTGAACACAATGGCGAAATTATTGATATCGACAATATCTAAAGGAAAATCGGTGCCTTTTGCTGTTGACGAATGCTTGACTTCTATTCTTGCGTATTTATATGTTAGTTTGTCTCTCTGTTAATTATTTTTGTTACAGACACTGCAGTTGGTTCTATTTTCATTATTCCAAACAAGTTATTTATTAAAGAAATAAAAAAACGAACGAACAAGAAATACTATACAATCGCTTCGGATAATATCGGCGGTTTATACTTCGTTGAACTGCGTAATATACCATTCTTCTTCATGACATTAATCGGATGTAAAATATCCACAGGTGGTGTGCTACTGAGACTACTATTCGTTGTCGTCGTGCAATTCGTGTTAACAACTAATTGTTGAATCAGTGTTCCGTTACTATTTGTACTTGATGGGGATGAACCACCATGCAGTTGTTGTTGCGCTTTTCCAATATCTAATTGTGCGTGTCCATTGAGACAGTTATATTCACGTTTCCGGAGACAGCGTCCACGTTTGGTCAAAGTAGCACAAAGAATGAAGTTGATCAACAGCATAAGAAACACACAGAAAGTAATAGCAAAGACAAACTTTGGATGCTTCGTTTCTGAATAGATAGAGCGAGATAGAAATGAAGTTCGCACGGTTGGCGAATGCTGAGTAGACAGATTTTGTTGATGCGATATTTTATACAATGAAATCCAGGTGTTGATAAGATCGAAATGCGGTGGACGTTTGGAAAGATTCGGAATCAGATTATTGAAAAGATAATGAACCTGAGCATAGTAGCCAGACTGTTGAGCTAGTTTTCCATCTAAATATCCAAGAAGCGATGTAGATGATAATTAGTTGTCAACTTTAATCATCTATTTTAATTAGAATCTGTCTATTTTTAACGAAAAACTCTCGTGACAAAAGACTGATGAATTTTGAAAAGCTCTCGAAAAGCATCTCAACGTATCACGCAAGTTTCTGTTTTGAGGATTCATAATTGTATGCGAAGGTCGTCACTCATGTCTAACAGCGCCGACTCACCTTTCAGCAGAAGAAAATTCAAATCCGGAAAAACTGGATGCCATTCGTCGTGTTGTTCTTCTTTCAATTCTCTTCCATACGCTGATCTTCGACTGATATCACTATCGATTAGCAAAGAAAAAGAACGTTTGTGTTTTATCAAAACAAATCTGATTGACTTACCCATTATGTATCAAATTAGCAAATAGATCCATCATACGCATACTCTCCATACGATCATTTTCATTGGCCGTCAGATATGTATCATTATAGACACTCATCGATGGTGCGAGAACGTATCCTAATGTTAGCGGTAGTTCAGAATGATATTTCCTTGAATGTTGCTCTAAAACATGGATTCGGGTTTGATCGGAAAGATAGTTTGCATATTGAAGTAATGGAGCGATGATTTGCTGATGATAATGTAATAATTGTTCGTCGAAATCGACTTGTTTCATTTTTTTATTCCATTTTGTATAAGCGTAATTCAATAAATATTCGATGGTATTGTTTATATCTGAAGGTTTCTTCTCCAGCTTCAATGGCAATGTCGACTGACTTGTGGTTAATAAAATTCGAAGATTTTCAGGTAGTAACGTTTGAGATTGTTGAAAAAATCTCGAACGTAAAGGATTTGTATAGTCATTACTGACTATGGGCGAATAATAGAATGGAAATGGATTCTCTAACGGGCAGATATAATTGAAATCTTCATAGGAATTCAATTGAAGTAAATCGTTTGTAGTGATTAAAGTTTGATTTCGAAGACACTGCGTTGTCGAACATGATAACTGAGAAAGAAGATTCGTTTGATACGAAGAGATTTCCTGCAATGTTGAAGTCATATGCGGAGAGAGGAAGGTTTGGTCATTTAAAATTAAACGATGAACAAGAGATTTTCGTCGTTTGACTGCTCCTGTACCACCTAGACAGATAAATAACTTTCGTACGTCATTTTCCAAATCAAATTACAAACCATTGACAGTTTCAAGCATAACAACAAGACTAGCTAAGACAGCTCCAGTTCCTGTTCCGTATAGAGTAATTCGATCAGGGTCTCCGTTAAAATTTGTCACGTAATTCTTCAGCCAATGTAACGCTGTATAAATATCTTGTAATGCGTAATCACCTTTGTGTTCACGTGACACGTAGAGAAAGCCTATTGACACAAACAACACTTCGAAAATACTTGACTGATGAACTTTAATCATATATCTGACATTTAAGAGATCAAATTTTCGGCATGTTTACTAAATCGGGAGGTGGTCCTGCTTTCTTCCTCTTTTGTTCTGTTCAAAAGTGCGAATCATTGCGAGCAGAAATTAACAGATGAACATCAGACAACTACTGATTGAGGGTATGTAAACATTCTTCGCGTCTACTTAGCAAGTCTAACCGAACAATGACATCGAATTCGTCATTGGGCATAGAGATTGCATGCCAAAGAAGATAGTATCGAAATCTCGCTAGAGAATCGAACAAAAGTCTGCTGTTATTGTACACAAATATTGATTTGTCTTTCCTTCGTCAAGAATAACAATGTTTGATTGATGAATCTTGATGGTTCGATTATCCTTTTTCATTAATCTGTTCTGATTCTACTATCCAAACATTGCTATCCATCCGGTTATAAAACAAATTCTGATGAGATACATCTGAAGTTACATCATCGAAAGAGGAAAAACAACGCCTTCTTATTTTAATTGAAATTTTTCATTGAATTTTACTAAGAAAAATAAATAGATAAGTTCGAAGAGCTTCTCTCGATTTCATCTCGTCTCATTTACATGAGATTAATGACCATGTCACCGATGGGTTCATTCATCCAGTAGAATAATCATTTTTAATAGACGAAGAGAAAGGGAGACAGAGACAAAATCTACTAGACACTGTTTGCCTGATGAACGACGAATGTGAGTTAATCAACAATAATTGCCTCCCGCTGAAATGAGACCAGTCTACATCGAATGAGCGGAAATGCCAATCGCAACACGAACGATCGAACCTTGATCAAGTCGACATCCTTTCCCCATCTCAATGATAAATCATGTTTCTCTCTCTCACTCTCTCTTACCGAATGGCCCAAGACGATAGTTGATCGTAACGACAATTGTTCTTGTATAACTTGCCAAAATGGCTCCATCGAAAGCAGCGCCCGTACCCATGTCGTACCCATCACCATGAACAAACAAGAGCACAGGAAGACGTTCTAAGATGACAAAAGAAAAATAGTAGACATAGATTGAATATCTTCGCTATTGTGTACGAGATTAGGATGATCAATCTATACGAGATGAAAACTGTCATGACAATCGAATTGTATCACATAATATGCATAGAGAAAAGATCAAACGCGTGTCAACAATGTCATCTCTATTAACGTGCCTGGTCAATGTGAAAATCGAGACGGCGAGTCCATCGATCATATCTAATAACTCTTGCCATTAATGATCAATCGCGAGAAACTTACCTTTCAAGTTTTTGATTTGTGGTTGATATATATTCATGTACAGACATTGACCTTCGTTTTGTCGGGAGATGTATTTGAGTAATTTTGGATAATATTCTTCAGCGAAATATTTTGGCCGTATTCGACTTAGTTCGCTCGCGTTTTTCCAGAGATATTGTGGACATGCAGAACCGAATTCGATCTGCTTGGTGACTTTTGTACTTGGATGTATGTTGAATCGTTCTTTCGAAGGTTCAAATCGTCCATGGTACAAACCATATTGTATCCCAAGAAATGCTTCGGTATTAACAAGATTATATTTGAGAGAATAGTTATTTTCATAGTCAATATGAATGCCACGTATCGAACCTAATTTCGGAATGCTTAATACGCGATCAGATAACGAATATCGGACATCATTAAGTGTAAATAATAAGGGTGAAGCTGATACGAGTAACAACAGGTGGTGCGAGTAATAGATGAGAACGATCAGTGAATAGAACATGTGTATGTCGCGTTCGATTGAAACAATCTTTAATATATAAAAGAACAGCAAATTGCCGTCATCATTATCCCTAATATACCTATGATGTAATCGATTTTCGATTGGAAAGAATGATACTCTCTTTTTTTCTGTGTTTGAGTGTATGTGTGTGCGCGGAACCAACCGTGCGATATGTGCAAGGGAGAGAAGCACTAGTGATGAACAGACGAGAGTGAGGAGAGAAGGAAGAGAATAGAAATGAAGAAAAGAGAAGAAAATTGACCATCAGATTCCTTCTTCTTCTTCTTCCTTCTTCTTCTCATGAAAACAAAATTATCAATAAAACTAATTTAAATCATCAAATATGCATTTTTCTTCTTGTGATTGCATCTATGATAAATCATTTGTCTTTTCTTTACGGAAAAAGAAGCTAAGCTGTTAGATTTTTGTCTTGGTTGATGATTAAGTTCAACTAACATACGAATAATGTCATTTCTCTAAAAACAAAGCAAATTTCCATTGATGATCTAGAAAAATTTTCTCTTTCGGTGAAGAACGTCTCTTTGTCAAACAAATGCAAGACCTTGTGTCGGAAAGATTCTTCGTTTGTCATTGACAATCAATTTGTCTTCTTCTTCTTTTGACATCTATTGATCAATTTACTCGAATCTAATCCGTCAGACAAATGTTACTCGACAGTGATCGGAAAATCTGATCCTTAGACGTTCCTTTCTTAGACATTCATTGTGAAAACTGTTAAATGAATGCCGTAATACCATAGAATAAAGATGATTAACACAAGTGAATCATTACAAAGCACCTACAGATTCCATGGAGAGTCAATTATATGTACAGATTAAATATGGGAGATTAATTTCTATCGGATGGCGTATCAGATTCTGCGAATGCTTCGGAATATTATTATTCCAAACAAGAGAACGAATTATCTTGTGTCAATTGATGTTTTGACACCCTTTTATATATCGAAAGCAGTAGTTAATAACGTCTCGACACGGTACTTCAAAGATGTGTCGCTACCGGAAATTTTGCCTCTTCTATTATTATTTACTGTAAATACTGGACAGAAACGGATGTCTATTAATCAGCTCAGCTCTCATTCGTCTGCATGTTCTTTAGATTTTCTATAGTCATCGACGATCATTTGTAGAATTTTCATTGCTTGCAATTCGCTTGAGTTATGACTGATGAGTCGAAGTAGGAAGATTCCATCGTAGGTTAGAAAGTTGAACACATAGCGTTCCATCTCAGTCGATTTCGTTTCTCGCGATAGTTCGATTAAATGTCTGATAAATTGAATTTGTCGCCGTCGGAACTGTTGAGAGATCAAGATAACAAAACTCACGATATTATGAAGAATGACATAACTAAACCAGAACGACAGTGCGAGAAAGATTTTTTCATTCAGGATATTCACGGGCAATGCACATTGAACGGTATATCGATGAATTTCGGCTATTTCACGTATGGGTACATCGCAGAGCGTCACACGAGGAAAATACGATGAATCAAGTAATGGATTACCATAGCGTAAGATCGATTTCATGATGTCAATATCGAGAAACCACGCATTACCGCGATGACCGAGTAAAAGATTGAGTAGAACTAATTGAAGTATCGAATTAATAAGGTACATCAAACGAGTGAGAACATAGAGAGAATTGAGATAATTTCCTCGATGTTTATTGTGGCGAGTATAGGCGGTAAGATTAATCGAAAGTCGTGCACGTTGTGATTTAAACGTATGACAATAGTAATCGAGTAGTTTCGTTGCTGCTTTCGTCGAGTCTTTAGAGGCTATTTGGCTTTTGTTGATTAAGTTTTGGATATCAATACCACAATGAGCATTGAACGAACGCCAAAACAATCGCGGAGCATAAAAGCCCAATGCCAACAACAATAAAATGATAGGTACCCATTGGTAATAACCTATAGGAAACGAAAAAAATGCATTGTGTACTCCAGTCAATTTGAAAGGTAATATTGACATTACTTATTTGTGAAGCTCGCCTATCATCGGCTGAATGAGGCGGTGTAACATTCGAATGAATGTAATATGTGTTACTTATCCAGCAATAGTCTTCTATATATTTTCCATAGCTATCTCGCCGAAGTTCGGCAGGTACCCAACATGACATTCGACTAAATACGAATGAACTTGTTGTTGTAACAAGAACGCAACAGAGTATGATGCCAACTGTTATTCGATGATTGAGTCTATCGACATGTTCGTCATCATTATTCGGTGTTCGAAGACGAAGAGCCCACGGCCATTTCCATAATTCTTTAATAAATGCTTCCATTTTTTGTTGCCGATTACGGTTGAGACACGATGCGGTTAGCTTTCGTGTTTCTTTCGATTCTTCTCTTTCTCTATTTGAAATAGGAAAAGAGTACGCGAATGCAGATACCTATTTCAAGGATAAGAATGAAGGCGACATGTAATGTCAATAGAGAAAAAGAGCCAGATAAATTTAACGTTCTGTATTATCAATTTACAATAACTTTCTTTTCAAATTTATCGTCCAGCAAAAGTTCTTTGTAATAGTATTTACAACGTTGTATAACAGAATTAGAATAAAAACGTCAGATCGACACAAAAGAGGCCTCTAAAGAAAATTCATGGTTTTTGCTGTTGTTGTGTTGATATTTCAAAATATAATCAAGGTGTTGAAGGATTAGCGCAACCTTCTAGAGTTGAAAAGCAAAACTGATAGATGTCGTATACTGTCGAGCAGCAATCACAATAGATACAAAGAGAGAGCACATTCGTTGATTTCTCATTGGCTCATTCAGATATATCTTGCGAAATGCCAATGGATTCATCATCGATCACTCATTCCCTTGTTCATCGTGTGAAGATTCTCACATAGATACAAAGCACAATGAAAGACATACCACGTTCAACTGATCCTACGGCGTTAAAACCTCCGGTATGTCAAAAAACTTTCCGAGTTCTGTCCTTTCTATCGTTGCCTTTCATTTCTCTAGGCGCCATCAATTCGAACATTCGAATTGAAAGAGGAATGTGGCATCAACAATTTACCAAATCAAATCATGGCTAAAGCCATATCGGATGGTTTTGTGTTTAATATTCTTTGTGTTGGTGAAACAGCTTGTGGAAAGTCGTCCTTGCTCGATAGTTTATTTAACACACGCTTGGATTCGACGCCATCAACACACGATATTCCTCGAGTATTTCTACGTAAAAATACTTATGATCTATTCGAACGTGAGATACGGTTAAAGTTAACTGTTGTCGAAACAGCTGGTTTTGGTGATCAAATTAACAAAGATGACTCATTCAAAGTCATCGGAGATTTCATCGACGCACAATTTCAGTTGTATCTCGATGAAGAATTGAAAATCAAACGGAATTTATCGAACTATCATGATACACGCATTCATGTTTGTTTGTACTTTATCAATCCGACAGGCCATTCATTGAAAGCGCTGGATTTAGTGACAATGAAACATTTAGATAGTAAAGTGAACATCATTCCGATCATCGCAAAGTCGGATACGATATCAAAGAATGAGTTACAACGCTTTAAGCAAAATATTCTCAATGAGCTGAATACAGCTGCGGTGAAAATCTATCGTTTTCCAACTGATGACGAAACATTAGCAGAAGAGAATCTTAAAGCCAACGTAAGTTTAGTTATTGCTTTGAAAATTTCGTAACTTTTGTTTAGAATCTTCTTCCATTGGCGGTTGTTGGCAGCAATGAAACAGTCAAAGTTGGAAATCAATACGTGCGCGCTCGGCAATATCCATGGGGTGTTGTTCAAGGTAGGATCGTGTTCGACAATGAATGTGTTTGTTTTCTCATGTTCGTATCGTTTCTAGTTGAGAATGAAAATCATTGTGATTTTAAAAAATTACGCGATAGTCTCATCGAAAAGAATATGTTGGATTTAATCGAAACAACACATTCGAAACATTATGAAATGTTTCGACGTAATCGTCTTACGGAACTTGGTTTGGCTGATAATATCGATGGAAAACAAATGTCGATTAGTGATACGTTGGACATGAAGCGAAATGAACTTCGTCAAGAGCTCGAACAACGTGAACAACAATTGAAAGAAGCGTTTATTCAAAAAGTGAAAGATAAAGAAGCGGAACTGAAAGAAACGGAAAAACAGGTAGACTCTCAGCTGCTTTGTTCGTGGCTCATCTGGATTTGTGTGTGAATTTCCTATTAGATCAACGAACAATTGACGAACATCAAGAAACAATACAAAGATCAGAAGGATAAATGTGACGAAAAATGGCGTATACTCGAACAAGAGGTCAACTTGTTCGAACAACGCAAACGTGCCAACATGGAAACGATGAAGAAAGGCACAAAGAAGAAATAGATGCTGTCTGGTTGTTCTTCTTCATCACATTTGTTCTCGGCAATGGTTTACTTTGTTAGATAGATATATATTCTATGCAATAATCTCTTCCATGCACATGTTTTTCTTGTTCAGCTTCACTTTCTTCTCAGGTTTGTTCATTTCAATCATCTTCCGAGAACAAATGTCAGATAGATGTGCACACACGAATGATTCTCACTCTTACTTACTACCACTATTTTTTAGAATGTACTTTATTTGTGTACGTTTTGGCTTCTTTTTGTTCCTTATCTTCAGATCTAGCAACACTCAATACATCTCATTGATTTTTTTTTCTTTTACTCTGTAATGAGCTCATCAGCGCACGCTTTCTCTTTCTTTTTCCACAATTCAATTACTCCTCCTATAAATAAATATTCACAACAATCCATTCCCATTTGTTTTCACATTTACGTCGTTACAACCTTGAACTTTGGAAGTAATAATAAAACACTATTCAAATGTGTTTGTTTTTCACGACATCTAAATGTCATCGATCTATGACTCGCACTGACACCTTGTCTTCCTTTTCATTTCAGATCATGAGCGAAAACAATGATGAGAGTGGCGCACCAGCGTGTGTATTTTTCAAAGCTCCAGTTCGTCGTGGCAATGCACAGCCATCATCCAAGCGTCGTCAACGATCATCATCCAAGTCGTCCGCATCATCCTCCTCGTCGTCTGGTGACGAGAGTCAACCATCAGCAGCAACACTTCGCACATCGAAACAAGTTCGACAAGGTTTAGTTTCGACAACATCGAGCAATGCATCCAGTAAACGTCGTCAACAAGCAGCTAACAGTGATGATGACGATGCCGGTGAACATCGCGAACACTCCAACAAGGACAAGATGTTCGAAGTGAAGTTCAAGTCCGATCGACAAGCACAACCACAAGGTCCACGAGATATGGGTGCAACTGCAACAGTTGAAATCGACACAGACACGAAGAATGATCAACAAACTATCTTTGAACGTGCAAAGAAGATCAACGAAGAACTGAAAGGCAAAGCAGACGATAAGATCTATCGTGGCATGAACAATTATCAGCAGTTTTATGAAAAACGTGACACGGTACATGGCAATGCTAGTAGTGGTCTTGTTCGAAATAAGGGTTTGTTGATTGCCTATTGAACTTGAAATGATTTTCGTGTGAAATTTAGGTCCGATTCGTGCACCAGCTCATCTTCGTGTGTCAGTTCGATGGGATTATCAGCCAGATATTTGCAAAGATTACAAAGAGACAGGTTTGTGCTGTTAGTTTTGATATGTGATGCATCGTGTGTGTTTGTTTAGGTTACTGTGGATTTGGTGATAGTTGTAAGTTCTTGCACGATCGCTCGGATTACAAACATGGTTGGCAGCTCGAACGAGAATGGAATGAACAATCGTATGGCGCGGTGGATAACAACAGTCAACGTTATTTAGTTGGCGACAAAGCACCCGGACAAACAAATCGTTCAGCTGCTTGGTCTGCTTTTTCTTCGGGAAACAAAGATACCAATCATCATCATGACCATGCCAATCTCGGATCCGATGATGATGATGATGAAGAACAGGTATGCTGTCAAAGAAATATCATGATAAACGGATAGAATACTCCTCTTTATTTTTGTGTAGACTGAAGATGGTTTGCCGATTAAATGTCCGGTCTGTCGAGAACCATTCAGAGAACCAATTGTGACTCGATGTGGCCATTATTTCTGTGAATCATGTGCGTTGAGTCAATTTCGTATCAGTCCTGCCTGTTCAGTATGTCAAACGCCGACTGGTGGTATGTTCATGCCGGCAAAAGAAATCGTTGCAAAATTGAAACAACAAAATCAATTGAAGGCACAACTGGGTAATCGAACAGCAACACATGACACTCGCTCAAGCGATGATGATGATGACGGTGACGACAACAATGGCTGATTGTAAATTTTTGTTTGTTCGTTCAACTAATAAATTTCGTTGAAAATTTTTCATATTTTTTCTCTTTTCTTTTTTATTCTTATGCGAATATGCTTCGATATGTAATCTCTGTTAATTCATATTCCACGGAAATCTAAAATCCTATTCAATATTGCGCTCACATCAGTTATTGCCACGCATTTCCTTTTTTCTCTTCTTGTTTCATAGACTTTGACCGAGGAAGAATGCAAAGAAGAAAGGCGCGGTCGTGTATTATTCATTACATGATGACCACAGACGCGTGCGTTCGTATTTTTCTCTTTCCTTTTCTCCTCTTCTCTGTATTCTAAGGAGAGAAAAGAGAGAAGTCTGGACCTATATTACGGCCAACTTGCTGCTTGGCAATAGTGAGAAAGAGAACAGAATCGGACTGTCATTGTCTTTGTGTGATGCATGTTCTTTGTTCGCTGGCCTAATGATAGCTATGCGCACGTTCATGATCATTTTCGAGCGAAATTTTGAGAAATGTAGTCGTTCGACTTTTTCTTCAGCATTTTTATATTTCTCATATATTTGTAGATTTTCCAATTAACTCAATTCATTCGTTACAATGCCTGGTGGTAAAGCTGGTATGTCTGACAGGTTTTTTGTATGTTCTTTGTAAAATCTGACGGCTTTTATTTAGGTAAAGATCATGGCAAAACAAAGGCCAAAGCTGTTTCACGAAGTGCTCGTGCAGGTCTTCAATTTCCTGTCGGTAAGTGATAACGATGCCTTGAATTTCTTCGAGATAAACTTCCCATTAATCAGGTCGTATTCATCGTCATTTAAAGTCACGTACGACATCGCACGGTCGTGTTGGTGCAACCGCTGCTGTCTACACTGCTGCTATTCTTGAATATTTAACTGCTGAAGTTCTCGAACTTGCCGGTAAGAAACTTACGAGCGACTCGAGTCGAACTTATTCAGCAATTCTAAATCTAATCTAGGTAATGCATCAAAGGATCTCAAAGTAAAACGTATCAACCCACGTCATTTACAATTGGCCATTCGTGGTGATGAAGAATTGGATACATTGATTAAAGCAACCATTGCTGGTGGTGGTGTCATTCCACACATCCATAAGGTTTGTTTTTTCAAAACGATGATCAGCAAATGGACATTTTCTGTTGTTTCTAGTCACTTATTGGCAAGAAAACACCAGTTCAAGGAAGTTTACCTCAACCAGCTGCCAAAGGTGCCGCATAATAAGAAGACAATAACAAACGCGTCCGCATTCATTCAAAAACAAATTCTTGTACATTGTTTCTCACCTAGTTTTGTTTCTTTTCTCTTCGTTGTTTATTGTGTACGGGTTGTTCAAGCTACAATAATTGATTTGTTTCCATGTAACCGTCAAAGATGTATGTTCTCTATTCAACAATATCATATAGAAATTGTGTAGTTCTTCTAATTCTAAGATGAAAACGTATATTGAAATAAAATGCAATAATAAATGAAACTTTCTTTCGTGATGAACGGTCTACCCGGTGAATTTTTGTGAAAGAACAATTGACTAGAATGTACATCAGTGTGTAGGAAGTAAAGTCTTGGAAAATATGAGGCTTCAGAAGAAATTTTACGCTTGAAGCGTTTTCGATGGTTCTTGTTTTGGATCACGGATACCCTCAAGATATTTTCGAACTTTGATACCGACTTCACTAAATCAGCACAAGAGTTTATGGAATACATAAGTAATTCTCAAACTTCAATCTTTGATGACGTCATTGTCATCCGTTATAGGTACAGATATACAATCACAAATGTGCAATACTTTCTTCGTTTTACCTATTCTGTCTCCATACTGAATTGACAAGAATAACATTAAAATAGTAGTCAATAAGAAGTTGCATACAATAATTCTTTCTTGAAAATTGACATCTATCGTGTTTAGATCTGTTTGATGATGAATATCTTCTGTAACAAAATAATTGACCATCGCTTCTGCAACTCGTCAATTTGCTGATATGCGAGAAACGTCTATGTCAAAACATGTCACCTTGTACGACTGAGAGTGAGTCTTCGAAATAAACAAATACAACTGGATTTCGATATTCTATTGCAAAGAATTTGATCTAGATTACAGCACATTATTGAATCTATATAAAATCAAGAGTAACATATCCTGCTTATGATAACAAATAGTAGGGATTTCCGTCTACAATACAAGCACTCTCATTATGTTCTTTCTCTCGAGAAAAGAAAGTTTGCGAGATGTGTGAATTTCGAACGGATTTGATCCGTGTAGAGCAAATGTTGCTGAGAAATCTGTCTTAATAGTCGAACCAATTTGATAACTGACAGGAAAGATTATTAATGAGAAGCGTCAGATAAGCATGAGTTTAATCGCTTTCCTTCTTTAGTATATCGTTAACAAATACAAGAATAACGATCGGATATGTGTGATAGGACGAGACCCATCAATATCAACAAGGCAAAGCAAAAAATGTCGAACTTCTATTTCTCTTCGATGTTTTTTCAGCGCATAAACAGGATGTCAATATACACAGGAGTAGAAAACTACTGTTTCGCCTTATTTTTGGTATCCTCAGTAAGACTAATTTGATGCCTTGCTTCTGTAACACTCACTTAGTAAATAAGGGAAGAAAGGGGAAAAGAAAGATATATCTATACGTAGAGAAGGAGAAAATGTATGGAGAGTGTCTTTTTCTGTAAATCTCGTTTCATCATCTATTATTGTTTCTGCTTCTTTCACTGTTTCTGTACACACTGCAACGATGTATCCCATACGTAGTTTTACTAGCGGTTATCATTATTCATCACCTTCACCGACGCCTGCTCCATATAGTAATAATAATTATCATCATCAACAACAACAGAACAATCGAACATTTCATGCTCAACATTATCAACCGACATCTCCCATCAGAAGCAATCTTCCCCCGACGCCTACGCGCCGCGTTAATCCGGCTTTATCAGCGAATACTAATCACCCAAGACCGTTCTATGTTACTCATGGAAAACAACAAGCACAGCATTTGAATTTTTCTCAGAGAAACAACCGTGCTGAAATTGATGATTCACCAATAATTGATCCTCGCGCTTTTCAATATTTGAATTCAAATGAACGAAAAGGAAAGAAGAAACCGGACTCCGATGGTATGGAGAGTGGAATTGATTCTCGGCCAATTATTAACCTTGATGCTGTGGTACAATTAGAACGTCGGCGCCAGCAACAAATAGAAAAAAACAATCGCCTACGCGGTGACGATGGACCCAAAGGAGGCATCGATGAGCGATCAATCGTCGATGCCAATGCCTTTCGGTACGTCGAAGGAAGAACAAATAAAGTGAATAAACAAGGCCAAAACGTGACCAGTGGAATCGACGATAGACCAATTACAAATCCTGATGCCTTCAAGTAATTAGTCATGTTTTTTTATTTGATCTATTTGTTTTCTTTTGTAGATATATCGATGGTCGACGTCAGAAAGTACCCATCAATCAATCGAACGAACCGTCGATTGACACGCGGCCAATTATCAATCCAGATGCATTTCGATTTATAGAAAAACACAGAATATCGCCGAAAAAGACCGTCGAAAGTGGAATCGACAGTGAACCAATTGTGAATCCAAATGCATTTCGTTATTTGGAGAAAAACTCCTTTCCTATTCATCGTGATATTCAACCAGGTGTGGATAGAAGGGCAATTGTTAATCCGAAAGCTTTTCAGTATATTGAAAATCGCACATTGGCGAAAAAGCCAACAGCCCAATCATCGATTGACGATCGGCCTATCGTCAATCCAGAAGCATTTAAATGGGTCGAAGGAAAGCAAACCAGACGTCAAGTTTTCGATGGACCTGACATCGACGAACGATCGTATGTTAATCCAAATGCTTTTCGTTACGTCGAACATCGTGTCGAAAAACGAAATAACGTCGAAAGTGGCATTGACGAACGATCATACGTGAATCCAAACGCCTTTCGCTATATTGAAGGTTTTGGATCAAATTCGAGAAATAAATCTATACATTCATCCATGGGTCCAGCAATCGAAACCAAATCTTATATTAATACGGAAGCATTTCGTCATTTAGAAGGTGGACAAAGTCGCTCGAAATATAATAATAATTATTCCGATCGTGATGGCGTTGACGATCGATCAATAATCTCACCTGTCGCTTTTCGACATCTTGAATTCGATAATCAATATGTTTCTCCTTATCAGTACACCTACGCCTCGTACGGACTCTCCGATGTTTAAGACATCGATGTAGAATAGAATGGTTAACCCGTTATGTTTTCTATCGTAGATGCATTGAATAAATTGATTTCAAATGAAATTTAAGATAAACAAGCAAATTCTGAGAATCGTGTGACAGTTAGCTCATGTGATGAAGTACTTTCAGAAAAAGCCGGTCTATTTTCTGCAACAGCCGGCAGACGGGAAGGAAAAGCTAGCATAAGTATTGTCTTGATTTCGATAAAATAGCTACAGCACAACAAACAGCGCTTGTTTGGATGATACCATGATTTAAACATCCGAACACCGGCCAGCTACTATAGTAAATGTACACAAAAGTTCGAGAGTAAGAAAAAGTACGTCGAGCCTTTTTTATTTGCAAAATAGAACGAATCATATGTGTCTGTATCGCACAAGAACAACATCGAGGAAAATAGAAAACAATTGCACATGATCCTTCATTCACACAAAGTGAAAATAGATATATGTATACTTTTTCTAGATTTCAACTTCAACTGCCCATGCTTCGTAGGGACGAAAGTCTAACCAATCCGATTTCAGATGTTCTTCGTAATTACTTATTAATATCCTTCGACGTTTTGCAATGTGTTCATTGAGTTTCTGATCATCGATGACTATTGGCTGTTGACTGAAATTACATGCAACAATGATTTCTTGTCCGTTATCATTATAGCGTTTATACATGAAAATATGAGTATTTTCTTCATGTAAAATCTCGTATTTCCCATCAATGATTAACGGTATCGTACGACGGAGTTCGATTAATTTTTTATAGTAATAGAATATGGATTGACGATCGTGTAGAGCTTGTTCAACATTAATATCTGTGTAGTTCGGATTGATGCTGATCCATGGGGTGACATTTTCAACGCCATTAGTGAAACCAGCATGAGGCAATTGAGCAGACCATTGCATTGGCGTACGTGCATTGTCACGTGATTTAGCATAAATAGCAGCCATGATTTGCTCGAGAGTTAAACCCGATTGTGATGCTTCACTATGAAAATTAGTTGTTTCGATATCACGGTAATCGGCTAAGGATGTGAAACGAACATTTGTCATACCTAAAAGAAAATATATACCTCCTATCAGGCGAGATAAAGGAAAAGGAAACGAGGTCTTCCGGTTTTATTCTTGTTCAAGTTAGACATTCTGGTTACACTTAGGATGCTGTTGACTCTTTGTGAAATGTGAAGTGGAGTCATTAGCATTGATTGCTAAATATATTTACTTGATAGGTAGAAATCCGTAGTTGTATAAGAACGCAAAGCATATGAAGCATTGCTCTTTGATATACAATAGAGCATCGAGTAGACCAGTGAGAAATAACGTCGTCATTTACTGGCTGCCGAGGTAAACACTCGATAACGCTTTCGTAGAATTTAGAATAAAGTCTCCGGTAAACTCGTGCTACTGCTTGATATTCAGTGACTACTCGAACAATAACATCGTCTTACGCGCGTATTCTTGATCGTTTCTATTCAAGACAGCTCGAGGTAATCAGAGAATGCAGTCAACTCACTTCCGAACGTAAAGTTCAGCTGATCTATGAAACAAAAGACAAATTGTGATTCATTATTGTAATCAATTCGAAAGACTATTCTATATTTTCGGTTGGGAGAACAATTTAAACGATTATTCCAAGCATCATCATAGCACAAACGCGACACTTCAGTTGTCGTTATCTTGAAAAAAAATCGAATTAGAATATAAATATATAACATCGAGGAGAATTCTTTCATGAAAAAATAATAATCTGTAATCAACCCTACGGGATGTATAATCGTATGGAAATCTAATGAATATGAATTGCAATGAAATTACATAGTGTTTCAAAAGATAAAAAAAACAAGCTATTTTTACCAATTTCTTCTCCTTGATAAATATACGGTGTACCACAAAGGAAATGTAAACAAGTAGCGAACATCTTCGCCGATAAATCTCGATAAGGCGTCGTGTCATTTCCCCACCGAGACACGATTCTCGGTTGATCATGATTATTCCAATATAAGCTGTTCCATCCTTTGCCATATAAACCTTTCTGCCAGGATGTAAAGTGAAATTTTAAACAACGCAAATCGAGCAGTTTTGGTGTCCATTTACCACCATCTAAGTCCATGTGTTCGAATGTGCAAATCATGCTCAATTGCTTGCGTTTTGGTGAACTGAATAACTCTGCGTCTTTCAAATGCGTACCTTGAAAGAAATAGTCAAATGAGATCATTAGGAACATGTTCGTTTGGTTCCTTTTACCCGGACATTCACCAACTATGATGATCTGATAATGTTGAAACACTTTTTCATGCATTTCTTCCAAGTAATCATGAATTCTCGGACCGTTTTTGAAATAAGGGGAACCGTCAGTATACTGACCTTCTGCTCTTGGTTTTCCCTCAGGATATCCAGGTGTTTTCGAGAGAAAATTAACAACATTCAAACGAAGACCGTCAATACCTTTATTCAGCCACCAACGCATTATTCTGTAGATTTCTTTTCGCACATTCGGATTTTCCCAATTTAGATCCGGTTGCTTTGGTGTAAATGTATGCAAATAATATTCACCCGTGATAATATCGTAAGTCTAATGGGCAACAAAGAATCAATGTTTCTCTTCTTCTACGTTGTTCAGAGAGAACTTACCCAAGCCGGTCCACCGAAACACGCACCCCATTTATTTGGACTTTTACCATCTTTTCCCGGGGCCCAGTGATAAAAATTTCGATAGGGATTATCCTTACTCTTCTTCGATTCGATAAACCACGGATGTTCATCACTGGTGTGATTAACTGCAAGATCCAAAACCAACTTCAATTGACGCCTTTTCATTTCTTTGAGCATCAAATCAAAATCTTCCATCGTTCCAAATTCAGGCATGATTTTCAAATAGTCACGAATATCATAACCATTATCATAATTAGGTGAATCATAAATAGGACTATGCGAGAACAGAAAAGATCAGCTCGCGTCCCGAGAAGAATCTTACAAACCTTAACCAAATCATATCCACTCCTAACTGTTGAATATAATCCAATTTCATTGTAATTCCATTGATATCACCGATACCATCGCCATTCGAATCGAAAAATGAACGCGGATAGATCTGATATGCGACTGCTCGGTGCCACCAGTCATTATTCTGTCTCTTCGACATGATTCTCTTTCTTCTTATTGTAACTTATCAGTACGCACTTTGAACAACTGTTACTGGATGAAAGAGAACTTCTTGACAGTAGAGAGAATGAAAAAAGAGCTCGCAGTAAGCGAGAGGAAAATAGTTATTATTGGTAGAAAACGAATACGGAAGTAGAGGTCACTTTTCCTTGTCCATAGACTTCAGAAAACTTGACAAAATTTGTATTGTTGCATACAGTTTATTTAGTGACGATTTGCGATTAGTCAGAAGAAGTAATTTAGCAAGGAAAAAACTCGATAACGATAAGATAGATTATCTTCAATGTTATCGGAATTTCAAGAACACGTTTTGCCTTAGATCCTTATTCGTATGAAATCCGTTGTTTTTACATTGCGATTCCATTTGCACGATGTTTTCAAAGAAGAGAACGTTTTTTGCTAAGGTAAACATTTTGAAAGCAAGTAGACGTTCTTTGTAGAAATCATCAAGGTTGCCATTGCCCGCTGTATGACAAAGTAGAAAGAAAATCGTATGCGACAATGAGACACTTGCATACGACGATGAAAATTTAAGTCAAATGAATCATATCATTGTTGACTTAGAGCAGAACAGCGCTTCAACGGCGCACAGGGGCAACTGATAGTTGTATCAGAGTTCTTGAGTGAAATTCGTCGAGTTTTATGGGAAAAAACCTGATCATTAACAAGAAAAGCAGCGATTTCGTATGTTTTATTATGCCTTGTGACGTCACTAGGTGTTTACTCAGAGGGGTCGCAGCCCTCAACTGAGTTTCGTAAAAAAAAAGATTAAATAATTCGTTTCGAAGAAGGAGAAAAGAAACAAAAAAAGAAGAAAAACGTGGCATTATTTGATTTTTTTCTTCTTTGCGTTTGCAACTTTTGAAGAAAAATTCTTTTTATTTCATTGCACAATCTAAAACCGTCCACTAATTTGTTGTATCAGTATGACAAAAAACAAAGCGGAAAAGTCGATGACGACAATCAAATTAGATAAAACACGTAAAAATGAATATTTCATCGTTTCTTAGAGAAATTTTTTATTGATTTTCTTAGGTAATATTGACATACATCCAACAAACAATCATCAGGACTTGTACGACTTATTTACTGATCACAAATTCATTGCGCCGTATGAAATACCTGCGAGCAGTATTGGCTCGCTTTCCATTCTGACTAATCAGCATATAAACGATGTCTCCTTTTCCAAATTGTATCAATCAAGGTAAACAGAAGAATTGTCTCGATCGTATTATGATTTTTTTTCTTGTATCCAGTTCAAAAATAGGATGGGAGAAAGTACTTGCACAAGATCGACAGAAACTCAAACCTAATGAAATATCAGTTTCGAAATGTATGGTCATAGATCGGCTGTTGCACGAATATCTACAGGTAAGGGTACACCAAGTTCGGTTTGTTGTCATAAATGTATTGATAACTCAGTATTTTGAAGTGCAATAGAAAGCACTAATCAAGGACATTATCCGCCCATGAGAAAAGAACGGTCGAGTGCAATTGATTTATTTTTCATTTGATCGATAGTGAAAGAACATCCGTTGCCATAGTTGACTCATATATGTTTTTTCTTCGAGTGAAAAATGATACTTCTCAGAAGCATGATGTATGAATGTTTTTAGAATCCACAAATATTCGTTCAGAGAACACAAACGTTGTACAATGAAGTGAAAGCTCGTATGACAACTAATTTTCCATCATGGGTAAGTCGAGTATCGTGTAGTGAAGAGGTCCAATCGCGTATGATCTAGACTTCGCAAGATTTATTTCAAGAAGTTCGACGTTGGAGAGATTTTCAATGCCGTCGACGTTTGTTTTATTTCAATCACGAGGAATTAGTACAACTACCGGGTTTATTGATGTTACAAAAAGCGTATGTATTTCCGATTAAAAATATTCTGAAATAAACAATGAACCTTGTAGGGCGACAAATTGGTGTCATTGTTTAACAAATTACTATCGAGAGAATAAGAACCTATGGCAAACAGAAGGTCGTCCGCGTTGTTCAGAGCACTTTCAACAGTAAGTTATATTCGAAGTATTTTTCTATGAATAGCTTGCTTGATAATTGCAACAGTTCGTTTATTATTGTCGCGCAACCAACTGGATCGGAAGGTGCAGCTGCAACTCAGTATATTAAAAGTAGCACTGGACATTTTGCTAGAATGAATACGCGTATTGTTTGTCTATTGGACCCTGTGATCCTTCAAAATTTGATCACACTTTCCGATATCGGTATAAACATTTCGATTGACGATTTTCGAATGTTTGAATGTCTATTGTTAGATGTGACACTTTATCCACTGCTTCGAGAAGGCAATGATAAAAAAGAGAAGCAAATGTCTATCAAATGGGAAGTAAGAAAAGTGATGGATGCTGAAGGTAATTCCGTTTCATTGCTCTGTGCCGAATTTCACACGCTGAAATTGGGAAAGAATGATTCGGATAGTAAACGTCTTTCATTGAATTCAACACTTTGCCAATTGGAATTTCGATTCAAAGTCAAAGTAATTCATTTTCATCACCCATTGACTGATGATCCACTGATGAATACCACTAGGCCGTAGATTTCGATTTTGAAGAAAATATTGTTCTCACTTCTCAACCATTTGGCATTTGCTCTCATGCTCAATATTTTCCCAAATTTGTTGCACAAATATTTCTCTACGAAATGAAACAAATTGTCAAGGACGTAAGCAGAAAAGTGCGTTTTTTTTCTTGAGAATTTATTTCGATTTTTATTCAATCTTAGCAAAGACTGCACACTGATCCGAATGTCATCACGGATTTCGTTCGACGATATTATACACGAACCACTGGCTTCGAATTAACCGATCACACGAGTCGATACATTTGCAATGTGTTCACACAAGCCATTAATGGTAAAATCGCTCTATTCAGAACACTTCTCTATTCGATACACTTTCTCCATGCTTAGATATGAAAAACAAACATTCCGTCAACACTTTGGATCACGTATTCGAAGTAGGAGAAGTTTCACATCGTTCAAATTGATCTTCTTATCCTTAAAATAGGATATTTTAACCAAAATCATCAGCCAGATCGATTATTTGGTTTTACATCCAGTTCTTTTGTTGTTATACGATGATGGGTAAGAAATGATTCCATACAAAGGACTTGCCTCATATTGACTCATGTAGACTGTTTCTGGGTATATGCGATAGCCTTGACGTTGATCGATCGTTAGAAGGTACTCGTGAACAACCTCAACTGCTACTACGTTTTAATACACTTGTCAAACATCAATGGAACAGTAATGCTGTTGTACGATTTATAATTCATGACGGTAAAGAAATCTCTTGAACATTTTTGTTTGCCAATCAGTAAGAAATTCGTTTAATATGTAGGAGAACTAAGACGAGCAACTTTTGATTCGAAATCATTTGTGAACGAACTCTGTCGATTGATCTGTGAATCTGTGAATCTAAAAACTAAACAAGCACTTGTGCTATCTACCATTTCGCCACGATATTTCACAAATTTCCAATGGTATTTTCGTAAGTAACGCCGGCAATCTTGAAATAAAAATTCAACTTGTTGTATTCGATTTAGATGATGAATTGTATCGATTGAATAAAATGTCGCCACCGAATAGTGATGCCTATGATCCTTTACTGCCAATTCTCTGGATGACAATGTAAAGATTTCATTCACTCGATGGACTTTTCTCAAAATGGTCCATTTTGTTTTTCGTTTCAGGAGAAAAAATGATGATCAATATACTTCCGACAGACATCTACTCTTAAACGAGAGACTGCCACGAAACAAACGATCACGTTCTGATTCATTTCCAACCATCGACTCCGTTGCATCGGAAAACCTACCAATTCCAGTGAATATCGTCCTGCACATTAATAGTCCTCAGAGCCAAAGCTCTGATTCCAGTAAGCGATGATGTATTTCTAAGAATAGATTACTTGACAACATTCGTTTTCAGCATCTGAAAAATCATCAAAAACTACCGAACAAATTCAATCAACGACCGATTCTCAAGATGTGAAAAAGAAATGCCAATGGTTAATCGAGATGCCAACTGATATCAACATCTCTCCCGATGTGATATTTCGATATTTAAGTGAAAAATTATCCACAGTAATCAATAATCAAAACGAAGCTGTACCATCGAGTTATTTTATTCGACCTGAACCGTCCATCCTATCGATGACAGATTTAAAATACTTGCACAGTTCGCAACGAATAACTTCACCTACCGAGCAGTCACCTGATGATTCGGATTCTTCGTCGGAAGTAAGTCATTACAAAGACGTTACGCATTCTTCAAGAGTTTCTATTTCATAGCTGTCGAAAACGGATTTACAAACACGAAGTGATGACTCAGTAGAATCAATCAAAATCAAAGACGAGCCTTATGATTTTGCCTACGAAACTGTATCCAGCAGAATCATCGTGCCCTAAAGTGATTTTTTAATATCTTTTTATCAGAAAGAAATCTTTTATTTTTAATTGAGAACTAAATCATCCAATGATTGATTATTTTGCCGAAAATCTAAGAGTACATCAACAGTATATCAATCGCGTCCGAAATTTTCTCGTTACACTTCTACCGATTCGGACAAAAAGAAGTGTCTCTATCCTTTATGCTAAAAATCTAAATCTATGCACTTACTTTTGCTCATGTCAAATTGACCGTTTGAAAGAAGCAAAGGTTAGATGAGAGTTCTACTACAAATAAATGTATTGTATAAATGAAGGACAAACAACAATGAATACTAACTTACATGGTACATTCCAGAAACATGATGAAATCCATTCAAAAATAAAATTTACCGTTTAGGCCATCTATCAAAACTTCATAAGTTATGTACGTTGCTTTGACGAAGCGGAGAACTTTCAGACAACGCGAATCGATGATAGCCATATCTGACTCGCTTTATTATATGTCGTGCAATTTACGACTACCTATACGATAACGATCCATGTCGCGTTCTTCAAGTATGAAAGTCTACGTTGGCCACATGATAACTTCTCTATCTAGTCAATAATTTTCGAGTAGAGATTAACTATTTAAAAGAATGTTGTTTGATGCAATAGTCTTGATTTCTCGAATTTTCTACTATGACAGACACTTACGAAATGTGACAGCATTTTCAGAATGATCTTGGCTAATGACAATGTAAATACATGATTTTGCGTTGACGGTAGTAGCTGATGTTCGTAATCAGAATGGAAGAAAGTGTTACCAACATTAAGGTTGGCAAAAACCCAAGCTAAGCAAAAGCAAATATAAAAGTTTGAAGAATTAATCTTTTGTCATTGTTTTGATCGAGTTGCCTCCATAACAGCGTTAATTGATAATAGAGTAGCAAAAGAATAGTGTCGCTGACTTCTAATTGAAAATGTACAAGCATTTGTGCACTTCTTTATATACTCAAACCAGATACCGACTCTGTCAACCATTACTCTATAAGCAATTGAATTATCATTTGTAGATCTGTTTAGGAGAAGGTTTGGCGACTTTCATCTTGTGGAAAGTATGTAAGATTTGTCTTCCAGTGTACATATCTGACAAAGACAGATATTTTGTAAATATAAGAAACAAGTTTACTCAAATTCGAATTCAAAAATCAAATGGATTCTTCAAGTAAGACTAATCATCTGTGTATCTTAATTGAATTTTCCTTTATAGTCTTCGCAGCTATTGTACTACATCAGATTTCTTCAGTGTTCCAAACTTCGATGATTGCAAATAATCCCGAAATATCAAACACAATTTTCCCACTTAAATCATCATCAGCCATAAATAAGTCAAGAATTGAATCAACTCTATCTATTTATCTCTTATTCGTGATATCTTCCACGGCAAATTAAGCTTACGAGCGAATCTTTTAGATAATTTTCGTATAATCCAAACGCTCTCTTCTAAAAAGTCGACCTGGTAACTTTAACATCAACTTAGAAAGAGATAACAACTCCATTTCAGTACGAAGTAAGTAATTCCACCTCAAATAGAAAACAAACAGCGATCTGCAGCATAGAAACGTAGTTTAATGTTAGTAGGCACACTTATTTACTCTTATGTCTTCGAAATAAAAGGAGGATGAAAAGAAAAAAAGGTGTTATTTCTCCACTTGTGTTGAATTCATTCTTTCTGCGACAAAAAAATTTTCGAAGATTATATGTCGTGAATTGAAGATGAGTAATTCAATGTTTTAGGATTCGTCGAAAACAGAGAAGGATGTCGAAAGTATGCAAAACAAATAAACGAAGGAAACACAGTAATTGATTTTCTTCGAATAGATCATCTCGGAAATAATTTCAATACTTAGACATATCACGACTTCTCAACCGAACCAAATCACGAAGTTTCACAAGTGATTTCGAATTTCTTACAGGACCCATCAATGTTCAGGATCCATTTCTATGGATACTATTATCCGGTCGAGTGATGCACCATTCATTTTGGAATTTATTTGAGAAAAGGTAGATATATATATATATATATATATAAATAGTGTGATATATTTTTCAGTTAAATTCTTTTTTTGTTAGTGATGAGAATGAACGAAGACAATTACTAATCGACGAGCGAAGTAGATTAAAACTAGATGATAAAGCCAAGCCGAAGCGATTTGTGATCAATCGATTAATTCACGCATATGCTGAAGTATAATGGCTTGAAACAAAGACTTCAATGTCACTTTTGCTTCTATTTAGAATAACAATCACATGAATCAACAGATTTCACAATTGATCGAATCAATCCAGAATCAACTTTCAGATACAATACCCTGTGAACCAATGTTTTATACTCCGTCACAATTATATGGAACAGTACAGGCATGGAGACAGATTCAATGTCGACGGCGCTTGTTCTTCGAAGAGTGTGTTCAACCCTGCAATCTACTTACACTGCAGCGATTGTATGTTGTTGTTGTTGTTTTCTTGTTGTTACTTATGCAATTGACCATTTCCTAGGATGACAGATCAATTTCTCAATGTGATGCATTCATTCCAGCAAAATTCTCATTCTTTTCAGGAACAAATTCTTCTCGAATTATTTCAACAGTACGTCTTTTTTCTTCGATCACTTCGGTTAATTTCTCAACCCATACATTTAGTTCATTGCTGATTGTCGTACAGCCATGTGGGACGGATTGTATAGCAGCAACTAAATACGAAAAAGAAGCGAATAATTTTGTTGCAAAATTAAAGACAAGGATTCTCTGTCTTTTGGACCCCATTCGCACACAAGAATACTTAACCCTATCAAATACAGGTAGAGTGCCTTGTCATTCGATGTGCTGATTGAAAATATATTGTTCTTGTGAACAGAGATGACACTTCAAAGAGAAGGAGATGAGGCCGACGGCGATCTACAAGCGGCTCTCGTGTATAAAACGCGAACAATCATGACGAAAGAAAACACCGAGCGAATATTTGGTTATTACGAACTGAAGGAGACCGAGTGTTTAAAATTAACAAAATTGAATGACAATGGCAAACCTTCCTTTAACAAAATGCTGTGCAAACTTAGGTTTCAAACGGTATTCCGGGTGAAGATAAACGAAATTTTCTATGCATATCCTGTTATCTATACTTCGAAACTCTTCGGACTATGTTCTCACGCGAAATATTATCCGAAATATTTAGCAAAAGTGTTTCTAAATGAAGTCGAAGAGATGCATCGACATGTAAGCAAACGTGTCTCAACTGTTTTCCTTACTTGGTTTCTCTTTAGATAAATCCTACGTTTCATGCCAACATTTTAAAAGAATATATCGCAAAGTTTTATAAACGTGTCACTGGAGTGGACATCAAACTACATACGCTGTCGTTTCTAGTCGATCAAATGCACAGGTTTTATGAATTGTGCGAGAAACGTGCAGCGTCTCCAACGGCTCCTGTCCTAATCGTTTCTTTGAACATCTACGAAGTCGGATATACATTTTTTCCAATTTGATTCGACTAGAATTTGTTTTTTATTGATTAGGATTTTATGGCAAACCTATTCAGTCAAATTCGTTTCTTAGATAATCAACCATGTCTAGCGTTAATGTATCATGACAAGTAAGATTTCAATTTTCTTTTGCTCTTCATAATTTTCTCGCTAACTCGTTCTTTTAGTCTTTGTCGCGGAATAACGAGTGAAATCTACGATAAAGAACTGGAAAAGACGGAATCAACTTCGACGAAAATACTAATACGTTTCGAGAATTTTACTTTACAAGATCCGAAAAACTATCCCGACTTCATCGTGGTGAAATTCGATGGTTTGTAGAAGAACTTTGTATTCAAATACTAGCAAGACTTCTTTAGACACCCTGTCGACATCACGTATCAGCTTTGAATACCTACTCAATGATATTTGTCGATATTGTGATGAAATAACCGATAATTCCCTACAAATCTTCGCTGAGGATCAACTTCTTCCTTTCTCGACGTTTAATTTATACTATGGTAATACTCTAAATTTTGTTTTCTTACAAAATCTCACCTTCACTTTACTTTCATAGATAGTGGATTGAGTCGTAGTCATTTGATGCAATCGAATAACAATAGTATTTTTCATTCAGCAAACATCCTCACGCCCAATACTGCGTAAATAAAGATGGTCGTTTTGTTTACCGTAATGATTTGTTTGATTTTCAGATCAGATCAGTCTCCAATATCTGACGAGCAGAATGCTTCATCAACATGTTACTTTACGGGAGAGTTTAACGGAAACTTTACCTCGGTGACACAAGCAATGACTGATTTGAGAAGATACGTCACGGATCTGTGTGAAAAGTATCAAATCAGCGGTACCGTTGCTCCCAGCGCGATCAAACCATATACAGATGAACTCGATATTTTGAGGGATACTTTTTTTCTTTCCGATGATGATATTGGACTTTTTGGCGAGCACGATTGCTCAGATCATCTATGAATGTCTTCAATTGAATTAATGTTCTAAAATATTAAAAAAAATAAACGTGTTCAGTAGCCTTGAACAATATATATCAGCATTTCATGTCTTTTCCTCTTCTCACATGTGACCCTTCAACTATGTTGACAAGGACGATTGTGTTGGTTTCTTTCTTATTAAATAGGAACAAATATAAGCGGTTCTCTTTTCTTTCTGAAAACAAATAAAAAGAAGTTACACTTTTCTTTTTCGGCGAAAGGCAAGCGGCCTTAGTCAGAATGAAGAGAATTTCTCTGAAATATCAAATTTCTTCACTCTACAATCACCAGTATAGTGATTGTTTTATCTCAGCTCATGGAGAAACGAATATATCCAGGAAAAAATGAATTGGAAGCAAGTATTTAATCGACGCCTTTCAACGAACGATCATGTCAGTAAGATAAAGAGAAAGTTAATATGACGACCGAAAACTCAACACCCAGACGAGGAAAGAAGCGATCTGGTAAGCTTAATAATTCGATTTATCTTCTCTCTCTCTATATATACACTAAATCATCTAGCGTCAAATTCACCAGTTTATATGGAAGGAGTGACTACGAATAATTTCAATCATCTAACTACATCGGACATGTCAAATGATCAAGACTTTTTAGTCTCGAATGAAATCAATAGTCAAACGGTTGGTTTGATTTCTTTTCTGGCAACGAAACGATTGATTAACTTATCCTTTTCAACTTTATACCAACGGAGGTGATTAGGATAATTCATGTCGATAGATGTTCATCTTGTTTAAGTTTAGCCTGAAAATTAGTTGGTCAAGTTTATTAACCCGGGAACGACGAAATCTCAAATCTAATGTTCATTCCGTTGAAAAATGTTTTATGCTTAATCGATTGATCTCCGAATGTACAAAGGTACGTCTGATCTTCATTAACATTATTACAATCAGCTGATTCTTTTGCAGGATCCTTGTAAATTTGCTCAACTCACTGGAGAATTGTATGAAGAAATCAAGAAACGTATGACGACAGCATCTTTCTCAACATGGGTAATTCATCGAGTGAAATTTGATTCGAATGAAAAGACAGAATCGTTGTTTTCTAGTCAGGTGAGGACTTTTATAATCAAGTACTCCTTTGGCGACGTTTACAATGCCAACGGCGTTTATTTAATATGCATTATGGTGAAGTTACTCGCCTAGAGAGTCTATTAACTCTATATCAATTGTAAATTTCATTTCAACCACAGTCTCCTTTGGTTTTGCAATATATATCTCTCTTTATTTAGTGTTAATAAACTTTGTGGTCAGTATCTAAACTCATATCGTGTCAATCCAACAGAAGAAAATCAGAATCATCTGAAAAAATTGCTTCACTAGTATACAAATATGTTTCTTCTTATCGGACCTATCGAATCGACTTGATATGTTTAGTTCGTTTATCATTGTTACTCAACCATCGATTCCTGAATGTGTCGCGGCGACGAAATATGAAAAAACCAACGACAAATATGTAGCGAAACTATATTCGAGAGTAATATGCCTTCTCGATCCTGAGCTGATTGCCACGCATTTCTACCTTGATGATATTAGTAAGGATTACAATAACCTTGACAATCAATCTTGTTTTTTTGTTTTCAAGATGTGACACTTTTCCCATTCGATCGAAAGATCGACGGATTCGGGGAAAGTCAGCCGACCTTGAAGTGGTGTCAAAGAGAAGTGACAGATGCGAACGATCAAAAAATCACTTTCCTCTATGCAGAACTCGATTCGATCATGCTGCAAAAATTGGATATTCGAAATACTAGACCGTTATACAGTGCTAAACTTTGTCAAATACAATTTCATAGCAGAATCAGGGTAAGTGCTTCATTTGATATTCAATATGTGTTTATCAATCGATTTCTATAGACAAAAACTTATAATATCGAGCAAAATCTAACTTATCTGTCTGAACCGTTTGGGCTCTGTTCACATGCTCAGTATTATCCAGAATATGTGGCTAAAGCGATTCTCTATCAAGTGGCACAACAAGTGCAACCTGTATGAAACGAGCACTGTTTTGAGGAGCTTAGACTGGAAATTCATATAATTGTTTCTTTAGAAAGAATCATCGATTCCATCTGCTCTGATCACAGGCTATGTGGCTCGATATTATGGGAAAATTTCAGGTGTAGCAATGAAACAACATACCTATGAATATATCGAACACGTTTTGCGATTAGCTTATGGTATGAGAGACGAAAATCCATAGTTTGGATCGAAATGAACGGTTTTTTTTTGTTTAGAAGGACGAAAAGACGGGCAATTAGCAGCGCCCTTTAGTATCTATGAAGTCGGTATCACGAGATATGTTCAAACCCATTGTCTTATTGTTGTTTTCTGCAGGATGTCTTAGCTCAGATAATTAGTCAAATGGAAGTCTTCATAGATCATCCTTTTCTTTCCATGATGTATCACGACGGGTATCAGAAAAACGTTTCCTAGACTTTTAAGAGTCAACTCTTTGTCTTTAGTTTATTTCTTGGCATCTGCAATAGTGCTGTGGATCAGTGCCTACGCGGTACTGGTGAAGAACCACACATTCTACTTCGCTTGAATACGTTAGCCACACATCAACCAGTTCAGCATGCATCCGTTCGATTCATCGTTCATAATGGTTTGTACAGCATTTAGCAGTTCTTGTTAACAATCAAGCGTTCATCTAGGTCAATTGATAAGAGCGACTTTTCACGGAAAGGCATTTGTCGATGAAATGTGTCGAATGATCAGCGAAGCAAATTTGGAAAAAGCAAAACAAATACGTGTCTTCTCTTATGAAAACAATCGCACTTTCCACGATTTCATTACCTATTTCGGTGAGAGAGTGACTGTTTCATACACTAAGCAAAATTCTGATCAATCATTCTAGACAATGAATTGTTTCGACTTGATACAGCTGCAGCACCGTTGAAAGATGCTTATCAACCATTCATACCAATCCTTTGGAATACGATGTAAATTAACACATTCGCTTGAATATTGTTATTTCATTTTTATATATTTAGGAGGACAAATGGCGATCCTAAGGAAGAACAATCTGGTACTTTTAAATACAGCTTTCTTCTAGTTAACTCTTCTTACCTTTAGTTTGTCATACGCTGCAACTAGAACCTCAACCGGTCGATATGAGCCATAGTAAAGTATCTGCCATGGAAAGTAAGAACTCAACACCCTTGTCTTTTTTTACATAAAAACTACCTTCTATATATCTAGTTGACATTTCTCATCCATTGGTCACTAATCATCAATTTTTACAAACAACTGAAAAGATGGTTGCACGAACTGACACAGTCATTTGTCGTGTAGTGGACAAATTCATTGATTTGTTGATGAAATCTACTAAATCATCTGCTGCTGAAGCATCTATGCATCTCTTGAGTTTAACGGAGACTAATCAAAAAGAGCTTTTGGCCAAGATCTTATCCGAATGTTTGCAATTACACAAATGTAGCGAAGCTTCAACTCAGGTGTGAATCGGATCAAATCCTAATCATTCAATAAATCTTTTTCGTTTAGACATCAACGCCTTCATCGAATTCGAACAGCTCGCCGTGTAGTACTTCATCGGATAATTAAAAAGAAGCTTGTACAACACTTCGAATAGTCAAGATGTGAATACACGAGTGTGCATACAAATAGGTTTTGTTTAATTGTGTGAACCTTATCTTTTCGAACTGCGAAATAAATCTCATGAAGTAGTTATTAATCTTCGTCACAGCTGTGGGGTTAATTCTTCTGCATATGCGGAGTACATATCGTCATTGAGAAATTAGTTATTTCTGAAGTGTTTCGTGAACGTTGAATGTAGGAATATTCCAGTTGATTTAATGACGTGTTGCGTACGTTTCTCCTTCGTCGAATTCGAAGCAAACGCTGCAATATTGACATTGGCAACGAAAAAAAGTACAGGAAAGCCTTTTTTCTTTTGAAAAAAAAAATTGTTCGTTCTGTAGGCAAAGAAATATCACAGGTTTCTATTGTTTTGAGTCACTGGTGACCAAATTCATACTCGTGAATCACATAAGAGTATAAATGTGCTTGGAAAGGAAAAGAAAGTGATTCGACTGCAGCTGCTGAATATTACCACTTCAACCAACAGCCGTTTTATTCGTGATATATCTTTCGTCTCACGGGACTTTTTACTACCTCGTTTCGCGTCAAAACAGTTTGTTTTTTCTTCTCTGAAAGTCGCGCTAATGTCAGAGAGAAAGTCAAGTAAACGGCCAAGATCGATAGCAGATTGTATGTAGTTCTTCTTTGCTGACTATTTTACGTAAAATTTTCCGACTTCTTCTAGTATCGTCACAATCGCCACAGGTAACGGTTTTCTATTATTTTGGAAATATGAAACACCAGATTGGTAAAATATTTTCGATAGGAAGTACGATCTGGTCTCTTCAATTGTTATGAATTTCTCGCTCCGAATGAATATTCCGAGAGAACATTTGGTGTACTTGCATGGCTCGTACGAAATTCGGTTGGCGAAATCAATTTTTCGTCGATCATAGACGAAGTCGAAAGACGCGGTCAGCGCGAGTAAGATTAAACGGAATTTACACTTAATAAGTTCGATGCCGGTGTGTTTTAAAAGAAACGTGTGTGCTTACTCGCAAGTATTGGAACGGGAACTAGGACGAGAATATCGAGAATGCAAGGAGATCTCACTTGAGAAATGCTTGATGATGAATCGATGGATTTCGCAGATCAACCAAGTAAATTTCAGCATCTGTTCATTTTAGAAATCGTATTGGAAGCAAACTTTTTACAGGATCCTGCAGCATTTCTTGCAACTGTCAACCAAATTAAAGAAGACATGACAGATAAAATGAGTGACAAAGCAAATGATCAAACGATTCGTTATCCAGACGTAAGCTTTGCCTAATCGATGATTTTCAGCGGATAGAATTTCTTTATAGGATTTCCGACAACGAGAATCAGATTTTGCTCGTCGTAAACACGCTCAAGATTTCCGACGTCTGTTCTACCTTAGTCACTCAGAGGCTCAAAGACCGCCAAGTTTAATTCACTTACAAAATCGGTATGTCGTATTTCGTAGGTCAAACGATATGTATACTATTTCAGTTCTTCAGAACGACAGAACATTTGAATTATTTCATCCAAGCAAGAGCACTAAACGGTTCGAAATCTCAAGATATTGGCATCAAAGAGTTGTTGAGTATTATTGACAAGTAATATTATTCTTGATCGAAGCAAGCCGAGCATCTTCTTTTATTTCTGCTAGTTCATTTATGATCACAGTACATCCTTGCAATGGATCTATTCCAATAGTCATCTATAAGAAAACAGAACCTGAATACAATGCAAAATTGACAATGACAGTTGTTTCCTTGCTACATGATTTTATGAAAATGCACCCGAATGTCCTCACATTAAAAGATATCAGTATATCGAGTGTTTATCTCTGATAGTTTGATCTAATAGGAAATATTCGTATAGAAATCAGTTTACTGCCAACAGCGGATACTTACAAATTAAAAAAACCGAAAGAAATATCTTGGGAGATCTGTGAACTGCAAGGACATCCAAAAAATCATTCAACAAGAATGTATTACGCTAAGTTACCGTCTATTTGCATTGTTCAAACAAATGAAGATGATACATCCGTGCAATTCGCGCAGAAGTTGCATCAAATTCAGCTCACCATCGACGTCCAGGTAAGTGTACGAAGATCAGTTCATTCAAAATCTACGTTTATTCAATTGCAGATCAATTGCAAAGAGTACAATTTCTACAAAACACATTCAGTAACATTGACTTCGTTGCCATTTGCCATTGCACAGCGCACGTCTCAAATTCCACGCTTATTAGCCGGTATTCTGCTGTGCGATATACGAAGATATTGCAGAGTATGATTCGCTTTTATTGGAGAAATCAAATAGGATGTCTTTGGTTTTAGGACCAATCAGCCAGCATCGAAAAGATCGTTTCCTACTTGTCAAGATACTTTGCTCATCGCACCGGTGTCTTAATCACACAGCATAGTTTGGATTTTCTTCAATCAGGATTAAACGAAGCAAAAGGTGAGCGATACGCATAGTCAATATTATTGGCAAATCGATTGGTTCAATTCTAGACAAAAGGTCAAACTTTACTACAGATGAAGAACGTTTTACGGTAAGTTGTGCAATGTGATATAAGACTGCTATGTTGTTCATTATTCATTCGTTAATTGAGCGTTGATAATTGGATGCGTATAGTCTACTCGTCTTTTTTTCAAATAGGATTTTCTTGCATCATATGTGCATCAAGTGGAATTCATGGTCAGACATCCTGTATTAGCTATGTTTTACAATACGAAGTAAGGAGGTCTACTGATTACGAATGATACTATAGAGTTCTTTTACTAGAGTATTTCTTGGCATTTGTGATAGTGAACGAGTGAAAAGCGGTTTGGAAAAATTATCCAAGACGCACCCATTGTTAGTTGCATTTCGCTTGAATTCAATCAGGATTGATTACAACGCTATTGGAGAAAAAAGCATCGTCGGTAGGGTTATCGAACCTCCAGGGTGTGCATTTCGCGTGGATATTTTTAATCGTATGTCGTAAAGATCATATCTTTACCGTCTTCTCATAACGATTATTCAATTACTTAGATAAGAAGAACTTGCCCGACCATTTTACACTGGATCCTACTAAATTCATATCAGAACTCAACAGTCTTATCTACACTACTACGAAAGAAAAAGCCAGCGAGACGTTTCTCCTCTCAAGTATTGATCGAACTCCTGTTGGTATTCGAATGAATGAATGTAGAAAATATTACGGTGAGTCTCATAGATACATCAAGAAGTCACTGCAGCGATGTCTTTAGGTGAACAATTGACTACGATGTGTACATCGATCGAACCTTATAAACCTCTTGATAATATCATTGATGCGTAAGTTCAATTATGTAAATATAATGAAATGCATATCTCACTAATCTAAAATAGTGTTGACAAAATCAATCGTGACAATCCGAGTAACATGAAGAAGCCTACACAAGCTTATCTATTTTGTTGTATTTAGATGATGCGATTACTTCGATAGATAATGAAGAATTAGTTGATAAACTTATTGAATCCGTTGTTGGCAACGAGGATTCGATGCGCAAATTGTTGTACAAATTAAGTATCTTGCCGTCAGCATGGAACATGACAAATCAAGCACAAGCATCGCAGATGTCCTCTCAACATTTATCAGCTACGTCACAATCTGTGCATTGTAGTGATACAACTCAGCCTCAAGTCGATTATTACAATTTACAACCAGACGCACAACATTTTTATCACAATCCTTCATTGCAACCAACTCAAGAGTACAGAGGACACTCATTGCTTTATCCTCATATTTCACACCAACAGCAACAACCGCTCGTGGAAACGACTCGACCGGAGCCGGTACAAGTTCATGTAATGGACGGTCTTCCGTATACTAGTGTATTCTGTTCGAAAGATGCTGTTGATTTCCCAGCAATCGATGAAATGGACCACTTGCCGGTACTCGACATAGAATCGGTAAAGGTTTTTTCCCACTTTCCTTCCAACATAACATAACTTCGTGATTCCTTGTCATTTTAGATACCGAAAAGTGAATTTGACCAATATTTATGCCCAGAGCCTGTTTGACAATTATTTGCGTTATACAATGTCTAACATAGAGTCTGTGAATATGCATCTATTCTTGACTTTTTTTAAAACAAAACTATCAGCGTGTATCGTTTTTAATGAATAATTCATTTTAACATGTTTTCCGCGTCAACGTTCATCTCGTCATGTGCATAGAAAACCGAAAAAAAAACATTTCAAACTATTACTTGTTTAAAATATGTCAATACTCTATTTCCTACTCCATCTTTCCGAGAAAATCAGACCGTCTATTCAATATTGACTGTATGAGTTTAAAACGCGACATTTCTATATTTTTATTCTTTTCTTTCTCTTTGTGCGTTGTTCGTATGCGACAGAAAGAAAGTTTTCATCGTATAACCTTCCTTTTTTTTTTTTATTTGCTTTGTTCTATTTATCGAGTCATTTAATAAGAACAAAATTTTGCAGACAAAAATCGAAATAGAACACGTCGAAATTTATTTATGAAAATAAAAACTTTCATCAGTACATGTAAATGTATGTGGCCGAACTCATAGTGAGTTATTTCTTCGAAGAATAACCACTGTGAACCCCAAGGTAAGAAAAAAGTACTTTCCAGTTTAAGACGCATTTGGCGAATACTCCACGCCAAGCATATCAACTTGAAATTTATATTTACACTGTCGTGATTACAAATCCACATCGAATGAGTCATGATTATTCATCGTATAGATAAAGAATACAGTTGCAAAATGAATAGATAAAACTTTTCTTCTGACGCAGTCGACAAATTTGAATACTTCAAGGCGCGTTGTAGGTTTGTCGTCGAGCGTTGCGCTCGAATTATTCAGACTACTAGGAAATTTTGTTATTACTCTAGGGCTTACAGGTAAGTATGAGATGCCAGTATCACTTATCCGAAATATCTTTTTATATCATTTTAAGTGCGTGTGTAATTGCTCGATGGATATTCATTCGAAGAAAGAACCATTTATTCGGCGAAGTTTTCAAAAATCTCGCTCTCCTTTCTTGCTCTTTCATGTTTTACCGCGGAAAATGTCTTAATCTACATATTCATATTGAAACAGATGATGTAAAATAATGGGAAACTTTCACCGATTCGGATTTCTCCTTTAGGAGACACGTATAAGTACTGTTGAGGTTATTTAGACCACGTGCGACTACAGTGTTTTGCATTCGACAGAAATCTATGGCTGACGAAATAGTACTCGATTCGATCTCCCCTTTCAGATAAAATTCTCTTTTTGTTCGGAAGAGAAATCATCATGTTTTCAATGAAATCGAATAAAAAAAGGCCAGCATCAAGATGTAAGTGTTCATTTGTCTAGATATTGATCGATCTATCGATGTTATTCCATTTAGCTTCCTCGCCACCGTCAGCTGCCTTTCCATTGGTGAGTCGATGACGAAAGCAAATAGGAATGAGAGACGTCGACTAAAAAAAATATTTTAGATCACTCAAACGGGCCTTTTTCAATGTTATGAATTTCTTGCCCCGAATGAATATTCTGATAAAACATTCGGCTTGCTTGCATTTCTCATTCGCAATTCGGTGGGTGAAATCAATTTTTCATCAATCATGGATGAAATTGAACGACGCACTCAATCAGGGTAAAAGCTTTCGATGTGTACTTGTTGATCTAGCTCTGTGATTGTTGAAGGATACCTTTGGATTATGCAAAAGCTTTAGAAGAGAAACGACTGAGTCTTCCAATGATCGAAGCATCTGTTGAGAAATGTTTGATGCTAAATCGTCTGATTGCATATATAAATCAGGTTTGTCCTCATCACTTATGATCAAATCTACGATAGCGACGCTTTCATTGTAGAACACTGCAACGTTTCTTCCACTTATTTCTGATATTCGTCTCGATATGAAACTCAAAATAATAGATCAGTCGCCAAATCAAACAGTCACATATCCCAATGTAAGGTTGAGTGAACGTCCTCAAGCATCATATCAATCGTTCGGATTTGTCTAGGATTTTCGACAACGAGAACTAGACTTTAATCGTCGGAGAACGGCTCAAGATATGCGACGTTTATTCTATATTAGCCATCAAGAAGCTAAAGAACCACCCAGTTTAATTCATTTGCAAAACAGGTACGTGTATCTGGCAACAACTTGAAAGTCACTCATTGAGCATTACTTAATTCATTAGAGTAACGGAACACCTTACCTATATCACCGATTACAAAATGCGAAATGATCTGAAGTTTCGCGAAACTGGTATCAGCGAACTGCCCAACATACTGAGCAAGTAATCATCAACTTTTGAATTCGAACGACTCAAACATTATCGATATCTATTTGTTTTTCTAGTTCGTTTATAATTGTTTCACAGCCTCGTTTCGGTGCGAATCCTGTTGTTATCTATGATCGCAAACCAGGCTCTGCTGAATATACAGTGAGAGTATCAGTCACAATAGTCTCGCTATTACATGATTTTATCCAGTCGCATCCTAATTTCATCGATTTATATGATATAGGTAAGCCGAATCAGTTCAAATTGACTTTTTCGTCATCAAAATCTTTGCAGAGTTGAGTTTATGGCCATTGTCAACTCATTATAAGCTTGACGAATCTCAAACATTGCCATGGAAAACATGCCAAATACAAATCTCCCCCGATGATAAACCACGAATGATTCAATACGCTGAATTAACTTCTGTGACAATTCTACCGTCTAATAAAAATAATCCTCGTATGCACTTCAGTGAAACCCTACATTCACTGAAATTCGCTATTAAAGTTCATGTAAAGATTCTTCCGATCGAAGCTTTTCTTCTGATTTTGTTCGTTTAGGTACATTTAAACGAATACAAGTACTCTCAAATCTATCAAATTCCATTAGAATCATCGTCATTTGTTATTACTTCTCATCATAATCATATACCACACATGTTATCAAGAGTTATCCTTGATGATATTCGACGCTTTTCCAAGGTAAATAAATAATTGCTTCGCGAGATTTATCCTTGGATACTTGTCGATTCAGACAACAACGATCGATGTCAATACGATAAAGAACTTTTTGTTGCGATATTTCAAACAGCGGACAGGTGTGGTACCAGCCGAATGCCTGAAAAACTACCTTGAATACGAACTGAAACGAGCACAGAGTAAGAAAATCATGATTGATCTCTGTTAGTATTGAAACTGATCTTTGTAGATGAAAGAAGAAGCTTTCACACGTTAGAAGATGTTTTTCTCGTAAGAAACTTCATTTTCTTCTACACGTTCACATTCTTATCGGTTTTGACTCGATAGGATTTTGTCGTTCCATTCGTTCACCAAGTTGAATTCATGGCCAAACATCCAATTCTTTCCATGTTCTACGCCGATGGGTAAAATATTATCATATATGAATATTTTAGCCATGATTTCTTGTTCTATGTTTCTCTTCAACAGTCTCTTTCTTGGTATTTGCAATAGCGATCGAGCTGCCGAGTGTATGATCAACTCGTCCGATCTTCACGCACCGATCGTTGATTTACGTATGAACTCGATTAAAATTGAGTATAAATCAATTGCTTCGTCTCCCGCTGCAAATAGATCCGTCAAGCCGTATTTATGTGCTGTTCGCGTGGATATTTATAATAGTTGGTTGAGATGTGCTTTGCTTTCAGTTGTGTTTAAGTCTACGGATTGATTCTTTTAGAACGTACGAACAAATTTCAATATCGAACATTTGATACGAATAATTTGTCAAATGATATTGTGAAATTTGTCACCACAGCTCATGCAGAAAGAGCCAGTCACATTCGAGTTCTGGCCAACATTGATAATAGTAACAGTATGAAAAACTATCGATTATTCACGGATTTCGATGAATATTACCGTAAACAGAAAGAACTTTGAAATTTCGTGGGAATTTGGTTGATTTTGTTATTTTTAGACGAACGATTGCATGAAATCTATAGAACAAATGAAAAATACAAACCGATCACGAATTTCATTCTAAAGTACGATGAAACTTCTAGTCAGCTCGATTTGTATTCTTCTATGCTAGTGTGGAGAATGGAGATGATCCTGGTGATGGTTCTGCTGTTGGTGCTAGTAATGATCATCTTGTTTCTAGTACACCACACACCGACCTAGCAGAAATGTTTGCTGATAATCCATGTAAGAGAGATTTTTTTCTCAAAAACATTCAATTGAAATTCGATAACTGTACAGATTCAATTCCGCCCTCAGCTACTCCTCCTTCCATTTATGATCATGTAAGTTTTTCGTTAAACTCGACTTGCACTGTAGACTTCATTTTGATTTTCTTCGCAGATGGCTTATGCATCTCCTACTCGAGATTATTCTACAGCATCCATTGCTCAATCCAACTCCTTGATGGAAAATATCAGTTCGCCATCGAATTCGCAACACAGTCAACCCTTAAGTCATGAGTATCTCTTACAGTACACACTCTCTCAACCTGAGCTTCTGACAGAAATCTTACGTCATGTGAATATCCAGACTCAATCCCAGCAACAGTTACAATCTACGTCTTTTCCAAATCAACCGGGACACGAGAGAACCTATGGCCAATACCAACAATCACCTATTATTCCTAATCTACAAAATCGTGTACAATCAAACGCAACCTGCGCTCAATTACATCCAGCACCGGAGACCATTTCAAATCAATCAATGACACATCAAGTAAAACAAATTGACTCTAAGGAGAATCTATGAGATTCTTGAGATGTGCTAATCGTTTTACCAGTGTCAGAAGTTTTCTTGATCAGTACTACATCGACAAACTCATCGAATTATCTCTAGACATCTTCTCCCGCTTTCATTCTTCGTACAGTTACTAAAATATACAAATAAATAACTTTTCTATTCATCTGCTCGGGCAAGGTTAAATATATTTATATCCATTCGTATCCTCGACCTGTTCTTTCCAAATGTTTTCCATGCTTTGGAAATTAGTCATCTATATTTTTTTTTGCTTTTTATTTTTAGACACCATCGATGTCAATTGATGAAGATCTAATAAACTTTGATGAATTTTTGGCTTCTCCAAATTAAAATACCATCTAGATGTCGATTATTCTTGTTACGGACTCTTCCTTTTGTTATAGAATACAGTTCGAAAATTTCTACATAAAAGAAGAGATCAATAATTAAAAACTATTAGTCAATGTGGACTTTGCGAACGTCGAGAAAAGACCTATTAATATCAATCTATCTTGTTTATACGAACGATATCTTTTTTTGTAGCGCTTCTGTATTTATCCAAATGAAGAAGGGGGACGAGAAAAAGAATAATGATAACAAAACTAACAGCAATTTGCCAACGAGAAAAACAAGCGATTTATCAAATAACTCAGCTGGAGACCATCTTCTCCTACTTTTTTAATAGTATATTGACCAAGAAAAGGTTCGCTTTTCTTCAGATCTGGTTACCTTGCATATGTATGTGTCTTTTGACCGAACAATATTTTCACTTGAGGATCGCTGATAGCGAGAAGAACAGAAAGAGAAAAAACGATGAAAAAGAATTGTAGAAAATGTTGACCACCACATGTTCAAAAAAAAACCGATACTAAATGAACAGTCTGTTGTGTTAAGAGAAAAAACGAGGATGAGACTAATTTATTTAGAACCGACGCGAAGAACAAGACGAGTCAATAACGCATTTTCTGTTCTTCCTTTTTCTTTCTTACACTAGTTCAATCAACTCCGATACAGAAGAAGAAAAACAGACAGTCTGTGTGTCTACGCGTGCATTTTTTCTAGCAACGTATACAAAATATCGAAGCAGATGGTTTGTTTTTCTACGTTTTAGCACAACGAATACATTGAACTGGCCAAGACAACCCTTTCGTCATCGACGAATATATAAATCAAAGATGAATTAGTTTCTTTCGTTGTAGAGATGAGAATGCTTGCACACAGTGGCAACATTGATGAGGTATGACGATCAGCATGTTCGATGTTAACCAGCTGGCAGACTGAGATGAAATAAGAAGCAAAGAAGGATGATCTGATTGCTGTCTCCCGCTAAGAGGATTCTTTTTCTTGTTCTATGTCGGTCAAGCTAGAAATGGTACGTACAAATATGAACAATAATGATGTTCTATAAACAACATCGTTTCTTATTCTGGCAATGATATGCACTTCTGCATCTATTTCTGTTCAGTTATCATTGTTTGTTCATCATTTCCTTTTCTTTTCTGGTGTGTTATTCCTTTCTTCCTTATCGAGAAGAAGAGAAAAAGAGGAAAGAGAAAGAGCAAGAAAGAAAAAGGAAAGCATCATTCTATTGGTGTTGTCCTTTCTCTCTTTGCCGAAAATACTTCCTACTTCGGTATACACATATATATNAATAATCTTGAACAGAAAACTTTCTTCAACAAAACGTTCGCTAATCGAATGAGCTTATTTGACCTTTACTGCTTAATGATCAACAACCGCACATTCAGACAAATGATAATAATCTAATGGACATAAGTACATTGGAATGCACAGAAAAGATCAGTATTTTATCTGTTCGTTGCATGGAAATGGTAACATTTCTTTCGATAAGTATAGTTTTATCTAAGCCGAGAGATATTCTTTGCTCAGAGTTGCTGTTCACTGAATGTTAAAGCAATATTTTCTTGAACTTCTCGGTTGTCTTTGAAAGAAGGAAAAAGAATATCGTTTAAATAATCGAAATCTAGTAGGAACTTTCATATATATATATAAAACTTGGTTTTCTTCGTAAATGAAACATATTTTCAAGAAATATACAAAATGAGCGAGACGATAGATATAACTTTTTGAAATAAAAAAAAACGAAAGAAAAAGAAATGAAGTGACGCCGATCCGATTTTAGCCAGAGAAATGATTTTTAAGTTCTTTTGCGCATATTATCGACTTCGTCGTCAGTATCATTGGAACTGTTCACAGCACGTTCAAGTGAAGCGCCTGTTTTCGCGGCGGCTGATCGTTTCGTTGTGCTGGTTTGTTTTACTTGCCGTTTAGAAGTAGTTTCGACGTGGTTCTAAACAAATAAAGCGACTCAATTGGATGAAATCAATAGAAAGAAAACATGCTATAGAAAGATTCACAAAAGAACACAGATTTAATTACCTTTCGTTCTATGCGAGAGAAAAAGAAGACCATCGATTTGACGAAAAACCGATTAAGTTACTTACTTCATTAGAATTTGTTTTATTTGCTGATCGTCCTCGACGAGCCATAACCTTTGACATTTCATATTCGTCTAATGGATTGTCGGAAAACTCATCTGGTTTCTCTTGATAATCTAAACATCGAATTGAATCATTGGGACTGTTTGTGAAAGAATATTTACGCGATAATGGTTTGCGATTTGTTCCCTTGGAAAGATATTTTTGATCTTCTTTCAATCGACTAGTAAATTCTACATCTATTTCAAAAGCAAACGAAAAGAACATGTTTGTCATCCGAAGTAATCGCAACTAACCTTCTTCACTTTCTTCGTACAATGTTGCGGGTGGATTGTTGGCATTCTTTGCCCCGCTATTGCTAATATCACTTGTACTCAATGATCGTTTGAGATGTTCGCCAAGATACGTCTGGCCCTATTGAATGGAAAATCGAATCGAATGCATTAACCTTTCAAGGACATCCTTTACCAATACAGCAGTATTTAAAAATACATTTGATGCATATCGAAAACCTTTATTTGTCAGATCAAGGATTGCCGAATAGCTTTTTTGTCTCGTATGTTCAATCAATTGATCGATTTCCTAGAAATTCGAAAGAGAAAAAAGAAGTCGCATGTTCATATTTCACACTTGATTAAAAAAGAACTGTCTTATGTCACCGAACGAACGTGATGAAGTAACTTATTTATGTAATCATCGCCTAGGTAACTGTATATTTTATCGTTTAAACTAATTTTTAACAACCGAATCGATCAGTTATGAAGTCTAAAGTTTCTTTTTTCTGACCATGCAGAACATTTGCTACCTTGAAAGTACATCTTTGTCGTTTTCGCTCTTACTTGTTCGCGTTCTTTAAGTAATGGTTGAATAAAACGTTTATACAAAAATGTTGAGCCTGCCGGTGAAACAATCCAAAAGACGATTGCGATTTTAATCCAATAATAGAACGGAAACCTAAGGAAATCGTTAACTTCAATTCGACCAATTCTTCAAACGAATTACCATGAAAGAACAATATCAGTAACTGTTTCACATGCGATAAATATGGAAAAAACAATCCAATATCGAAGACAATCAACCTAGAAGAAGATTTCATTGTATTCAAAATTCACATTCTCATTCGTACCACTGCACGTAAATCTGAAGTAATTAGCGATTTGTACGATCGATAACCTGGATAAAGTGTACCGATTGTTACGCTAGAGAAGAAACGAAAAGGACCTTCATCACGAAGAGATTTCCAAGCGATGATACATACATGATGCAACGAGCAAGTAGACTTGATACCATGACAGTTCGGTTTGAAAATCTAAAAAGATGAAGTCGTATATTAAGAGCGAATATATATATATCATCAGCTAGATATCTTAATGATATCTTTATTGTATCACATCTCGCCTATTTGATATACAAACTCGATGACAACCTAAATTAATTTTTTTCTTTCCTTTTCATAGTCAGTCAGCTGTCTTTGTGTAGGTTGTTAGTTATTTCTTTTATATTTTCAAGTAACCAATAGCGAACGGAGAATATGTTGAACACCGGTTGATAGCGACATTTTTACATGAATTACGCGACGAAGAGAATGGGAGAAAGAGAGACCTTCGTTTTATTGAATTTTCATCATATAATTTTATACATAAATGTTCTTTTCGCATTGTTGAGCATCATTGACAAAGTTATCGAACGACTAGATGTGAAGAGAAGAGAAGGAAGAAGAAAAAACTTGACAATTTCAGCTAGAATAGACGAAAATGATATGAAATAATGCTCTGATGAGAAGTTTGTTTTCTTTTTTTTTCGATCTAAAACTACAACACGCACACGCACACACGAAAGAAAGATAAGAGCCAAGCCAATTTGTATCTTCACAAAAAAAAGACAAGAGAATAAGGCATGAAGTGGTATCACTGGGGTGAAGTAGTTGAATTTTATGACGTTCGTTTGAAGATATTGGGTAATTCTAGAAGGAAAGATCGGTGAAAAAGGACGTGCAAATTGAATAAGAGATGTTTACCTCGAAAGTAGGACCGTTGGAAATAATTCTCAGGTAGATAATGGCATGTGATCCAGATAGAAACGAGGATAAATAGAATGACTGCATGTACACTGAAGAAAAGAAGAATATGAAATAATTTGTTGGAGAAGAGCAGGTTTTTCTCACCGTGATTGGACAAGATTTTTAATTGTGGATAATAAAAGAAGAATAATGGCAAAAACTGTCAGGAGAATGTTGACAAATTTACTAATCAATCGATGGGTGTTTTCTTCGGTTTCAAGCGAATGTGCCTGAGTTTGTTCAACTTTCGTCGTCTAAAAACGTCGTGTACAAAAGTGAAATTAGATTCATAATCGTTCCAACACTTACTCGTGTTTCAAGTTTATCTAATTTCTCGACCATTTCCGACCAGTATTCATTGAAATTGTATAGAAGTTTCTCCTCTAATTTCTTCAAATCGCTTTTCACAGTAGGCATTTCATGTTGATGTAGAGCTGTTAAGTCTGTGAGTTCGTTACTTAAGTGTTCGTTCTGTCGACGTTGGTTTTCGTTCAAATCAATCAGTGAATCTATTTGCTTTTGCAATTCCGTCATTCGATTCTCATAACGATCGACTGTCTTCTGCATCAAATCAATCTTCAATATCAGCTGATGACATTCAATTGTGGACTAAAAATGGTCAGGTTTACAGAAGAGAAAATCAAAAGCAACAGATTCTGTTTACCATAGTATTTCGTTTGGATGAATTTTGGCTGATAAAGCGTTCGTCACTGGAATGATCGGAGATTCGATCATTCGATTCAGCATTTGAATTATCACTAAATGAAAAGAGGTTTCATATTCGAAATTAAACAAGAGTTGGTACGAACGTGTAACGTCGTCTGGTGAAAGGTGATTTATCTGTGTCGTGGCCCTCAGCTACAAAGAAACAAAAAACAAAGATGAGATAGTATGAAGGATAATTTGCGTGAAAGATTTACGGTTGAAATCGATATAGAATTGTGAATTTCCAATTTCATTGGATATGGAACTTGATGGAGAGGATCGAAATGGTTCCAGTGTGTTACTATTTTGACTCAACGATAATAAATTCTGATTTTGGTTGGTGAGATTGTTCGCAGTTGGTGTATTCTGACTTATCGATGACAATGGAAGCAATGTCTGATTATCAGTGTCTAAATGCTGTGTTGAACTGGAGTGTTCGTTGGCGATCGGTGTTGATGTCTCATTTGTTGAATGATGTTCGATACTATCGTTGGAGACTTTGCTCTTCAGAGAACTTAGAATATCGTTTGGCACATAACGTTTAGGTATATCACCAGCACGGATACGAGCGATGTCGCTTTGATAGTCTGAGATTTTCTTTGCCAATTGCTTTTTTGTGTCTTCTAATTTACTGACACATTTATCAAATGAATCTTTTGACGTTTTCGAGTCGTGTGAACCTCCGGGAATTGTTGTTTGACGGAGAAGTTCATCTACCATTCGATCAACATTTTGTTGAGCAATCTGATGCAGACGTTTGGCTTTTTCTAATTTAGCTTCCGCTTTAAGCAAGGCTGCTTGTTTGCGGCGTTCGAACGGATCGAGATCGGACGTCGAATGATTCTTCTTATAGGAGAAGTTCGACGACGATGCATCAGTATCTGAACTAGCATTGTTCAACTAAACGGAAGAAGAAAAAGCAAGCTCTCAAGAATCCATACGAAACATTCGCGTTTATTTACACTGTCGGACAGGCCGAGTTTTTGTTGAGCAACAATATTTGGTGTCAAAAGTTGATTGTTGATCATAATTGCTTGATCAACAGCCGTCGATTGAGACTTCGAATCGACTATAGTTGTCAGGGATGGAGGTTCGAGACTGGGACTAACTCGTTTGCGGTGTGATCGTCTAAATCAAATCAAGGCATGAATTGTTCAATGTTCAATATTAGTGAAAGGAATTCAATGATTAACGGAATTGTTTTGAATACCTGAAGGAAAATCGTCCATTTGAAGTTTGTCGCGAGGAGATCATCTATTAACTATGTACGGACAAGACTGCTCTATGTTTTTTTAAAAAATGTCTTTACTTTCACCCTATTTAAAGTGGAGGAAAAAGAACGAAAGAAAAACTTTTCTATTGACTTCAAGTGACTAACACAGTCGATTGTCAACAGAAAAAAAATATCTTAACGCCATCATTAGTCAACGATGGACTATTCATAATGACGAAAGAGGAGCAGAACAATGTCTATGAGTCAGCTGACTGTAGTACTTTATGCGAACATCGAAAAAAGAAAAAAAAGGGGTAGCGACATTCTTTCGTAAAAATTTTCTTTCGAAGTCTGACAAATTTAGTTAAACAAGCAAAAAAAGCCGTTTTTGTGATATTTAGCAGCACGCCCAGTCGTCTCTTACCGAGGTCTTGTACTTGTCGATAACGGATTGTGAGGAATATCAATTTGCCGATTTGTATATTCGATATCATTCATAACCTTCAAGAAACAAGACAATTCTGAAAAACAAAAGAAAATAGTATTTATATAGTCACGTTCAAAAGCCAACCGCCGAGATATAATAGTTTAATAACAACATTAGTTTACGTCTTGCGTACTTGAAACAAAACAGACTATTAGACTATCTCGTCAACACTCGTGTGTTTCTACTTGAATTGTTAAACAATATTTGGAAAAAAAAGAATAGACAAGTTCAGGGTTTATCTGTTCAATAGATGCCCGAAAGAGCGTATGTATGTACGAGAGCATCTGTTCTATGTAAGAGAGAAGTCACGAACATCGACGGAAAAAGGATGACTGAATAAAAGAAAAAAAAAAGTTGTTTCTTTGCGTCATTTCCTTTCGCGTATTTCCAAATGTAATCAATATAATTGTTTACGTTAGATAGTTAGACCGTAAACAAGATAAGAAAGAAAATGTCTCTCCAGATCGACAAATAATGTATAGAAATAAACCAATTCCCAATTCGAAAAGCGAATACACGATTTAATTATTCGAGTCGTTCAGAGAAAGATTAGTTAATATTGTATTATTATTGTCATCGATAGGAATATTAGTGGAATGGTTGTTGTAATGGGTATCGTCCTCGCCACCAATTAAAACGGGTCGAAGTCGAGATGCGCGTGGAACTTCGTCTTCGTCGTCATCACTACTCGATGATACTGAGCGACGTTCGTCAACGTTGGTACTTGTTCGCCAAGCATTTGGATTAGTCGTACTCGGATTACCAAGGCCATCAGCAGGTTGTCGAATAGCTGTTCGATTAGTGTCATCGACTGGAAGAGCGGCAGGTGATGCTAGATTCGGCTCTTCTCCATCAGCATTTGATCGAGATTGATCTGTCGGAGAGGAATTTGCGATTATTGATGGTATTGACGAAGCTAGAGATGGTACAACAGGTGTTTCATCATTCGCTGGATTGTACTGTGTCGTTCGTTGGAGATCGAGTTTCAATCCAGCAACTCCTTTCTTCGGTGCAGAAATTAAGTCATACTTGATCCGACGACGACGTTGTGTATCATTTAAACGATATTGATTCATATTCTCGAAATCAACAATATAGAGATGGCCCACGATCAAGATTTCCACTCGTCGATCACCACGACGAAATGATTGATCAATTTCGTCGTTTGTTCGCTGATCATACATCCACCATCCATTACGTCCTTCATAATACCTACAACGAGCACAAGAAAATCTTCATTTAGAAATCGGAGCGCAGCAGCTGCACAAGATCGAAAAATGAATATCGTACCATACGTGTCGTGAAGTGGAATCGCTCGGTGATAATGATTCGTCATCGCGTAATTCAGCTGCTAACACATTTGGTTTATCAATAAGTTCACGGGAGAACGGTTTTCTAAAAGATAACAAGTTATCAAAAACTAAGATTTCTTTTTTTACAACAATGAGTCCTACCGACAAAGAGCACAATTATGGCTAACGTTTGCTACACCTTTTACACACAGAAAACAAAAGGAATGTCCACATGGTAGTTTAACAGGGTTTATAAGTGGTTGTAGGCATACACTGCATTCAACGGCACGATGTGAACTAATACTCATAATTGATATTCTGATTTTCTTTTTTGTCTTGTTGACAGACAATCAATCATCAATCAAGTATACTGGAAAAAATTAATGTTCAGCGCATTCTGATTGGATGAATTCAATCTGATAGGAAACAAATGAAATTGATACACTGCCATCTATAATAGTGATTTTTCTGAAGATGCAGCTCAGGGATAGTTCGAATCTGGCAGCAATTCATCTTGAAACAAGAGTTTTTCTTCGAGAAAAATTCAATTTTGAAAATTAAGACTCTCGATCCATAGTAATGAGCATGGTAATGGTAATGAACAGTAGCGAGAAATCCGATCTAAGAGTGATTGCGATTGATTCTGATGGAATTCTCTCGAAACCCACTTCAGTGGTCAGCTCAGTTCGGTCCTTCTCTTACGAACAGCTTTGATCAACGGCGTTTCATTGATAAGGAAACGAAGAATCCTGAAGGTTTGCATTCTGTCATCCGCTTTCGTTAAGCATCTATTCTAAATAGGACCTTCTCGTCTACGAAGTCCGATTCCACCAGATCCTGGTTTCGGCACAGATGATCGCCCAAGATGGTATGATTGAGAATATCATTCGGGGGAATAACTTTCGAACGTCATTATATCTTTAGTGATTTCCGTGCTTCTATGCATCTTCGTGGATCAGACGCAAAGGCTATCTATAAACGAGCCATTTCAAGTGCTGGTGCTCCATATCTTTGCAACATTCGATATCCGAATATGGTCTGTACTCGAACAGGAGGTACGAGAAAGAGAGATTGTTCGTGCAACTAAAGAAATATAAAACTTATTGCAATAGACCTACCGAAAAATCAATTAAATGAAAATGTCAAACGACTTCGACGAATTATGCGCGAAACACAAAAACGACACAAGGAAAAGGAAGAAAAATCGAAACCAATACCAGCAAAAGAACTTTGGCAATCTAAACAGTATAATCATGTTCAATCGAAAGTGAAACAAAGACTCCAAGAAGTAAATTCAAACTCCTGTAAGAATAGTACCGATCGATGTTTGTCTCATTTAGGATGATGAACGGCCACGTTCTCGTCCACAATCAGCGCAGGGCCGTTTTCTTCGAGCGCATGAGAATACAGGACCGAAAGTTCTTCGATCTCAATCGGTTAACGCTGTTCGTCCGGAACAAACTAATTCGTCTGACAATCTTGTAGGAACTGAAATTCTTCTCAGTGTTACCTTACTTATCTTCCTCTCTAGGCAAAAACTGCACCCATTGATAATAAAACAAAGGCAAACTTTGTAAAGATCAATTCAGATTACGTAACAACGCTTCCGAAAACACGCAAAGCTGTTAGTGCAGAAGCAGTCGAAGAATCTCGAGAGAAGCAGGAGAAAAGACTCCAGAAATATCACGAAAAACAAAAGGGCCGTGTGCCAAATTAGTCAGTATCGTATTTTCTTAAGTATAAATCATTCTTTTCACATATTTCATGTTTGTAGTATTGAGAAAATGAAAGAAAAACGCGATCAAGATATGGACGAGGCATTTGCTAACACACCTGATCCGGAATGTCCTCGAGGTCATATAAAACTTGATAATCAACAACGTCAATCGAAGTTACAGGAACTTCGATCCACTCGATCTGATCTCGAGCAAAAACTTCATCAACTACCACTACGTAATGATTCGTTAAAAATTCGCCAAACGAAAGAAGCCATCGAAAAGAAACTTGTCGAACTAGACGAAGCCATCGAAATCTTCTCCAAACCGAAAGTCTTCGTGAATACCAACGAATAATCTCGAACATTTGCTCGTCTTTTGTTCTGTATATTCTATTTATTTCACTAAGCATGTCTTCCTCTGCTAATAAAACTAAGTGGGATTATAGTTTTCTTGACAACTTCGCACTGATTTGCACGCACGATAGAGAGAAGTTCAATATTGAAGTATGTTTATAACGATTTCAACTATGACGACTACCCGTTTTCTTCGACGGAAACAGGAAATTAGCAACGACGACTCGCTATTCTTCTTATTTATAGAGCAAATTCCTGCATTCATTCATTCATTCATTCATCAATTCAGCACTTATCTCTAACCAGCATATGATAGTAATGTTAGTCGTATGACATTTCTTCTCTCCCTTTACGTCAATCTAATTGTTCCATCTCTCGTCGCATCCATATAAGTTTTAATAATTAATAGATTCAAGAACAATGGTTATTTGTTGGTTCAGTACACCACATCGAGTGAACCATACGGAAAGTGAACCTTCGCATTGAACTGACTCATTTTAACTATTGCACAAGATTTCATTCATCTATTTACATAATGGTTTACGTCCGAGCTTGTATTCTAGTGACGTTGAACTTCTTTCAATTGATCCGTTCGACTTCACAAGTTGACGATCGTGCCCTAACGATTGCCGCGTCAATCGATGATTATTTTTGTCAAAATTACGTTCTCATGTGTTTTTTTCGCCGTCAACACCATCGATCATACAATGATCAACAATTCGATCAATGTGAAACATATTTAATTCTCAATTCATGTCTAAGTTCGTCTCCGAAACTATCGCAGAATTGTTCGCCAAGTTTACTCAAGAAAGTGAAGAAAAATCTGACGAGTGAAACTCCGACCTATTGTTTTACTTCGGCGATATATAAAACCTTCTACAAGCAACATCTGCGTTCGATCGCCTCATCCTCTGGAACAATGATCAACTGGCAAATATTCCTGTATGTTTTTTCTACTTATCTGATATCCTAATTGTACGAGAAGATCTTTGTTAATAAAACATATGTTATTATTTGAGTGAATCACAGAAAAAGAAAGTCATCGGAACAGAGATTAAGTTTCGAGTAGTTTCAATGTTTGCTTCCCATCGATTTCTTCCATTTCTTTGAGAAGTAATGCGGTGTTATAACGAAGTTCATTGAATTTCTTTATGGGTACCTAAATGAACTGATGAAGTTGTACGACAAACTTGTTCTCCTATTTACTTCGAATGTCAAAGTTCGATTGCCAGTGGTTTGAAATTTAAAGAACAATAACGGTTCTACACATCGTGACAACGATCTACAAGAAGTGCTTTGTAGTTACGAAGAAAAAAAACTCTTCTTTCAACGTACGCGGTTGTTAGAGTAACATCGAGATTCCAATCAAATGATTTTAATAGTGACAAACGAGGTCGATCAGACTCTTGTGCGATAAGATATAATTGATCACGTCTAAACATATCCGATTAATTTTACATGCGAACGAAGAGTAAGTGTCTTACTTTGAACCAAAGAGAATATTATGGAATTCTTCAATAATTTCGTCGGAAAATCTAAGGAGAAGGAGTCAGAAGAGTGAACCTTATATAAGTAAAATCACTTTAAGTCACGTAGATCATCTTTGAATATCTAAAACGACAGAACATTGTACGAAGAAACGAGAGAAGATAGTGTTTACATCTGGTTTAAGAAATGCAGCCGGCGGTTTCAATGCAAGGCGAAGAACGGTAACAAATCCATTGTATATAATGAGTAGTTTTTCGAACGCGATAGCATATTTTTTCGTACATTTTGTTAGATGGTCTAGTGTTGTAGTTGATGATTGTTCATTTAAAATTTGACTTTCACTGACTAGAAATGTTATATTGATTAAATGAGATTCACTCTTCTTCTGTCTTCGCCTTACGAGCAATAAGTTTTTGAATTGCTGGAAATGGCAATGAACTGCATTCTTTTAGCGTTTGAACACAGAGAGATACTGCTTTAGGTATCGTCCATCCATAGAATGGATCTTGATAAGAACGATGATCTGGCATTACACTGGCAGAAAAAGATACCGAAAAAGTGAATGTGTCTTTACATTTTTTTTATGACCAGCAAACAAAATTGACGAAAGAGAACAACGACGAACAGATGGAGCTATTAGATACACATACTATCAGTTGCCCTAAATAGCGTGTGTCAAATAGTCGTCTTGGAAAGAACCGACATTCTTGTATGCTCGTAGTTGAAGTCTATCTGTTGACTTTTCATAACTTTGATAAGAGCACGCCGCGAAAGAAAGATACGTAAAGCGAGTGAAATTCTAAAGTCGAACTTCTCCACTAGTGGCTGGATATCAGAGAAGTGATGGCCACCACACACGATCCTCAGCGAATCGGCATAGAAAGTACGCAAAATATAATTCTGATATGGTTAGACCGTAATATTGATACGACTAAAGCAGAGTATCAAAATACGATCGCAAAGCTTCAAGCGATTATTTCCGACGTCGAGATATACACTGATGTTGATCAATGCGTTCAATTCATAGAAACAATCGACGATCGCAAGATATGTATGATTACTTCAGGTTCTCTTGGTCAACATATTGTTCCTCGTGTACATGATATGACGCAAGTGGATTCCATCTTTATTTTTTGTGGTAATAGGGAACGATATGAAAACTGGGCTCGAGCATGGTCGAAAATAAAAGAAGTCTTCACAGCGGTAGGACCTATCTGTGAAGCTTTGAAACAGGCAGCACAACAGTGTGAACACAACGCTGTATCGATGAGTTTTGTAGCGTCAGGCAAGCGATTGGACCAGTTGGAGCCCTCATTTATGTATACGCAGATTCTCAAAGAAATATTGTTAACGATCGATTTCAAACGGGAACATTTTCAAAACTATATTGACCATTGTCGTACATTGTTTGCTGAAAGCAAGGCACAATTGAAAAAAGTCAAGCAACTAGAACGAAGTTATGCTGAAAGATCACCAATCTGGTGGTATAGCTATGAATGCTTTCTTTACCCTATGCTCAATCGTGCTTTGAGAACAATGAACGGTGATATTATTGTACAGATGGGCTTTTTCATAAAAGATCTGCATCAGCATATTCAACATTTACACAAGGAACAATATTCTGACCGATCTTCTCTTCAAAATTTCACGGTTTACCGTGGACAGGGCTTAACCAAAGCTCACTTTGGTCAATTGTTGGCAACAAAAGGTGGATTAATGTCCTTCAACAATTTTTTATCAACGAGTAAGATCCAAGAGGTGTCTCTGTCGTTCGCCGGACAAGCGGCAGTGGGAGCAGATTCTGTAGGGGTGTTCTTCGTCATAAAAGTCGATCCGTTACAATCAAAAACGCCCTTTGCTTCCATTCGCGACGTTAGTTATTTCAGCCACGAAGACGAAGTTCTCTTTTCCATGCATTCGGTCTTCCGTGTTCACGATATCGAAACACTTGTTGATAACGAAGATCTCTATCAAGTTAACTTGTCACTCACTACCGATGATGATAAAGAATTGTGTGTATTGATGGATCATATACGAAAAGAGAGTTTTCCAACCCATGGGAGCTGGTATAGATTAGGTGCGATATTATTCAAAATGGGACAATCGAATGAGGCTAAACAGATCTATCAGGTGTTACTTAACCAAACAATAGATGATGATGAAAAAGCATCGATCTATAGTCAACTAGGTATGATCATGTATAGTCAAGGAGAATATTTCGATGCGTTGAAATTTCATAAGAAAGCTTTAAAAATTCGAGAACAATCATCTTCTCCAAATCAATGCAATGTGGCATTGTCCTACAATAATATTGGCAACGTATATCTGCGTAGATGTGATTATTCAAAAGCACTTTCGTATCATGAAAAGGCTCTAAGCCTTCGCCAACAGTTGCTTCCTCTCGATCATCCAGATTTAGCAGCATCCTACAGTAACATTGGTATCGTACATAAAGCCATAGCAATGAATATTCGAAAGCACTTGCTTGTCATGAAAAGGCTCTTATCATCCGACAACGATCTCTGCCCGCAAACCACCCTGAATTGGCGAAATCTCATACGGTTCTTGGTAATATATATAGCAATTTGAATGAACACGCGAAGGCAATGAGGTCTTACGAACAAGCTCTTGCAATACAGCAACAATCACTTCCTTCTGATCATTCTGATCTCGCTGCAACTTACAACAACATGGGTGTACTTTACGAAAGTAAACTAGATTACCAAAAAGCAGCATCATTCTATGCCAAAGCTGTACAAATTGCAGAACAATCATTAGTAGCAAATCATCCTGTTCGTCTTATGTATATGCAGAATTATGCAGATGTGAGAAAGCATTTGTAATGTGTTCACTTCGTAATCCTGTAGCAATATATTCTGGCGAGACCATTCTCTTTTCTTTTTTTATAATCATAATCAATAAGGAAGTATTGTTTTTCTATTTTCTCTATCAAATGAGATACAGGGATGCAAAAAAATTGCCGTTTATCACATAGACTTTGTTTAATGATGTTTCCAACGTACTTCGAGCTATTATTCTGAGGTTGTGTATGAATGCTAGGAACTACATTTATGTATGCAGTGAAGCTGATATTGATTGAACTCTATTGTATTATTTCGCAAAAATAGCTCATGTTCAGAGTGCAAGCTGCGTGTAATGTGACTGATAGATCATATTACATTATTGACGTAGTGAGCACATACAAGAGCTTTTAAAGTGTTTCATAACGACGGTCTTTGCTCATACTAGTTATGATGAAATTTTCAGAATCGAGAAGAGTAGCACTGTGTTGTAGTCAAGCTAACAAATTGTTCTTACCAGCCATAATTATTTACCTGAAATTGCTACTTGTGTACTCGATCATTTCAGTCTCACTATTCACCAGATGAAGGAAAATGTCCACGCTTTTAGACTTACTATGAGTTAGGTTTAATATTGCTATTTTAACAATAAATTCTAAGATAAGTTTTAAAGTCATTTTTATGTTGCCCATGTGTTCTCTGCAAGGTTGATGTTTCATGTCCGTAGACGCATACAGGGATAAGGCACAATTTAGTCAAAACTATTGTGAAAGTGTTCGCAATGATACCTCGAGAGGTTGCTTTCTAATGGATAATAATGTAGAAAGCTATAAAATTTGTGAAAGATTTCGGTAGTCCCGAAAGTCTCTGACTTGGCCTAATGAGATAAGGGCGCACCAGAAAAAGCATAAGATATACTGCCTAAAACGAAATCGTTGAAATTCCAAATTCTACATAACTACATTTATAGGACTTCTCACTGGTTTTAGAAGAAACACGACGTCAATATTATGTAGCATTCACATATTATTTAAAACATATGCAACATGATAAAAGCGTACTATATTCAGCATGGTGTAACTGAAAAAGTTAGTTACATCGATATCGGATTAGTTGAATTGTACGCCTATATTATCTAGTCAACCGATGTCAATGAAAAGCATCAAGATTACAACGCACGAAAAAGATTCTGATGCAAAAAGTATTAAAAAATTCATCTGTAACTTATAAATTTTTCAACTGTTTCTAAGGAGGTCACAGTATTATCTCGTGTAAATACGCAGAGAGAATAGAACTCCTAATGAGTGATGTATTTCTACACCCCAGAGGCTGTGCTATATAGTAACACAAGGAGGTTTGAACATCTCACGCTTTTGTGAACAAAGTGTTGATAAGTTCGTTCGCAATTCTTTCTTTTTGCACCCTACTGTACGTAGATGGCGTTGTTGATCACTGAAGATCATTTCTCGTTATATCAACATTGGTTGAGATGAAAATCCAAGAAATATCGATTGAGAAATTTGATTCGATTAAGTCGCCTCTTCATCGCCCAGTTCTAGAATCTATTCTCATAAAAAATGACACTTCAATTCGATGGTTGTGCGTATTTTCGTCAGCGGTTGGTTTTATCAACACTGAGCTGTACTCCAATCAAGATTAAAAATATCCGATCACAAGAAAACGAACCTGGACTGCGCGGTAACATCGTTACTACACCGATTCACTCATTGTTCTTCTCTTTCGTGTAGATTCTGAAATCAATCTCTTACATTTATTAGAAAAGCTAACAAATGGAAGTAAAGTCGAAATTAATGCGACTGGCACTTCGCTCTATTATGTTCCTGGTGCATTAATTGGTGGTACTATTGAACATCAATGTTCATTACAGCGTGGAATCGGATATTTTCTTGAACTTGTCCTCTATATGGCCCCGTTCATGAAAACGGCTCTAGAACTCCGTTTACAAGGTGTTACGAACGATCGAGATGATCCTTCCGTACGTAATTTTCCGCAGTCCTCTCCTTGTACGCTCCTATCGTATTTCACTTAGGTTGATTTAATTAAATATTCCGCACTACCGGTGATGAAACGATTCTTAGGGTCAGATGACGGTTTAGAATTAAAAGTACGTTGTACTACATACACGACTATGCTGATATTTGAATCGTTCATGATATTTCATAGATAAACAAACGAGGCGCGAAGCCGAATGGTGGTGGTGAAATACTTTTTCGTTGTCCCACAAAAATGAAGTTACGACCATGCCAGTGGACAGACACAGGAAAAATCAAACGAATTCGTGGCGTTGCGTAAGAATATCCCTATCGATCGCATTCTCTTTTACTTAGAGTTCAACATCGATTTTAGCTACGCTATGCGTGTGTCGCCAAGTTTAGCCAATCGCTTGATTGAAACTGCTAAAGGATTACTACTGAAATTTCTGCCCGATGTTTACATCTATGTTGATCATCAAAAAGGATCGAATGCTGGCTTGTAAGTACTGTTTTCCGATCTCAGATTCGTAGTAAAACGCAACTGCTTAGATCGCCTGGTTATGGTTTAACTTTAGCTGCTGAAACCAAGAATGGTTCGGTTATAGCAGCAGAAAGTTGTTCGATACCACGAGCAGAGGAGGGTTCGGCAACAACGATTACTATTCCCGAAGAATTAGCAAAAGAAGCGGTGCACAAACTTCTCGATGAAATTTACAAAGTAAGAAGACAAGAATCGAAACAGATTATTATGCTCGACTGGCTATTTTCAGGCAGGCGTTGTTGACTCGTTCGGTCAAGCATTGAGTTTTCATTTCATGGCACTCAATCAAGCAGATGTATCCAAAGTGATCACCGGTCCGTTGAATCCCTATTCGTACGTACTTAATTGAAGTTGTTCATAATATTTCACTGTCTAGCCGTTGATTTAGAATGCAATATCTTCGATATTTGAAACAATTTTTTCAAATTATGTTCAAAATCGAGAATGCACAAGAAATTCCTCGAGTGAAGAATGAAAAAATGGAAGAAGATGAAGAGGAAGATACTGATGACAACGAAGATGGTGAAGAAATGCGTGGATCAGACGACGACGAGGATGATGAATTGAAAACTGGCAGTCCGAAAGTTCTTCTAACTGCCATTGGCATTGGTTATCACAACCTAACGAAAACTTTGATTTAAATAACAGAAATTCTTTGTTTTTTGTTAAATTTTGTTTTTGATAATTTGTTCTAGTAAAAGAAGCAAGTGCTTTGGTAACGAACAGATTTCTCTAATACCTCTAGTTCTTCTTACTCTCAATTAATAATGTTTGTTACAAATAATTAATCAATATCTGTCCGATGATAAACTCTGTCCTAGGAAAAAAGTAGGAAAAGGTCTCGTTATTTATTGAAAATGTTCTTTTAATATATTCTTTTCATATGACTCTTCCATTGTTAATTTGAAAGAGAATATCTTCATCATTTTCTTTTGTGCGTTGATTAGCAATGAACACGCACATACTCATCGGCTCGGTTTTTCTAAATTACATTTCAATTATTGAAAAAGAAAAAAGTACATTCGACACATCTTTTCCTCATTTTGATTCCTAGAAAGACAATCGTGATGTACTCAGATTCTGTTGTTAGTTTCGCTTCAAGAGACTTAAGTATTCATTATTATATTCGTTATAGAAAGAAAAAGAAAATTCACAATGATGCTCAATGTGTTTTCTACTATTCACAAACCGGTTGAAGTAAAAAAGCCGAATGTTTGAAAACGTCTTTGAATAGTATTGGTATTTCCCAAGCCTAACAGTTGACGCAGCGTTAAACGGAATTGTGGTGAAGCAATGCCATAGAGAACGAAATTCAATGCATGATTTGAATAGGACAACACTAATGTGATTGAATTATATAAACGATAATGATGTTCTTGATTAAGTTCTTGAAAAACTTGCCCAACGACAATAGGCGCGAGAAGAATAACAAAAACAAGATTTAATATTAATAACATATAAGAGATTTGTTTGGCGCGACGCGTGCCCTTGCGAGTTTTCTTCTTTGATGCATTTGTCAATTGGGTTTTACTCAAAGAAAAAAAGAGACGATAAGCAATAATTCCCGCGCAGACTGTCATGATTAGAAACGGAATCAGTACATACGAAAAGAGATCAATGATGCTATACCGCTTTTCGAAAAAGTGAAAATACACTTCCGATGTGTTATGTGTACAAACAATAACTTGTTGATGTAGAGAGACGTTATTGCTAATTGAACGAACAACTGTCTGCTTTGAACCCATGAAGAAAAGAATATGACTGTTGATTAACGCGATGACTATACACATTGCCACGAATATTCGATCGGCTGATTTTGGACGACAGAAGCGTTTGTTCAATCGGATGACAGTGCATGCGATAGCACGATCGATCGAAACAATCGTTAGTATCCATGACGAGAGATGTGTGGTAGCATAGGTGAGAAATGTATGAAATTTACAAAGAAATAAGCTTCGTTCACGGATATCTAAGTGGAAATAGTCTCGTAGGATCAAATGGCCTAAGCCTAAGTAGATAACGATTAGATCAACAATCGAAAGGTACGCTAAATAACGAAATGTTGAATGTGTTCGCAATTGTTTTTGAGTGAAAACGATGAATGACAGCGAATTTCCAATACTGCCGATAAACAAACAGATGATCGCAAAGGGTCGTGTTAGGCGTGGATCGTAGATATCACTCGGTGTTGTCAGGATTTCTGTTACTAATGTAGTTATGTTTGTATTGAGAGTTGATGTTTCGGTTGATTGAATACGCGTTTGTTCTGTTGTTGCTAGTGAACTTGCTAGAGACCATGTGAATGACATTTGTATTTGATTTGCTTTTGATTGAAGATAATTAATAATATCCAATTAGAGACGATCATCTTTGGGCAAAGATAACATCGTTAATGACAATAGACATTTGTTTGTTTTTTTCTATATAAAAATTCCGTCGCAAATCTCATGTCATCAGATAGAATTGGCGAAACGAAATTAATTAGTGTTATTTCATAGACTTCTGACGTTATGTATTTATGCAGTAGAAAACTAGGCGGGTTAAAAAAAAGGAGGACAAGGAGGGAGAGAGAGAAGAGAATATTTCTTCTTTTCTTCTCATCGCTGGCCGCTATATATATCTCGATGAATTTTGTCTTCAAGGCTCTTTGTTCTTCCTTTTATTTTCTCTTCTCGATGTTTCCCATAATAATTATTGTCGAAATAAATGCATCTGCTTGTCGACATCGACTAAACTATATCTATCTATATATATATATACAAATCAAAACTAATTCTAAATCAAACACACAGATGTAGCAAGATATGGTACATGTATAGTGATGAGATCAATATTACAACCTGAGGTCAAAGCAAATTTCGAGAATTATGTATCAAATAGTCCTTCTTATGCGATGAGAAATATCAAAATAATCTCTCTTCTTTCGCAAAATAACTGACGAGTGATTGTAGCAGAGAATACCTATCAACAGTCATGCTGTCGAATTTTCTTCGAAGATATGCCCAATGATTGTGTTTCGACATTGTATTTCTGATTCTCTTGAAACACAAGTGATGCTTTGTTTAATTTCTGCTCGAATACCAAGTGTGGAAGAGTGCTTGCTATTCCTTTGCGTGCGTTTTTTTTTACATCATCGGCATCTAATGCAAGAAACATGTTTGCCATTCCAATTTTTCCTTTCGGTTCTCGTATAATGTGCATTATGTAAATAGAAAAATGCATAGATTTGGCAACAATCAAAGCGTACTAGATTAGATGTTTTCAATTGAAATGAATCGTTTTGCAACTGAAATTTCATGAACTTTTTCCTTAATCTAGTAAATACGGCGAGACAATCCGATAAGAACAGAGACATTTCGTTTCGGAAATGAACAACATGTTTACAGTATGATATATCGATTAGGAAATGTATTTATCTTAGTAATGATCTCACGAAGTAATGATTAATAAATTCATAGATATCACTAGTTGATGCCTGAAAGGACGGGAGAAAAGAACGTCAAAGGTGTAATTTTTTATTGGTTGTTGTTACGCAGCAATTGATGATGAAACGTTGTTGGTTTCATAGCAATGAAGAGATTTTAGTGCGAAGCAGAAGAAGAATGTTACTGGAGTTTAATCAACTCAATGTTCTTCTGTCATTTGCTCGTTCATTCTCGAAAACTGATGATCCGGATAAATTATTCTCGGGCAATCAAGTATGAAAAACAGTTTTCCATATGTCAAAGGTCGTATGAGTATATTTTGTTGTTATTTCATTTAGCGATGTTCATCGTTACTTAATTTATTCTTAAAACAAATTCGAGATCGTATCGACCGGAACGTAAAACTCTACATCGATCAACGCTTAGAAAATCTCGTCGTTGCTATTGGTTATTTAGCGGTTGAATTAAGCGACAGATGCAAAGTATTCCGTTTCATTTTTTTTACATCATTCATCAAATTTTGCTTCGTATAGATTCGAGCAGACATCGTTAAAGTTCTTATTGATTTCTACCAAAAACTCCCTACTGCCAGGTATTATGAAGCCGCAACATTTACATATAAACATAGTAAGTACACGTCATTTCGGCAATAAATCATTCTCTTGTTCTTTCAATAGCATTACCTCCAGCGGAGGTATTCAGTTTTTGTCTACACACGATTCTAACGGAGTTAGCGGCAACAAGTGAAGATGTCAAATCAGGAAATAAGGTACGATTAACGAACAAGAACTTATAGATAAATATTTCTTGGTATTGATTAGATTATGTGTTACGTTGCCGATGTGATTCGACAGTTTGTGGAAAGTCTACGAATGGATGCACATAAACATGTGAAAGGTATTCCATTGACAGAACGACAATTATTTTCATCAAGTTGATTTGTAGAGCGATTTGAATTGATCTATCGATATGATATGCCATTCCTACTTGGTGCATTGCGAGCAATCGGAAGGTAAATTCATTTGATCTTTTACACATTATCGGTACTCATCTCGGATTACCTGACCTTCATAGTTTGAGCTTCATTATAATTGAATATAGATGAAATTGAAATATTTTTTATATTCTTAGAATATCATCGACTGACCAAAGTTTGATTTCTCAATTGTTTCCAGTGAATTTCAATCCGTTAACGCAATCTACACATATCATACAAAGAGAATCGACAACTAATGCTACAACGAATGTTAAACATAGTACAATTGCTTTTCGTCCAATCATTCCCAAAGTGTTATCCAAGAGTCTTCTTTCATCAACGAATGATCATATCTCACAAATGGTGTCCTCGAATACCAGTCAGTTCTTGCTCAATGATGATCAACCAGAGATTTCATCAACATATCGATCAATTTCGTAAGAGTTTCTCTCGAATAACATCCACATGTATTGTTGTCTGCTTTTGAAGTTCAATGGATAGCATCGATCAACACAACGTAGATGAGAATCTTCCAATAAGTTCCATATTCTTCTCTATTTCTGGTTCGACTTATCGTCATCGACAAACATCATCGGTGTCATATGTAACTAATAATCGTTTCCGAATTTGTTTACCCGCACCTGTCCTTGAACACCTACATGAGGTAAATTTCGCGTGTATTCTTCGCTCTCTAACAAATCTGAACTGTTCTCAAGACATTGAAACTGATCGACGATCGAGTTGTGAAATACTTGGATAAAGTTGCTATTGTTGAATACGATTCGATTCAACGGTCAACGAACTACAAAGCAAATGTAAGTCTTTTATTTGATCAATTTAACTACATCGTTAATGGTATCTTGGCTTTAGACGAAACGTTATTCCCCGTATTCATATTTTGGTGATATACTCATTTTATGTATCATCAAGTTTTTTCGAGATAATCTGGAAATTCTTGACAAATCAGCAGGCAAGCGATGAAGAAAAGATTCGTCTTCGATGCAGGAATTTTGATGATTTTAGAATGTTTGACAACTGTTCGAAAATCGACTTATCTGTTTGTGCAACAATTGATTAGTATCAAGTTATTGGATTTAGCTAACGAAGAATACGACAAAAACTCTTGTCGCTATCGAACACGTGTTGATGCTAGTGCAGCAGCTTTAGAATTACTTTGTTTAGCATGTGACGAAGAAATAGGTAAGTCCAAATTCTTCTGAACTCTGCAGAAACTTCCGATGATTACATCTTTATTTTCTCATACGAATTGATGATATATTCTTAGATCTTCAGAGATCAAATAAAGGTTTTCTCAGTATGTATATCCGTAACATGGGCTTTAATTGTCATAAATACTGTTCTTCTTCACTGGTTTCTTTGCGTTCTGTCACTGACTTCTGTATAAACATCATTTCTCGTATTTATCAGCAATCAATTGATGAGTAGAAAACTATATCAGGTCAAACGATACATTCTCATCATAACGGCCTTCACGGTTATTTCTCGCTACGTACAGTCCTCGAAAACACGAAGTCTGTTGAAAACTAGAAACAATATCATTATCGCCGATAGTCCTAATGAGATTTCCGTTTTCATTCAATTGTAAATTTTGTAAAATACTATCTGAACTTCGCACAGCAAACTTAGATTAGAATCTTCTCAATGCTGATTGTTAGTCTCTGTGTCTGTTGCGCTCATTGATAACCTTCTAATTTCCTTCGGGCCGTTTTAGAAGCAGAGAAATTATGTACAAAATGTGCAGAGAAATTCAGTCAAGAAACAATCACTATCAAGCTATTATCCGCACAAATGCCACTATTAGTAACATCATTAGAAGTATTGACGATCAAAATGATTGAAAGAAGGTTTGCTGCATACGGATCTCTTCTTCTTTAGGTTTTGAGTCGACTAGCGGAGAAATACGAATGTTTATCAACGTATACCATTCGAGCGTTATGTGATTTTCTCATCGAACCATCGCCGATACTTTTTAAATTGTATCGGCATACAAGTCAGAAGCTGGATGGAGAAGAACGAACTGCAGTTTTCAATGAACATCGAAAGAATTCGAGAGAATATCGTGCATTTCATATCTTCGAAAAGTTACGAGATGCAGCAATTGAAGGTTTATGCAAGTAAGAATATTTTGTGTTTGTTTTTTTTTTCTTCATGTAGAAATACTTCTTGATGCAAAGGTCTCTACTCATACGTTTAAATTCCGATCCAAAGTGTGTGGAAGCTCTGCTAACACAATTCTCCGCCCGACTTGCTTCCGGGCCTATTGATGATAAGTAAGTCTGATATGTTTTCAATGAGTTTATCTTTCTCGTATGAGAGTTGTTTACATTAATATGATATACTTTGCAAAATATACATTTGTTAACACATTTTCAGTCCAAACTGGATGTTTAATATCGTACTGTTCGATGCCGCACCATTGAAACGTCGTTCCTCATTACGACATGACATCGCGAAAGAAAAATACGAAAATTTGTTGTAAGTGAGCATCTACTGCTCAGATTCTTGCCTTATTCAAGGCAGCTCTGCTTTTGTCGTCGTTCATATTGATGTGACAAGCTTATGTCTGCTCTTATGCATACATGTTAAATCGTATGAACAAAGCGTTAATACGTACATGAAATGACGTTCCAAGAAGTGACTAGAAAGAGCACGAACTCTTCTCTTCGTGTACAACTGTATGTCTGTGCTTATTGTTTTACTCTCGACAGAATTGATGTCGTTAATATAAAACGATTACGATTGGAATCGAATCACTGCTTTTCTCTTCGTAACGATATGCTAGCTCTTATACGTTTCGGATATTGTTGTGTAATTTATACTACTGATTCTATTTAGACGAACATCGTTAGTATCGCATAATACAGTTCTGACATTGGGCCACATGGCTGTTGCGCTGAAAAATGTTCAGCATACTCAACAATCTATTCTCGCTCGTTTTCAACAACGCATCGGTGATCCACCATCACCTCTCGATATTCTCATCATCAATCAAATTGGCTGTATGCTTATTACTAGTCTCGTCAGTATTTCATTCCCATTCGAAACCTATTCCTATGACATCTATGTTACAGCCACCAGCAACTTACGAGGAAATCATTCGGCTTTTCACAGAAATTATTATTGATTCTACTTATCCATCGAAGGACAGCTCGACTGTGTCTATGCTCGTTGCTCCACACTTGGCCAAATATGTGTATGTTGCTATAGGCATTGAACTCAAGAATGCTACTTTCGTTTTTATAGACAAGCTTCCAATGCTGTGATCAATGCATTAGCAAATGTTGCTGCTAGTATTCAGGGCTCAACAGAACTAATGAATTTGTTAACAAGTACTCTCGAGTTATTCGTTCAACTTGGTTTACGAGCAAAAGATGCCAGTGAAAAGTCGACAAAGAACGCTCTTAAAGTGAACTAATGCTTTTACAAATGTTCACTCTCACTTCTTATTTTATTTATCAAGATTTCAAATACAGCCGGTAGTCTTGGGATCTTGATACCTGTCATTGCTGTTATCATAAGACGAATACCGGTAATCACCGAACCTTCCGAACGAGTGTTTCGTTTGTTCCAACGTTTTTGGTTTTACTGTATTCTGTACGGTTTTGCTGAATCAGATAACAATTTATGGGCAACGGAATGGTATGATTGTTTGCGATTAATTGCGACTAAATCGCCAACACTAGTGGCGCAACATGTTTCCTATGTTCCATTGAAATCTGCCATGCCATTGAAACCAGAACAAATTACCAAAGTAAGAATTAAGAAGTCCTTCAGAGAATCCTTATTATTATTTCGCTGATTTAGGAAGACAACAATGCATTGAAATCGAAATTGAACCGCATATTCTCATCGTATCCAAATGCGAAAACTTTCATTGATGCATTCGGATTCGAGCAAAGCGCTTATACACTGTCAGTGTACTATCTCGAAACGTTCAGGTAATTCGAAAACTATTCGATGACCAGTATGTCTTGGATTCTTCTTTCAGAGTTCGATATGCATTGACACCATCGGCATTACAATGTATATTCACATACCTTGAAGATCCAGGTTTAATCCGAGATAAATATGGTAATGAATAGAAAATGGAATCATGTTTTTGTCTATGATGATCTTCTTTAGGTTTATGGACACTGATGGTTGCTGTAGGAAGAAAATGTTTGGCGTTATATGTTGATGAAATGAAAAAAATGGTATATGCGATCTTGTTATTCTCTCATGTATACAGCGATCGACATTTTTATTTCTATTTAGCCAAAGAGTCCGGAGCGAAATAAAAATCTCGAAACCCAATGCCAATTTCTAATGATCAAACGAACACATGTTCGCATGGAAGTCCGTGAAGAAGCTAAACTCTATCTTCTAACGTTGCTATCAAAGAATGCGTAAGTTTCCTTCATCGCAATCTACTTTATACGAATTTTCATTTTGTGTCAATAGATTTCCACATTTATTCTGCAATACTCTTATTGTTGAGACTTTGATGAGCATTATCAACATCCTAGCATACTCATTGAATGAAGATAATCTACACAAAGTTACTGCACATCACCGGATACCCGAAACTAATTATGCAATTCAATTTGTTGACACCCACGAAAAACGATTGGTTCGTTATTTTGTGAAATTCCTTCTATAATGCTATTCTATCTATTGAACAGGAACTTTTCAATGAATACGTGGAGTTCGGCCGTATGTTCATCGAACAAGCTTTAATGATATCACCAACGTTAATCAAATCATGTATTCAAGTGAGTTAGCAATCGAATCAATGAATATGAATTCATGCTTCTCATTCATTTAGCAATACATGTTGAAACTCGAACAAGGTAAACGAAGTTCCGATGCTGCGCGTCAACATCGAGGTTTACATGTAAGTTCTAGCTGTAATTGTCACTTTAGTATACTGTCTCAATCTAGATTATGTGGGAATATCTCAGTATGTATTCGAAATCCACTAATGCTGAGGTGAGTATTTGTGTGGACGACTATCATCATCATTTTGCTTTTCTCAAATGTCAACAGGGGGCAGCAAATGGAAATAAGTTCTACTATCGTGCTGATTTTTCTGATTACATGGTGTCATTAAGCGAACGAAATGCTGCGGTTGGCTTCGTATGTAACGCAAATGCGAAGTGTCTAAGTTGTAAGAATGAGTTTTGCTTTAATAGATCGAAGGACTAAGTCGAAATGATTACCGAAGTGCGTTGAAACAAATTAAAAACGAGATGGAGAAGGCGTTTATCAACCGATTAAATTCATTGGATAAGTTTCAATCATTGAAACAGCGTCGTCGGCGAATGTCAGTTGTTGCACCTGTTAATCATAAAGAAGTCGTGCTTGACTTCGAAGAACGCATCGCGATCTGTAATATTCATCACTATACTTTGAGTCGTATCACAAACATTTGTTCACGCATTTAGTCGATAGTAACTTTCGGAATGAACTTTTCAAACTAACAGCGATGCTAATTTATAATGCTGATCATGCAGGTAAACTGATACATTTTGAAGATCACCACACACTCGTGTTTACTTTAGATGATAATGAAAATGAAATGACTTTTTCGAGTGTAGGTAGCCCATTCTATACATACAGTGCTCCCAAAGGTATGGATTGATCTAAAGGGATGATTTCATCGTAGAATATTTTAGAAAATGCTCTCGACCGAGAAATAGTACATGTACTAGCATGGCTTCCTGTGAAAATGTTTACCACGTCGGTAATGGAAGCAGCAGTCGACTGTTGGTCATGGGCAATCGTTGCTCGACCCGAACTAGAATTATTGGTGAGCATTACACGTAATAATGTTTATTGAAAAATACATTTTGAAATGCATAGATTGTCGAAGAGATTTATAAAGTCTGGCAGAAGATTATCAGTGACCGTCAAGGATTGTATTCGATTGATAGGCCAGAAGTATCACCATTAGCTCCATCGGAAAAAGAAGAACTTAAGTCGAAACCACCATCGACTAGCCCACATCGAATATTCTTCAAAGTTGGTTTCTCTTGAAAATGATCACTTTCAATGTAATATTCGCTTTCTGTAGTTCATCGAGGAACGAATGTATCTGTGTATGCACAAATCTGACGTAGAAATGGAAATGCTTGTTGATCTTTTTCATAAATCACTTTACCTAATCACGGATCCCTCAAAAATACCAATGACGAGACATATTGAAGCTGTGGGCCTTCGGTTTCAATTATTATATTTGGTACTCTATATCATTCAGAGTGATTATCTAGCAAATGGTATAAGTAAATCCTTGTTACGAGAGAAAGTTTACCATACGGCATTTGACTATTTCATGTGAGATTAATTGAAGTTGTGGAGTAGTCACTGATTAATATTGTAGGATTCGACATCATTATCCATCTCAATCGTACAATGAATTACGGAATGATATTCGAAGATTGATTCGGTTTTTCTCATTAGTTCATGGAGAGAAGAAGTTTTGCGACGATTCAATATTATCAAGTTTGTATCGACGAATAACTTAAGTTGATTTCTAACCGCTGTTTCTTCAGTTGATAGTGGTAGTCCATCATTGAGCCGACGTTTGCACAATGGCACAAGTGATAGCTCCTCACGAACTGGAATGCCATCAGGATTAATCAATTCATTAGCTGGTGGTGGTGGAGCTGTGGCTGGAGTCGGTGGTCAATCTACAATTACCCGTAAGTCAGGTATAGACTTTATCTTCTAAAACTTCGATGTTCGGATGAGAATTCTTGCTTCGCATTGTTGATTGAATGTCTCGTTTTGCAAGAGAAACTATCTTCTTTGGAAACATGCAACATTCGCAGTATGACTTATGTTTCTTTCTTTGCGACTCAGATATTTATCGGGAATCTTCTTTCCGAGGTATGAATCTATGCTTGAATACTAATCATAAAACTAAATTCTATGCATGACTACTAATGATAGTTTGATAATTACTTGCACTTACAGCTGTCATTACATAGGATCCGCGAAGAATACCGAAAAAAGCAATGACACTGGGACACTATCAAAAGATTTGTTGAAAAAACGCAACCTTCTGCTCACCTTACTTGTAAGTAACATGAAAAATATTCGTTTTCAATATTCAAGCGAACATCGAAACTTCCTTAGGCTTGTGAAATCGAACGTTTGGAAACATTTCATAATCCACTATTTCGTTCGAATCTTCAATTCGATCAAGAGAGACAGTCAACTTATACAAACTGGAAAGTCTACGATATGAATGGAACTTCCAATAAAGCATGGCGAGAGTACGGACGACTAGCTTGGCTTATTTCGCCGGATTTAGCCATTAGCCTTTATTACACGTAAGTGGTCACCGTCGAATTCATTGAAAATCATAGGAGTGACAATTTAGAATCCCTAAAGCATCGTTACGAACTGAAGTTCAACAACTTGTGAAAGCATTTCCATTGCAAGTTCGTCATATACCCGAAGCATTGAATCTTTTTACAAGTGCTTCGAATCAGAATGATCGGCATTGTCAAGTAAATCTACGAACTTCCTTCTGGTCTCAGTTCACATCATCGTTTTTCTTTTAGACTTCACATATTCTCACATGGGCTCCAATCGATCCTGTCGCAGCACTGGCCTATTTTGCTAATGCACGACTCAACCAGATAGCTAATTCTTATACGATACAATATGCTTCTCGTATTCTCTATACAACAAGACCAGAAGCAATCATTTTATATATCCCACAATTAGTTCAAGCAATTCGTTACGATGAAGTACGAGCAATTGAACATCATTTCTTTCCATTCATCAGCACTCATTTTCATTTAGATGGGTTTCGTTCGCCGTCTAATCTTAGCTCTGTCTCAAAAATCGAATCTATTAGCACACCAATTGATCTGGAATATTCGAACAAATGTATATAAGAATGAAACAACGCCCGACGAAGATATGCGAGCTAAACTCAAACCTATTGCCGATCAAATTCAAGCTGCTTTCACTTCGAACGCTAGAGAATTTTATGAACGCGTCTTTGAATTCTCAGATAAACTCACCAATGTCTCCGACATCATCAAAGTGTATCCAAAAGGTGCAGAACGGAAAAATGGTATGAGAAAAGAAAAGCGTCCGATAGCTATTAAATTGTTTTCTGTCTAGCTTGCTTGAAAGCATTGATGGATCTCGGTAGTGATGTGAAACCCGGTGTTTATCTGCCGTCGAATCCCGAAGCTGTTGTGATCTCATTAGCGCCAGAAACTGGAGCACCGATGCAAAGGTAAGCCAAACCCATTTCACAGGAAATAAGTACGTTTTGAATATTAGTGCGGCGAAAGCACCTTATCGAGCAGCATTCCGCGTACAGAATGTTGGGATTGAACAAGTGGAACACTGTGCTGATTCTGACTACGAATTTATTCCTGATTTGAATAATCAGTACTCTCAGATGGCTATTTTCAAAGTTGGGGATGATGTCCGACAAGTGAGATGAACTATTACCGCTTTAAGAGATATTTTCATCTGTAATGCTTCGTAGGATATGTTGGCCTTGCAACTAATGCGTTTATTTCAGAATATTTTTGAACAGGAGGGTCTAGAATTGTATTTGTATACTTATCGAGTGATCGCAACAAGTCCTGGCGTAAGTGTCTCTTGGCAATACGAAATGAAAGTGTATGTACGGAAGTCGTTTTCCTCTTCAGTGTGGCGTTATCGAATGTGTACCGAATTCTCGTTCGCGTGAAGATATTGGAAGAAACACAGAAGTGGGTTTGTTTGAATATTTTCGACATGTATATGGAAAAGATGATTCGATCAAATTTCAAAAAGTAAATCATCTTTTCTTCCTTCTAATCAGACTATTTCACATGCCGTGTTCCAGGCACGACGAAATTTTGTCATCAGTATGGCAGCTTATTCGATTGCTGTTTTCCTACTCCAGATAAAAGATCGCCACAATGGAAATATTATGTTCGTAGGAAAAAAAATTATATTCTAACTTTTCACAGTCGATCTTTTGATATTTCAGGATTGATGACGAAGGACATATTATCCATATTGGTTAGTAGAATTAGGGTGAGGTATGACTACATTCAAATGTTCATCTTTGTATAGATTTTGGCTTCATGTTCGAGTCATCACCAGGTGGAAACATGAGATTCGAACCGGATATTAAGCTAACCGCAGAAATGATTCTGATTATGGGTGATTTAAATGCACCTGGATTTCTCTGGTTTAAAGAATTATGTATCAAAGGTTATTTAGCATTAAGGTAAAAACGAAGAGAGTTTTCAATCGACAAAATTTCGACACTGATCTTTTAGACCTTATCGGCAACATTTCATAACTCTTGTGGCATTGATGCTTGACACTGGTTTGCCATGTTTTCGCGGTAATACGCTGAAAGAATTGAATGCTCGTTTCAAACCTGATGCCACTGAAACTGAAGCTGCACGTTTCATGGAAGAAGTGATTAATCGTTGTGCACATAGTTTACGAACCCGTATTTATGATTATATACAATATCAACAAAATTCGATCCCCTATTGAACAATTTAGCGTATTTTTTATTCCGTTGTTGGTTGTTTTTTGTTTTGTCTATTCTTCGGGGGGAAATTTCTGTGATTAGAACATATTTCGTTCTCTTTTTTATGCGTGTATCCCTGTGCTATTTCTTAACAGCCAAATTTATTTATTCATTTTGACGACAGATGATGGTGCCTTGATGATTGCTTTTTTTTTATAATAATCCTAGTCGTTTTTGATGCGCGTGTGTGTGATTAAAGATTTATTTTGTGCATATGAAAAGCCGAATAAACGAGAATATTTATTTGATTATTATTGGAACCGTACTCCGATGCGTAGCGGGAGCCTAAACGTATATGAATATGGTTCATATGGTCAATTTACACAATACCGCTTATATCTGGATACAGTACACTAGTTATGATTGTGATTATCTTTGTTGGCACAAGATTTGAGTGGAATTCTCAAACAAACATTTCTTATACAAGGAAGAAAAGCAGAAGCAAGGTTTGAAATTCGTTCCTAAACATACTGTCTAGAAAAAATCAGCACACACATGGAAAGCCACAACACATGATCGATATTTTGATATAAGCGGCATGTTTTAGATGCCTGGACACACTCGGTAACAATACAAAACAAACAGACGAAAAGATTGTTCACAAAGAAGACAAGCGTGCTCCCGTTGACGGAAGGACAAATGACATTCAGCTATACACTGACGGATACTTCGCGCGATCGATAGCTTTTTAGGTAGATTCTTTTCTTTTATGACACAAGGGATAAACGCAAATAAATAATAGATTGACACACAAACAGAAAAGAAAAGAAGCGAAGTCTAACTGGAGTTTATTTCTTATTCTTTGTAACAGTTTTCGATATCCATTCAAGACCCTCCTGGAAGAAAACGAAAAATGTTTCGTGGAAAGAGAAAATAGGTTAACGACGTACTTTAACACCCTCTTTGGTATACGCGGAGCAACCTTGAATTTGCCACGGTCGATCGCGAATTTGATGTAAGGATAGGCCATCAGTAATATCTGATGCTTTAGCAGCATTTAGCAAATCTTGTTTATTAGCAAAGACGAGTAATGGAACACCATGCAATTTTTCCTCTTCCAATAATTCCGACAATTCCTATGAGAAGAAAAGAAGGAGAACATGTAATTGACCTCATTCTGTCCATCATGAATGTATACTTGATTTGTTTCATCGAAACGCTTTCGATCAGAACTATCAATAACATAAATCTAAATACAAACTCGACATCAATACCATTGACTAAAACTCCCTGTTGACATACTAGAACATCTGTATTATCGAAATAATTACGCCAATATGGACGAATCTTTCGCTGACCACCTGTTAAATACAAATTACCGTTTTATTCTGAGAAAAAGTCAACACATCGATATTCTTTACCGATATCCCAAACATTAAGTTTAAATCCGGTTGATTGCACACTTTTGATATTAAAACCTTGCGTGGGGGTTATATGCGAAATATCTTCCGAGGCGAGAACTTTGAGTAACGTCGTCTAGAAGCATTTCACTCGATTGTATCGTTCAACGATCAAGCAACACTTACTTTGCCAGCGTTATCAAGACCTAGGAGCAATATGCGAAGTTCATCTTGTGGAGTTGAACGAAGTTTTCGTAGGATGTCAAGTAATCCCTATGAAGAAAATCACTCACTGTTATCTTCATTGAAATCAAATAACGTACCATGATGAACAAATGTTTGCGAAAAAGCAAGTCTTTGACCTTAACAGATGAGAGAAGTATTTCACTAGACAACTAATTGCAATGAAAAACAATTGAAATGTTTTCCAAGTTGAAGAAGAGTACAGCAAATTATTGGTGAATATGTTAAAGAATGACGACACTCTATAACGGTGTCATGCAATATCCATATTAGATATGGTATCCAAGGGACCCTTATGTCGTCAAGTTATATGAGCGACTAAATATGAGTAGTAATGAAATATTGAAATGTGAATCTTTAATTATTAGGAAGACTTTTAAAAAATTGAAAATCTTTATTTCATTCAATCGTGATCAACGCCCTCTATCGAGTAACAAGATTTCAACTTAGGATTATATCGGTTTGCTAGCTTTGATCGCATATATTATCGGTATTTTTCCTTCTAATCCCTTGATTTGATAGCACTTGTCCGCAATTTTCACTGAGTTGAGAAACGCATCATACGGCGAATAATCAAATTCTTTGAAGACTTCGATCTTTAATCCATTTTGTATAAGTGCTTGAATAACATTGCTTATTGGATGGCACCATTCCATACTTTTATTTCGAATTGGAGCATCGCGATCAGCATAAGTACCTTGGCAATCACACACAATAGGGCCACGATTGAAATAGGAGTTTTCTATGCGTGTATAAGCTTCATCGAACATATCTAGAACGGGATGAAATTCTACCAGAAGAGAAAATCCACCCGGTTTCAAATGGTTCGAGAGAATACGAGCCCACTGATTGATATCTGGTAACCAACAAATCGTTCCATACGACGCAAAAACGATATCGAACAGTTCTTCCGGATCCGGTAGATCAAAGATATTACAACAGATAAATTTTGTCGATGCAGTCAGATTTGTCTTCTTTGCTAGTTCTTCCGCTTTTGCAATAGCTTTTTCGGAGAAGTCGACACCAGTAACTTGTTGTGCACCGCGGCGAGCAAGTGAAAGTGTGTCAAGTCCAAAATGGCATTGCAAATGAATGATACGTTTACCTTGTATATCGCCAAGTAAGTCGAGTTCAATGGAATTCAACGAATCAGCTCCATCGAGAAATCCCGGAACATCATACATGGGTGACTTGACATGGTAGTCAACCTTCGCATTCCATAGACGTTTATTCACAATAGTAAAATCTAACGGGGTATCGTCATTCATTTTGTTGCACCTGTTATCGTTATTAACTAGATGTAAAATCGCGTAGAAATGACATATGTTTTGTTATGCTTATCAGTTCGAACAAAATTGAGAAGAGAGTGACAAATGATTGCGTAAGAACATCGCAATAGTGTGTTCAACACAATGAACTTCTCTTTGTTCGTGACTATGAATAGAAGTATGCCATACAAAACATACGTTCATCGAAAATGTTACGACGATGATTCTTTATTTAGCACAAATCAACACATGTTGTTTTCTCGATCATTCCTATCTCGACAACCTGCTGTTTATCAGCGGCATCTACACGTTTGTTATTCCGAAATATCAACGTAATCTTCGACCAATGAAAAAACGTTAAAAACAATATACAGTTGTAGATGCTTGTACTATTACTCAGCGAGAGTGTACGAACGTCATTCACATCATCACCTTTTCATCAGTTCAATGAGTCTGTATATCTTCAAATGTTCTAATCGCTCATTCTTCAATTCGATTCGATAGTTTCTTCTCTTCTGTCGATCATCGACTCGCCCGTCCGTTTTTCTTCCTCGATCAAACAATTTGCTCAACAGATACTATTGGAGGTCACTTATTTTTTTGTTCTTGTAAACACTTGTCAATTGTTTATTATCTTTTCATGCAAATTAATCTTTACTAGAAGTGAAAAATATTGAGAATATATGTTTCAAATAGGGTCAAGGTTTTCACTTCTCGTCGCGACGCACACACACATACGCTGAATAGTCCTCAAATCAAACATAGCTCGATTTTCATCTCTTTCGTACGTACATTCGTTTGTAGAAACTAATATATATCAAATTCTTTCTCTGCGCATAAATGATATCCATTTTCGAAAAAAAATTCTTCATACATCAGATTTCCTCGTTTTTCTTCTTCTTCTTCTTCTCTCTCTCTCTTCTCGTCCTCCTTCATCTCGTACAATAACAACTGTTATTCGAATGTCTGAAGTTTCATTCGTTTGTTTTTTATCATCATAGAAGCCAAAGCAAAGAAATGAATCGAAGCAATGTTAAACCTTTCAGTCTTTCTTCTAGATCTTCAGCCATGAAGAAGATCAACCGTCATTCAACTAATCGATCGAATGATCTTCATTAATTATTTTGCGAATATCTAATCGTTCATCAACGAAAATAAACAGGTAAATAATGTTTCATTCGTTAGGAGTAATTGACTAGTCAAGTGAAGAACGGGAAAGAGAAAGAAATGTTGTTCTTTCCTCCTTTTGACTTTTCATACGAAAAGAAAATGTGACAACGTAAACTGAACACATTGAAACTTTTTTCATAACAGTCGAGCATTTGCATTGACACATCCAAAGTAAAACGAATGGCAGATTCTTACAAAGCATACGTTCAGCAATTGCTTCAAAACGGATTGAAATCTCGGCGACAGTCGTTTTTCGATCATATTGACGGTCGATTGTTAATCGAACAGCCACGAAAAAATGGCTCGTCAAATGTAAGACTTACAAGTGCAGAGATTTCATTGCTAGTCTTCTCTATTGACAAAAATCAATACTGATTTCATTTTGTATTTTAGCGAAGTATGGGAAATTGTATCAATTTTGCCCGTCCGAAGTCAGGCAAGCTGCAGAAAAATCAGGTGCCTGATTCACCGTTGAATCTCATCTCACAACAACAGCAGCCGATTCTCTCACCCTCATCCGTACAATTCTCAATCAACAATCATCATCAGAATACGAATGGAATTGTCACACCATCGTCTTCGGGTGTATCAAGCGCATCATCATCGACGACATCAGCGATTGTGATGAAAACGAACAACGATATGAATAATAATCGATTCCAATACATAGCCATATGTGATTACGATGCCAGAACAAACGATGATTTAACCATAAGGAAACATGATCTACTGGAAATTATCTATCGCAAAAATACTGCATGGTGCAAGGCGAAAAACGAGGGTGGACAAGAAGGTTGGATTCCATCGAATTTCGTCGCGAAACGGGATAGTCTCGAATCCGAGCCGTGCGTTGAATAACTTTCTCTTTTCGTTCATTCATTTTTTTCTCTTCTCATTAGATGGTATTTCAAGTCCATTCGTCGAATTGATGCTGAAAAACAGCTGATGTCAGATGTCAATGAACACGGCAGTTTTCTCGTATGTCGTCGTAGCCTTCATTTTTTTCACTGATGGCGATAAAAAACGCCAAAAAGAGATGAAATATTTCAATTAAGAATTTCATGTTCTTATACGCTTATCGTTTATTCATTTCAAGTCATACTGTTCAAAAAAAACGGTTACGTAATCGAATGAATGGTTATTGAAATGAATAGACGTGAATATTCTTCTTCGTTTTTTTTCTTCTTCTAAACAAAATGTCCTTCAATGATTGGTGAAGAATACGATCACTCGGCGAGATATTTTCATATATATTGATTTATGCAATGTAAACAATGTTCTGATGAAAGTTTTATTTAGATTCGCGATAGTGAAACGAAAAAAACCGATTTTTCTCTTTCAAGTGAGTGCGACTCGTGTTCTCATCGAAACTATTGTCGACACTTTTAGTTCGTGATAATGATTCTGTGAAACATTATCGAATACGACAAGGTGAAGATGGCCGATACTATATTGCACGTCGAACAACGTTCAATACATTACCTGAACTTGTCAATCATTACTCAAAAACGTCAGATGGCCTATGTGTAAATTTAAGACAACCCTGTGTACATGTAAGTCAAAATATACGCGTGATTATTATCGTATCAAGTAATTGATTGTATAGATTATCAAACCTGAACCAGATGGCTTATCGCATAGTCTTGTGGATAAATGGGAAATATCTCGACGGGAAATCAAATTAATTCGACGTCTTGGCCATGGACAATTTGGTGACGTATGGGAAGGCGTCTGGAATGATAATGTATCTGTTGCTGTGAAGACACTCAAGTCAGGTTCGATGAATCCGACGGATTTTCTCGCTGAAGCGTCAATAATGAAACGCTTGCGACATGCAAACTTGATTCAATTATTTGCCGTGTGTACAATCGAAGAACCAATTTATATTGTGACAGAATTAATGAAAAACGGTAGTCTTTTGGATTATTTACAAAGTAAATAGAGACATACATTTAGTACGATGAAATTTGAAGTATGAATTCGTATCATTTTAAGGTCCACGCGGACGACAATTGAAAATGTCTGCACTGATTTACATCGCTACACAAATTGCAAGAGGAATGGCTTATCTAGAACAGCAGAATTACATTCATCGAGGTTTGTATTATGAATTCAAGGATGACATTCGTTCGTATAACTCGAGTTCTTCTCTTTTTAGATCTCGCTGCTCGAAATGTTCTTGTCGGTGAAAATAATACTGTTAAGATCGCAGATTTCGGTCTCGCAAGAATAATCAAGGTTGGTATACGAAAGGCTGACTGATGATCGATGAGGAGCAATTCTGTAGACATTTAGTATGACATTCTTAGAGAAACTGATCTGTAGACTTGTTTTTTACTTTGCTAGGATGAAGCAAAGGTAAGTGTGATATCACCATTGATCATGTTCATTGCTCGATGTTTTTGCTTCTGTCATTCTTCATTATGTTTTGACACGAGAACTAGACTTGCTTATCGTACGCAGTGATTGCAAAGTCGAGCGAAAAAAAAATTCTTTCAAATGCTTGTCAATAAGATCTCAGACATTCACTCTCCGTGTTCAATTTTCAAATCACAAGTCATTTTAGGAATATGCTGGTGGTATGTACGAAGCGAAAGAAGGTACGAAATTTCCCATCAAATGGACAGCACCTGAAGCAGCACTCTACAATCGATTTACCATCAAAAGCGACGTAAGACGATTGTAAGAACAAGATTCCTATCCGTTTCGATTGATCTTTAGGTTTGGTCGTATGGCATTCTTTTAACTGAATTAGTCACATTTGGTCGCACACCGTATCCAGGTATGACCAATGCGGAAGTTCTACGCCAAGTTGATCAGGGTTATCGTTTACCACAACCACCTAATTGCCCATCATCCCTCTATGGTATTATGCGTGAATGTTGGCATGCTCAACCGGAAAATCGACCATCATTTAGTACATTACAATATCGTCTGGAAAATGAATACACAGGCGAAAATCCTGAATTTAGTAACTAAGCGGCATTTGTTTGAAAAATATGAAAAAGAATTTCTTTCTCTCTCTCTCTCTGTCTATTTGTGTGTGATATTTCTATTTTCTTCTGATACTTTTCATTCTCATCATGTCTCAACTATGTATTATGGTGCTGGACAATGGCGCTTTGAAACATCTCACACAGTTCTTTGCTCTTGTTTTTGTTTTAAATTGGTATTATCGCGTAATTAATAATTGGTTTCTAGAATGTGAATAATTGTTTAAAAACAAAAACGCGAACTATTTATGTGCTTTGATAACAATTTGTAGAAAGAAAACAAATAAATAATTGTTTATGATTTTTCTGTTCTTTTTCTTTCAGAGTAATGGATTTCACGAATTCTACAGACCAGCAACAAAAACGCGGATTTAGTCTTTTCGGAAACTATAACTTACATGAGCCGGTTACTGATATTCCGGGTAAGTTCAAGGAGATAGACATGAAAGATTGTTCATGCTTAAGAGCCGTTTGATAGTTCATTCGTCTCCTGGTACAAGTGCTATTTCACCATTTTTAAATTTCGATCCACACGTATTAAACACCGTATGTAGTTTATTTCGATGAAAGTTTCAAAAACGGCAATGTGCTATTATTACTCTAGGGCGGTTCACAATTTATCGTACCTGAAGGTCAAAAAGAGAAACGTGGTCGACTAGAATTGATGTTTTTCACCATCGGTGGTTCAGTTATTGCTGGTTTGTTCCATATGATGAGACTGAGAAAGGATCTATAGAAATGGTGCCTTTCTTTTCTTTATAGGAAGTATGATTGGTAGTGCTTCAGGATTGTATCGTGGTGTACGAGAAACAAACCACCTAACTGGATCAGTACGAACTTCGTCGTAAGTTTAGCGAATGAAAATGATAAATTTGATACTATCCAATCTGGTTCTGCTTAGAATCATTAACTATGTTGCTCGGCAAGGTGCTACAACTGCCTCGGCAATGGGTTCGATAGGTAGAGGTGGAGATTCTTCGTATTTTTGTACATTCATATTATTTTTAGCATTAATATACAGTTTAATTGGTACCGGTCTGAGTTGGGCGCGTGAAGTCGATGATGAGCTGAATACTGTGGCGAGTGCTGGCCTTACCGGTCTTCTCTATCGATCAACTGCTGGTTGGAAAGGGGCTCTGAGAGGAGGCCTTTATGGTTTAGGCATATCATCGTTATATGTGCTTGCTACTTCCAAAGAACGTCTTCATCCTTATGCGTAGATCGAATGTGTTCTGTTTCTTTTTTGTTGTCATTGATTGTTTTCCTAATAAGGATTGAAATACATATCCACAAGGCCCTATTAGAACATATTTTGTGAGATGTCTGTTTTCTTTTTGTAGAGAAAAAAGAATGTCAGTGCCAGAAAGAATGCGAGCTGTCCTATTGAAAGATTTCGGTGATCGCGGTAGGTACTCGTGTGCAGTGATTTGAAGTGCATTTCATGTTTTTTTGTTGATCATTCTTACACTTAGATAATTTGTATGTTGGCGAAACAGATGTGCCAAAAATAAAAGTATAAATAATTTTGTAAATAGAAACAGTGGCTGATCGTACCGAGTTCGTCTGTTTAGGATGATGAAATATTGATAAAAGTCCATGCATTTGGCGTTAATCGAGTGGATATTGTACAACGTAAGGGTCAATATCCATCGCCATTTAATCTGACAGACGTTATCGGCTTAGAAGCAGCAGGAGAGATTGTTGATGTCGGTGAGCAAGCTAAAGACAAATGGAAGATCGACGATAAAGTATAAGTTCATGCAGCTCGTTGAGACATTATTTGCGATTGCTCTTCTCAGGTGATGGTATTAGTTACCAATGGTGGCTATGCGGAGTATGTTGCCGCGCACATGGATTGTACGATGAGGATTCCGGAAGGAATTTCGGTAGTTGATGCTGCTGGTCAGCGCTCGAGATTGTAGTTTGGTAGATAAAATAGATCGGCTATTCTAGGTATACCAGAAGCATTTCTTACTGCATTTCAAGGTTTGAGAGTGATTGGAAATGTAAAAAGGAATGATCTTGTTCTCATTCATGCCGGTGCTAGTGGTGTTGGTACTGCGGGTATTCAACTTGCAAAGTTTTTCGGTGCTAAAGTAGCAACTACCGCCGGAAGCAATGAAAAAGTTGCTTACTGTAAAAAACTTGGTGCTGACAAGGGAATCAATTACACTCATGGACCTTGGTAATCGATATCTTGCTTCTCATCGTTGTTTTCACGAGATAAACGTTTCAGGACGAATACTATACTTGAGTTCGCTCGAGGCTTGAACAAAGATGGTATGAAACTCGCGCGTATCCCATGCTTATTTGCATGTACATTTATGCAGTGTTATTGGTTGCATCACATTGAAGTGTGTTCTATTACTATCTAATAAATATCAACTAAGTTCAAACATGCTGGTTCTATTTATTTAGGCTATGATATTATTTATGATAATATTGGCAAAGACTATGTGCAAGCCAATCAAGACGTTCTTGGTGTTGATTCACGTTGGATCGTTCATAGTCATCTGAGTGGACCGGAAGCGGATAAACTATCGTTTGCAACTTTGTTGAAGAAACGTATTACATTATGTGGTACTGTTCTGCGAGCTCGATCGAACAGTTATAAAATGAATTTAATCAGGCAATTTGAAGATGAAATCATGAATGGTTTTGTCGATGGTAGACTCAAAGTTATCGTTGATAAAACATGGCCGATAGAGCAGATCGCCGAAGCTCATAAATACATGGAAAATAATTTAACCATGGGCAAATTAGTGGTGACTATTATACACAATAAATAATAAATCTTCATCGGTGTGTTTTTGATGTAGCAAAGCTGATGTAATTTATATTTAGATTAGTTTTAAAAACTTTCTCGTGCTTGTTCTCTATGACAAAAGTAGAAGTAAATAAAAACTATAGTTTCTTTTTTATATTTTCAATTTTCTATTTGTAAATTTGGATATCGGGATGGCACAAGGGTAGCGATTGTTGAGCAATTTCCGCAGCTTGCTCGTAGAATAGATAGGCTTCCAGATAATTATTCATTTTTTCATACCACATAGCGATACTTTTGTACGACAAAGCCAAACTGGGATGAGTGTTAGGAAGTGATTGTTGTCGAATTGCAAGGCCTTTTTCATAGTACGAAAGTGCTTTTGGATAGTCGCCCATATCATGATATAGATGGCCAATATTCATGAATGATAAAGCTAAATCCTGAGGATTTGAATAGGATGATTGTTGCACGATCGTAAGAGCCCTTTTATAAGCCAAGAGTGACTTTGCATGCTCGTTTTTGTGGCGGTATATGACGTCAATTTTGTTGTAATGTGTAGCCAATCGAGGATGATTATAAGGAAGTAATCTTTGCCAGATAGCAAGAGATTTCTCAAAAGCGAAGAGTGCTTTTTGATAATTCCACATGTGTCCATACAAAACACCGATGTTATTGTACAATGAAGCTAAAGTGGGATGAGTGTCTGGAAGCGATTGTTGTTGAATTTCAAGCGCTTTTTCATAGAAGGAGAGTGCTTTCTCATAATTGCTCATGTCGTAATACACAGTACCAGTATTATTGTAGAATTCAGCCAAACTAGGGTGGGTAGGAGGAAGTGTCTGACTGACAATTACAAGACCTTTTTCGTACGCTGAAAGTACTTTTCGATAGTCACCCATACTACGATACACCGAGCCGATGTGATTATAGGAAGTTCCCAAACAAGGATGATTCGAGGGAAGTGATTGCTGTTGAATCATCAGACACCTTTCATACGCTGAGAGTGCTTTTGAACTACCAGCCATGTGCTCATACACGGCGCCAATGTTGCCGTAACACGAACTCAAAAGAATAGGGTCAGACGGAAATAACTGTTGTCCAATGACAAGAGCTTTCTCAAAAGCTAACAGCGCTTTTGAATAGGTACCCATGCTGTCATACACCGAACCAATGCTCAGGTACGATCGACCTAAATAAGGACGATTGGAGTGAAGTGATTGTTGCCAAATACCGCAAGCTTTTTCGTAATAGGAAGAGCATTTGGATAGCCACCCGTGTGATTGTACACAGCGCCAATATTGTTATAGGATTGCCCCAAATCAGGATAATTAGCAAGAAGTGATTGCTGCTGAATGCCGAGAGATTTTTCATAAGCTGAGAGCGCTTTCGAATAATCGCCCATACTGTGATAAACTGTGCCGATGCTATTGTAGGATTCAGCGAAAGCAGCATGAGTAGAAGGAAGCAAGCGCTGTTCAATTGAAATGGCTTTCTCGTGAAATCGTACAGCCTCTTGATATTCTCCTTGCTTGTATTTAATAATTGCCATGGAATGATAGATAGATATGTGACCAGATTCATTCGGTTTCTCCTCAAGAAGCTCCTTGTTAATTGCTTCAGCAACATCAGTTTGGTGTAAGGCAATCAGCATAAAGACCAATCGGTGCCAACCGCTTGAAGTTGGAGAACTTTCCTTCCTAATGGAATTAGTCAAAGTACGAAATTCTGCATTATCATCGCCAGTGAGAGTCAAGTTGACTTCATAAAGTCTTTCATTCTTATTTAGTCGTTGGATATCATTAATTTGGAACACACTGTGCATCGAAAATAGCAGCTCATCTTCGTCAGGAAAATAACTGATACCTCGAAGACAAGCAAATGGAGTGGTCGCTTGAGTAACATCGATCTCGATAACGAAAAGAACACCTATCATATTATGATCGATTGAATTACTTTCTGCGAAAGCCAACGCGACATCGCGGTCTTTGCTAGTGGACAAGAAGCTATTGAATGACAGTAATCCATCCTTTGTTTTCATCAGTTCATTGAAATCTGCTTCGGATAGTCCCTGTCCGCGATAAACAATAAACTTTGCTTCACACAAATAGTTCGCATATTGCGCTTTATATAATTGTTCAATATGTCGATGAAGATCAGTAATAAAAAATCCCATTTGTGTGATCATCTCCCCATCTAACATTCGTAAAGCACGATTCACGATAGAATATAAAACACTTCCCTTGGTATACCACCACACTGGAGTTTTTTTAATGATAACTACGCATCTGTTCTTCATTGGAACTTGTTTAGTTTTGTTCATCAACTAGCGCATCAGGATAACAAGCAATGAATTCAATGCATTCATCATTATCCATAAATATATCAAGATATTGAACGTTCTTGTCCAGTTGTTCAATTGTTTGTTGAAAGTATTCATCAGTAGGATCAGTGCGGTTTTCTAACCAGACTACCACGACATTGTGCCACTTGTTAGCGTCAATACGTCGCCGTCTACCGAACTTTTCTGGAACTATGTTTGATTTTTCACTTGCTTTCGAAACACTACTCAGACTGTTTATCATAATCCCCGTTTACCAAGAATGTTGAAAGTATATCCTATTTAAAATCGTATATCTCGCATAGAGATAAGAAAAAGCACACGATTTTATCATCAAATCTTATCATGAAAAGTTAAAAGCGAAGAGCAAATTTAGTTCATAGAACTCATATTCGATCATCAGATAATTCTCCATCCATGAATTAAAGGCCTACTTCTTGTCATGGTTTCGTATAGAAACGCCACTTGTTCATTTGTCAATCTCAAATGACGAAATAGGAACGATATGTAATTCCATTCCAATAGCAATCACTTTACTCGACATATATCGATATTCTACTTGTCTCTGATATACTGTATTAGAATCTGTTCGAATAACTGAATTATTTTCTAATCTTTTGCGATAGTATCCGCTATTCATATATTCAATTTTAGAGATTATTCGATTGATTATGCAGTTTTACCATCTCAATATTCGTTATTCTTGTCTTATCTTCGAAAACGAATGCTAATTCAACTGATTCTTACTTCTACGCTAACATTGCAGTTACGTCGTATCGTCAAATAGGATTCTTTTTAATATATCAATGAAATCTTCTCATTTGTTACTTGTATGTCCTTGTCAAAACAATAGAGAAAGTTTCGAAAATGTTTTTGATTGAATTGTACCCAAAGACAAACAAATCCATAACGATGTCAAAAGGTTTTTAATTGTATTTCTCGTGTCTACTGCCAATGTCGAATGAAAATCACGTTTCTCTTTCGAAAAAACGAGAACAACTGCGGATGTTCAAAAAGTTCTTTGTAAATTGAGCTGACAAATGTCAGATCCGATTACAGAAGACATTTCTGAGCGACAAATCCACTTTTAGACACGCACATGAAAAACAGCTAGACATTTTATAAGATAGAAAGCAGGGAGGTAAGCCCCTTTCGTAATAAAGCTGATCTAAAATATTTTCGAGATGTATCAAAAATCTTCAGGCAATTCCATATGAAAAAGATTATAGGAAAGCAACTTCAGTAAGTATTAGCTAACTCCTCTCGAGGGAGATCGAGAGGTTGCACTATTTTTTCTTCAGTGCTTAGTTTACGTAAAAATACTTTCCATGTCGACATCTGCTGAGCGTATTCGTCTAGTCAAATACTCGATTTTGCAAACAACACTTGCCCCATCGATCCTCTGTGACATATTCGTGTTCATTTACTTCTTTCGTCATTGGCGAAAAGAGATTATCAATGCTCCGCACTATCATGTCACATTATGTTTACTCATCGTTAGTTTTATCCAAAAGACCACCGATATTATATTCCATTTGTACTACTTACGATGGGGCATCGTCATTCTTCCAACATATTCCTTCTGCGTTACTTGGAATTGGTTGAATTATTCGTTATATTGTGTCAATCTTGATCTCGTCACGTGGTGTTGTATTGAAAGACATCTATTTGTTTTCCATAGTCATTTAATGAAGAAAAAATTAGCGTTAATTGTCTTTCATTATCTGCCATTAACAGTATGCTTAATTTACACGCCTCTATTCTATTTGCATTTCGTATTTTTCCCAGATCAGTGCACGAATAGCTGGGATTATTCGTTGCTCTACTGCGGAGGGCCTTGCTATCTATATAGTGATCGACTTCTAGGTACATTTGATTGGCTCTTTCATTGTGGCACACCGATCCTGATTATATTTTTCGCAAATTTGCTACTCTTTCAACGAATTTTATGGCAAAAACTTCGTCGACAACGGCGAGTGAGATGGAAGCGTCATCGACGTTTAATTCTTCAACTTGCGTTCATTTCTATTCTCTTCTTAATATTTGCCTCTCCTGCCGTAATCGTTGGTTGTATTCAACTTTTATGGTTACCCACATTTTTATATGACGTCCAGAATGATTATTTCTATTACGTTGGTTGTTTTATTAATCAATTGTTGCCATTTGTTATTGTCAGCTCATTACCAAAACTAAATCAAGACATACAAAGAAAATTTGCTCATCTCAGAAGACGATTGTGTGGCCGGTTAAGAGTTCAACCGCTCGTGACATTGACAATGGCAGATATTAATTACGGCACAGCTGCAAGGGCATTTCCTCGAGTCACTCGGTAATTCCGCTCGAATTCGAACTTTCTTATCTAGTCAATCGTTCAACACAACCTACTATCATTTTTCATCTCGATTTACGAACATTATTCTCGAGAGAACAGAGGTGATTGATTATGTTCACACCTTAGACGTACTAGTCTAGGGAAATAAGTAATTCGCTCATGAATAAATAATGAGACTAACATTCGAATAAAATGGGCAATTTATTGTATCGAAAAGAAAAACGTCTAAATTGTTCAACAAATAATAGCAGTGAGAAAAGGTGTACATTTTGTGTGTATCTATATATATATGTATTCTTCATTGATTACTCACGCTAAATGTAACAAAACAGTTTGGCAGCAACAACAACAAGATATTCTTCTTTTTCTCGACACAGCAAAATAAAAAGAGAAAGAAATCAATAAAGCAAAAGAGAAAGAAGAACGATACGTATGGTAAATCAACACTGTTCAATGTTAAATACTACCATCCGACGTTCTCTCGTCTAGGTAATATAGAATAAATGATAAGACAGATAGAAAGTAAAAGAAACGACAAGGATCGATCTAACTTATAATACACACAGAGAGAAAGAAATGCAGCAATTGATGACTAGGAGTTCTATTGCGTAATTTTAATTTGACGATTGAAAGCAGGTACACGATCGTGTGGGATAGGTACTTCGACAGTCAGTGTTGAATCTTCACTCATCTTAGCACGCAGATTATCGACATCGACCCAATCCGGTAGAACATATTCACGCATGTATTCGCGATTGATTTGATTACCGCGTGTGTTGTCGATATGCACTGCTTGAACTAAAACAACAAGGCGATTGAATTCGCTTCGCACATCTAATCGATCTTTTACCTTTTAATACATTATCATTAACTTTCACACTAACATCATCAGGTTTATAACCACTTAAATCAAATGTAAGTTTGAGTTGTTGATCGCCAACTGAATATGAATCATTCGAATTCAAATTAGTAGGGAGATTAAACTGATGTGATTGATGTGTAGGTGTTAATGGTGGACGATAATCGCGTACAGGAATTTGAATTGTTAGAATACCATCGGCACTCAGTGTATTTGTTAATTTCTTGGCATCTGCACCGTCAGGTAAACCTTAAAGAGAGGAGAAGAAGGATAAGAATGCAATCTATATCAAACGAAAAGAATTACCGATTTCTCGTTTGAATTCTCGATGGTTTGAAGTACGTCCATCACGTTCTTGTCTCAAGGCACTCACTTTCAACATGGTATCGTTCACTTGGATGGCAATATCTTCGGGCGCGAATTCACTTAGATTAAACTTATATGTAACATTTTTTGTGCCGTCGTTGCGATCACTGTTCGAAAATTCAGGTCGTGATGTGATTGTTGAAAATGTGACCGGAGGTGGCAGACCGATGCCTGCGTTACTTCCGAGAAGAGTGGATGTCGAACTTGTTGACGAGTACTGATCACGTAACGGACTATGACGAAGAAAACTGTTCGATCCACCAGTATTATTACTGCTGCTCTCTTGTCGAAATGACGACGACGATGATGAGTAGGAATTTGATTGATTAGTTCCTACGCCAAGACTTGATGGTTGACGTCCACCATGAAATGTCGTATCGACGAGACGACCTGGACTTGATTGACGAAATGTTATAGCTGAGCCGGCATCGTTATAGACACGATCCATTAGAACGGGTGCTTCCATTGTTAATTGACCGTCTTCGGCGAGATAAGATTGCAGAGTTTTCGCATCAACGAATTCGGGTAAAGTTAATTCACGATTAAATTGCTTTGATTCAGTCGCATTGCCAACTTTGACTTGACGATCACCTTTAACTATTAACATTCGACCATCAACTTTGACATTCAGTTCTTCGGGACGAAATTCTCCAATATCAAATTGAATCTTATATTTCTTCCGTCCGTCATTGTCTTCTTCGATGAATGCACGTTGACCCGATGTATTCACAGTTGAGCCTATGCCAGATGCCGATCCTCGAAAGGTTGGCCAATCAACTCCACCGAATTCAGGAAAATCGGGAAAATCGACGCGCATTCGCGGTTTTGAATGCACGAGAGACGACGATGGAAACGAGCTGGGCTCAGTTCTTGATTCATTGAAAAATTTCTCTCGCCATCGGCGACATTCATCTTCAAAATCACGCATACGTGTACTCATTCGATCATGTGTATCATTTGATGGCCCGTCCGATGAGCGAAAACGTATAAAACGTTGATCATCGCTTGGATTTACCGTCACGGGTATGACCGTTCGTGGATGATGTTGATAATGGTGGTCGTTGTTCATTTTTCTTTATCTCTTGTGTCACCGATTGATATTGATTATGAACGTCTTCACATATATTTAATACAGTTTTCAAATCGATCACATCAATCAGTGACGAAAGTACAGTGAAAGTATCTAAAATTGATGAACATATGAACATGTACGAACGAGATGTGTAGACGTATCGAGATTAAGGAAAAAAGAGTGAGAGAAATGAATGTATATGGAAATAACCGCATCATCATCGCCATGTCTGTTTATACCAACAACAATTTCTCTGCTGATGCCATCTCCTTTCTCCTTTTTTTCTCGGAAGAAGAGAACCATTCTTCCTCCGTTAGAAGTGCACTGATAACATATGTATAATCGACGCGCGCCAACGACAGTCGCTCCTACTTCTTCGTCTACTTTGCATTTTTGGCTGGCGCGCGCGTATATACGTCTATATACTATGTATTTATTTATTTCCTTTTCTTTTCTCTTCTCATCTCTCTCTCTCTTCTCTCGCGTTTCTCTTGTAACTCATGCAAACTCATGCGCTGACTATGACTCCAAACGCTAGTAGTATATATATATATATATATATGTATATATACATATCCATTCGCAAGCAGTCCGCTTTCTGGTCGATTTTCTTCTTTGCTTCCTTCATCAGCTTCTTTTTTTCTTCTTACCATATCGTTAAATACATATACGTATTTATATATATAATACATACCGATGAAAGAAAAGAGTCGGTCTGGCATCGGAAATAGTTTATATGACTCTTCTTTCGTTCTTTCTCTGCTTTCTTGCCAGCTTGTCTGCCTATCTCTATACTCAACTATACAGTTGCCAAAGAAGAAAAAAAAAGAAAGAACGACTCTTGATTATAACAATTACTAATTCTGATAATCTATGACAGGTATAGACTATAGTCGTGGGGTAGAGCAAGACATAATCATATATCAACAAACAATAGAGCTGCTACAACTTGCATCGCACGATGAAAATAAAACAAATGGGAACGAGAGGTCACCATTGATTTCTCAGAATAATTCTTAAAAGAGAGAAGAAATAAAAACGAGAGACCCGAGAGCGTTGATGCGAACGACAAGCTTTACTCACTCAAATATTTGACTTTAGACGAAATATTACATCATTAGATTCGTCTTGTCATGTCCAAGTAAATATATCATCGTTTTAATACGATGAATAAGCAATAGCATCTCAAATCACCTTTAGATGAAAAGAAAATGTGCAAAATTTGGCCCGTGAACTCTACTCAATATACATATGCGTGTGTATATATACATAACCCTTTACGTTCGCTGTTGTTTTTGTTATGATGAGACGATGGATGTCTTTATGAAGGATTAGTTGCTCTTGTTATATGAACAGAAGACGGTGGATATACACACATCTCTGTATATCTACGGATCGAATTCATTTTCATTGCCTATTTACTGACACTCAAGCTGCTGCCGTATGTCTATAATCATTAGTTCTTTTTTCTCTTCACTCTTTACTTACGCGTACATTGAATAAAATATGAAGGTTTCACATGTGCACGCATGTATGTGAGCAAATGTGAAGGCTAACAATGGAGAGATGAATGAATAAATGAAAAAATTTGACATTTTTATGAAATCAGACTCAAAAAGAATAAAGATTAAGGACATTAGGTGTACGTATGAACAGTTTCAATTGTTCTGTGAAGCACTACTGATATCCTGTCCGTTCTGATTCAATCAAAATGTATTAACTATTATGTAAAGAAACGAACGAACGGAGACAACTCACGTAATCAAGCTCATTTTCTCGAAAAAATCAAAATAAAAGTGTTATTCATCAATATGTCTTTCTTCTAGTTGTAGTCAACTGCTGTTGTTGTCATCATGCTGAGTATCCTGTGATGGTGGGTGGATATTCTAACATGGAGGAAAAGTAGATAGTGGCATAGCAAGCAGTTAAATGTTATCGCACCACCTGTTCGATTTGTGTCTCCTTTTTCAGTGAAAAACAAAACTGTTGTCACGCTGAGAAAGAAAACGAAACAGAAAAAGATGTTCGACGTCAATGTTAATTTCATTATCCCTTATGACAGAATGTAGTTACGATTATCGACATGTGTTTGTGTGAGAATGACGCACATTCTGTTCGGAAGAAAGAAAAAAGTAAGAGAGAGAAAGAGAGAAAAAACGGAGCGCTGCGAGTAGGATTTGAACCTACGCGTGAAGATCACATTGGATTTCAAGTCCAACGCCTTAACCGCTCGGCCATCGCAGCTGTGCCCCAACGGCTACATAATGATTTTTGATACTTATTATCGGTTCGGTAATTTATTAAAATCAATTTGAATCTTCTATTTCATTCATATTTCAAACAAATCCAAAACAAAAGAATTGTGCAGGAGATGAGGTGAAAAAGAAAAGTTTATACTGTTGATTTTGCCAATAACAAAAACGGACGTATTCTTTGGGGTTGAAATAGAAGACAGAAAATAAACTTCTGGAAAACACACGTAGTATGAATCACACATTGATGTATAACTTATGAAATAGAGATTGAATGAAGTTTTTCTAGCATCTAGCACGCCCAGAGAGTACTGTACACAAAGTTAGAAGAGTAGAGAAGACGATGAACTAGGAGAGAAAAAGAGAAGAGAGATGCGAAACTTCATGGAGATGGATACAGGAAACAAACTGAGCACCGTGATTAGAAAAAAAGAACAGAGAGAAAACAAAACAAGCATTATGAAAATCAATCACACATTAGCATAACGATTAGATGACTCATAAAGACGTTCATCTGATGATGGAAGATTAGTTGCTGCTGGTGAGTCATATGCAGAGGACGTAACGGATGCATACTGAGGAGAATTTGCACGGATCTGTCTTGTGAGTTCAAGTGCTGCTTGTCGTAATTGATCATGAGTCAAATTTGTACAATCGCGTAATTCTTCTAAGATTAATGCGCTATACCGTCGATCGATACCGGATGTATCCAGACAGGCGTTGACTAATTCTTCGACGTTATCTCTATCTAGTAATTGCATTGAATAAGGTTGCGTGGGAGTACGAATTGGTGGATCTAGAAAGTTTAGAGAATGTTTATTTGTAACCGAGACGTAACAAGCATGTGCTGACCTTGATAGTAGTGATTCGTATTATACATATGTGTGGATGCTAGTGGTTGACGTTGTTGGATAGTAGATGCGACGGGGTGCAGGGTGAGGGATCCAGTCGGATTGATTGTCTGTGCTAGAAGTAAGTCGGGCTATGAATGATAAGAAACAAAAACACAAACAACATTCACAAGACATGCTAAATTGAATAAACATGCAACGAGCATTGCAAGATAGTGAAGCACTTACTGCGTATGGTATTGCCATTTTCGACGATTAATGCGCGATTTACCGTCTACAAAAAGAACGAAACGTTTATTTTTTTTTGAAGATAAAGAGAAGAATTCCTACAGCAGTTTGCGGTTGATTTGAATCATCAATACTTGCTGAACCTTTGACTAGAGCTGATTCTTGACTATCGTTTTTACGCTTAGCGAATATACGTGCTAATACAGAACGACGACGAGGATGTGGTACGGACTCTTGATTGGATGCGACCGACGGTTCCCTAACGAGATTAAAGAATAATTTCATGGAAGAAAATAAAGAAGATCCTTTACCGATAACGAAAACTACTCTCTTTGCGAATATTTCCTCGACGTTCTAATGTCAACGGTCCCAAAGGTCCTTCTTCATGTTCCGGTACTTGAAACACGTAACTGTCTGGTTCGATACCACGTCGTTCAGCAGTAATAGCTCTGTAAATAAGAACAAATGACTGATGAAACGATATAAATGCAAAATAGATGAGCATTTTACCCGATGCGAAACGGTGATGGCGTATGAAAATTGGGATCACCTTCGATTTTCACTGATACTGGCCCATCTGGTTCACGTCGAAGACGTGTGCCTGGTGGTGGAGGTGGTGAGACAACATTCGTTGCTGAAAAACTATGCGCATAACCAAGTACTTGTTGTGGCTTACGTATAGCACGTGTAAATGCATCAATCATTGTACCAAATAATGAATGATCTCGCTAAAACAATCGATCGATGTTTGCTCGATAGGAACAATTTCTCTCTTACGTGGTGCTGCGGCTCTTCTTCGCGCCAGAACCGATTGAATGTTTCTTCGTCATCCAAATCTCCTGATATCGCTCGTCGGATTTCCGGGCCCAAGTCATGCAATTGTCGCAATCCCGCTTGTAATGCCACTGAATTCTTACTGGCACCGGAAAAGCCCAGTGTCACCTGTTTCGCTGCTTGTTCTTTACGCTTTTTGAATCGACGAAAGTAATCTTGAATAAGAAATGTAGCGTAGAACTTTCCCACCGTCACGTCATCATCAGAGCCCGGCGGAGGAATAATTTGGTCGAGCAATTTCTGAGGTGTTCGCTTCCAAATCTTGCGTATAACCGCACGAAGTTCTTCATTCGCTTGGTCGATGTTTCCATCGGTTTTAATTTTTAACGATGTACGAATGAGTGCAAAAAGTGTAGCATTGAACATAACAGTACCATCTTGATTCAATGGCATATTCATTGATACCAATTTCTAATATGAAGATTACCAAACAGTTGAAAGAGGAGATTAAGACAAGCGCTCAAGACATATTTGGTGCGTGCAGAATGAAAATTAGCTTTTATGATAAAGAAGACAGTGTACTAGTACCTTACAAGCCACTCTATGTGGACAAAGTTTGCCAAAGCCGAGTGGTGGTGAGATTTTTCTCAATAGTGTGATTACATCGAGATGTTTGATACGTCCTCTGAATGAAACAACAACAAAAGCACATGAATAACCGAAATGAACAAGATAGCAAAAGACGACACAAGTCAAATGAAGATAGGTGAAAGATAAATGAATGAATGAATGAATGTGAGACATTGAATATTGTATATACATATATGTATGACAATATATAAACAATAGAGTATACCTTGCACGCCGTCCGATGAGGACAGAATTTTCCAAATCCCAACGGTGGCGAAATATTTCGAAGTACATTTACTACTTCCAGATGTTTTATACGACCTCTGAGAGAAGTTTCAGTAGATTAAACTTTTAGTTTGAATAGAGGGTGTGTTTATAATTTGAGCAGTGAAAGAAAGAGTAGGAAACAGCGTACGTATGTGCGTTTTCTTACTTTGCTTCTGGATCATATTCGGACCAAAGACGAACGAATTCATCCAGATGATGAGGACCAAGGATAGACCAATCGCGAGTCAAGTAATCGAAATTGTCCATAATGACAGCGACGAATAAGTTGATAATCTAATCGACACTCCAGAATAGGAAAACAAACTTGTTTTCATGTTCTACTTACCAAAAACGAACAAAGGATGTAGAACGACAGGAAGTACGGGATCGCAAAATAGCTTCCACAGTATTCATCTTTTCGAGATCGTGATCGGCTGTCACATTTCGCATTGGCACTTGGACCACAAGCATACATGATTTCTTGCCAAGCTTCACCTGTCGCTGATCTATTTCAAACGAAATTCCATCGATTCATCATACAAGTGATTCTATTTCCATTACCGAAACAGCACAAGCAATGAATTGAAAAAGGTTTGAAAATTGTTGTTAGAATTGATTTCTGTATCTTCGTCCATGGCGATTTTACCAAACATCTAAACGGCCAGGAAAATATGATCGATCTATTCGATTTCGAAGGAGTCAGAACAATTACATCGAAGGGAAATAACGATCTCTAAATAGCTTTCTCCAGGTTTAGAATACTAATAGTTTGATAACAATAGGATAATATACAACTAGCAGTGATTCGTTATATCTCGTACATCTGTCGAATGATAATCTCATCATTAGAAATAAATTCTTCTCGATAAGTTTCACTATTTCATCTATGTTCTCTGTTGTGAATTCGTACAACTAGGGGTGATAATGACAATAAGCATAAAATAAAAAGAAAATATATATAGATATATAAATTCTATTACAAATGCGGGTAGACAAGAATTGTGAGAGACAAAAAAATGACATTTGTGATGACGACCACATTTGTATGGTCGAACGATGACCGTGAAATATTGAGAAAAAAAAAGAGGTCATATCGATCGCTAATCTTACCACGATGGTTTTTGTGAATGCTGTAATAATATTTCAAATGTGATTATTACCGTTTCAAGTGATCACAGTTAGGATCATCTTTTATTGATAGGGCAAATCAACTCTCTCCACTTCATCACAATCCACCGCTTTTTGTTCTTAGGTTATTTACCTGCATTCCAATGACAGCGTAGATAAAAAACAGCATCGCAATCAGAAGAGCAACGTAAGGTAATGCCTGAAAATAATCCGAAATAGAACACTTTCATCGAACAGGAATGAAACTTACTTGAAATGATTTTATGAATGTCCATAATAATGTTCGAATACCTTCTCCACGGCTGAGAATTTTTACCAAACGCATGACACGAAACAGACGGAAGAAATTGATACTGATAACATTGGTACCCGGCTAGATAAACAAAAACAGAAAGAAATTCTTCAAGTAATGTTCAAATGAGATTCGGTTAACAATAATCATTCAAATAATAAAATTCTTTTCTTGGAAAAGAATCAAATCAGAAACATTGATATTCGAATTAGACAATAACTAAACAACAGTAGTCGGATACCTGCTGAATTTTCCAGAATCGCTAATGAATTACACAAAGAAAAGAAACCAATGATCAGATCAAGGATACGTGGAAGAGAAAACATATCGGGTCGAAAAGTCAACAAGTCAAGGATTGAAACATCTTTTCTATTCGACTTACCGCGATGACATCGGTGTAGACAATGTCGATTACACTACCAACGACAATAATGAAATCACAACAATTCGATGGATCACTAAAGTAATGCTAAAGGAAAATGGAAAGTAGATTTCGAGGAAAACAAATTCATCTGTGTCAAGCGTACTCGAAAACGAAACGCAGCCATTTTGAGCACGAATTCCAAGCCGAAGATGGTTGTAAACACAATGTTTAAATAATCCAATGCTTTCGAATAATTATCAGGTTGTTTGTGATACTAAAATGCGAAACGAACGATTTTTCTCATGAGTAAATGTTGAAGAACTCCACATACTTTCATCGCCAGTACGACAGTATTGATCATAATTAGAGAGAAAATTGCGTATTCAAATGGCGGGGATGTGACAAACCACCAGATTTTCAATTGTGTCTTTTTGACTGGAATATAACGTTTAATAGGCTTCGCTTTCAGAGCAAACTCGATACATTTGCGCTGAGAAATATCAATGCAAAATAGAAGAAAACTTTGTTTTAAAACATTTACTTGATTTTTGTCCAACTCGCAATTTTTATATTCTTGTTCACCTTCATTTTGAAATGTAACGATGACGAAACCGACGAAGATATTAACCATAAAGAACGCAATGACCTAGAAAACGAACTTTTCAAAGAAAAAACGTTTTCAGAACACCAAACACTCACAATAATAAATGTGATGAAGAACGGCGCGACGAATGGTCGATAGTTATACACTGGACCATGGCCTTCTGCTTTCGAATCGATGGCAGTATGTAATAGACTACGAAAGAGAAAATATGATTCAATTGATTTCATTTTGGTTCCTTACGCTGGCCAGCCTTCAAATGTTGCAACGGTGAACAGAGTTAGGAGAGCTTGAGGAACATTATCAAAATGAAATTTGGAGTTTTCCCATACTCGTGCTTCTTTCGAAACACTGTTTTCGCTTGTTTTCAAATAATATCCCCTAGAAGAGCAAAACTTTTATCGGAATCATTTCGATCTCTTTTTCGTACTTGCAATGTTCTTTCGTCAGCATAGATTTATCATTGCACGAATAGAACGTTCCCTGTGAAGATAACAGACAGAAATGGATTTTATCCGTTCTTTCGATATTTACTTTGAACAGTTGAACACCCATACAAGCGAACATGAATTGTAAGAGAAATGTCACTAACATGATATTCCCAATAGTTTTGATAGCTACCACGACGCATTGCACGACATGCTATTCATATAAACACAATAATCAATGATTTGAGTACGAGGGAAAATAGCGTTTTACTTTAAGGCCCTTAGCTCGATTAATAGCACGCAATGGACGCAGCACACGAAGAACACGAAGGATTTTCACGACGGACATGGCACGATCTTTGATGACCATAGATATTAATGACACTGAGACGACGACAATATCAAGAATATTGAAACGGTTGCGAGCAAAAGCACCTGGATGGAAAATTAAACCATAAGAAATAACCTACAAAGAAAGAAATATTGTTATGCTCTTCGTTAGGACTCTATCATACCTTTAAACAGATTTCAATGGTAAACACTGCTGTGAAAAAGTAATCGGCTGTATTTAAAATCTATACGAGAAAATCGAAATTAAGTTTTCGACAGAGATATGAAAAGACCTCATACCCGATTTCGAACTGAATCCGAATCGACTGGATCTTCGGCACCCAAGGATATACTCGAGAGTAGAATACAAATAAGCACAATGTAACCAAATGCACGATGATTACAAACACGATGACAATAGATTCGAAATCTAGATGATAGTCAAGTTTCTTAAGGATCGAGAAAAACATGTTAGCTTTACTTATTCGTGTGACTGAAGAGAAACAAGGAAGAGTACGGTGGAATTGGTTTGACTTTTTCCACGATATTGAGTTCAGATAAACGGCGAGGTCTGCAAACAAATTACAAATCGAATTCGTGTTGATACCCGATGCCTTGAAATGCACAGTACCTGGCTGTAGCTCTGTCTTCGTCGTCAGTTTCACCAGTCGCACCTTCATTGAGTTCAGCTTCAGCTTCATTATCTTCATGTTGCGAAACTTTTTCTCCAACGTCACCTAACACTTTTTCTTCAGTTCCATCGCCTACTGTGTCAACTATGGAAGCAGTACAACATGTTTTCGATCAAAGAAATGCATCTTCTTACCTGCTCCGGCTTCTCCAGCGGTTGCTCTGATAAAAGACAACAATGTGAATGTGTATTGAACTCAGCGAACTCGAAACTTACCGGTCAGTGCCTTGAACATCCCCATTAGGCTTGTCTTCTTCACTCAATTTCGCTTCTTCACGTTTCTTTTGCTCTTCTTCTTCGGCAGCAGTCAAATTCTCCGCATCAGCCAAGTTATCAACGGCGACTAAAAACACAGACATGTTTGTTTTTCTCACCCTCTCTCATCATCCCCTCCCAAATCGAACTTACTAGCCAAGAAGACGTTCAGTAAAATGTAATTACCACAGATAAATAAAACAATGAAATAAACGCAAACGACCGTACCAGCCAATCCCAAACCACCCAAAGCACGAATGCCTGTGTATAACACTTCATTCCAATCTTCACCCGTTAATATCTACACGGAATCATCTTTTATGTAAAAGCAAATAATCGTTCCTAGCTTATCTTACTTGAAATACAGTAATCAATGCACCCCAGAATGAATCGAAATTGTTTCGTGGTTTCTCTTCGACGGTGAAGATTTCATCGAATTTGCCTCCGAACATTTGCATACCCAGAAGAGCAAAGATGACAATAAACAAGAATAGAAGCAACAGTAGAGATGCGATTGATTTCATGGAATTAAGCAAAGACGCAACTAGATTTCTCAAGGCTGTCCAGTATCGTGTCACTTTGAATACACGTAGAAGACGAACGCATCGCAACACAGATATACCCAATGGTGGCATAAGATCTTTGAAGATGAGAACGAATTCAACAATCGAGGCAATAACAACGAAACAATCGAAGCGATTGAAATTTGATACGAAATAGCCAGTTATGCCGAGTGAATACATTTTCAAAAGCATTTCAAATGAAAACAACACGACGAAGATTCGATTGGCATATTCTAGAATAAAATCTAATCTCATATCAATGATGTTCATCGAAATTATTCACCTTGAGTTTCAGTTAACCATTCAGGTTGGAGATAATATTCACTGGCTAGCACGACTGTGTTCATCAAGACAAGAATAATAACAATCCAATAAAATGTTTGCGATTTCACCATGGTGTGGATGCGACGTCGTGTATAAGCATGAAACACTCGAATGTATCGTCTAAATCATTCGAAAATTAGAGACGAAATTTCAGTTTATTTGTTCACATACAGTTTTTCGTAGAGCCAACTGCAATGTGTTTCTAATCTGCCCTGCTTTTTGATCGGTTCACCAGATGCATCCAAAGCAACTAAAAAGAATACACAAAGAAGTGAAACTGTTGAATCAGACAACATTCGACATTTACCCTCATTTTCGGCACCATCAGTAGTATCATTTCCGATTTCTGCAAAATAACAATCGATATAGAAACTGAACATCTCGAGGTAACGCATCTAATTACCAGCTTTACGAATCCATGCCATGTAATTTCGAAAAGATTCATCAATAATTTGAATTTCTCTCAATTTTTGAAAATCGCCACGCTGTTTAGCTTTTTCTCTTTCTTTAGAAAATTCACTAAACAACGAAAAAATTGTCAATTCTAAACTTGCAAGCTTGCTTTTTCGATTCATACCCGCTTAGAACACCTAAAACCAAGTTCATGACGAAAAAAGAGCCAATAATTATCAATGAAACGAAATAAATCCAAGCCCATTCACGTCCAATAGCATCATTCATCTAGAACAATCAAGAACAACGGAAATACTCGATACCAGTTCAACTCGATATCACTGTGAAGATCTTACTCTCGCTATTTCAAATTCATTCGACTTCCGATGAGATTCACGATCAATAACAATAGAAAACGACTCCAGCTAAGATTTAATCACTTCCGGATTGCATATGAATAAGTTTCTCGAGTCTGACTTCCTCCAAAAATACTCCTTTATTTACTCTGTTGATCTTTTCTCTTTCTTTCTCTCTCGTTGAACATACCCGATATAGAATTGACGTCCATCCTTCCATTGTTATACATTGAAAGACAGTTAACATAGCCAAACCAAAGTTATCGAAGTTGATGAACCCAAACCACGGGCCTACCCAACCGATGTCTTTGCATTCCTGACCAGCAGGACATTTCCTTCCTTTCTCACCACACGGCCGAACTGGATCCTCTGGTGGCATAATAGCTGCAGAAAAGAGGTTTTCAACAATGCACTCGAAAACTCTTTCTCATTTCTCACTCGTTCCATTGTAGTAGCAAGTCATATGCATTTTACCACAAAATAATTCGAGACCGATGATGGCATAGATCGTAATGACAAAGAGTACCAACAGAGCAATATGTAACAATGGCAACATCGCTCGTAAAATTGAATTTAACACAATTTGTAGACCTTTAGGAAAGAAGAAACAACAATCGATTTAGTCATTGTCGATAGAAATCGATGCACATACAACAAGTCAAACTTCATCTTACCAAATGCATAACTTATACATGCAACTAAAGGATGCTTCTTTTTTTCTCAAACAAAAATCAACACCAGACATAAAAGCAGGCAGGGATAGGATGATAATAACAACTAATAGACTAAATGATACAGTTCCGTGTATTTACTTGGTACACCATTGACAAGTTTTAATGGTCGAATCACACGAAATGCTCGCAGAGATTTGACATCAAAACCTTGGACATTATATCGGACTAATATAACACTCAGAAATCTAATTGAAAGAAATCGTTTCGTGGCTTTTCTCAATGTTGACTGCCTACCCGACAACAACAATAATAAAATCAAGTAAATTCCATCCACTTCGCAGATATGCATTCGGATGCAGACATAGACCATAGGCAATGATTTTTAGAACGACTTCAAGCGTGAAGATGGCCAAAAAGATGTACTCAATTTGTTCCTAAAGTTCGAAGATTCAATTAATTAAATTTTGTTTCACTTCGCTTTTTGTCTTCTTCGCATTGGCGTTCGACAACAACAACAAAAAAGCAGCTAATCTCTGGAGAACGATAATTTATGATCAAAACTCTCTCTTAATGCACTTAGCCCGAATAGATTGATTAAATCCTATACAATCTTTAATCGAATTATTTACTAGAATAGAATTTGTTGGTGTTGTATCATTATGTGGTAATGGTTTGCTCAAAGCTAATGCACCACAATTACAAAAGATTGTTAACAGCACCAAATATTCAAAAGGTCTGAAATAGTCAAAGCAAAAGTACGATCAGTGTCTGTGCTCCTTCGCGCTACTTACTTCCATTCGACTAGTTTGATACAAGTACGACGTAGTTTGTTATCAAGTGATAGACAAAATAGAGCGCGACTTGGATGTTCAGGCGTTGTCTGTCGTCGTTTACGTCGACGAATTTCAGCTTGTTGTAAAACTGCACTCCAGGCATTATTACCAGTAGGGATATCGAGTAGATGTGCCTAAACAGCAAATCAAAGCAAAATAAAGATCTTTACAGCAAATGCGTATATACGTACAGCTTTTTTAGGAGGTGCTTTCATCTGCGGCGGTAACGGTGGGACTAAAAGAAAGAGATGAATGCATTTGAATTTGAATTGAGTGCACAACTTACGCTGATCGTACTCATCATCCGCCGTGTATGAGTACTGCAATGGGCCAAACATTGTGTTGTCTGATTTGCTTTTATCTTGTTAATAAACGATTTCGATATGGTCGACAGTTGGAATGCTGATCAAACGAGACTAAATGAGGAGAAGTAAACATCTCAACATGATTTTCGAAAGTAAATTGAGTGCGACATAAAGGCAAAGGAAGGGAAAAAGAAAAAAAAAAGAAAACTTACGGAAAGAGGAATTACAGAACATTTGTTTTGTCGTTGTTGCATTGAAAGAACATTAGAACTAATGATCAGTTGAGAAGAAATGTCTGAATCGAGTAAAAGAAAAAGAGTTCGAAGAAAAAAAAATCGCTCAAGGAAATGGCAAACTCGTTGAATAAAAGAAAAACACAACTCGTATCGAAGGGTCATACAAGGTCGAAGAAGAAAATATCATCAAGGATTTTTGTTTGTCTACCATACATCCGGTTCCAAATAAGGGCAACGATGTTCTGGAACTACTATCAATGCGAAGAAAAGGCGACTGTGCCGCCACATATAGTCATTTGATCATTAACAAAAAAACAGTTCTCTCGCGAAAAAATTCTCCAGTTCATGTGAACAAATCACTTCGATATTCACATTTCACTCGTTTCCAATTAAACTTAACCAATGAAAAAATTTGTTAGTTTGTATTCATTAGAACATATATAGATTTTCTTTCCTAACAGAACAGTCGTCATACGTATTTGTCCTAATCGACTAGTAATATATCATCGATAGAAAACAAAAATAAATACTATCCATTCACAAAAACAGAGAAAGTACCTTGAACTTCTCTCAACAGCTCCACAAACAAAACAAAAAACGAGTGTTTTTATGAAGCAATGTAAATTCTGGAGAAGAGAAGAATGTCTTGTTACTGATTCAAATTGATCTACAATTCTTTGTTGAAAGACTTTGATCAGAACAGATCACTAGAGATTGGAATTAGATGAGTAACTCGTCTTGTATGTCAGAAATCATTTACAACTATGTAGATCGGATGATCATCGAGAACTTGAATTATATAATTCAAGAGAAATTCAGAAATGCTTTGTCCTATTGGTTCTTGCTGGAATACATTCTCTTCGATGATGTTAACTTATATAATGCACACGAACATCTCTTCATACATCCAACCATTTCGAGTGGATATGAGTGGTGTATCAAGCTTGTTTTTTTTTGTTTCTGTTCTTTACAAATCGACCAAACAAGCGTGTGTGTGATGTGTTTGAAGTATTTAAAGGTGGAGAATGTTTTCTTTCCCATTTCGCAATACACTTCCCATATATTATTGGTATTAGAAGAAAAAAGCGTCACTATATAGCTTTTGTCGACTTTCAGATGGCGGATTCACCACAATGGAACTCGTATACCGGTGTATGTGACCTACATGCTGAAGAATTGACTGATGAGCACTTGATTCACACCGATTATTGTCGCGTGTGTGGTTATCATAGAGAAGATCATGTGCGTAAGTGACTGTGAAGATCAATTGCCACCCAGTGCCTCATGTGTTGATAGATATTCTCGATGATGATCACGAAAGAGTTACCAATTTCAAAGAAGATCTAATCGTGATTATATTTAGCAAAACCGTTGACTTTTATCAGAGTGTAATACTTGTTTTTTTTTGCTTTAGGATAACTTCGATTTTGATGATATACCTAATGGCTCGAATAATTCTACTGTACCTGAGCAAGATCTTCGAGGATTAAGTAAGCAAGAAGCTTCGGATGCATTGGATAAAATTTGGACACGTTTGCTAATGGAACAATTTGCTGAAAGAGAGACAGAATTAGACGAATTGTCTCTTAAGCTTCAAGGTCAAACAATCCGTTGGCAAGAATGTATTTATAGTCAAACAAAACCACCAACTGGCCATAGTTTATGGATATCTATGCACGGAGGCGGTGGTTGTCCAACCCCGGTCAATGATCAGCAGTACCAAAATCACAAAAATCTTTATAACCCAAGCGAGGGTATCTGGGTAGTGCCACGAAGTCCAACAGACAGCTGGGACATGTGGCACCAAGAACATATTGATGCTATGTTCAATCGAATCATTGAAAACTACATTATGGTTAAGGAGATCAATCCTAATCGTGTGTACATCTTAGGCTACTCAGCCGGTGGCGATGGTGTGTATCAGCTTGCCCCGCGTATGGCTGATCGATTTGCAGCAGCTGCAATGATGGCTGGACATCCAAATGATGCTTTACCATACGGCCTTCGCAATCTACCATTCGCCATTTATGTCGGTGAAAATGATTCGGCTTATAATCGGAATGCAGTTGCACGACAATGGGCTGAGCAACTTGATAGTCTACAAAACGACGATCCAAATGGTTATAAACATCATGTGAATATATGTGCTGATATGGGTCATTGGATGTGTGGTCAAGATGCCGAAGCATTGGAATGGATGGCACAATGGGCTCGTAATCCGTGGCCGAAAAAAATTGTTTGGGTTCAGGATAAAGTATTTCACGATCGTTTCTATTGGTTATCCTTACCTAATTTAGTTCGAGTGACGAAAGGTGAAAAAATTACTGCGGAAATTGACAAGCAAACCATTACTATCACTCTCACTGCAGACATTCAGCAACTTGATCTTTACCTTTCCGATTTCCTGCTGAACTTAGACGAACCGATCAGTGTTCACGTCGATGGTTACGGTCAAGTCTATCATGGTCGTGTACCACGTACCGAACGAGCTATAGAGAAATCATTACGTCATCGTGCCGATCCAACATGTGCCGCATCTGCTATACTGGAGCTCGCGTGGGCAAACTTTTAAAAGCGCGTTGATCTTGGTTTAATCTGTTTGTTTATTTTACTTGGTTTTTATGTGCGTACGCTTTTTTCAAAATAAAGTGTAAGAAAAATGTGGACATGGGATGCAAGAGACAGAGAGAGAGATAGCGAAAGATAATAAATTCAGTTAATCAAAGAGAAGATAAACAAGAAAAATCAATATCAATAACAACAAAAGCAATAATGTTAATAGACGTGAAACAAAGTTTGGCTGCTCAAAAGACAAAATTTACAGGTGCGTACAGAGAATAGCACACACATATATATATATATATATGTATACAGGTACATAATCGCGCAACAAAGTAAACAAAAGTACATTCTTGGTTCTAGAAAAACAAAATACACACAAAGACACCCGCACACACAGATAGTTTAGTACACAATGATGACCCCAAAATGTACACATTTGGAAGCTCGACGTCGCGTGTCTCTTGCTCCTGATTTCTGACTTGTTCATTTTTCTTTCTCTTTAATGAATACGCTAGAAGTAGTTTTCTCGACTCATCCTCTTGATTTTCTTTTTTAAAAGCTTATTGTTGAGAAGAAACCAAAAAACGACATACATAAGATGAGAGAACACGCACACAAAGATATCACTCGGCCAAAGACAGAAAAAAAAATACAAAGTACACAAACGGGAGAAAAAAAACGAAGAAACTTGGGCTTTGAAAGATATTTCTTATCGCCGATAGAACATACTGTTTTGATACGGTTAATAAATCTAATTGCCCACGATGCTGATATTGTACAACAAGAGAAGCGTAATGCATCTTCTTGAAAAATAGAAAGAAGGAAAGAACGCATTACACAGAGGTGAAAAGAAGATAAACATGTTATCACATTGGGAACAATAACAACAGCAATAACAATGTATGACAAAGCGAAAGGATGTGGATACTACTTGTCGTAGAAGAAGGGAACATAACCACACTTATGTATAAATGAGTACAGTGAAAGAGAAGAAGAACCAAGCTTTAACAAAAAGGAAAAAAACAAACAAAACAGACTTTGTGTGATGATTTGTTTTACACGTATGAAAAAAGAACATGAAAGGTAAAGGCAAAAGTCTCATAAATAGCAACATGTAGATAATATTTTCAGCTTGAAATTCACACAAAAATTTCGTCGTCATTGTAAGAAAAGAAAAGAGCAGGAAATATGTGTCGTCACACTCGTTCAATTAACGAGATCATGTATTATCATCGAAATGATCGTTCGTCTAGATATGTTCCATTCTCAAATGAATGCTTGAAGAGATTTGCTTTGATTATTGCCCATCGATTAACAAGATTTCATCGTCACCTAAACAAAACAAGATTGATGAATATATGACATTCTTCGGAAAAGGTCGACAAAACATTGCAAACGACTAGAGGTTATTATGTTTGATTATATCGATATTCATGATGACGATTATCAGATAGCTGACAGTTAATCAATATTTTCAATTGAATCATTTATTAATAGGAGCAAAAGGTTACCAAGCTTGTAGAAGGCTTCTTACCTTGTTCGTAGTGACCGACAGCATCTGTCCATTTCATTGCTAAATACGCAGTTAGTTGATCGAGATTGAATCGATCGGTTGGCGCATTTCGTCTTTCTTGACTATAGACAAGCTGTAATGCATTTGACATAATGTGCGATGAAGATTGTTGTCTGCTTTGATGAAATAGTCTTGTAGACGACTCATAACCATCTTCATTATCACTATCGTCTTGTTGAGATTTACTTTCAATCAGTAGCGATGCTGGTGTGATCGGTTGAAAATATGCTGCATGCGGCGTCTGTGTTGGATAATAGTATGGAGGTGCATACATCGGTGGGATAGGTACGGGTTGTTCAAGATCACTTGGTCCTTTTTTCATCGGTTGCAGGTACATTGGTGCTGAGATAGCCGTATAAAATAGTAAAGGTGCTTGAGCATGTTCTGAGGATTGAGCAGTTTCGTTATCATCATCGTTGCTGGTATTTTCATCTTGACCTGTAGCGGTAGTAGCATCATTAGTAGTCGAAGTCGTATATCCAGTTGGAATAATATAGTACTGTGTCTGAGAGGATATGTATGGTGGACGAGCCATGCTCATATAAGGAAATGGTTGGGAATAGTTCGAAATTAGACGTTGTTGGTTATATTGTAAGAAAAGCAGAGGATCAACATAAGATGACTGGGTGAGTGGTGTTGTCTGCGATGGATAATTTTGATTATTGTGTTGATGTGAATGAAAATCTGAACCAGAATTGAAGACTTGTCCACGGTTCGATCGTTGCTGTTGGTATGAACGTCGAGATGATGAAGTTTTCGGATCGATTGGAGGCGTCGAAGAGGGAGTTTCTTGTTCTTTGTCAACTGCTGACAATGGCGCCGAAGAAGGTGTTGGAGGTAGCGAAGATGACGACGACAATGTTTCTGTAACGAATTTGTCTACTAAAGGATTTTCGATATCGAAACCGAACGAAACACCATTCAATTGGACATCTTCAGATTTATTGAAAAAGACGACCGGTGGTGGTTTTGACGGTCGTTTCAATGATGATGTTATTGATGATGAGGACGAATGAGATGATAGGCGAGGTGACAGTTGATCAGCTACATTGTTCGATATCGCAGATGACGATGCAGGTGGTACTGTTGATGTTTGAAAAACAGATTGTGGAGCTGAAGGTGCTGTTTCTTCTATTGTTGATGGAGAATTCGATGATTTTACATTCGAAGGACCATTGACACGCATTTTTGAACGTGCCGTTCCATTTTGTAGCGTTGTTTGAGGCATAAAACGACGTTTGTCATTCGTACTCGACGACGGCAAGTGAGATGTTCGCGAAGATGATGATGACGAAGGATTTGAATCTTGCCGACGTTCTTTCGTCAAACGACGACGATGTGTAACCGTTACGAAAGGTTCCGAAGCGATTTCATTGATCGAATTATTCAATGCTGCCGTGGATAAAGATAGTGAGTCATTATCATCAGTGACAGATGTTGTACTACGGACTGGTTCTAACCATTCGGTTGCCGATATTTCACCATTCTATATCAAAGAAAACGTGCAAATTAGTCGAAAGTAGAGGTTTCGTTTTTCTTTCTTTGCTAAATTTCGAGAAATCTATCAAAAATTAGTATCAAAATCAGATATATGTATAACCAACCAGGACGCTTAGAAATGTCCTTAGTGAAAAAAAAGACTCTGATTAAATCAGTTCGAGTTGATATTTGTTAAAGATAACAGGAAGAGAATATACAGATCGATTTCAAGTGAAACTTACAGTCGCATTTGGCGAAGAATGAAGTTCATCTTCGTTAGGAAGGCTGTTTCCAGTAGTATTTTGTTCATTTGTTACATTATTGACGGAATGTTCTGCTGTTGTTGCTGATTGATCTTCATCAACAAAACTGATCGACTGGATGTGTTCGTCGACGTGCGATGCTTTGGTTTCATCGGTAGTGCTTACGAATGCTTCTTTAACTGATTTTCGAGATTTTCGTCGAGTTGTATTACTATTTGTGTCTGTCGAACGTAAAGAAGCTGAATTTTGTCGTTGTTTCGTTGATGAGTTTCCATCAATAAACATAACAAGTTCATCGACGTCACGGTCGCCCCGATGACCAGGTATTAGTTCTGTTCGGATAGTTTCTTGCTGTTGCAGCTACAAACAAAGTCAGTTCTGATCTCATTCTGCGATCGAGGGAGAATTTCGCGTACTTGTTTGCGTTTTTTACTTGTTCGAGTGGTTGATTTTCGCGATGAATTGGAATCATTGGCATTGTATTGATCATAATGTTCCGAATTCCTAGAGCGAGAGTAAAGTAAATATGAATCCGACATCGATTTCGATGATTCACTTACTGATTCTGCTGACTAGATGATAGTAGATTATTCGCTTGAGGTCTTTGCGTTGTATAGGAAAGAATATCGTTACTCGAATGATTATTGTTGTTTGGATCTATCAAAGAAAAAAATACGCAAGTTGATTGGTTTATCGAAAAGGCAAAAAAAAAGAAAGCTAAGACGCAATATCGCTCATTGCTGCTCATCTTACCACCGTTCGAAGTGTAATTGAAAGTATCGGATAGTTTATAGTATAAGAACATTATTAGCGGCCGAGGCCGTAGACTGCATAGATCTGGCATATCCACCTGGATATTGAACGACACATGATGGGTTTCGAGTGTGTATGTATATATACTTTCTTTTTTCTCGTTAGGTGGACTGGATGGATGATGATGACGTTAAAGGAGTGATAATTATATTGAAAAATGAGATAAGAAAGTAAAAAAAATCGAAACGGCTACTACTCGGTCGGTCGTTGTCGACGAAAAGAGGAAGAAAGAAAAGATGGTGTGATGGGATGAATAGCATAGTGTCGTACTTGTGCAATAGAGTATTTCTCGCTTCGTTCGTTCGGTTTTTTTTTCTTTTCTCCTTCTCACATATCTTTCACATCGATTTCGATGATATAAAAACAAGAGTATGACTCAGATACTTCTTCGTCCAGTTATTTCAAAATCGTCAGAAATTACTCGCCATTCAATACATCATCCATGCGAAAAGCGAAAGAACAACGAGGTGAATCTCATATTTCGTAAGCAAATGTGATCAGTCCTTACCTTCAACCGCTGGCAATTTGAAACGAGGTAGTTGACTAGCACATAAATGATGTTCATTACTTGAAGTTAAGTGAACTAATTCGTAACTATCTTGTGCAGCTAAAGCATCCAAAAGATTCAAATGAGAGTACGGTATCATTTTATCGATGGCAAGACTTACGTAAAGTTGAAAAACGATCATGTTGAGCCGGTCGATGATCATTTGTTGCATTCAGCTAAAGAAAAAAGTTTAGCGGAGAATCCGATTGAATGTTGAATACAAACCATTATCGTCGGTATCGCATCGTTTTGAAACGATTTACTTGTAGATAATAAAGTGGGTTTTGTTGCTGAGAATAGTTCAGTTTTCTTCAACAGGCGAGAACGACGTTCATCGTCACTATCTGAAGCGGAACCTGTTCGGGCACTTCCACTGTTTTCGGATGAAGATTTGGTTGCTATTGAAGAGCCGTGGGAATCAAAATCATTGTTAACAATTGCTTTACTTCGTTCGCGTGGTAGAAGTTGAGGTTGAGTTGAATCAGTTTTGGCTTTTGATGACATTGGAATCGAAGCTGTTGATGATGAAGATGATGATGATGAACGAGAGGGTTGTCGATCATCTTCATCCTTCTTGAAAAAATAATCTAAACTTGCTTCTTCATGGTACTGATTGGCAAGCGATTTCTTCTGTTTCTTCATTGCGTTGTTTGAATTCGTATGCGATTCGTGAACATCTTTGGATTGTGACAGAGAAGTGCGAGCGTTGATACTCCTAGGTTTTGCAGTCGGTGATAAAACTCTCGCCTAAAAACAAAACCCGCAGAGTGAGAAAGGAGAAGAAAAGAAAAGAAAAGAAGAACGAGATACAGCGTGGTTATTCGTCGTTCTGTGCGTTAGTAATACACCTATCAGCAGCCCATAAATCAACAATGGACTAGTTCTTCTCTTTTCGTAAACGTTGAACTCGTGTGGATAAGTGTGTGTTTACCTTTTTATAATCTTGAAGTGAAATTTCCACGGATGGTTTGAGATTAAGCTGAACGAAGGAATCGACAGGTACGTGAGTTTGATTATTGGTTGAGATCATGTCAGGTGAATTATTGTTGTTATTTGTTATCGATTGAAGTTGACGAGTTGAATTTCTAGAAAATAAAACGATCGTTTTCTTCTTCTCCAAATCGATGAAATTTACTTGGATGAGTTTGAGGAATGTTTGGATGGTAAGTCATGTTGTTCATCACATGCAAGATTGTTTGCTGTTGTTCTTTCTAAATGTTGTTTTTGTTGAAGGATCGCTAATGATGTTATACGGCTAGTCGAGGAAATGGTTTGATCCATAGTATGATTATCATCATTACGAACTATTGGTGATTGCTTTGACATATCGTTCGTCGAAAGATTCGATTGTTGCTGACGAGAGACGCGTTCGTAGAGTTGATCAAATTCGTTTTCATCAAGTTCTTGTAAACGACGAATAGATTCTTTGGCTTCTTCAAGCTGTAGAGATTTGTCATGAAAGATTTAAAAAATTCTATCTAGAAAACAACGGAAAGCCCAACTGGAGTTTTACTCACTCGAGCACCATTCCATTCTGATGGTAAACTATCGTAGAGATGAAGAAAGTGTTCTGTTTGTTCTGTACGTAGTAATTTAGCTAATTCGAAACAATGTTGAGTGAAAAATGAATCTTCTTCGTCGTCATCATTTAAATTCATTTCATTTTTTAACAGTAGAGGCTCACAGCGGTTCGATATGTCGCGAACAATTGCAGTTTTTATATGTTTATATATGTGTACGTATATATGTCTGCAATAGACTATCTTCAGTTGCCATCAACCATGCACGACGACCTCTAGATATCCATATGAGAAGTAGGAGCAGTACAATTAATGCCAAATGAATATCCGAATGCGAGCTTCTTTGGGAACGAAATATTGATACCTGTTAAGTGGTATGTATCTAGAGCAAAAGAACTTCGTTGGCTTTTCATTTCAATAAGCCATGCATATATAGCGACATCTGCATGTGTAACCGACATATCGCGCTAATTTAGCACGATAATATCGAGTCGGCTCGTTTATCAGATTCTTTGATGCCAAGTGTAGGTAAATAGTACTATCATTGCGAAGCATTTTCTTTCGTCCCTGAACCTCTGTGCGTAGGAGATGCATATTTGACAAGGGCCATTAAAGTATATCGTAGTTAGAAAACTTTGACTTTTTTGTAGAACAACATGAGAACATCCATTGAGACTCCCAAAGAGAAGACAATAATGTTTGCGAATAGACTCAGCGTACAAATATCTTTCTCATAGATCCGTAACAATTAAAGTGAAGTCATACGCTGAGTATTCCACATAGTACATTACTGAGCTTATTATTTCGCAAAACATGATTTTATCTTTCCAGATAGCATCTTACTACTTGTTTCTATTACAAAGCATTAGTTTATAATTAGTCAGTAAATCATGATATTATGTTAGGCTAAATGTAATGACGAGAAATGAATAGATTTCCTGGCGGGTTCATACTAATCAAGTTAGTCTTCAATGAGTAGGCGAACGGATATTAGCTAGGTGATCTAACGAATAACTGTAAGCAATTCAAATGTGGAAGGAAGAAAGAGCATACGTATTTGTACTTGTTGAGAACGAAACAGTTGGTTGTGTGATTTGAGGCTCCTAGCACTAGTTATGGGAAGTGCACCTTATTTCACAGAATGCACTTGATGAAGTCACATATCTGATATTGGAGATCAATCTTGATTATTTTGAACACTCGATTTCATGATAGTAGATATTAGTTGTTTTATGTCGATGTGCGTGACTACCAGTTGCTCCTTTATGAATATTTCACTGTTCATTTTCAATGATAAAAGAACATGTTCGCACAGAAGCCATCAAATTTCAAGGGAAACATACAAGCAAAACACTGTTCAGCTATTGTCTGCAGCAAAAAATCAACAACAAAGATAACTTACATATATATATAGAGACAGAGCGAGAAAGGTAGAATCATACAATACAAAACAAAATATATAATACTTTACAAATGGCGACAATTCTCGATTGTCAATTTGAATTCAAATCAACCAAGAGTGACATGATAGTTGAGCAACAATGGAGAAAGGAGATATAGGAAATTGTATGGACAAAATAGAGATAATCGGGTACCCGTCACATCAGTTCTATAAAACTAACTTATCTAGAAATCACAGTTATTCGAGAAAATAAAAATAAACTATACAAAGACTAAGAATACACTCAATATGGATAAGTCGTACTATGATGTTGATGGTGGTGATTGAAAGAAGATGACGTTGTCATTGTTGTTGAGTTGTTGGTTGGATCTTGAAATGACACATTCATATATGAATGCACAGATAAGAGTGGATTTTGAACCGGGGTGTGCGAAGGTGGAGGAGTGAGGAATTCTTCGAATACAGGAGTTTTCACTCTCGGATTTGGATCGTGAAATGACGCTGTTGCCGTTTGGGCTGAATCGTATTGCAAAGATGACGGTCTGTAGGCCGGTGAAGCAGTTCGTTGATGTTGATAACCAGATGAATAATAGGAAGCTGATGGTGACGGCGTCGACGAACTGTATAGCGATGAGAGTGGCGAAGGAATTCCTGATGGACTATGATTATCCATTTGCATCAATCCAGTAGGTTTTGGTGACGATGACGAATGAAATACATTGCTAAGCAAATCTTTCTGTTCGATATTACTCACTGCCATGGCTGTCGCTGATGTTGACTGTTGACTTTGACGTTTCAATTCAAGCGTACGTGCTAAATGTTTGCTTTTAATCGTTTCCAATTGAGTTAATTTATTGATAACAGTATTCTAGAGAATACCAGAAAGGCTGAAATCGAACTTGGTTCCAGAGAATAAACTCGTCTTACTCGTTTTAGTATGTCACTCGCTTGACACCCATTGGCGATCTCCTGCGCTCGAGCTGCTTCCAATTGAGATTCTAGTTTAGCTTTGGCTAGATCACAAGACAAATCAGCTGTCTTAATAAATGTCTAAGGAAATTTACCTGCTTTATATTTTCTAATAAAATCGTAGTGTTGTTGTTGGTATGATTCAGGAGTCTGTGCAACCTGATTCATCTATGCAATTGTACTATGTCAACAAGGTTCAGATTGATTCCATCCACTCACTTTTGTTCGATCTGCTTGCATCTGTGGTTGAGGAATAAAAATTCTCGTATTATCATTTAGAAGTCCTGCCAATGTTGTTGGCAAATCACCTGAAAAAATGCAAAAGAATCAGCTCTCAATCAACAATCGATTCTTTTGTTCGTACCGGATTGTTTTTCATGATTATATTGAATCGAATTACTAAGTATACCACGTACAATCGAGTCCGAATCCTGTTTTTTCCGTAACGATGGATCATTGAAATTCGCCAACGAGTCCATTGGAAGTTTTTCTTGTGTTGTTCCATCTACAAAGCAGTCGATATATCAAAATTACCCGAATCTTACCGTCTCGTACCTGAAAGTTCTATTTCATTCGTAGATTGATTATTATTTGCATTACTCAAACGTTTGTAACGTGCAGATAAATTATTAATTATATAGACTAATTCGCTATCCAGATGTTTATCACTATCGATCAGTATCGACGCATAATCTTGAATAGTCAATGGATGTGTTGATTTCGCCGCGCCGAAGATATTTCCTGCCACATTCAATGATTGTAGTTTATTCGTTGTGAAGCACATGTTCAACGATGGAACGCAGATACGACATTCATCTGACGACATCGACAATGCGTCCGTATCGTTCGAATTGACTAAAAATGGTCACTTGATTGATAAACATCGAAGTTAGATCGAACATACTTAATTTAAACGATGAACTATTTCCTTTGATATCTGCTGCACACTGATGACGCCAAGCTGTTTGCAATTCTTCAAACTGTATTCGTTGCATCGGACTAGTTCAACATGTTGGTTTTCCAAAGAGAAAATTCTCCAACGATGATCTCTTACCTGAGTATTTCGTTTCGAGCAACAATCGTATCCTGTTTTCGATGATTGGCAATCAGTTTATACTCAGTTTGAAGGAAAACTATGGAACCATCGCGAGCATTTAAACGCCATTGTAATTTACTTGCACCAGTTGTTGCACCTAGCCAAAAAAAAGCAAATTTCAATTAAATACTCAAAAAGGAAAGAATTCTTTTTTTAACTTGCATTTCCAAAGTGCATGCAATTTAACTAAACGATCTTCATGGTACACGAAATTAAATATTGATTGTGATATTAATTCATGTGGCAAATAACCGGTTATTAAAGCACCTCTAGAAAAACAAACCACGTGGATATGTAATTCATTTAAAGTAATTGCATTGTTCTCTTTCTCGCGAGACAACGATTGAATTCTTTGACATATGCAACTAACTAGCTCTTTTTTTTTTAATTTGTCAGACGTTCAACTCAAGGATCCTTTTGTACCTGTGATCTTCGAATATAATTTCACCGACTAAATTAACTTTTGTATAGAATTCTTGTTTATGAGCATCGAATAACGTGATGTCGATATAGGAGGAATTGTCTAAGGTTAAAACGAGAATTGTTCCGATTGAATTGCTGTGTCGAGGTGTTGTTGAATGAACATCTATGCGTAATCAGAAGATAGGTGTGAAGTTTTTGAATGAAATTGATCTTACCGACGGTATCTTGATTGACTTTTCGTTTTCGATGTACTTTCACTTGTCGGTATTCATTCGCTGCGGCCATGACCATTCGAACACAACAGACATTGAATACTGAGCGACACGAGCGAAATGTAGGAAATCAAATAGAAAAAAGTTCTTACATTGGGAAGTATCGGATAGAAATTTGAGAAATGCGTCTCGTTCACTATCTTCAACCAACAGTAGTATAGAAAGACCGACAATCTCTGTCTGAAATCCCGATGAATTTCAATTTGTATTCAAATCGAATGGAAAATAGACAAACTTGTTCAAAGCCGAAATAACGCTTGACAGTCTGCGAAACATCGATAATAATATGTTGACTATCAAGACAAATTAATGTGCCCTGCATGGCGTCAAGCAACACACTGCCCATTTCGTCTAATGCTATTTGATTTGGCTGACGCTGCTGTGCGTATGCAGTTAAGTCGACTACAATGAAATGATTCTCGACTATCGTAAGAGAAGAGAGTCATTCAGTGAACTTACATTTGTTTCCATCGGACATTACGCAAATGAATACCGCATTGCTACTAGTTTGATTTTTTTTGTATCAGTCAGGTTATCGAAAAGAGAAGCAAGAAGAAAAAATAAGAATAATCTAGTCGATGAATTGATGAAAACGTTCCTTTGACTGTTGGATATTTCTGTTCTTTTGCTTTCTATAATTTAAATCAATTTAAGTCAACACCAAGCATTGTTCTTCTCTACTTACAATCTTTTCGTTTCTCACTTCGCATTTTATCTGGTTTTTCTTGACAGATGATATAATCTGAAAAAAAGAATGTTATTTAACTTTTTTCCTTCCTTAAATATATATATATATATGTAGCTAAAAAAGTCTGCTTTCGCGTGTATGGCACACACAATAACTGTTTGAATACATGTGTGAATGTTTTTCTTTTTCTTTCTCTTTTCCCTCGTACTCAATTTTCAGGCACCGATAATGACCTAAGAAACGAAAAAAAGGGCAAAGAATTTTGAGAAAAAGAACACCGGCTTTCGATTTGTATTTACCTACCCGGAAAGGCGAGAAATCTTTCGACTGATTCGAGAAAAATGACGATTGAATCTGTGTGCCTGTCTGTTCAGATGCCTATTTTTCTGGCTGTAGAGCGATTCTTCTATTTAACCTACAAAAATTTTTAGTATCAGACGCGCTAAATGAAAAAAAGAATCATGACGAACAGAGGGAGAGTCACACTCATGTGTCGTACGTGTGTAGTCGCTGTGTTTTGTCCTACTCGTTCTTTTTTTCTCTTCTACCGGCTTCCTGTTGTCGTCAACATTGTTGGTTGATAGAAAGAAAAAGAATCTTCGATGAACATCGTGTAAGTCATGTTGTTGCAGTGTAGACATCAATGACAGGTTGTGCGCATCATTGCTTGAACAAAGAGGAAAATATATTTTCAAGATTAGGTAGATGGTTCTAGCAGAGGAAAAAAGAGCTCGAGTACAAAAAAGAAATGCACCGCAGACTACACTGAAATTCAAGCGTCTACAGATTTTTTTTTCGTCGCTTACGCCTCTTTCCTCTCCGAACTGCGAGATGAATAAAAAAAAGAGTCTTATACTTAAATCTCCCAGATTATATTAGCCCGAAAAGTAGAGGAGGAAAAAAATGGAGATTTCTCGTGTTACTTCTTCGATTCTCTTTTGTTAATAATGATGATGATATAAAAATGACAGCTTTGATATCAGTAGTTTCTCACACCTGAATGTATCTGCAAAACAAATGTATGACATGTATAAACGAGACAAAAAAAAACGAAGAAAAAGAAAAAAAACAACTGAAAGACATCACGCAGATGAGCATTTAACACTAAGCAGATATTTTAAAGAGACGACGAAGAGAAAAGAAGGAGAGAAACATCATGATGATTGTGTATGTTGATGACGGCGGCGAGGAAATAGAAAAATACCCTTCTTTTCAAGAGCATCTTCTTCTAGTTCATTAACTGTTGCTTTTATAGATAATTTCTTCCTTAACAATAGATCATCAGTAATCTGAATAAACTTTAATGTTTTTTCACTCAGTTCAATTCGATATTCGGTCGGTAATTCTTCGGAATCTTTTAATTTCTCTTGATTGATTAACATTTGCTTGGCAAGCAGACTCGTGTTCGGAGTAAATCTTAGATGTTGGACATATAGGGATTGTTTGGGATGTGTATCTTTATCGTAATTGAATCGTTGTAGATCATCGCTGATATCAACTTGAAAGTTCTGTTCATTGCCGTGTAATTTGACTCCAAGTTGAATCGGTGATTTGTCAAGATTGAGACAGTATTCCACACCGCAATCAGGATTTTCAACAGGCGGTGTTACGGATGTGGAACTTGGTTGAACAATAGAACGCTTTGATTGATATACACGAGAGAAAAAACTTGTCTTTTGTTCTTGTTGCTGCTGTTGAGATAAACGATATTGGTCCATAAGATATGGCTGACAACGCAAACAACCTGAACATGGATGTGAATAGAGAATTGCCGGCTGTTCGGAATTGACTATCGATGCGTGTGAATTTGTGATGAAATGGTATAGAGATGAAATTGGATACTTCAAGTAACTGAAATACCACAGACGTTTTTGAAGTTGTTCAAGCCGAGAATAATGACCGAAGTCCAATGTGCTTGCATAACTGAAAATGTTCAAAAGAGAACCGATGGAATTCATTCTTTTCTGCATGTGTTAGATTCATTAAACATATTGTGGACAACCTCTCTCATGGGTGATCACTGTACTGCAGAAGAAAACATGCGAAGCTCATCTTTTAATCTTATACGAGCTCGATTTTCTTTGTGGAAAAGCATCTTCTAATTATACATGTGTCCTACTTATTGTTCCGACGAGCCGAATAATTATAGCATTGAAATCTATACTAATGTATTTGTGGGAGGATGAACTAGGAAACACCATTCGGTCGTCAATGCTGAATCTATTAACTCTGAAAGTTTATGTTCACGGTGTTTTCTTCTTCCCAGAACCCATTCTTGTTTTGGATACTAAATTCTCTCTTCGAATCTCTCATAATTACTGCTTATCTTGTCTTAATATACATAATTATTTCGGCAAGTAACTAATGAAAAACTCTTACACTGGTTTTTCATCATTCTCTGACGTTGTAATTTTTAATAAAGATCTTCGAACAATTGTTCCATTGAATAAAGCAAAGACAGATTCACATAGTAAACTGACATCGTCGTGGAGTTTCTTCTTGGTTGTTGTGGGTAACAAACTGCGTGCGAAAGAAACATGTTCCCCGATAGGCACGACACAAATTGGAAGATTTTCTAAAACATTCGATTGAAAGAGATACGGAGCAAGTTCACTTAACGTTCCATCACCGCCAACAATCACCAATGCGTTTAATTCATTAGGTTCGATTTTATTTGTCAGAAGATCAGTCAAACCATTTGGATCTGTAATTGTATCCACACGATAAACACGCACGTCAAGACCAATTAAATGTAATAGAGGGAAGATCGTTTTATCGTAGAGAGATTTGGCTTTTCCATTATTTGCTTTTCCATTCAATAGGACAGCGACACGGTTTAATCGATTCATCGACGGATATGTTTGCGACCCTAAGATCGAAGCTTGTCGACAATAAAACGCACGAATTTGATTTGCTTGATAACGATCGTACGACCATTTCGCACCGTACGAAATCGCACAAAAAGCAAACACAGATTTTTTCCAATGGTTTCGCAACGTACGAAACATATCGTTTGATTATCTACAACAGATAACAAACAAAGTTATATCTGATACCGGTACAGAGGAGAAACCGTCAGCGCCATACGGCTGGAACTGAAGTTGTCATCGTTGTGGTTTGATCTTTCGACGAATTGGAAAACGAGAGAGAGAGAAATGATTAATTGAATCATACAAAATGTGTTTTATTGAAAAGTTTAGTAATAAAATTCTGGAAAAAAATACAATTCAATGTCATTTTCAAAATAGATTTACATTTTAAGGTTAACAGCGTCATCTATCAGCCTCTGTTGCCACATACTCGTCGATTCGCATTAACAAAAAACTGACTACATGCAATTGATTTATTTGTCAAAACGATTTAATAGTTCGGTTTTTGCATTGAGTAACAATTTAAATGCATCCTCACTGCCAGGTGCCTCGCTCTTGTCAGGATGCAGCAATTTCGCTAAGCGCTTATAAGCGGCTAGGACATCTTCTTTCGTACAACTATGTTTTAAGCCTAAACGCTCAAAATTGTCTTTATTATTTCGTAACCGATTGATTGCTTCGACTTGTTCGATGGTGAAATTCACATTGGGAAGAGTAGTATCAGGTAGAACACCGCCATTCTCATTGATATCGATCAGAACAGAAAATAGATTGTCAAACATTTCTTGAACACCGGCACCAGTTGCAGCTCAAAAGAGAAAAATCGAGAAAATGTTCGGATTTTGTTTGTCATCAAAAGAATAGTACCTGATGTTTCGAAATATTGATAACCGCGAACATTTGCCCAAAGTTTAGCTTCATTTTCCTCTACCATTCGTTTCAGATCATTTTTATTTCCAATAACAAAGACGATAACAGACGATTTGTGTCCATTGCTGTGAAGACTTAGTTCTTTCTTCATTTCTGTAAGCCATGACTCTAAGGACTCGAATGATCGACGGTTACTGACATCGAAAACGAGTAATATGGCTTGAACGTCACGATAAAATTCATTTCGAACTTCATAGAAGAGTGGATGACCAGAAAAATCGAATATGTTCATTCGGATATCATAGTTTCGTATACGCATTCGTGTCACACCATAATCAATACCAATCGTTGCCATATATTTCGGTACGAACCGTTTTTCACAATATCGTTTGATCAGACAACTCTTACCGACATTCACATTGCCAAGACTGATGACTTTAAAACGAAGAAGTTGATCCGATTTCGTGGTCATTAAAAACTTTGCCTGTAACTAGTGTAATTGACTTATAAACAAAAGAATTTCAATCAAATCCTATGTAAACGAAGGTGAGCACGAGGAGAGGAAAAGTAGAATTCCTATTTATTTTATTTTCTTTCGTTTCCTGTTGTAGCTAAGGTAACAATAAACGAACGAACGAACGGGAAGAATCGTTCACCCAATACGATAGATGGAGATAGCGTTTTAGGCTTTCGGAACGTCATGCTTAGTAGTAAATATGTTGATTCAAGTGCAACTGGTGATGCTATTCAAGGTTTATACGATATGCAACGGTGTGATAAGAAATAAATTGTACAATTAGCGAGTTTACATGCACAAAATATGCCCGAAGTCAGTTTTGTCATTAAAAATAAAAACATTTAAATTAATGGCAAGTTCTGATTATTTTGACATGCCTGTAGCTATGGCTGTTCAATTACTCGACGTTAATTTTATATGTGCAAGGTGTTTGTACACAAACAGTGTGTTTACTAAACGTAGTGATAGAGAATAATTGTTATGAATGTGAAGGCTATGGTATTGGCAACTCATAAAAGATACTTAGCAAGTCTTGAAAATCGGAATTTTCAGATTTTAAGAGTATTAATGTTTTAATCAAATGGATGAGGAATCATTGAGAGAGCTAATCAAGATATGTTAAAATATTTTTTATCTGCGTTGTCAATATGATGAGAGTGGAGTCCTTGAAAGAGATGAATTAATTAGTTTTCTGCTTTCATGGGAAGAGTCATATATTTTGAGTTATTGAAAAAAAGCGAAGAAAAGAAGAAGCCCTTGTAGATAGAAAAAAGAAATTTATCATGTCTGCATGAATGCACACAAGCGCATTTAATAATGTTTGTTATGACATCATATGTCCTTGCTAAAGAGAAGACAATCTGTCTACGCGCAAGGCTAGAACATGCATGTTGTATGTTATGCGACCAAATTGATTGGCAGAATGTTCAGGTGTACGTACATTACACCGAGTTGTAAACTAAAAAACGTATGCGTGGGGGAAAAAAACGACAACGATGCGCATATTAACGTCGAAAGAAAAAGAAATCAGTCATCGGTAACGGTAGACAAACCTGAGAAGTAAATTTTTGCTTTGATTAACGCGGTTAGAAGGTGATCATGTGAGAAGAAAACAAATATAAATTTAAGGAAGATTTGCTCTAGACTATTATGGGAGGTCTCTTTAGTAGGCGAAAAACTCAGTATGATCCTAATTTCTACAATGATCCATACTATCCGGGCGCACCAACGGGTCTACCAGGCCCGTATTCCTATGCGCCCGGGCCTGATCCATACGGAGGATTAGGTGGATATGAACCCGATCCGTACGGTTATGGTTATTATGGAACTGATCCATTTGAAACTTACGGCGGGCCCTACGGACGTGGTTCAAATTATTATGGTGGTCGATATGGCCGAGGTAAATTCAATTGAACAAAAGAAGAATTCTACGTTTGTTTGTATATAGGTTATAATCAAATGGGTGGTATGTCTCCTTGGAACTATGGTAACTTTTACTTAGGAAATACTACTATGCAAATGGTGCCATACATGCAACGAAAATTAGCCAAATATGCTATGCGACAAGGAATGGGTGGTTTCGGTGGTGCCTGTATGCCTATGATGCCCTGCATGCCAATGATACCTTGCATGCCATCGTGCGCTATGCCTATGGCTTCACCTATGATGGCAATCGCAGCACCATTACCTGTTGCTTATAATCCATGTGTTCAGGGAAGGTATCCTGTAGTGACGGCAAATGCAGCCAATTTCATGACACCCTCGTCGTTTATGTCTGCTCTAACAACGGGCCCAATGCCTTATCGACCACCGGCATCCTTTGATTTACCGAATAACATTGGCATGGTTATGACTGTTCCCTATGGCGCACCGAATCCTCTACTTGCCACACCTACATTTGGCGGTTTTCAACCGCAATTCAATGGTGCTGGCGGATTCTCATGCTGTTGTAACTACTGTACACCTTGCGCACAACCATTACCACCTGCTATCACTTATTACCCACGTCCAGTATCTGTTCCCCAACCATGTCCTGTTCCATGTCCAGTACCAGTTCCCATTCCTAATGTTCAGCAGGTACCAGTTCCCAGACCTGTTACTGTTGTTGCGCCGCCGATCGTTGCTAGTTGTAATCAACCTCTAAGCATACCTGCTGGAGCACCATTATTGCCATCGCAAGGTGGATTTACACAAAACGGATTTGGTCAAACATTAGTCATGCGGTCAAATGATTCAACATCGGAAACAGCATCGGTCACATCTGATCAGTCCAAGCGCGAAACACCCGTTCCGAAAACGGATAAAGATATGCGTCGTAAGAGGGCCCAAGAAATAGCTGCCAGTCTGTCTAATCTTGGACTGAATACTAGTGTAAGAACGGAAACGACCTCAAGTAGACGCAAAAATCGACCGCACTCAAAATACACTTCCTGTAACTTTGATTCCTTAAACCTTTCGAATGCAAAGGATCTCTACGGTTCCGACTGGTTAACATCCGATGCGTTAGCCGATATTCTTAATAAATCCAAATACAATCGACATAAGAAATCAACTGTACGTCATTCCCGCTCACATCACCATAAAAGTTCACTTCGATCCGACCATGATTGTGCTGCTCGTCAACAGGAACAACTTGATCTACTCACTTAGTTGATTTCACGAATGATTTCTTCTTTTTATCAAATATTTTACATTAAACATCGTTTTTTCCTTTATTAGCTTTGTCTCTTTTCTAATAATAATAATAAAATACACACGAAAAAAAACACAGACTGCATTTTTTTCTCATTGAAAACATTGCAACGAACAACGATAATATTCTGTCGAACAAATGTCATATTCACTAGGAGGAAAAAGCATTGTTCGATTTTCATATAAATAATTCAAAATATGTTGAATTCGACTCAACAACAAACCGAATTCATCGCGAGTGCTATTCGCACTCATATCACGTAACAAATCTTTAATACGCCAAAGAAATCGAAGTAAATGCATCGAGCCATAGTAATCACAAAGAGATATTGACGAATCTTTTTCTAACAATTGTCGCAGCTGTAAACGTTCAAAACGATACAATAAACATTTGCCCAGGGCGATGTTAAACATGTCAATTAACGAGGAAATCAGTGTTCGAATAGCGAGTACTTCGGCTAATGAACATTCGTTGATTTGCTGTTCGAGATAATTATTGAAAATATTTCGAATGATCAACGACGAATCGAGTGGTGGGATTGAAAGGAGATAATTTTGATTGTTGATTAAATCACGATCGTTTATCAAGAATTCGACGAGTTCGGATGGAAAATGTAACCATTCCATTTGGTAGGTGTAGAATCGACGAGTTAAGCGTTGACATATCTCATGTTGAGCAGATATGGTTGGTGATAAATCATTTACAATGATTGTCGTTGCTTCTGCTTCTTAAAGATGCAAAAGCAATGAGAGGATTCTGGTTGAACTTCGGCTTACTTTTATCTTTCGTTGGTAGCTTTCCAGTTGTATTCACAGTTCGTTTGAATTTTTTCGCATCAGGTTCACTTATATCATTACTAGTTGCAGCTAACTCCGTGTTCGTGATCAGTTCACTGGTTGTACTACTGCTACTGCTGCTGCTTCCCGTATCGCTTCGTCCGGACAACGATGGTGTTTCTTCGAGAGGAAAATGACTATTGGTATTGTTGGGTAATTCAGTAGTGGTCGAGTCGATATTCGTACTTGTCGAATGATCCGATATGGATCGACTAGTTGTTCGTTTCGACGGACTCGTACTGTTGTTCTTTCGCAAATTTTTCAGGCGCGCTTTACCTTTTCCATGTTGGTGAAGTAGTTCTGCCTGTTTTTTCAAACCAGCTTCGTCCATTTTAACCAAACGAGCTTCATCTACCCATTCATCCCATTTCGAACTCCAACCGCAATAATGTACCAAATACGATGGACGATGGAAATTGCCACTATCGTTTTCCTTCATTTTATGATCCACACATTTGACTTCGTAGAGAAGTACGCCATGATAACAAAGCATGATTTCATTTTTCTTGAAACGATATTTTGTCGAAGATAATTCATTGTCAATTTGCAACACATCGATGACAGGTTCGACTGATGGATTATTATATTCTTCTTCATCTTCTTCTTCATCTTCATCGCCATCTTCGAGGATGCCTTCTTCGTCCGACATTTCTGAGATCGTGTGACTATTGAGAGATAAATAAACTGCGATTCCTGATGAATTTTCCTTCGAGAATATGATCTTTCAAAAAATAAGAAAGAAAACGACACTAACGATGATCATTATTCCGTTGGTGTGCAATGAATGCATAGCGCCACAGTCAATGTCGACCATAATATACGAACGTAAATCGTGCAGCGCTAGTTGTGTACGCGGATATTACTTTCTAGAAATATCTCTCAAGCCATCTTGATTTGAATCGACTGTAAACGGCAATTTTTGTCCGACTAGAATGAGCGCGTGAATTCTTTGTGAAGCGCTTTATTAATCACTAAGATAAATCGGAATAACAATCTATTTCCAGTTCATTCAATCACTTTCAATTCTCTCTGTTTGTCCTATCGATTGTTCAAAATTAAAACTATCAATCTTGCGTTCTACCTTCTGTTCTGAATTTAATATCTTCGGTTATGATTATCCAGTATTTCCTTTCGTTTATTTTGGTTTTCAATATTTATCAACTGACAGTATTTACCGAAGGTAACTTCAAACTTTCCCATTCTGACGAGAGATCATTCATATGATTAATACGAAAATGTGTTCTAATTATCCATTGCAGCACACCTTCTTCCGTTTAAACAAGATCATGATGTCAATGCAGAACATTTACAACGAAACGTACGATCGATTTTATCACCAAATTATAAACTGATGAATAGCATGCACCGCGAAAAGCGACAGGATTCCGTCCCGAAAGCAAAACCAGCTGATGCAGACGCAGGTACCGGTGTGTTCGAAACCTCAGAGAACGACACATCACAAGCAGTCCTAGGTAGGTACCAAATACGCTGGTGTGATTTTCGTTGTCACTTTATTCCACTCCGAATTTTCTCTGTCGGGTTAAAAATACAGTCTTTTCAATAACATAGCATGAGTAGTCATATATATATTAAATCTACCGATACATTTTCCACCCGAAGACCATCTACACCATCATGCACATCCATATTTCAATTCATGGAAAGACGTTTGCATTTCATTTCGCCTTAACACAGACTCCAAATAAGGTTTTATCTTTCCAACCTTCGAACACTTCTCACGACTCCGCATCACATAGCAGTGTCACTTTCTCTATCAAATATTTTCACACCAGATTATGTATGTGGTTCATGATAGGTAAAGCCAATATTTCATATATCTCTGCGAACGAGCGATCGAAATTCATTCTCAATAATCGGTTTAGCGAACTCTGTTACTGCACAAATGCCTGCTGCTTCTGATGGCGCAGCAGCGAACGATCATTTGCCACCGGGTATGTCATAGTGTAACAGATTTGATTTTGTATTCATTTTCTTCAATTTATGGTGGGATCTAATTCTCAGAAACCAACTCAGTCAACTCTGCGATTAGTTCCGATCATACCGCAGCGTCTGATGTAGCAGTTCAGTCTCCACCACCTGGTATGTGCCTAAAAAACTCATCTTCCGGTTCAGTTCATTCATTCGGATTCATGACGACGACTAATTTTGAGTATCGATTCAGTTGCACCTGCCATTGCAACTGTTGCTGCTCCTTCTGATACTGCAACACCTGCCCATGGCGTCAATGTGCCTCAACTAGCAGGTATGTATTTGTCGAAAGCATTCCTCATTTGTCACATATATTTGCACTGATAATGAGAACCTGAAATGTATAATTGGTTTAGTAAACTCTGTTGTTCCATCAACCGACGCTACAGCGGAAGCTGATGCCGGCACATCCCCTAACGCAGTTATCCCACCCCTGCCACCGCGTACGTACTTGAAAAAAAACGGTTCAAACCATACCAGTTTATTTGGCTTGATCACACATATTTGTTGCGAACGCTTTATTTAGTGATGAATGTTACTCCACCACCAGTTGTGGATAAAATAACAGGTGCCGATACAATGATCCCTCTTCTACCAGCAGGTACGGACCTCGTAAAGGGTGAAGAATGACTCTAGTTTCCTCGACTAGCTTGAATCAGTGATGTAAATTCGTCGTAATTTACTGTTATAGTAATCCCAGACGCTCCACTATGGAGTGTTTCTGATGTCACGACCATTTCAACTGTGGCAAGTGAGCTTGACGCAACGAGTATGTATGATAATATTTGAAGCTGGATGTTTATTGGAAACTCGTAGAAAGGATAAAACGTTTGAAAGATGGCTTTCGCACTGATATGGCTGGAATAAGCAATCTGGTGCACCATTTATTGCCAGCAAATGATAATTTGATTGTGAAACACGAAAGGGCACTGGTTATGGTGTTTATAATGTGCTGTATGTGGGATGGAATCATGCATGAGGATTTGTGGCGGCGGTACGTTGCAAGTTATTCTTCAAGAAAAACGAAAGCTATAATTGTGAATGTATGCCGTCAAAAACATTCTGCACAAAATCTTGACAAGTGCAGTCAGTTTATGAAACATGCAGATGCGATGAGGGGAGACATTTACAGGTCAGTGGAGTTTGATCATGATGCATAGCTATGGCATGCAAAATTGAATTCATCATTAGAAAGCTTCCGGAAGCCACTCGTAATCTGTTATTTCCAAAAGTTCACGAAGCATTGGAACGATTTAGCAATTCGATGCAGCCGGTTTTTGAATATGAAAATGCAACGTATCCATTTTGCCGATCAGTCTTAATAAGTATTTGGAATCCTGAAGCAATACTTATATGCGAAGAGAAGTATCGACTACTCCTGTTGAATGCAAGCGATGGAGGCGATAGTTACGAGAACTTTCAAATCCTTAGTTCCAGACTTATTGATGTCGTAGCTTCTTTACTCGACGCAATAAATGTATGTATTGATATCCTCTCCTCCTCAAGCACTCGTATAATAGACGAATAAGAGAGATATTTCTGAATCTGTCAAGAAATAAGGATTTGTCTAGATATGCTGTAATGGAGAGAATGTTAAGAACTCTACTGGATAGTGCAACAAGGGGAGGATGTGACAATTTCGTTACTAGACATGCTTAGAATGGAAGTCCGCAGTATAAAAAAATCTTCCACTTACTACCCTTTTATATTATGTGATCAAAGTTTGCGGTATCGATGTTTCTATACTTTCATACGTTTCTCTGCAAGTAAAGTATAGTCAATCATTAGAGGAGTACTATCTGACAACAGACGATAGATAGGTTTTTCTTGACTTACAGTCTCCATATTGATGGTTTCCGAAATTACTGAGTCGTAGTTTTATGCCACTGTTAACTTTTTTTTAGCAAGATAATACATCGGTTTTTCGTATCGTCTGAATGCGGATATGTATTGATATTTAGTTTGCTTGGAAAAACATATCAGACGTTCAGACTACAAACAAAATGCCAGTGCCACCTGAAATCATTAGCCAAGACATGAAGGATATGAAAGACGAACTGTTAGCATATATGGACGTGGTGGACACACTGCTAACACGCCATCTTTCAGAAGCGTCGGTAGCGTACGATGAATGCTGTTCAGCAATGGAAACAGATAATTCCTTTGATGATTATTTGGCCAATATCAATCATAATTTTGAATTCGTAATTGATCATATATACTTATGGTTCGTCAATTTATCTTCTTGATTTCGGATGATTTATTAATATGATTGCTTCTCTTAAGCCATAAGAAACTGAAAAAAATTCATCACAGCGATCCGTATTTATATTTCCCGTGTGACTTTTATTATAACCAATTCCAATCGGCTATGAAGGAACGTGAAGAGTAATAGAAAATTTGAACTCATGAACGTTTTCTCATTTGTATACACAGATATCTTGAGAAATATAAAGGTCAAAAGGAGGCGATTCTGCATGCTTTTGAAAACGCAATCTCGTCGAAGCAACCGCAAAGCGCAATTATAAAAGCAATGGGAAAGATGAGTAGGAAATATTGTAATCAACATGTATTCAGATTAATGTACTTGCCAATCCGAATATGGATGTGCGAAAAACAAATACGTGATGCAATTGCACAAAATGGAACTGAGCTTTACCAGCAATATGAAAAAACGATTAGTAAGCCGTTTCGTGATATAGTTCTCCAAGATTGGAAAAACCTCGAAAGAGCTCAACAGAGCTTTACACTATCAAATTCAACCGAAATTGTTAGCAGTCAATCGTCAAAAAACTTGTTTCGCCCTGTGACAATCATCACGCAGAGTCCATCTGTTGAGCCAGTAATGTACTTTCTTCGTTCGAGAAGAAATCCATGCTTTTTTTAAAGCTCTTCTCAAATCCAGACAGCACATATGATCCTGTCATAGCAGCTGCGACTTTACATATATTTGCCACTGAACACGCTCATAAAAAGGCACCTGCACCTAAAGCTGCGACTGGGATGGCATGTGAAGATGCAACTGAACCTGGAGGTAAGCATATCCATAAAAATAACTGGCGCAGCAAAATCACGATGCTCATAAAGATGTACTTTTGCAAAAAACTCAACATAAGCATGAAATCGTATCTAAAGAACCAGTCCAACCTGTATCCCAAGAACCAATGCAACCTGTATCGAAAGAAGCAGTCCAACCTGTATCCAAAGAACCAATGCAACCTGTATCGAAAGAAGCAGTCCAACCTGTATCCAAAGAACCAATTCAACCTGTATCTAAAAAATGGACGGGTAAGGTTACGCAATGGAGTAAACACCAGCATGAAGTCAATGGAAACGCTATGCTTGCACATTCATCAAATGAAACAACGAAAAATAGGTAAATTATTATTGTCTGCCTTCGGCTCATTACATTCAAATAAAGTGTATTGAAGTACATAGGTAATGACCAGTGTAGTTTATAATAGCGTTATTAATTTTGAAGGATGTTAAGCAGAGATAAGATGCCATAGTCACATACGTCGGCTGATTCTAATTTCATACTAATAGAAGGTGAAATCTAATATATTTCTATACTTTTCACTTTAGATACAATATACTGCAAGCAATTAAGTCAGACAATACTGCATCATCAATTTGTACGTTCCATCAAACTCTGACGATACTCTTCGTACTTTCTACTTTAAAAGTTTTCTTTTGAACTCTCTTCTCGAATTTAACTAATACCTTCGATCGTTTTCTTTCGGTTTTCTAAATACAGATCAGTTTTTGGTTGCCGTTTTTTTTTCAAAAATTTCTTTTATAATCATCAATTTATTTTAAACTGAGCGAAGAAAACCGAAATGAATAACAAAAGAAAGGATAAACGATATTGAACGTATACTGTTCTCCGAAAGAGAAGAAAATGTATATCTGCAGGTAGAACAACTACAAGTAATAACGCTTGGAAAAAGAATAGTTATGTATATATCCATGTTGAAATATGTGTGTTGTTAGATTATACTCCTTATTGCTTAACAGACGCTTTTGTACTGGTTAGCATTGTTCGGTTGCTTTGTATTAGATTTTGACTGCGTTCATTGGTTGCACGCGTTGCTAGAAAAAGAGAGACTGATTCTGTAGTAAATCGTATTTTCAAATAGACCTCCATACCGTATTGACATCGTGAGCCAGACCATCCTCGTGAACAGAAGCAACGAATACCTGTACCATAGGCAAGCGTTTGACATACACCACGATTATTACAAAGACTGGATGAGCATGTTGGATTTAATGTTGTTGTTGCAACTGATGTAGCACCTATTGATGAACCTAACGAACGAAGCAAACATGATAATATCAAAATATATATGAATTACTTTACCATCACAAAAAGGTCGTTGGTATTGACAACGAAGGCCACAATAGGGATATGGGCACGAACAGACATGATCACCCAATGGCCGTTGTATACATTCACCACCATTGATACATTCTTCTCCATTATCTAGACAGCTAAGTACTAAAACAGACCACCGTTTGAGATCACACGTAAATCTGTCAAAAAACATTACATTTTTCACACCGATTGCCCGAATATCCGGGTGGACAGAAGCAGCGGAAGCCTTGCGAACTGGATGCATCGTTTTGGCATGTACCGCAGATGCAAGGATTTTTTACGCCACAGATATCAACTGAAAAAGAGAATATGTGCAGCTATCATGTGGATAAATCGCTGATGGACACTACCTTGTTCACAATTTTGTCCTTGGAAACCTGTCGCACACTGGCAGGTATATCCACCACCAGCTGAACTGACGCACACACCATTATTTTTACATGGCTGACTAGCACAACCATTTTGATCTTCACAACGTTGTCCAGTGTATCCCAGCGGACATTGGCAGCTAAATCCACCGAATCCATTCGATATACAACTGCCACCATTCAAACATGGATTTGGAGTACAAGCATCTCCTAGAAAATACACAGTCCATCATTCTTTTATATCTCTGCTCACATCTTCATCTGCGTTGTCTTTTTTAGCATACTCCTACAACCAACTAGTCATCTTACTTGTTTCACAGCGCGGTCCACTATATCCTGTTGGACAGACACATTGGTATCCACCATTTCCATTGATTGGGCGGCATGTTCCACCATTCATACAAGGATTACTTTGACATGCATCTCGGATTTCGCATCTCATTCCAGTGAAGCCTGGTGGACACACACATCTGTATCCACCATTTTGTGCCGTGCATGTGCCTTGATTCATGCAAGGTTGAGAAGCGCAAGGATCACCTGAGAGAAAGCAAAAAAGAAGAGAAACATGCTCGATGATGCTCTGGATAAACTTACGATCTTCACAACGTGGACCACTATATCCGGGTGGACACTGACAAACAAATCCGCCAAATCCATTCGATATACAAGTGCCACCGTTCAAACATGGGTTGTCGGCACACGCATCACCTGTATCCGTATACGTCATCGATTATTTCTATACGATGCGCAATACAAAAACTAAACTTACGTATTGAGCAGTCAGCACCTGAGTAACCAGGTGGGCAGATGCATTGGTATGAATTTCCGTTGACAGGTCGGCACGTGGCACCATTTCGACATGGTTGGCTTGCACATGGATCAGCACCTAAACGAGTGATATTTGATTAGGAGAAATCATCGTTGATGTGACAACATACGATCTGTACAACGTTGTCCAGTGTATCCCGGCGGACATTGGCAACTAAATCCACCGAATCCGTTCGATATGCACTGACCACCATTCAAACAAGGATTCTCTGCACAAGGATCACCTGCAGACAATCACATATATGTCCATTTCCATCTTCTTTCTCTGCGTAGTATAGCGAAACTTACGTATTGAACAGTCAGCACCTGAGTAACCAGGTGGGCAGATGCATTGATATGAATTACCGTTCACAGGTCGGCACGTGGCACCATTTCGACATGGTTGGCTTGCACATGGATCAGCACCTAAACGAGTGATATTTGATTAGGAGAAACCATCGTTGATGTTAGAACGTACGATCTTCACAGCGTTGTCCAGTGTATCCTGGCAGACATTGGCAAGTAAAACCGCCCAAACCATTCGATGCACATTGGCCGCCGTTCAAACACGGATTTTGTGCACAGGGATCACCTAAAATGCATTTTTTTTGAAGGTCGTAAGTACATTATGGAAGAAGGAATTTTGTGACCTAGTGTCAAATCTACTTACGGATCTCGCAATTGGTTCCTGAAATGCCTGTTGGACAAATGCATTGATAACTATTGCCATTCACAGGACGGCATGTGCCACCATTTTGGCATGGGTTACTTCCGCAAGCATCCCCTATTTTCAAAGTCTCCGACGATGATTATCAAGTGCATACACATCACTCACGTATTTCACAATTGGGGCCAGAAGTGCCTGCCGGACAGCTGCAAGTATAAGTACCTGCGGCCACATTGGGCTGACAGCGGCCACTATTTTGACATGGATTTGGAATGCATGGATTACCTAGAAATAGTATCATAGTAGCATTATTATTGTATTATCCTAGTTTAGATTACGAGTTTCACAGTTTCGACCCGTGTAGCCAAATGGACAATTGCATGAATATGTATCAAGACCGTACGGACTACATGTGCCCCCATTTACACATGGATTCGGTTCACAAACTTTGCCTAAAGAGTACGCAAAGAGAAATAATTCCTGTTTCGGTCAAGAAGAATAGCCTACGAAATTCGCATCGTTGACCTTGAAACTCTGGTGGGCATGTACAGTGGAAGACGCCATTTGGACGGGCTTCACACGTACCGCCATTTGTGCAAGGATTCGGCTCGCATACTCGACCTATTTTGATAACTTATTATTTTTCCACTAACTCCGAGTTCATCCCACTTACGTTCACAGCGATTACCATAGAAGCCCAAATTGCATTCACAGTAAAATCCACCATTGCTTTGTATGCATTGCCCATTACTACCGCAAGGATTATTCGCACAAGGATTCGCTACAACAGAAATGATTTACGAAGACGTACTATTTCCAGCCTCTTCTACACATACAATCTTCGCAGCGCTGACCACTGTATCCAGGTGGACACTGACACGTAAAACCTCCTAATCCGTTCGGAATACATTGACCACCGTTAAGACACGGATTTTGAGCACATGGATCTCCTAAATAAACAAGTATTTCATCCACAATCTGTATGAACAGTCGATGGTAATCATTCATGCATACTATTTTCACATCGTGGTCCACTGAATCCTGCTGGGCAGACACATTGATATCCACCGTTCCCGTTGATAGGACGGCAAGTGCCACCGTTCATGCAAGGATTACTTTGACATGCATCTCGGATTTCACATCTCGTTCCGGTGAACCCTGGTGGACACACACATCTGTATCCACCGTTTTGTGGCGTGCATGTACCTTGATTCATGCAAGGTTGAGAAGCGCAAGGATCACCTGAGAGAAGGTAAAAGTAGGACCAGCATCCTCGATGGTTCTCTAGATAGACTTACGATCTTCACAACGTGGACCACTGTATCCCGGCGAACATTGGCAACTAAATCCACCCAATCCGTTCGATATACAACTGCCACCATTCAAACATGGATTTGGAGTACAAGCATCTCCTAGAAAATACACAGTCCATCATTCTTTTATATCTCTGCTCACATCTTCATCTGCATTGTCTTTTTTAGCATTCTCCTACAACCAGCTAGTCATCTTACTTGTTTCACAGCGCGGTCCACTATATCCTGTTGGACAGACACATTGGTATCCACCATTTCCATTGATTGGGCGGCATGTTCCACCATTCATACAAGGATTACTTTGACATGCATCTCGGATTTCGCATCTCATTCCAGTGAAGCCTGGTGGACACACACATCTGTATCCACCATTTTGTGCCGTGCATGTGCCTTGATTCATGCAAGGTTGAGAAGCGCAAGGATCACCTGAGAGAAAGCAAAAAAGAAGAGAAACATGCTCCAGGGTACTCTGGGTAAACTTACGATCTGTACAACGTTCTCCAGTGTATCCTGGCGGACATTGGCAACTAAATCCACCGAACCCATTTGATACGCATTGCCCGCCATTCAGACATGGATTTGGCATACAAGCGTCTCCTAAAATAGTAATTATGATAATTTGAGTACGACATAGAGGAGGATGCTCATCATTCTAATAAGCGAACGTACGTGTTTCACACCGTGGCCCACTATATCCTGCTGGGCAGACACATTGATATCCACCATTTCCGTTGATTGGAAAGCAAGTTCCACCGTTCGTGCAAGGATTACTTTGACATGCATCTCGGATTTCGCATCTCATTCCAGTGAAGCCTGGTGGACACACACATCTGTATCCACCGTTTTGTGGCGTGCATGTACCTTGATTCATGCAAGGTTGAGAAGCGCAAGGATCACCTGAGAGAAGGTAAGAGTAGGACCAGCATCCTCGATGGTTCTCTAGATAGACTTACGATCTTCACAACGTGGGCCACTGTATCCCGGCGGACATTGGCAACTAAATCCACCGTATCCATTTGATATGCACTGACCACCATTCAAACAAGGATTCTCTGCACAAGGATCACCTGCAGACAATCACATATATGTCCATTTCCATCTTCTTTCTCTGCGTAGTATAGCGAAACTTACGTATTGAACAGTCAGCACCTGAGTAACCAGGTGGGCAGATGCATTGGTATGAATTACCGTTCACAGGTCGGCACGTGGCACCATTTCGACATGGTTGGCTTGCACATGGATCAGCACCTAAACGAGTGATATTTGATTAGGAGAAACCATCGTTGATGTTAGAACGTACGATCTTCACAGCGTTGTCCAGTGTATCCTGGCAGACATTGGCAACTAGATCCACCGAATCCATTCGATATGCACTGACCACCATTCAAACACGGATTTTGTGCACAGGGATCACCTAGCGTAGGATAAGATCAATATACTCATGCCATTTTGTGTTCGCTTTAGAAGCATACGTGTTTCGCAACGTTGTCCAGTGAAACCAGTTAAACATGAACAGAGAAAGGAAGTTCCACTTGCCGTACAAAGACCGTTGTTTTGACAAGGATTCGGTGTACAAGGATCGACACCTGTCATGTTAAAAACAGTGCATGAGAAGGTCAAATAAACTTTTTCTCCGTTTTACTTACGTGATTCACAGCAATATCCTTGAAATCCAACGGGGCATTGGCATGTAAAACTTCCAGCACCATTTGGTTGACATGTTCCTCCATTTTGGCAAGGATTCGGCGAACAAGGATTTGAAGGCGGAATCTGTGTTATTGAACTACCTAGAAATCAATAACATTGTTAGTATTTACAACGATTAAATGTATTTACTTACTAATGTCACAAGTACGACCTGTGTATCCAGGCGGACATGAGCATAGAAAAGAGCCAGTTGGTTCATCGAAAATACATGATCCACCATTTTGACACGGATTGGGGATGCATGCATCACCTGTGATGTAACCGATTAATTTAGAATTCACAACCACTTCGATACTTACATATCTGACAAGTAAGTCCTTGGAAGCCAGGTCGACATTGGCAGGTAAAACTGAGTAGACCTTGTGACTGACATGTACCACCGTTCATGCATGGATTTGGTATACAAATATCTCCTAAACAATTGAATGTATCCCAGTAAATGTCAAAAGTTGTTGTTATTCAATTAAAATTTACTTGTTTCGCAACTTAATCCATTGTAGCCATACGGACATTCGCAAACATATGTTCCAAGGCCCATAAGACATCGACCACCGTTTTTACAAGAACAGCCAATATTTGATGCTATGGTGGAAAAAAGATGAAAATCACCTAGTTACCTTGAAATAAGTATCAGCGCTTACCATAAGTGCAATCATCTTGCCATGGTGGGCATATGCAACTGAACCCATCTTTTGTATCAAGACAGATCGTTCCCGAAGGACATGGATCATTTGAACAATCATCATATCCTAATAGTAAATTGAAATTCGATCATATGTATCTAAATGCCCTTCTGATATATTTAGCATACCACGAATAGATGTAAAATCACCGGAATTACATAGATCAGTAGAACACATACACCAATATTGACCATTATATGTAAGACAACCATCGACGAGCAAATCACGTACCCATTGCTCATCGGTACAACGTCGATCAGTAACTTAACAGAAAAGAAAAGATACATTGTAGTTTTTTTTTCGAGTGTCCACGGTCTTTGTTTTCCGAAAAAGATAATTACGCGTTGCATTAGCATGTAAAGCTCGTAAATAACATCGTTGATTATAATGGCAAGGAACAATACATCGACTATTGATGCCTATGTCAGGTATATTCGGACACGCAAAGCATCGTTTATCTTCCTCAACTATCGAAATAGCTGATCGACCCGATAACACTGACGGAATCACTAAAACATAAAGCGAAACCTTATTTCGAAATACAAAACTATATTTCGAAATAAACCTGATCGCCGCCAATGATCATTTGTTGTATTAGTCGGTTTGGCATATGCATACGAAACAATGAATATTAGAAATAGCCAGTGAATAATCTAATATAGAAGAGGAAATTGCAGTCAGTTGCGTTGAACTGTGATTTACTTACCATTTTTTTCAAAAATATATTATGTCGTCAAATTGACGTTTATTCTCTTGATTTTATATCCTGTGCTTACGTCTGTATATTTAAAAGAAATTGCTATTTACTCGCTAGTCTATCCCTGTGCTGTTTGTTTCAAAGTTGAAGGTGTATCTCTTCCTTGTTCTTCATCTTCTTTTTCCTTTTTATTTTATTCATTGTTCACATAAACACTCAGCACAAGAATGACAAAAACCTTGATCAGATCGCTATTGTTTGTCTTCTTGTTTTATTGTAATTTCAATTTCACAAAGGACAATTTGAGGGATGAGGGATTAAAAGCAAAACGCGCGTACGAGAAGAACAAACCCGAAGTGTATTACCATTTCACCTCCAGTTCATGTGAACAAGAAAATCAGATCTCTCAAACTATTTAATAGTAGATTAAAATAATCAACTGTAAGCAAGAGTAAAGCCAACAACATGTTACAAAGAAAGTGTCCTTCATCTCGATATGTCATATGTTAACTCGGTAGAGAAAAATTTATCATACTACGAGATCGACTCAATTCTTCTTCTTCTTTTTCCCCGGTAAAGATCACTTACCATGATGAGAACACTTTCGAGATTGAGAACTGATGTTGATCAGATAGTTTGAGGTGTGATCGTAATATGATCAATTGCATAAAATTACGGTTAAGGTACTATTTTTTTTCTTCCACGGCTTTATCCAATGTCATATGTTGGATTGAGCAATGAGCAACGAAATGAAAGAAAAGGGAGAGAGAGAGGGAAGACTAACACCTGATCATCATTATTGTCATGTTGCCTTGTAGAGGGGAGAAAAGAGGAATTAGGAAGTGTATGATGATACACCATTACAACTATATATGACAATCATGATGAATAAAACTAATCACTGGCGACTGTTTGAGATAAGTATAAATGTACATAATGAAGGCGAACAGATTACTCAACGTGTAGAAGAGAGAGAGAGAGAGAGAGAGAAACGAAGTGCGTACGAGAGGTGGAAACAAAATGAATGATGATCAGCGAGGGATTAGAAAGGTGTATATAAAAATAAATAAAATCATGTTCTCACGTAATTTCTTTCGTTGATCACTTGTCAATGAACTCAAATTTCGTTTTTTAACCCTTTGAAATGATGTAACACACTCAAATTTCAAAGATACAAGCACTATCATTAGCAACTACATATAAACACCGGCATACTTCAATCCAATCTAATTTATTCATTATATAAACTTTTATAAAGAACAAAATTTGTTAATTTACTATCAAATATTAGAAAAAAAAACACGAGCATGTTCTTACATTGTCATCTTCCTTATCAGAGAGAGAGAGAGAGAGAGAGAGAGAGAGAAAGAAAAAAATGTTCGTCGTTCACTCGGTAAGATATCAACTGCATGATTTTCGACTAAGTTTCAATGGGAAAACGGAAGCAATGAATAAATAACACGAAACATTGATTTGCTTGATCATGATGTATTCACCGAAGGTATGTGTCAGCCTGATTTGCTTATACTTTTGTTCAAGGACGAGGATTGTCACTTTCTTCAGAAGAGAGACATTTGCCTCTAATGTGTTTTTGTTATCAAATAAGGAAGACATGAATTTAAATGCGTTCGACGATCTCGTTCAATGTTTTATCGAACGTTTGTGCAGTTGATTGATGTTCATGTGAATGGTGAGGGTGTCTAACAGCTAATAGTGGTGAATGAGATTTCACAGCAAGTCGGGAAACTGTATTGATCTCATGGCTGATGTTGATGACATACTGTCGCATGAAATCTTCAAATGTTTCTGGAGAGGATGACGCATGAGTGTGATTATTCACTAAACTAGTTGATTGATAATTGATTGACGTCGAGGAGGCATTCAGTGACAACGAACTCTTTGTATTCGAATGAATCTCAAATGCATCGCGATGTTTCATATAGACATCGTAAACAAATCGCCAACATTTCTCGATTTCTTCAGCTTTGGGAAACGATTGACTTCCGAGGCCTAGTTTCAAATCTTTATTAATCGACGATGGCCGACATAGTATCAAATGTATCTTCGGGATCTTCACACCGTTTTCATCCGCGCGATAATAGAAACTATAGTGTCGATAATAATAATATATACTGGACGGTTGAGAGAAACCATAAAGAAGACTAAAGAAGGAAAAGAAAAGACGAGAATTACTGGCATGTCTTTGGCTTTTGCTCACCTAAAAAGATATTCAAAACCATTGCGATGCAGATGATCTTCACTAACAGGTAGAATGATTCTATCAGCTGCAGTCAATGCAATCTCAGTTGCGATGCTAAATGATGAGTTCGTGTCGATAAATGTCATCAGTTTGATTCCACGACGTTCGCCGATTTTCTGTACAAATGCGCGTAAACTCTGCGTGATCGTTCGCCATGGATTCGTATATGGACTTATCGAACTGGCGCTACGTTTATAATCCATTGCTTTACCTAGTAATTCCAGTGAAGTGTCGCCACACAAAAGATAAACCTAAATGAGAAAGTACGAAGACGTTCAAGTTGATCTGAAAGTCTTACATTGCGAGGTAGCTGTTGATTGTACTTCGACACGTTGAAAAGAAATGTTCGCGGGTCCACTGTTGTAGGTAATCCGACTGACGTGAATAAATCTAAGTAACCCGCGACCGTGCGTGGTATGCGTTGCTGTCCGTCAAGTATCATTGGATCTTTTTTGAGTGAACCTATCTGAGAGACATAGTCATGGCCTTCTTCGTCGTCACCTAGAAGCGGAAGAAGACAACTTCTCTTTTCTTCGAGAACAAAAGACGATAGGAAAAGAAAGAGACAAACGTGATGATTAGCCTGGAGAAAACATTTTCTGGCTATGACTATGTTTTACTTTTTTGACAAGTGCAATTCTAATTAATAATAGGATCCAAATCAAATAGAATTAATTTTTAATGTTAATCAACACGTATTAGGTATAAGCACATTTCTCATTACCAACTTCGATATGTTTTTTTTCCTGCCCATTGCTTGCGGCTCTATGCTTTTTCCTTAATTATCAATCTTAACGCTTATTAATCAGTAGAGAATATATCAATGAGGGACGAATTCGACTTGAACTCACCAAGAAATGCATGACTGAGATCAGCTTGTGGACACATATCAATGACAAGAATGGTTTTATCCGGATTTCGATATGCATATTTAATCGCTAAATGATAAGTTAAATTGGTTTTTCCTGATCCTCCACGATTATTCCATATAGCATAGCTTCCTTCCACTGGCATTTTCTAAATAGATATAAATATAGATAGAATTATCAGTGATCCATAGATGTTCGATAAATGTTTACAAAATCAATACATTCTCTGTATCTGTCTATGAGTACTGTCGGAAAGGGAAATTCTCGTGCAAACCTTGCCCGCCGGTGATGGAATAGGAGTCGTGAGTACTGCTGAAGCCATGGTAGGTTTTGTTATTTTTTTGTGTTGATATTGTCTTCCGTCGATGAAATGATGTTAGCTGTCTGTCGTCAGTTGAAGTTCTTGACGAAAACGATGACAAGTAGTAGCAATCGTTGCCTTAATTAACTATTTGTACAATCTTATATTCGATCGACACTGTGCGCAACATCGACAGTGACATAGAGGAAACGGCATCACATCTCGATTTCCATTTTTTTCTCTTGACGATCGTAAAAGGAAAACTCAGCGATGATGATGTCTTCATCCGACGCCAAAGACAGAGAGACAGAGAGAGAGAGAAAGAGAAAGAGAAAGAAGGAAAAAAGAAATAGACTGATGCGGTCGATTGTCTTTGATTCGCTGTTCTCATTCCATCATATTATTTCCAACACGACAAAACAGAGCAAAAAGAAAAACCTGGAACTGGTCGTTCTCATCTGTTCTTCTTTAATGATCTTTTATTCTTTAACATATTTTCTCTTTAAAATATGATGCACTTTTGTATTCTAGTCAGTTCGACAACATGCGATTCGACCAACGATCGCACGAGTGTAAATCAATTGACTGTCATTTACAGTCCTTTTGAAAATCTTTCCCTATCTTTTCCTCTAGTTTTTTTTGTTCGTTTTCATCGAGGAAGAATAATTCAATTATTTCTTTGTCGTAAGCCAACGAAGAATCTAAATATACTCGTGCTTTCATATATAGTTAGAGTGATAAAACTCGTTATCTTCATTGAATACAAGAAGACTTGTGAACTAACTATAATATACAATTATGCTAATGATAGTTGACGAGTTCCGGACAAGGTTGAACGCATTTCTTCATCTTTTCTCACAAGTTCAAATGGCAGAAGGAAAGAGAAGAATAGACAACAGGGAATATATCGGATATTGACATAGAAAGAAAAACTATAAATATAATTCTTTCCACTATATTATATATATTAAAATTAATGATGACATAACAAAACAACGAAATGTCATGATTAACTATGCGTGTATCGACGGAAATGAAAGATGTCGAATCGTGCATAGCGAAGAAGGAGAAAACAACAGTGCTCGCGTCGGTTTACATCGATGAGAAGTTCAATGCGTCAAAACAGGTTCATACCTGACGACAACAAATCTTTGTTGCCTGACTTCAGAGCGCGTGTATCATTGTGATCGGTCGGCAACGCGCCAGTCGAAAATCAATGTGATATTTCCGGTATTTGTGAGAAGCTGAAATTTCCGTCGCTGATCATATCAAACTCAGCTCTGCAACAACGAGGAAGAAATCACAAGTCAATAGGCTTGCCTCACTATTTGTCTTTACGATCAAATGATTGCTAAGAAGACAGACTGGCAAAAACAATCAATGATCAAGAAATAACAATAATAAGATAAAAAAATAACTAGACAAAGAAGAAGAAGAAGAAGGATGAGAATTTTTCTTGATGTCATTATCAACAGAAATAAATAGATTTACTTTCGCTGCCTTTCCATCTCGTTGTCTTCTTCGTACCGATTCACCTCACACAAAGACACTCGACATGTAACTCAATTCGTATGTATAAAGTTATATCACTAAGATTGATTGGAGTAGTTTGTTCCATTGTGATTGATGCTGAAACAAAGACCCTCGCAGCCAGCACAGAAGGGAGAGGGGGAACAAAAAGAACAACTATCGTTTGTAGGGAATGCCAGAATCCATCAAGACAATAGTTTAAAAAGCGAACGAGCACCGTCTATTTACATTGTGAACCGAAAGACTTTTTTGTTTGAAGGAAACAAAATCAGCAGAAATAAAGTCCGCAGCATGACATAGCCTTCGTATCTTTTTTGATAATCTCTCTTTCATAAATCCTGTTCTTTCATGCACACGCTCTACGAGAATAACAATAAGCAATCAATAACGGTTCGTCTTGTTTTCATTCGCATGGATCGCTCTCGTACACAAACTGACTTTGCCATTCAATAATCGTCAACGTCACATATGCAAACAGAGCTTGCATTTTTAGACTGGAATCGAACGTGTACATTGCAGCAAAGATTAGAAACAGATCACGAGAAGGATGAAAACTGCAATTATCGCGTTCGATAGTCTTGAATGCGAATGTGCGCACAGGACACATGTGCTCTTTCTTGAGACCACTTCATAGAACCATCAATCAACAAACATCCATACTATTGGAATAGTCAAAAAATAGAATGACAAGCGAAGAAGAGAAAAAAACCCGTCGCAGACTGGAATTAATGAAAGAGAAAAATGTTGTTGAGAAAAAACTGGTGTCGATGGTTTCTATGATGAACGGAAATCATTGTCAATAGAATGGTACAAACTCATGAATGACGATAGTATCAATGAATGTCTCCACATTAATGATGAATCGAACGAGAAATCTATACATTAACACTTTTTCGACTCGGTATCCTAACCTTCAATAAAAGCCCAAAACGAACACGGCAGATGTAAATTCTTTCGAATCAACGACAGTTCTTCGGAAGACAGCGACACAGAAGAAAAAAAATTACCTTTATCAATCAAAACTAAATTACTGCACACAATAGTGTATGACGTCGTATTGCTTTTCAATCGCGTCAAACATCAACCTCGATCGATGACAATCGCAATGTTTTATACCGCAAAAACCTTTATTCCTCTCAGCAGTTCCTGTTATTTACCTGTAGAATAATCACTTTCTATTTTGTACATACATATACTCAAAACCAAACGATGGATGATCGCGAACTGGTTACCAACCGACTTGCTCTCGAGTGTCTCAACGTGAAATGATTGTAAAGATTAAAAAAACAGCGAGTTATCAAAACAAGCAACATATATGATTTTGTTGCTCTGAATCGAATTCTCACAGGACAAGATCGACTACATATTCATATACGTAACAGGAAAAAAATCAATCTCTTTTCATATGACTTGATGATACATACGATAATGAAATATTTCCCTATTAGAAGATATTTATCGAGTTTGTGACTCAATAAATTTTGAAATTGATCGAATTTCACAAGAGTATTCTGATTTTATTTGAATACCCTTTGGGATTCCTTTCCTGCGAAATGAGTATTCTTTCTCATCAGTGAAAGCCAACTTACGTCATTCAGATGGCCGCAGTGAATATTTGACTTGCCTTTTCCAGGTGATGCGTTCATTTCACTAGTTGTATCTTTCGCTTCCATCGTTAATCTGAAAAAGCAGAAGACAGAACAATCCATGTGTATGATTCGATTGGCAAAAAACAAGCTCGCTCCGGGCTCGGCGTTTAGCAAGTAAAACCGAACGCAGGGAGGTTTCTCTCTCTCTCTCTCTCTTTTCCGTTTGTTTGGATTTGTCTCGAAGCAGCATTTACAAAACAAGCGTTCACGACAACAAAAACTCGCACTTAATAACATCATCAAATGATCCCAACGTCCCTAATTACTTTGAATACTAGATCGACAGACGAATAGCATACATGATCGTTAATGTACTGCTTGCTTGTCGCGAATGTCATTACCAAAACCCAATGACATTTGCTATATGGTAATCGAAGAGAGAAAAGTCCATGAAATCTGACTACTAAAGAAGAAAAGAAATGACTTTTCGTTGTTTTTCTTTCTATGCTAATATGGAATTAACATTTGATTGAACAAACAGAAGAACGTCTATTACGCTTTATCATGAGAGGCTCTAGAAGGGATTTATCAATGCGTGAATCGAGTAAATGGTGAAACGATAGGAACATTCGAGTACAAAATAATCAAGTTAGAAGAGAAAATATCAGTGAAAGAAAATCATGATCGTTCATGTTCAACGCTTGGCATTCGATATTAACATAGCTTGCATACTTATTTCAATAATTCCATTAGGAATATTCGGAGAAAAACATTTTTAAGTTAATCTATCAGAATTATATTAGTTTTCTGTTTTTTAAGTTGTGTCATTTATTCGACAAGCACTTTGATTAACAAGTATATATGATTTCTTCATAAAGTATTGGCCCACGAACCAATTTAATATAATTACCATGAAAGCGAACAAAGGTCACAAGGTTTTATCGTTAGTTTGCTAAACACCATTAAAAAAGTCTTCTTTCCTATCTACTTACATAACTAAGCGCGTGTTTTATCTGAACTAATACCTACCGTTGTAATCCATGATGACTTTATTCGATGTCGGACAGACAGAGATTGTATCTCGTTGCATAATGATCATTCGTAAACTCTTCTGCGCGATTGTTATTTGCTATTACGAGATACTAGCAATCATTACTGATAATAGTTGTAATGTACGGTGAGCAGCTGTCGTTTTCTGTTCTAATTCATTAGTCTAAGGACGGATCTCGGAGAGATATATGTTATTGAATTGTCATTCTCTTCCTTTACCGTTATTTTCCTTCTCTCTCTTTCTTTCTCATGATTAATTTTATTGCGAAATAATTGCTAACTGTCATGGCTGTTAGAGCATTTCATCTGGATATAATCGAGCTTTTCCTGTAACAAAAAATTCCGAGGACTAACTTTATTTTTGAAGAAAAACTCGTATAGCATCGATAATTGGTTTCGAATGTTCAATTAATAGCATATGCGTAGCACCGGGAACTACAGTCAACGACGAATTTTTGTAGAGCTGATGATAACGATAGGCATTTTCGACAGGAATTAAAGTATCGTTATCTCCCCAAACTATTAGGATAGGTATATTCAGTTTGGCAATCGTTTGAATGGACGACAGTGAAGCTTCGAAATCGAAATTAATTAATGTCGAATGTAAAGCTCGTAAATATCCAGGATGTTGTTGCCAACCTAGTTGAAATAATTGTTTGTATTCTCGATGTTTATCACCATCAGGAAAAGCCCATTGTATACGATCTTTTTGTTCATTACCGCGTTGCATAACATGTTTGAAAAGTGCTGGACCAAGAAAAGGAATCGATAAGACAAAAAAATAGTATTTCGGCGGTTTGACTAAACCGAGCCCAGCAGAACAACAAAGAATAAGTTTCGACACTTTCGATGGATACAACTCAGTGAAACGTTGTATAATTGCTCCGCCCATACTCACACCATAGAAGTTGTGTTTATCATACGGAAGATCTAATGCGTACAAAAGTTCAGCCAACTGGCAAACAAAGATATCGATGTTCATCGGAACATGAGGCGAATCTGACCAACCGCGACCATATAGATCATAAACTAAACATGGTTGATCGTCTTCCACAAGTGCTTGAAATATGTCTTGCCACATTTCCATTGGTGTCGAATAGCCATGAACGAAAACATTCAATGGTAATGATTTCGACGAAGATGGATGGTAAACGTAATGAACAGTACCGAAGGAAAGTTCGATAAATTGGTCACGACCCATTCGTGTTGTAGGTGTAGTGGAAATCTGATCATGTGGACGTGACAAACGACCGTGTTGAAAGGCAAGCCGATCGTATAATTTGAAAAATACGATATAAATAAAAAGTACGATAAATAGTATAATCAGAAACATCTAAAATAAACCGTAGATGTGAGAAAATGTCAGCTATTTAATATAGTCATTGACGAAAGATAATAGGTAAGGTACAGCGAACAGAAATGACAATAGATAAGAACAATGAAATTTGTTCTATGTCACATTCTCCGAAAGTTCAAAATTACATGTTTGTAGTTTTGGAAAAAATAAATGAATACATATGTACAAAATACTGTTTATAATTGGAATTGTTTCGATACTAATCTTTTCGATAAATATTCACATATGCGTCAATCATTCTCTTGATCCATTTGTGATCGATTTTTTCCGCGTAAGTTGCCTAAAAGTAATCAAAGATAACCCATTTATCCTAATCGATGATTGCTACATACTTTATCAACCACTTTTTTCATTATTTTTTTATAATCTGTCTTCGTTATAAGACGTTGCTTGTACATGGGTTTCAATTCTTGTTTAGCAACATCAATAATCTGTCTCTGACGTTGATAACGTTCTTGTTTCTGAAAACGTTTTGGCATAGGACTACTAGAGTGATGATTTCTTTTCATTCGTTCAGTTGACGGTAACCTTGAATTGTTCATTTTGTTCATGGAAGAAGCTGAGACAGTAGGGAATATTTCAATAGGTATTTGATGAAATATATTACTTGACTCAGTGCGAATGATTTGATCGATTGCAGTGGAAATTTTGCGCAGAGTTTGGATTTCGTCTTCACATAAGTTCAACACTATAAAAACGACGATTTCGAGAGAAAAATGACTTTCTTTTCTCCTTACTAGTTGATAGGCCATCAGATGTTTGACAAGCGGTTGATTGAACCTTACTAGAATTAGGTAATGTCACAGGAGTCGCAGAATGAGTCGGACCATTCCGAAGCATGGTATGACATGATTGATGATCGTCCGTTTGTCGTAAATACTGCTTGTTCATTTGTAAAGTTAACGTTAAGAACAAAGGCTTCTCCTCTTCGTGTAAATCATCCTCTGCGCACTTGACCACTCTACCTACGTTCCTCATTGATATTATCTACAAAGAAAAGATTTCAGATTCATATTTATGAATTCTGTGTAGTCGTAGATGTTCTTTTGCTGCTATTGGTTATCTCGAATTTTGACGATAAGGAAAGTTCTCTTGACTTTTGTTTAGCACGATATAAACTATCTAAAGTTACACAATCAGTAAATGCTTTATTTCTTGACGAGAAGAAACACTTGAAGTAAACATGCTTCATCAGGGTTATTAAAAAAATATTTATAAAATTTGATCGAAATCCATTATGACAGTCGTATATTTGCTCTAAATATATAACAATTAGATAATCATACAATGCAACCCGTATGTTTACCCGTGCATTCGGACGTTTTCTAACGTCCGAAGATTACTTTGAGCATTAAGTAATTGGTCAATGAAAGAAGTATTCGCTGAAAGTTTGGCTTTTGGAATCACTATCTTTGGCCGCGATGGAGCATCGATTCGCCGTTTGATTCGTGGTAGCTGAGCAACAGGCACGTTTACTGGAAGATAACTCAGCCGTCGTCGATGTTGTTTCAACGCTGACATGAATCGGGCTTGACTTGGCGGAACAGCAGATCGTGGAGACATTTTACTTGAAACATCAAAGAGATTATTAGATTAAACAAAGACAAATCCAGCTTTTCTACAGACTTTTGCGCGGCACGATGTGCTCTGAGAGCATGAACTATTTTCCCGAAGAAAAACAAAAATAAATACACGCACAAATCCGAAGTCGAGTATCACTTACTAGCTCGTTCTTGGGCACCACTAGTAATAGAGAGTTTTTTTCCATGAGTATGTCCACATGATGGACACGTCCATGCTTCTGTATTCGATGAATTCAAACAAAACGGATGATAACTACGATGCCAAATGCAAATATTTGTTTTTAGTATATGTGCTACACACTTACCTAGTATTGCATTGACTACAACCTAATAGTACATATTCGCCTTCGCCATCGCCGCATGCTTCGCAGGTGTTCGTTTTTACATCTATCAAGGCTGCTAATTTTCCATCCTTTGCACTGACCTAGTGAAAAACGAGAGAATTTAATGGTATTATACGTCATCTTCTTTTGAACGTACTCGGGCATATGGTTGTAAACAGGAATGTGACTTCTTCTTTAGAATGTACTCCAATGGTTGACGATCAAGTGGACATGTTTGGTTTTCCTATGAATTCGTTCACAGTCAATTGAAGAAGGTTGGCAGTTCACTCACTTTAGTCCACGTGAAAAGACAAATGAAACAGAATATATGTTGACATCCTTCTGGCATTCCAACTTCTTGATTTTTAAACTCGTTTAGACATACTGAGCATGGTTCACTTGTCGGAGGTGCATTTACTGTCTGACTAGATCGTTTTCGTTCATTTTTTAACATTGATATACCGGATTTGGTCGCCATTTTCTTGAAATTTTGAACAGAACAGAACAGAAAAGAACGTTTACTCAATTATTTGTAGAGACACACATCAATCGTATCGCACTATTTCTCTCGGTAAAAAAGCGACAGCAATCTACGTCTCTCAATGACATCTACTGTCAAGCCCAGATGCGTCTTGGTTCATTTTGAAAATAAGCAAACGGATACGTACACTCTAGAGACTGAACTTAAACTACTGTCGAAAAATTCCGACCGATCGAAGGAGGAAAAGGTATATATCTGTACTGCGCGCATATATATGTAAAGTAAGGAGAAGAACTAACATTTGGAAAAAACCTCTGTTATAATTCATCTGAAGATATGTCACCATCGCGAACTATAGTATTCATGGTATTCCAGCCATCTTCAAAGGTATGCTACACTGCGCACGAAAATCTGTTCTTGATATTTTATTTTCAATAAAATTCTACAAACTACTAGAACGAAATGAAAATATCGTCTCGGTATCTAATGATGTTGATTTTTGGGATTCTCTGCTGCTGTACGCCATTGACTAGCAGCTTTTTTGAACGCATCTTGATGTGTGATATTGGGATCAGCTGCTTTAATCCTAAGATTGCAAATGAACTCGTGTGTTAGTCACAAAACTTGCGAAAATCTTACTGAGAGATAGTATGTTGAATATAAAGATTATAGCTACTGTTCGTTGCTTTCTTTCCTGAACGGTGCGTCTTACGAGCACCTTTGCGAGTTGTTCGTTTGACTTGACGATGATGTTTGGCTGCAGCACCAGCTCGTTTGCCTCGATGAGTTTTCTTATGTTTGGTTGAACCTGATTTAGTACCTTTTGCTGATCGTTTATGATGTCTAGCCATACTTGTTAGGTAATGATGAGTAACGAAGCAAACAAAAATAAACTGAGAATGATAAATAAGTGAGAAACTCAATAAAAGTTGTTTGATATAATGAAATCAATGCAGTTAGTAACCGTACGTATAAAATAGAAAAGGCGCTCTAGTTCTCGCGGCAAATACTCGACATGAATGCGTTGCTATCAGTTTCAAATGTTTCACTTGTATGAATAGTAAATGATGAGTTGCAAATGAAAAAAATTATTGTGTGCTTTTTATTTCAACATAACATCCATATAGATTAATATCATCAGCATGTTTGATAACAAAGAAAAAAAAATACATATACATGTTTTCTCGATGAATATACAAGATGAAATAAGAAAAATATTCCATACGACGGGCACAATGATATACACCAGTGACAAAGAAAAAAAAACAAAGAACATGGCTGCATTCAGCTGTTCTCTGACCGAATTTTCGCTTCCGTAATGTCGTATACTTTGATCAATTCCTAAAATCAGAATCGGTAATAGAAAGAAGTTCAAGGAAAGGTTGTCTTACCTCCCATTCGTCCATTGTAATCGACTAAAGCGAAAGAGAATAGATGTTCATTTCACAATTGGATGATGTCTAGCAAAAGAGAAAATGCTTACCATTATCATCTGATTCACATGCGTAGTTGATTCGCCGGCTTGCGATGAACCACTTGCCGCTCGATTCATCGCTTTATCTGTTGGTTCTAAATTCCTCGAGAATGGTTAGAATGTATTTGTTGTAACTCGTTTGACTTACCAAGTGCTGGTAAAGACACATCATCTTGAAAGAGATTAACAAATCCTTCCTAGAACAAACGCGTGAAGACCGATTGGACAGTTTGGATATATCTGCTTACTTTGATAAGGAATGAAACGTGAAACATGTTCTCAACAGTTTTAGCAAATGAATCTGGATCAATAACAAATTCGAAATAATCAATTGGACTGTAATTTGCGGCTTTGTAATGTTTAACAAGACACCGTTTAATATGCATGATGTGTTTGATTGTTTGTTCACCGAGTTCAGCGCTAAAATCTTTGACCTTAAAAGAAATATTAGTATCAACGATCGAACGGTAATGGATAAAGATTGTTACTTCTTCCGGTCGTGTACGCGTTCTCTCTAATTCTTCTTGAGTGAGTTTCGGTTGGCGCACAGGTTTTGCACGTTGCTTTTGCTTCTCCTGGTACTCATTGGTAAATAGTTTCGTTGGCAATCGTCCATGCCTTTATTGATATAGAAATAAACTCATCATTCTCGAGAATATCAACTTACATAATACACGGTGCTGGAACAATATGATGAAAATTACCAAAGATTTCATAGAATTCATTGGCATTTCCAACTAATTTCGAAAGAATTTTCTCGCATTTTCGTGCTAGATCATAAGCACGATCTAAGCCTCCTGCTTCATCGGCAGCACGGATTCGTACACTAGCCAAATTCGATATGGTTCGCAGAGCCGAAGCATCAAGCACACCTTCACGAGGCATTTTCACTGAACGCAACGAACCGAATTCATTTGCACAAAATCTTTCACAACAATGTTACCTTTCGCAAAAGCTTTGTCAACTTGGTCGATCTTCTTCTCCAATTCGTCATTATTGGGTGACGTATACAATTTTCGATTCACTGCCAAACAAATAAATGATCTTCAACGAATATCGCGAGATTTTCTTACCATTCAAATCGTCAATAAACTGTCGATAATCCAGTCGAACTCTTAACCGCAGCTCGGCTTCGTCATCAATCATCGACATCTAAATGTATCAAATATGAGTTGTTCGGAATACTCTTCGACTTACTTGACTAGGACGTTGGGTCTGACTTCTGTACTCGTTATCATCGTTATCTTCTTGCCGTTTCTGTTACGAACAGAACAATATGTAAAATGAAATAACTAATTCAACAATTTACTTTGCTTTTGTCTGACGATTTGTTGCTGACCATTCTTAACTTGTAAGAAAACTATTGTCAACGGAACGAAAATTCGGGTTAGAAAATTTTCGTATCCAAGAGTCCAATCAAGGACATACGATGATAGGTGTCACTGGATGATATCATCGTTTGCGGAGTATCTTTTCGTGCGATTAGTTGTTTTACAAAGAATTTAATGAAATTTGTACTCTATTCCTCAATGTGACATTCTGTAAACTACAACGAAAACAAAAACAACGCCGATACAAAGCGAGAGAATAATTTTTTCCATTACTCTACGCACCGTGCAAACACAGAACACATCGAAAGTCTTTCAGTGCGCAACTTCGGAATGACTTCTACAACGATCAGAAAGTTCGCCTTTCTTATCGATTGTCTCTCTATCACCAATGCTCGGCGTTTACAACCTGAATTCCTTCAAAACTTTCCACTGAACAGCGGAATCTACTTGTTCTATCATGAAAGTAGATCGAAGTCTTATCAACGTCGCTTGGAACGTTTTGCATCGAACAGCCATCTCATTTATCTTATTCCAACATCAGAGGATAGCATTACTATGAACGTATCCTTCAAACTCGGCCAGATTTATGACCAATACGATGATTTTGTCATCGTTGCAAATTACGATCCTGTTTATGACGATATTTGCCAACGGTTAGTCTCACTGAATACTAAATTGAAGAATCACGTTCAATTTCGGCGTTTCAACGGTATCGATGAATTTGCCCAATTCCTTCGCCATTTGAAATCTTTCGAAAACCAAGATCGAAAAGAACCTATCATACTTAATTATAACAAAACTCAACTCTTTCATCGATGCCCATTCGAAACCGACGAACAATCCACGTATTTGTACCGTTTCGGTCAACTACTTCAACATTTAGACACTGAACACCCCGATGTTCAGTATAACTACTGCACCGAATGTCAAAACATGATCGAACACGCAGATTCGTCTAATCAGAATTCATTCGGTAAACATTTAAAAGATGAACACTACGCAAATGACAAAGGTTTTCAATTAACAATTTGGTCTGCGAACTAATCATACTAGTTGCGATGAATGAGAACAACTTTATCGCTAATCTTTAATGCATGAACGCATACTTTGATGATTGACTAACAAACTGTTAGTTCATACAATCATTCTGCATCATTTCATGTCTGAGTATGATTATGTCTCGACTCTTTCATTTCTTTTTCTTCAACATGACTGTACAAACAGTCAACACATTCTTTTCGTAACAAATCACCATACTTAACTTAACAGCTATATTGAACATGATTTGAATAAAATTTTCAGATGAGATTATCAAATTCGATGTCATATGCGCATATATTTCAACTATTGAAGGACGTTCATGTACGTCTCTGTGTTAATAGAATGTATATAACTTTTCTTGATATGATTTACCATTTTTGATCATATCGCGCTGTTACTTTTACCGTGAGATTGCTGTCTACATTTCTTACGCAATCGAATATTTAATTAACAGAAAAATAACATTCGATGTGCTCAATTTTCTTCGAAGAACTTTCAAAGTAAACAGAAAAACAGCAGTTGAGATATGTCAATCGAACTATTTCTCTTTCTAAATTCTATTAATATGTTGATCAATTGACATCGCCGTCCAGACGTAATTAGTTTCTTGCCATACGTAGCCTTCTAACGAGCGTTGATTAGTTCTTTTGTGCAAGAACGTCTGTCATCCCACGAAATAAAGTCATGGTCACAACGTGCTCTTAATCTTTTGACAAAGATAAAGCGAACGCAAACACATCATTGTTTATCGTTTTGACAAAACAAAATTCGTCTCGTTACCTTCCTTCATCACTTTCACATCATAAAATCAATTTACATTTTATTTGCTCTTTTATGCGTGTGTCAACACTGATTCATGTAGAGAAAGTTTCGAGTACATTATCTTCTACTGGCTGGTGTTTTTTTCTTTTGCGTTAAAATAAAATGTTCATAAAAAAAGCGAAAATTATATTTGCATAGTGAAGCGTTTACAAACAAACCAATAACTTTCTCAAATAAGAAGTTAAGATAATACGGTGGAAGATATTCATAGCTGTGTCAACATAGCGATTCGTGGCAGGTTTGCGCTAATTCTACAACGAAGAAAAAGCAAAGGTATAATTTCATTTGCTTGAGAAGATAATTACCATGTCGGAATTTTTCGAGTTGGGATGAAAGACGTACGGATGAAGGACAACTGTTCTGTACCAATGATAATTGTGCTGTTAGTTGATTGTTTTCAGCCTAGAAGAAGAAGAAAAAGACACAATCGAATCGGAATCGTTCGTTCAGTGAAGTTTACTTCGAGTGCATTGAACGCGATGTGAAGACGTTCAACGTCAGTTTGTAACTGTCCAAGAAGTATCGATTGACATTGTCGATTTTGTAATTCTTTTTCCAGTTCGAGTAATTTTTTTTGTAAAGATTCCCTTCGATGACATTCTCGTTCATATTTCGCCTTCAATAAACAAAAACGAATGAACGTTTCTTGTTCGATATGAACATGCGCAAGCTAGAGCAAGGAGAAAAGGTGATTGAACTATTAACCTTCCACTGAGATTCTTGTTGTTCGATGTCCTTCAATTGTTGTTCCAGTTCATCGATTTTCGTCTGTTTACTGTGCAGCACTTGAATAAGTTCAGTTGTAACAAGGTTTTGTTCATCGTGTTTCTTCTTCAATGGTGCATCATCGTCGCGTGTTGGAATCATGTCCTTCACTGAATTCTGAAATGAAAAAGTTTGATTTTAAACGAAAAATGCTCATCCGCACGTACTAATTCTGTTGTTGAAAGATAATTATCATGTAGCGCAGCATCGATCTGAGTACGCAGAACGTCAACCTAACAGAAAAGAAAAGCAATTGCAAGACGATTCTTCTTCCCAGGTCGAAAAATACTTTTCGCCTCATTCGTCGATAACGAAGACTAGCGTTAGGATCTGATGGGACAGGTGCTCGACTATTGACAGATTTACTTCGCGGATGAATTTGTTTGTCTTTGGAATACTCATCGGATAGTGCAGTCAGTTTTCGACGCAATCGAACCGCCGGTGATTCGTTCTCTATAACCATGTTGTACAGAGAAAAATTACTATGCAATGCGATGCAATTTATACAAGAGGAGAAATAGAAGGTTAGATAGTGAATGACAAACAAGCCAATGAATAAGTAAAAGAAAAAAACGAAGTAAGATATAACTGGTGACCTCTTTCGTTGTTCTATTGAATCGAATCAGGCCGACAATACGAATTTCCAGATTGATTTGTTCGAGGTAGATTTGAGATTCGAAAGGAGATGATTATCGAATTCTTGTGCTAACAGAAACACTAGAACAGCTTGCAGTTGTAGGCAGAGACGTTCTCCTCTTCTCTCTGATGCGATATATGATCGAAATGTTTGCTTGGAAAAGAAATTGAATCAACCGAGGACAAATTTTGTTGATTTATTGTGTTTGTGAAAGTGTTGTTGTTTTTTTCCATTGTATTGTATGATTTCGTTCTCGATGGTCACCGGTGGCCCTGTCACATCGCCATCAACTGTTGCGGTGCTAACACTAACTGAAAGTTAAGAATGACATGGAAAATATAAACAAGTTTGTTTTCGAAAGCAATCTTGTGAAAACGTTCGATTTAGTTTGTAGTCTATTACATTGATTTATTCATTCTGTAAGCATATTTTTGTTTAGTATAAACAAATGAAAGAAAATTTTCTCAACTAATTCAAAGAATTGCTCCATGAAAGACATAAGATATCTGTCAAAAAGAGAAAGGGAATAAGTTGAATATCGACTGAAGAGAATAATTCGTGCATTGAAAGCGCACGAGAAAAAGAAGAAAAAGAGATCACTTATAGGATGAAATACTCAAAATTGAGTGTAGTCACATTAGGATGAACCGTTAAGTATTTGACTTGAATTAGCTGGCGTCGTCGTTCCTGTAAAGATTGTTTTTGGTTCACAAAAAGGACCCATTTGATTGGTAGTAGACACTCCTCGAACAGCAAACGCATAGTGACTGTTCGGCTGGAATTCTTTCAGAGTAACAGCCATCGGTAATCGCATAGATTTTACTGTTCCAATCTAGAAACGAAAGTCGATGAATGGTAGGAAGTCGGGGGAAACTTGGTACTTTTTTCCAATCCGTTGTGCTGGCAGTAGTACTGTATTTGTATGCGTAGATTTCATAGTTTTGAATCAATTCCATCGGCGTCGAAGGTAAATTCCAAGTCAGTCGAACGATTGCATTGTCTTGTGTGATACTTAGTTGAGGCCGAGCAATTTTTGTATCGACTGATGTCTGTTCGGGTAACGGGCGTAGAGGAAACATCTAAATTGAAGAATACAGAATGATTTTCGGTACCAACAAAATCAGTACTTGTCCAACAGGAGTCGAAGGATTCGAACGAGCTGTTGCTTCTAGAATGAATTGTAGATGAGTTCAAAATATGGATGAGTCTAGGAAAAACCTACGAATCAATGCTGTTGTCGTAGTTGCTGGTGTAGAGATCGTGACTGGATTTTGTTGCTACAAAGAAGTGAGTGAAAAATTAGGTGCGAAATATGAGTCGAAAGACGATACGAACTGTTCTTGAAGATGTTGATGGGCGATTTCTGCTGTTATCATCATCATCTTCTTCGGTGAGATCAACTACATCTTGTGAAACTACTGAAACTGTTGCTGGTTTTTTAATCATCGATATCTTGTTTGTTACTGTTGTTGTTGTTGATGCAGTTGTCGTCGTTAGACAAGGTATCAACTGTTGTAACGATGGACCTTTCGTTCGGATTGGAGTAAGAAAACTATTGAAAGGACGTGCAGACACAGTCGAAGGAGCTTTCATATTTGGTGTCGAGTGCTTTCCATTTGCTTGCTGGAAAGATTATCATGAAAAAGTAAGAACATAGTCTGAGAAGAAAATCGCACACACATACGAGATTATTTGATTTCGATATCGTCGGTTGAATTGTAGAGATATCCGTTTGAATTTGTGTATCATTGTGATTAATTTGAATCGTTTGTTGTTCACGATCGATTTTATTAATATACAATTGTCGTTGATAAAATGTCATTAATTCTTGATGTTGACGTTTCAGTGTTTGAATAAGACGATTGTTATTTAACGATCGTTCTTGTTGTTGCTCCTGGCGCGTCTGTCGTAAAGCTTGTTCGAAGAGAAGATAGTCAGCCGTCGAGTTCGGTACATTGTGATGGCATTGGCAAGTACAGAGTGGTGGATGAGAATCCGATCTGGACACTGAAACAGTTCATTCACAAATTATCGAAAGTATAAGCCGAAACACAGCTTACCATTTTCGATTTCGACAATATCATCATCGTCATTTGTATGCGATTGTGAAAGAGCTGAAGACTGATGTTCACTTTCCATTGAGGCGTCTTCATTGATGCTACTTGTTACATCTCTGGTATGTACTTCATTTACAGTTGCTATTGCTAAATAATGACAATGGTTTTTTCGCCGAGACGACAATTCTGCTACTCACATTCGTTGTTCGTTGTATTTATACTACGATCATACATGTTCTCTTCTAGCTGATCCATCATGGCATCGATTGTATGATGAATATCCATGGAAATACTCGTACAATTTGGATGAACATCCATCAACTGAATGAGCACGTCATTTTGTATTTGATTTTGAATCTGCTCTATAATTTGCCGAATAATTTCATCATTGGTTTGTTCCACAATCATTTGTTCGATTTCATTATCAGGTATAATTACAAACGATTGTTCCATAGGTGGACTGTCGCTTTCTAATTTGATATCGCATTGAATCGTATCGAATATCGATGGCTCTTCTTTACAAGTGTTCGTGACAGGTAGACTTGCGACATTCTTAGCTTGAGACTTCACATTACGCGAGACAGTGCTTTTACGTGCCGTATGACGATAAATATCTGGAATGATGCTCGTAGACATAATTGTCTAAAGAAATGAAACACAAGTCGTTAAATGTATAACGTATACTTTTCTTCTATGCGTAGTCAATGTTTCTATATATTCCTTTCTTTTCGTTCTTTTGTAATAGATGTGAAAGGATGATGATATTTTTCCAATTCTCCTCTGCATGTGCTTGTATATCTATTTAGTTATTTTCCTGTGCGATAGTATTGTGAGAGGGGAGGGCGATAGAATCGACCTTCTTATCATTTTCATGAGTTGTCCGTGCGGTATTAAATTGAAAAAAAAAAACAATTGACGACGTTCAGAATAAGAAATTCATGCTTACATTCATTTTGTTAACCAGATTAAAACATGTACCCTTCTTATGATCATAACCAATGGATCACTTAACTATCTTAGTCCTTTTCTTCTGAAATAAAAAGATAAGAGAATTATTTCATAGGTCAAGAGAATTACATCGAATAGAATGATACACAATAGATTCAAAACGAGTGAAGTGTTTTCAGAGTCTGTCGTTAGTCTTAATACAAAGGAAGAAGCTAAAGTTCAACGCATGCACATAATGTTGGTGGACAATGAACAACACATAGTTGGAGACACCAATGTTCGATTCCGACTAACGGTTTGAGAACTTCATGAGTTGGAAAACAACGGAGAGTTTTGTTGCTTTTAGTTGTTTGAGTGATTAAATCTTCGGATGGTTGATACGGAAAGAGGAAGTTCATTGATGGTTCGACCGCTGCTGCTGCTGTTGTTGTTGTTGTGGTGGTGGGTGTGGTGGCGGTAATGAAGAATTCATTTGAAAGAATCGATGCTTGTTCGATTTCGGGTGGGATTAATATCGGATCCACAAATGGAGCAACGAAGATTGATTGCTCTGTTGGCGAACTCGTCGATAAGCCTGCTAAGAAATCACCATCTACAGGAGCAATACTAATATCAGCACAACTAAGACGACGAAAATCGTATATACATGTTAAGTATCAAATGAACATGATTACTTATAAAACTCTTCTTGATAACCGCAACCAAGACATGATCGTCCTGTCGTACCGTCTGTACCCCAATTGTTTCCAGCATGATAGCGCCATTGTAATACACAGTGAGAACATGACAGACCAGCAGGTAGATGAACTCTGTAAGATGAAGTCCAATGAGACTAAGAGTTACACGTGTTGAACTTACTTTAACAGAATCGTATCAGTTCCTTCGTTAACTGGATAGTGCGTGCCGAAGCTTTCGATAAAAAGCAAATTCTCATCGAGACATTCTTGGGTCGCTTCCCTATTGGGATCGTCTAAGGGGCACAAACGAAGTTCCATAAATCCGACATGATTTGCCGTTAGCTAACACAAAACAAGGGCTGATCTATTGTACACACTTCTCGCTCATTTAGCTTACTAAAATTTTCACATCGACTTGAGAACCTGATATATAGTTTCGAACGATAGTATTCGTCGCATATTTTCCACCTATTTCATGATCTCGTGGACCTGAATATGAATCACCACAGATGCCACATCTACCATCTAGAAAAGTGAAACATAAATTGAAAGACATACATCAGTTGAGAAGGTTACCATTTGCTTTTTGAATACTTAATCCACCGCAATTCAATCCCACATCATCATAATTAACCGGAACATTGAAACCTAGAATTTCAAAATGTTCATTTCGAAAGGAGACAATTTCTATTAGAACTATCTACCGTAACGCCACGCAGCATTTCGAGCTGGCGGATCTTCCAGTCGTCCGTGTCCATGTACTTGCTGAAGAGAAAGAATTGCAATAAACCAACTGAATATTCTTCTAATTAATAAAAGAAAAAGAAATCAATGATCATTCGTTTCTAAACCACAAAATATTTCGCTCATCTTACTTTCGCATGACTTTTCTATAATTTAAACGCCCGGTATATCTCGCATATAGACATAAGATGAGACTTCTTTTCGCTTAGTACATATTTTCTGTTTGTTGCCTCTTATGTCTCGGCACACATCTACTAGATCAATTCTGTCTATGTTGTCTATCTAATTAAAACAATAATCGACTCAAGGCCCGACGTTTTCGTTAGTCGACTCAGTTTCAGCTTTCATCTAACAACTGATCAACGTTTTGTCTCCTCTCATTCAATGGATGCTTGTTGATTGAAGGACAGTTTACAGTTGATCTTAAGATGACGATATGTTTGGTATGAATACATGTTTAAGAGAGATAGAAACAAAAGGCATATATGAAGAAGAAAGAAAGACTAAGTTCAATATAAATCCGACCAGTTGCTTTTGTTGTCTTTAGTCAACAATGGGGAGAGAAAACGGTAATGCTGATCCCTTTCGTCGTCTTCATTCTCTTCTTAATTATGCATAAAAGTGATTAATACTGACAAACATATCAACAGCCAAGTGAATCTACTCTTTAAATAAGCGTCAACGTTATTTATTTGCTGTTTTGTTCAGCGAAAAGGTCACTCACTTGGACTACACATCGTTTCCCGCGTACAAAGATACGTTTTCTTCGAGTTTCTTTTTACTTTTTACAATTGAAGAAGAAACAAAATAACTAATCAAATATTACCAATGATGATATTGCACAGATGGCAGACATTTCAATATCAAATGGTTACTGGCGACATCAATATCGTCTCTTCCTGGAGTATTCGCTCATTCATCTGCAATGAACTTCAGTTCATAATTGATTCCTATCGAAATGAGTGTTTGGTAATCCATAGCAAGTAATCCGTTTCTCTTGAATACGCTGATCCTTCGCTTGATGATTTAAAATAAAGTGAGAGAGAAGATTGGGTGTCTAGTGGAAGAAAAAGACATTTCTATTTTGATTTTACAGATCAACGTATCCTGTTTCATTCGATTGCAATATTCTCTATTGAAAAGAAATCAATAGCATTAACACCATTGCTTAATCTTTGTCTGCTGTTAGCAACAGTGATGACGAGATCGTCGATATATAATCATAAGCGTTCGGCTGTAATTATTTTATTGAATATCTTCATGGAGCTGCGACCATAATTCGAATAATTAATATTCCCTCAGTTCAGCTTGATCAAATAACAGTTTTCATTCATCATGAATATTCAGTAATGCTTTTTTGTTCTGATTAATATGTATATAAATTCATTGAATCAGCTTCATACAAATAGAAGAGAAAAATTAGTAAATATATTTTCTTTTTTTGCTTGATAACAACCAGCAAACACATGTTTTAAGAAGAAACGTATAGATCATTGATACAGAAAGAGAGAGAGAGAAAGGAAATCTAGCTCTAAAAAAGAACATCAAAATGATTCCGTCGATATATGTATATACGTATATAAAACGAGACAAGATATAGAATAATGTGACCACGAACAGAAGTGTAGAGATCGAGTGACATTGAAGATAATGATTATTATTTTCACGGACAATGATGATAACCACTAGAAAGATTAAATGTTTTGATAAAAAGAGAAGAAAGAAGGAAAGAAATGCAATCAAGTGTTTTGATTATGTCAGATTGATCACTATGTTTGTTTGTCACCGTCATCATGAGTTTGTTGTTCGTCTGATGGTTGAGTTTCTTTCTGTTGTTCATCATTAACTGTTACACTAGCACTTGCCCCATCGCTATTACCAGATGTCATCGTTTCGTGATGACCACTGTCGGTTTTGGCTTTGGCTTTCTCTTTGAAATCGAGCTTTTTACTTTCAATCTAAGACAAGAAGAGAACGATCAAAAATTTGATTTGGATCAAGGCTAATCGCTAGACATACTTTGACTGTGCCACCACCAGCTTTGTGACTAGCATTGTCGAGCGAGCCAACTTTTGATTTAGCATTCCACTGAAGTTTTTGATTTGGAATCTAAAAATGGGCATACGTACCATTTAATAAGTCTCAGCAACATCTGTGAAACTGGAATAGAATTAAGATTTCTTACCTTCACAGTACCGCCACCAGCTTTGTGACTTGCATTTTGAAGAGAGCCTACTTTAGAAGTAGTCGAATTCCATTGTGGTCGTGCAGACTACGATAGAAAAGCAGGGAAATGTCAACGAAACAAAGACGAGAATGAAAATGAATTTGTGTACCGTTGTTCCTGAAGCACCGTCGGCCGCAACTGATCGTGCTGGACGAGACGCAGTATCAGCCGTTGCTGGACGACTAGCACTATTCGCCCGTTTAGGAGCTATTGTAGCTGATGCACTAGCGGCAGTTGCTGGTCTCGCTGCAAACAGAAATAAACAGTAGGATATTCAACAAAAGACTGCAATCGAATTTTACTTGTCGCACGGCTATGTGACGTCGGTCGTTCTTTGACAGCTGTTGATTTAGTCGTCGATGCAGCTGCGCGCGATGTACCTGTGGCACCAGCAGTACTTGTTGTTGTAGTTGTTTTTGTTGGTTGTTTAGTAGAGTGCAATGGTGCTCGTATATTAGGTTTCGCTGTCGTAGGTGCAGACGAAGAACTACCCTCTGGTGCTGTGGAAAGTATGGTTGTTTCTTGATCAGTAGCTGCTGACGCTGTTGAAGCAGAAGTTTTGGGAGCTGTCGATGGGCGAGTTGGTTTTGTTACTGGTTTAACTGTTGGTCGAGATGTACTTGTTGCTGTCGTAGAACTAGCAGTAGGCTTAGGCTTAGTTGCTGTTGAAGATGCTGTTCCTGTTCCTGTTGCTCCTGTTGCTGCAGTTGAAGAAGATTTAGATGGAACATCACGCTGAAGAGAAGGCAGTTTATTATTCCGGAGACGTTTTAATAAAGTGTTAAACTTACCGCTGGTTTTGGAGTTGTCGAAGGTCCCGCAGAAGGTGAAGTAGGTGTTGCTTTTGTTCTATTGGTAGCTGTCGACGCAGAGCCAGTTGCTGGTGCAGAGTGGATTGTCTTACGACCTGTCGCTGACGCAGTTGCTGCTGGTTTTGATTCAGTAGTTTTTGTTGCCGAAGCCGTTGGTTTATGCTCTGTACTTTTAGTAGTTGAAGTTGCAGCAGCTGGTTTATGTTCTGTGCTTTTAGATGCCGCAACAGCTGTTGATGATGCCTTCGGTTTGGCAGCACTGGTCGGTCGTATAGCACTGGCAGCAGGCTTCTTTATTGACGATGCTGAGTCTGCTTTTGAAGTAGTAGCAGTAGCAGCTGGTTTTGGTACAATCGGAACATCAGCTTTTTGTTCTGTATCAAATGATGGTGGTGGTTGTGAATCGGATGTTGGGGGTGGAGTTGGTGTTGTAACTAAATCAACTTTGGCTACCAATTCTTGAGCAGCATGATCGACTTCATCAAATGCTTGATGCAATAGTTCTTTTTCCTGTTCAGCGGATTGAGGAGTTAAAGGCACGTTCTGATCAGTATCTGTTGACTTTAGATTAGGAGCTGGATTGGAGAAGCTAGGTAAATGTGATTGTTGCTGGGACTCATTGGTATTATCAGATGAACCTTCGAAATCAAGAAGACTTTCAGTTTTGTTATTTTGCTGAGTTGCCGTATTCGTTGGTTGGCCATTAGAAAATAGCGCGTTTTGATTAGTAGAATTTTCGGCTGCTGGAGTAGGTGCTTCAGGATCGAATTCAAGTAAAAGAGAATTTTGATTTGTTGCACTACCATTCATATACGACTGAGAATCCCAAGGTGAAGCTTTTGATTCTTCATTTTTCTGCGTGGAATATTCGTGATGATTAGCTAAATATAAATGATTCCTTTGATGGATTTGATTTTTCTTTTCAATAAATCTATACCTTTCTCATCCTGGTCGGGATCTGTTGGGAAAAGATCATTTGTTATGGAAAATTGATTGGAATCATTGGTACTATTTCCGTTTGTTCCATTATGATTTCCGAATGGATCAATATCATCTAGCAAGCGATTCTCATAAGATTCATTCGTTTTGGATTTCGTCGGTGATGGTTGATCAAACGAAACAAGTGGATCATCAACTAGATTCTGATCCGACATGAATAATCGTTCGACTCTACTACGTATATATAATAATCTAAAAGTACACTTCATTATTTTGTCATCTCAATTGCACAAAGCTGAGTGAATAACATAGCGATGCTCGAAGCTATGCATATCAGAGTAGTGCAATTAATGAGATATGTATAACTAAAAACAGATGCTCAAATGTCAAACACTGACCTCGTAATCGATAATACTATGAGATGGCTAACTGTATACAAGATGAATCGTATGTCATCTCCACACTACTGTTATTTTCTTTATGACACTTCATTCATTTTCACACCTCTCTTGACCTCTTGAACCTTATTAGACACACGTTTGAATACGTTAATCTTCGGCATCTGGTCTAAAAATCCACTTACTTTCACCTGTATATGTACATCACACCAGGAGATTCGAAATCTTAATGGACTTAAAAACAAGCGAGCGAGCGAGAGAGAAGAGAAAAACACATTGATATATGGGTTATCGAAATCAAACAAAATTTCTAATTAAAAATCTCCAATGACCTTGCCATCGATATGCATATTAGAATTCTCATTTGTTTGCTTGAACATCAAACATAGACAAGCCGATCGCAATTGGTCATTCGATAGTCTCTCTAACACCTTCCACCTCACTAACTTAGCTATCAAAAAAGAAAAACATCCGTTTTGTATCGATCGTTCTTCCTCTGTCTTTTACTTTGATATTATTCATATTAACAACAACAAAAAAGTATCTTACCAGATTGTCAAAAAAATTTATTATGAAAGACTCGACAACAATGGCCGTCCTGAATGAGCGAAAAGAAAAATCTGTGTGTTTTCTTGTTTTTTTTTTGCTTCTTCGTCTCCGTTTGTCCTTTCTTTTCCTTTTCTTTCGTCTTAATCAAGGATGATTCAGCGACACAACACAATAGTAGAAGTATGAAAACAAAATTGGTCTGTGTTTCTCCTTCTCTCTCTCTCTCTCACTTGGCCGACTCATATATTTTTTTTCTTCTCTTCTCGTCATTCTTTACTTCACTCCATTACTGCTGCCTCCGCCACCGAGACAAATGTTTGATCTACTAGACTGAAGAAAAATGAGGAGAAGAGAGAGAAAAGAAAAACGCTGTAGCTATAAACTCGTGTGCATACAAGGAGAAAGCAAATGGAAACTCATATAGTGTTGATGACGAGACGAAGGAAAAAAAAATGAGCGAATGTAAAGACAGTGAAAGAGTTCAAGATGAACTCTTCTCTTTTTCTTAGACGGAGTTAAGCAAACCAAAATTAAGTTAGCACATGGTCAATATCATTCAGTTTTCGGAGAATGATCGCCAAGTTTGTGTGCACAGAACACATACATAAGATGACTACAAACGAATGACAGACGACGCTCTGCTACGCTCTTGTTCCCTTCGTTGATTCAATCTATATAGAATACATTAACATGATTTAGAAGGCAAGGCTGCTGACTAATTTTTTTCCTCTCTCTCTCTGTTGCCTTCTCTTGTCGCTTGTCTATTAAGTAAAGAGCCAAAGAAAATCTCCTGAGAACTAGTTTATGATCACATCGATCGACAAACGAGAATATAAGTGAAATTAAATAGACCTTTCCTTGTCATCTAAAGAATGAATGAATAAAAAGAATGAGCGGTATGCGCTTCATATGAACCAGATTTTCATTCTCTCATTCAAATTATAAAAGATTTTACTTTGTCCTATGTTATTTATATAAAATATGTTAACACATCGGCGAAAGACAAACGACATTAACCTATAAACGTGTGTGGTAAACGAGAAAAAAATCGACCATTACTTACTAACTGACCACATATTGCTCCTTTCGTCTTTGTTCTATCCATTCATTGTTTCGTAGGCAGTAGATGACGCCAAAAGGTGGGTATAGTATCAGCTACCGGAATTAAAACGTGAGAGAAGGAGAAAGAGAGAGAGAGAGAGCGAGCGACAGGAGAAAAGTGAACTTCCGTCATGTGTATGTATTTGATGAAAGTTCACTTGGCCGGCTTCAGGTCAAGAAAGAAGAAAGACTGTTTCTACAATGAAACGGTAGACGATAATTCATGTTCTACAATTGTAAACGTGTGAAAGATAATTATCAAGCATAATTGGAATCTATTCTGATTTTGCGTAAACTTTGTTGAACATTGATCAGATTGAAGAATACCATTAGGTGTAAATTCAACAAAGATTGGTCTGCTGTTAAGTATCTTTGTTTTCGGTTCAAATTTCGGCTTTAAATGGTGTATTTTACCTACACACTGACCCTTTTCATCAGCACTGTACAATCTCTATGACCTTTAAGACGTGTCTACGTATATTTTTCGATTGTTGTTTTAATTCTTTATATGCGCTGACATGTCCTGTAATAAGAACATACCTATCGTATTCATCGCTAATTAAACTGAGCATGAATGAAAGGTTCATTTCGTGCGTTTTCAATGGAAGTTGGGAATACATGAACATTCTCACCGTTACCTTCGAACAGTCTCACATTTTCGCTCTACTTTGATTACGACTGCATTTTGCACGGTAAAAACATTTGTCTTATCAGAAGTCTTGTTGTTACACAAGAGAATTCAAATAACATCACGCAATAAGAGTGATCTGCCTTGCCTTCTATCTATCTGTCATTCCACTTTATTACAAATATTCACTACTATGTATATAAAATAACAATAATCATGTGTTTTCCTTCTCCTCGGAAATTTCGCGTGAAACATTTCTTCTTCGAAACAAATTCTTCGATGTTCTCATCGAATATCTCCATTTTCCATCCATAGAATTGAAAAATTCTTCCAAACGTGCAATCCGATATCGTAATTGTGCCCACTGCTGTATTGTACAGAGATTACTTGCATGTGTATTCCAGTCTTGTTCTTCATTGAAATTGATCAATGACTTCTTTCCTGTGAATAAACTTTGTAAAGTGTCACGTTGACGATCTTTATCTCGATGAGCGTATTTCAAAAAAGCATCGAAATCTTTCTTTGATATTGTCTTTGTCATGTCATGCACGAAGGCTTGGTGAAGTTCTTCATAGAGCGTAGACGAAGTGGCCGAATACTTGAATTCTTGTAAAAGATCTCCGATGGTTTTCGTATTGGAAATATCCTCTGCACGAATTATCGAATGAACGAGAACTCGAACTTTCGTCCAAACACCAAGTCGCTCGAAAAATCTTTGAATCGAATGTTTCATGAAGGGTGTGACATCAACTAACATTTGATTGATGATATCACGACGTTCGCTGCCAAGTTCTTCGTATGAGTCGACAATGATAGCCTAAATGTAGTTTATCATATGGAGAAGAAAAGGAAAAAAAGTTCGATCTACAAGAACCATGTTGAATAGGATGAATACCATAGAGAATATGTCTAAAAGTGTGTTTGAGTGCTTTCAAAGTTGAATTCATGTAGGGAATACATACAAAAGAAGAAAAATAATGGGCCAACGATTGGTGCAGCATCACGAATATCCTCAAAATTAAAGTCACCCAATACCGTGCGAAATAGAGCAACAAATGCTTTTCCCACCGTAGAAAATGCAGGTGCCTGTTGACCAAGGACTAAATTCCCAAACTAAACAACCGACAGTTCTCGCTCATCGTATTTTCACCAGTCGTGTCCTACTTGGGCATAGGCAATCATTATTGCTACGAACATCACAAGGAATCCGATCAGATCGCCGAGACATCGTTGAATCGTTGCTTTGATTCGGATCAACATCACAGCAAAATCACAATATTTCAATATACGAATGATACTGATCGATGCGAGTAGGATGCTCAAAGTATCGAATAGATTGTGAAGACGAAGTAATTTAACGATTGTTGTGTCGAATGTTACGAGATAAATTGACAATTGACTGGTCAAAGTCGAGTTGATGAGAATCAGACGATAGATGTTGACAATAATCAAGAGAATCGAAATGATCTAGGCAATAAGTAGACGTTTGAAGGGAGGTTTGGTTTGAATCAACACTCACTAGAAGAATCATGTCAATCCAATTCCAGAAACTGAGAAAAATCTTGAGTTTTAACTTGATCATTGTTAGAATTTCGACAAGAAGAAAGATGATTGTGAATAGAACGATAGTAGCCTCGCAAGTGATCAGAACATATTTCTTTGAACCAACGTACTAGAAAGACGATTCCTCGAAACAAGACAATTCTTTGCCGTTCAATTACCCGAAACAATTGAAAATTCTCGATTTTGTGGGAAGGAAAAATACCGCCAGTCAACGGCATTTCAAAAACAAGTTTTATGTATGAAAAGAGATTCACACTTGGATTGTATGTGATTATATCAATAAATAAAGCTCGGGTAGCTTTGTCAAGCCAATGAAATCTTTCCAGTTCATTGACATCTTTCGTGAAACGTCGATATGTTCGATCATACTGCGCAAGATCGGCTATGTATCCACTTCCATCATATTTGCCGTGTTGACCTGTATGCGAGCCCATTCCAGTCTTGTCTTTGGACATAAAACGCCATGGTTGCTTTAGATTGATTTCTGTACTATCGCTAAGCGTGATTGGACCAACTATGAAGAGATTTTTGATAGGATTTCAAGTACGATCGGTTATCTTCGCTTACACGGATCGGTGTCTTTCTTGTCGGGTGAATAGGCTGGGTAACAATCGGCGATTTCATCCGAATACGATTTTGGTATGTAACATTTTTCAGGTTTGACACGAACTTGTCTCATCCGAACGACTCCGATCAACAAAAAGTGATCTAATACCCAGTGGATCAAAGTCGAATTCGGTCCTGAAGGTTGCTGTTGTACACGTAAGAAAACTTCGGCAAGTGTTTCATTCATGAATTGCCAAATCTACATGGAAAACTCTCAAATTCCACCACCGACAAACAGATGACTCACATCTTGAATTGTCGCAATCTGATTAAAATTAATCATGTATACATTATGCTGAACATTTCGTTCGGTCAATAACGTCTTCACTGCGAATCGTTTTTGGATTAGATGGTATTCAAAAGTATTTGTAATGAGAAAACTTTCCGTTGATTGCATTAGTACTGCGACGATTAACACATTACTAACAAAAATCATATAGATAGCGAAGATCCGTAGGACAAGTTTCGCATGCTGATGGTTGCTTTCATCAATTCGCTTTCGATCAACATTGAATGAGAGAAGTAATTGAACAAGCTTCTCTATCCGAGATGGGTTCGCGTTTTCAATAGATTGATCAACTAAAACTGATGTCGATGAAATTGTGTTCATTAGTTGAAGATTCGTCTTCATGGACATGACGATGATCTCTCAGTCGCCACATGCTTCCGCTCGAATAATTAGCGCCTTAGCTATCACTGACAGCAGTGATCTAATTAACTGTGCATCTGACTCACAAATCGATATCAACAAACTTCGAGACTAGCGAACGAGAAAAATGAAGGACACGAATTTCTGTTATTCTGCATTGTTTTTGTTTATCCATATTTATCAACGAGATACAATTGCGCTGTTGTTTTTGCTTTTTATAGAATAGAAAGAAAAACATCCGTTGATCGATAGCTTAGATAGGTACACCGATCAAGGTATTTTATCTTCGGGTTATCCGGTACTGATTGTCAATATCGATGGTCTTTTCGAAATTTCAAGGACAAGATATATATTTTACTACAAGATGTCTAGAGTGTGATTGATATCAACAGTTAAAAAGAAGTAGACGAATAAATAACTAACTGTATAAAAAGAACTGGCCTGAAGAGAAAAAAAAGAAGAAGATTCATTGTGATGCGTGATCGCTTTGTAAATGTTTCAAGTAATCTTGGTAGGAATGAAAGCGTTGGGAGCAAAATTGACATTCAGTGATATTTAGATGATCAGCTGCAACTTTCTCTAAACGACGTTGTCGTTCATCATCTGAGACATTGGAACGAAGAGAATTGTTTCCACATGACATACATTCGTAAAGTAAACCTTTTTGTTTAGGAAATTCGTGATGTGTGATATCAATCAGTCGGCTGGTACCACAGCGTGTACAAGTTGGCTTGTGTGAATGTTGTTCATCGGTCGATTTCGATTGCTGTGATGTCTGCAGTGGAAAATTGTTTGTATTCATTTGATTATGATGAAAAGATAGAAGAAATCGAATCAAAATCAAAACTGGGTCATTATTTCGTTTCTTATCTTCCAATGAAACTTAGCTCATCGATCAGCTCGATCTGAAGAGATGTCGCGTCTATCATGTGAATTTCGTGATGTAATCTTGCAGTTACGAAACGAAAAGTGAATACAAATGAATTTATTAGCGTGAAGTAAAAATACAATTTTAATTGAAACTTTAGAAAACGAAACGTGAAGGGATGAAAGAAAACGAAATTGTATCATTTTTTATTCGTTGCCTAGTAGAAAAGTTGACATTTAAGATTGCACATCGAATAACAATCTTACTTGCGATGATAAATTATAGGAATTGAAATGTTCATCATTGATTTGAGGAGAAGAATAATATTGTTGTTGTTGTTGTTGTTGCGCTTGTTGTTGACCTTGATGATGATGTAATTGTGCTTGCTGTTGTTGTTGTTGTTGTTGTTGATGTTGATGAAGGGAAAATGTGTTTAATTGAAAATCAGGTGGAGTCGACACGGAAGATGTCACTTGATTTTCTTGCCACATTGAAGACGAGTACGGATTAAGAAAATGTTCATAAACATCAACGTCACCGGTAGATAAACGAGAGCTATTTATCGATGGATTCACAAGTTTATCAGTTGACGAAAGTGTGTACCTTGGATTATCAGTTGTTCGGAGAGGTGGTGGAGGGGTTGAAGCACCAAATTGATCATTGGTTTTCGACGAGAATCCATCTGTACTTAGATCGAAATCAAAATGCTGATTGGAATTCATTCGTTGTTCGTCAATTGAAACAAGCTGAAACTCATCAAGCATTGAATCAACATTCTCGACACAATGGGTCTGCCACGAATCATTCTTCTCAAAAGAACATGATAAATGCTGATGCGAAGTTAACAATGAAGGATTGTTAGTAGCAGTCGAAGGGAGAGGAAGAGTCGTCGTCGTTGTAACAAAACCTGAGGTTGCTGGGATATTAGACCATGTAACTGGTTTATTGATTAGATTCAGTGTCGGAGTGATAGGCGATGAGGTTGTTGATTTGCCGATTTCCTGCTGAGATATAATCGCAGCTGATTGAGGACGATTGAGAAGCGGTTTACGATTGCGATTACGCTTTAAAGTCACATTCGTAGTCGATTTTGATCGATTTCTTTTTTTACTATTATTCGTTAACGTTGGTTGCAATACTGTGTTCATTTGATTTTGTTCATTATTCGTAGGAAAGACAACTTGTTGCGCGATGTTCACCACATCCTGATGAGTTAACGTCGATCCAATCGAATCATAATCCGATTGCTGCGCTTGTTGCTTTTGATATAAAGGTGATAACCATGTTTTCGTTGTTACTGTTCCGTTTTGTACCCAGACGAGTTGGGAGGACGGCTGCGGCGTCTGGTGTAATTGAGAAGGCGGCGGTGGAGGAGGATGATGTACTTTCGTTTGTAGATGTGACGATTCGTTAATCGATATATCTCCTTTACCGTTAATAACTTCTTCTATCGTTTGATCAATATCGGAATTACTTATCGTCGTTTGAATCGAATAAGGTGATACTAATTTTATTGACGGCGACTTCGTTGTTGGATTAGGTGATGGCAAACGTTCTTCTTTTATTAAAAATGCTGATGGCGGTTGTTGTTTCATTTCATCTAAAAAATGACAATCTCATGTTTTCTTTTTCCGTATATTTACAGTTAAATTCGGCCATACTTAAATTAATTTGATTATAAAATGATGTTTGATCGTGATTGATCGCATTTGGAACACTTAATTGCTTAACAATACGTCTTTTCCGTTGTCGATTATTTACTACACCTATACTTCGTTGCCGATTGATTGGTTTTTTAATTGTTGGAAAACTAAACAATGAAGTCAGTCAAATATGATTACATTTTCTTTCTCTCTACTTTGATTGTTGTTGTTGTTGTTGTTGTGACGCAATTGTTGTAATATTTGGCGGCGAATCAGATGTTTTCATATTTGGAATTGCAAACGGTAGCAATGTTGTTGATAGTGTTTGGCCTTGTTCTTTAATAGGTGTCATTGAAATCGAACGATTTGTACGAATTTGTGAGGCCACGGCAGCACGTTGAGCGATCGTTCGATTGATCGGTGGCCGGCATATAATAGTTTGAGATGCCAGTGTGGCGGCATTCGATTGCTGTTTGATTAATGTCAATGTTGGACAAGATTGTTCATGGACAAGATGTGATTTTGAACAAGTGCATACGAAAGCCTTGACTGTCGAGGACGCTGACGAGCTTGACAATGGATATGCAGGGACCGACGAAGTTTGTTGCAAATCATTTGGATGAATCAATGTCGGCTTTGCTGGAAGATTCGTTAACGATGTTGAACTAAACAATGAACGAGTTCAAACAGATGAATTTCGTTTAATGGCAATGATGTTATGCAATTTTTCTACAGGTAAACGAATATTTTCTCCGAGTGAAAATATAATAAAAAGTTAATTAGAAGATGTTTATCATCAAAAGAGAATATTTTTCACTTAATTAATATATGAGACATGACGATAAGATCTACCTTTTTTTCTGCTGATTTTTCATCGATGACAAAAATAAAGTTGTTATTAGTAGATTAATTTAAAATAAAGATATCACCGTGATCAAAACAAAGTATAGTCCTTGTAGGAAATGTGCTACCAAACGATAATAAATCACGTTGGGCTATCGCAATCTAATTCAAGCTGATGTGAAGGGTTATTTTTTACTCCTGTGAGACACTATCAATGTATTATTCACCAGGGCGAAGCTACTAATATGTACCTGATACTTTTTGATAACGGCGCCATTTGTAGATTTGATTGCGTCTCCATATCGGATGATGGGGTTTGAATGACATGTTGGGATGATAAATAGGATTGATTCGTTGATGAGCATGCTGATGGGGATGTTGGCGTTTGTTGACGTCGATAGATAGGTGATAGTTGAGTTTTTACTTCGGCTTTGATTTGATGGATCGGTGTATGAGATACGGACGACGGTGGACGAAGTGGTTGAGCGGGTAGAGCACTGAAAACAACGGTTGTAGTCGTCGATGAAACATCATTATGATCACCGGCTGATGCTAACGTCGCTGTTGTTGTCGGTGGTTCATTATTTGGCATAGATGATTGGTGATAGTATTGCTGTTGTTGTGGTGGTTGCTGATACGAAGAGCCGAAACTTTGTTGTTGTTGTTGTTGTTGCTGCTGCTGCTGCTGCTGTTGTTGTTGCTGTTGTTGCTGTTGTTGCTGTTGTTGCTGTTGCTGCTGTTGATGGTGGTGATGATGGTGATGAATAGAATTAACAAGTAATGATGATTGATTTTGTTGAAAATATGACATTGATGATTCATTTTTACATGGTTTTGGTGATGTTTCTAAATAATGATGTAAGATATGAAAAGATCCGTTTAACCTATTCGTTTGATGTTTACTTTTATCGATAATATGAATAATCAAATTGGGATTTTCATTATTATTCTCCGACCATTCCAGATTCAAGTAGATTGTGACAAGATTATGCTCAATAATCGATTGCCCATTCGCTTTCAGTGGCACTTTGTAGGATTGAAATGGTTCACTACGATAAGACAAGAGAGAAAGAAGAAAAAAAACAACATGATTACTCGAGATACAAATGTAAATCAATCTTTCCTGGTACTTACCAACTAACCATGATGAAGGAAATATCACCAAAACGATAAAACACGAGCAATTGATGATATGTTATCGAACATCCAAAGAAGAATAATTGATCGACGAGCAAATACCTATACAAATGATACTATTGTACTTCACATGTGAATTGTAGGATAATACAACGATTAAACCAAGAGTGTACATGTAGATTTTTTTCCTCTTCGCGTTTTTTTTTCTCCGGCGCGTTTTTTTTCATATTCTGTTCATTCCTATTCGCACGCTTCGCGTATCTTTACCTGAATCGATCGTTTGCTATGTGTGTGTATATGTTAATGATAATGATTCTTTCTCGTATTCTCACTTGACTACGTGTTTCTCGCCGTTTATTGAGTGACGACAACGCGTGTATGTATCATCTAAAACAGAACAGCGAAGATGATGACGGTGCAAGAGAAGACGCAAGGACGTTATTAAAATCAATCAAGAGAATCGAAGGTAAAGGATGCAACAACGCCTTTCCTTTGTTATTCGAAATATATTTATTTCTCAAAATTACAAGTCAAATGAGAAATGAAAAGCACAACAACAAGAACAATAGCGATACTTGCCAGTTAATATAACTCGTCCGTTCGTCTAAGGTAGTTTGCTTTCGCTAGTCAGATGATATGAAAAACAAACGCCCGACTAAATCAAGAGAAGTGAAGAGCAAAGAACACTTATTCATCGCTTTGGAATATAAATAATAATTTGTCCACGAGATGACACGGGTCATTAGGCACTGTGCAAGCAAAAAAAAATATTGCTATTACTTCGATATATATTAATCACAATGAATGACGAATCGTTTCAGGAATTGAATTTCATCACAATCATATCAATATATTTCGACATATCATGATTTGTTTCGAAACTGATCGCGCATGTGATCGGTAGGGGGGAAACCGCAAAACAACATCAATAATGGAGCTGGGAATAATAAAAAAACAGCGAGCGTTTACACACGACCGATTATCATACATTACTCTTGCGTGTTTTTTATCTAAAGGCGCCGTGTCACAAAAGTTATCCGATTGACCTATATAACAATCATCTTACTCGAAAAACTTCTATACATTTCAAAATTCCGAACATATCTCTCGTGAATATGTTAAGTCGGATCCAAGAGGATAATATACATACTTATTTGTATTTCGAACGTTCCAGATAGTTGAAAATCTAATTGTAAAATAAACATGCTTGAAATATTATCGACGGATTAGAGAAAAAATCATACTGATGAAGGACTGATCGAATCTCGAATCCGATTGTTTCAATCTGGAACTGTTCTGTTTTTTTTTTGTTCTGAAAGAAAGAAAAAACATGTGGGACTTACGATTTTATATTTCGTCTATTGTCGCTACTGAGCACAATCGAAAGACATCGATAGTGACGCAAACCACAAGATGATATCATCGAACATTTAGCGACATATTATTTTACCATTGGATAATACATTTAAACGAATATTAATAGTTCGCTTCAGTACAATTACAAATACTTCGAGTTAGCTTTTGAAAAGGACGTTTTTCTTAGTTCTCATGTGGTTATTATATCTTATTGTTCTCCTAATCAATTATGACGCATGCTTTGGTAAACAAATGAATGTAAATAAGAATAGATGAATGTGATGGAGTAGATTTCAAAATAACTGTTATGTTTCTTTCCCTTTTTATTATTCAATTTTAAGATGTCGACTGGAAAAACTGCGTTGGTGACAGGATACACCGGTGAATCAGGCAAGGCTCTGGTGGAAGAACTAGTTCGAAACAATGAATTCAAAAAGATCATCCTTATCGGCCGCCGAAAGGTAGATTTTACCGAAGATGCATACAAGCAAAAAACGGTAAATTCTGATGCAATGACAATGCAATTAAGAAGACTATTCGTGCTACTATAGGAACAACGTGAAATCAATTTTGATAAGATCGATGAGTACGCTGAAGCATTTCGTGGAGCTGATGTTCACTTTTGTTGTCTTGGAACAACACGTGGTAAAGCTGGAGCTGTGAGTAGGATTGACCGGTTGACTTCGAAGATAGTCTTGTGTGTGTAGGAAGGATTTCGTCGGGTTGATTATGATTATGTCGTCGGTGCAGCTCGTCTTGCTAAGCAAGAAGGATGTCAACATTTTCATCTTGTATCAAGTCAAGGTGCTAACGAGAATTCATATTTGCTCTATCCTCAAGTGAAAGTACGTTGATTTTGTCATCCGAGAAAGCCAAATACTCATTGAACAAGTATTTTCAGGGTCAGTCCGAATCAGCTTTATCGAAAATGGGGTTTCCACGCTTGTCAATTTATCGGCCAGCGTAAGTAATCTTGTATTTAACATAAATCTTTGCACAAAGAGTCTATTTTAGTATGTTAATGGTCGATCGAACTGAGCATCGTTTATTTGAGTGTATTGCACGATCAATTATCAAACATACCGTGCAGCGTATCGCTCCGGAATGGATTACAACACCGATTGAGGTTCTTGCCCGTGCAATGTGTTTCAATTCGTTTACAACTGGACGACCAAGTGTAGAAATTCTCGATAATCATGCAATATTTCGTTTGGCCGAACAAAAACCAAACGCGACAGCTGACGGAACAAAACGTGCCGATGAACTTTAAGATTTTTTAATATTCTTTTTTGACTAAACTTGATTTGTTTTAAAAATACGATCATTTCTGGTGCATTTTTACATTTAATTTTAGATAAAAATGGATGAAATCCAGGAAAATAAACGGGAATTATATGTAAGAGAATGAGTTCTGATGAAACAATATGATAGTTTTGTAATAATAGAGACGAAATGAACAGATCATTCGAAGATATGAAGAAAATGAAGCAAAAGTCAAAGAAGCAGCTGAGAATATCCGTCGAAATTTGTACGAAAACTAAATCTTAATAGACGAAACTAAAATTTCGATTTTGTAGTGAATCTTCAAAGACTAGCATCGGGCCAGCTAATGAATTACGTAAGCAAATCCATGTTCGTTCGAAAAAAGAACTATCTTTTCCAAATAATTTAGTTCGATTTTTTTATATTCTCGAGCAACAGAGTCTCAGCGATACAAACGATATCCGAAGAAAAACAAGGGCTGATTTGGAAGAGTATATTAATCAATTTCGTCAAGACGAAGAAGAAGAAGAGGAGGAGGAGGAGGAGGAGGAAGAGGAGAGCAATGATGATGATCAACCATCAGTTGACGTTTCACAACCAGTACCAATAACTTCATCGAATGTGGTAAGGTCATTTCATGGAAGTAATCGTGAAATTTTGTACTTGTTAATTCTAGTCATTACCTACAATAGCGTCTACGTCAGCTCAGCTACCAGTGACTATTCCAATAGTTCCTTCACAAGTACCGACTGTCATTTCTACACAACAAGCATCACCTATGAACAGAGCATATCTTTCGCCCGTCACTGCTCCCGATTGTATTAGACCATCGACACTTGACGTATACGAAGCAATCTTAGTCGAAGTTAAACAATATGAAGCTCAGTATGAGTCTATACCAAAAGAGCGTGAGAGGCAGTTAGCTCAGCCGACTAGAGATATTCTAAATAAACTTCGTGAAGATACATTTAATAAACTAGAAGAAGACTTATTCAAGTATCTAAACGGTCAGAAGTATTCTGTAAGCAACCAAGATATTGCTATAGGAAATAGTGCAGGTAAGAACGGAATTTCCAAAAGTTCTCTCTTAATCGATTACTTCTAGAACGTTTCTTATGTTATAAACGTCTTACCGAATTGATTCTTAGTCAATTACTCGGCGGTGATTTGAACGATGTGAAAGCTCGAATTCTGCTACCTTTAATTGATCACATAAGTCGTCATCCGCAACACAAAGAATTTCGAACTATATTTCTCGATGGTTTACACAAGAAATGTCCGTATACGGTGCCACTCTATCCGAAACCGTTATCGGCAACAAATGATGCAGAATACTTGAAGTATGTTCCGATTGACAATGAGTTGGTTTATATCTGATTTCATTTTTTTTTAGAGCAATGGGTTATACAGAAAAAATGGAAAACAGGTTACCACGTTTAGAAACTGAAACTGAATTTCTAAATCGAATGAGCGGATTGATTCGGTTATTTTGGAAATTAGCTGCCAAGAAGATTCCTCCTTTCGATAAAGATTTATCATTCGGGTGGCAATGGTGTTCGGATGTTTTAAATCTTCCGCCACGACCAAATCTTACGGTACTTCTTTTACGAGTGTTTCTTGATGAAGCTGGTGAATTGATGATGGAAGCGTATTCGAAACAATTTTTGAAATTGGTTAAAACCATTGAAGCCAATCTCACAAGACTTGGGGCAAACTCCAATCCCAGTGACGTCGCGCGACTCGAGACAGCGATACAAAAAGTTTTACAATTGAATAAATAGGCCAAGAAACTCTGTGATTTGTATAGTGCGTGTGAAAGTAACATTTTGTTGATAATAAAAGGCAAATATTTTCGTGTCATTGATTGATATCCAATAAGTAGGACTGTGTATCATACAATTTCAATGTTTTGACTGTTAGTTTGTTGATAGTCAAGGGCTTTGATGGTTGACAAGTTTCATGATACAAACCAATGCGTAGGCTCATAGATTGTGGTTATTCGGTTATTTAATCTGTGCAGTATGCTGTATAACATGAAAACAATCAAAATTGACCTAGTTGGACTGAGAAAGATTCATGACATGCCAACAAATATAGAAGAATTTTGACTTGCAGCAGTTTTATTCAGTCTGTTTGCATTGAAAACCATGTCCATGTAGGAAAGAAAGAAAGGAAAAGAAAAGAAAAACACGTTTCTTACCCTTCTGTTTGTAAACTCGACGGAATAGAACGTTTCGCCATTGTACATGGTAAAAGAACAAACCCAACTGCAATCATTGACTGCAGTCTAAAGGTAGATGTTTAACATAAATAAACAAATACAGTCATTCACCTTTTAGCAAAAAATTTGAGTAAATATTGGCGACAAAGTCCGAAAAATATAATGTAAAGTATGGCTGTGAAAAACTTTGACACTTCTACAGCGCGACCGTCGACATTTAATAGGCAAAATCCGTCGCTCGCGACTTTGCCAGTCGAAGTTATCTATCGTATTCTGGACAATCTAGATATACTAACAATTTTAATCTCATTTCGTAATGTATGTACAAGACTCGACAGCATCATTGACGACTACCATAGATTTAAAGTGAGAACGACAATTGATTTCAATTGAATGCAATACAACTTGTTTTTCTTCTTTAGGCGTGTACAAAGTTGGATTTTACGCATGAGAAATTTGATGAGCAAAGTCTTCACGATTTGATCCATGGACTGGAAAACAATCGTGTAAGATAAGCGCTCTACTAATTAAATCCGAGATGAGTCTGTGAATTTGTTTAGACATTGAAAGAATTACATCTTCGTTGTAAGAAAATCGATGACCGGAAAATATGTTGTCTAAGCAATGTATTGCGGAAGAACACGGTGAGACGATCGTATGATAGAGCGTAATTGACTTCGGTTTGATGTTTTGCAGACATTATTAAACTTGATTCTGTCGAACAATCTGATTCGAAGTAAAGGTGCTCAACATATTGCGGATCTTTTAAACGAAAACAAAGTATTCGAAATCATTGTAATTAATTTAAAACTGAAGTTTGTGATCAATTCCAGATGCTTCAAAAACTTGATCTCGGATGGAATAGTATTGGTTGTGACGGTGTGTTCTACATTGCCAATGCATTACGTGACAATCACGTATGGAAAAATATCTCTCCTGACATAGTTCGTTGTGATCCGAATGAGCTTTTGTTTTTAGATATTAACAGAGTTATGTCTCGAAATCAACAACATTGGAAATCAGGGTGTAGAATATCTTTCAGATGCTCTCCGAAATAATACAGTAAGACGTGTTCTTTTGCGAATATCTCTGCTTATCAAATGAATTAGACACTGATAAGACTCGTTCTTTCCAATAATAACATCGATAATGAAGGTGCACGATCTTTGGCAGATATGCTCGAGCAAAATCAGGTGAGATTTCAATATTTCAATGGTTACCTGACGTTGTTCGCATAGAGTTTGACAACGTTGGTTCTATCAGAGAACAAAATCGATTCTAACGGAGTGAAATACCTAGCAAATGCATTGTACCACAACGAAGTAAGATTTGACTTTTGTGATCGATAGAATACCTACATTGCATCGTCTAGGCTCTAACTAGATTGAATCTTCGATTGAATCGGATTGATTCGACTGGAGCACAATACTTTGCAGATGCTTTAATTCGAAACAAGGTGAAAATTGGAAGGGAATATGTTCAGTATAATAACCTCAAGTCTTCTTTCGTTTTTTTTCCTGTCAGACGTTGGTTGAACTTCATCTCGGATGGAATCAAATTGACAATCAAGGAGCAGAAGCTTTTGCAAATATGCTGAACTATAATCGAGTAATTAACATATCCTCCACGTGCTCTTTTCTTCGAGTTACTGTTCTATATAGACATTGGGTGTTTTACATATTGGATACAACAAAATTGATTGTCAAGGTCGACAACAACTTACTGATGCTATATTGAAAGCTCAGGTAGAACATTTCTCTGCCGATTCCGTACAATTTATGTTATTTTAGTCATTGGTCGACCTACATTTGGCTTCCTACAACAGAAATATATGATCATACCCAACCCCATCTCATACTATCCATGATTTCTTTCATTTTCACGTATATTTCGAGATTATTCTTGCAAGCACTGAAACAGTGCTACTGCTGTTTTTGGACACATTGCAAATCAAAAACTGCCATGTACTTTTTTTAAGAATAAAATTATAAATAGAAACCAGGCCAAATTCGTCCGAGTGAAATCTACACGCCTGCTTTGAATATCCTATTCAAACTCTCTAGTCGTTTTTCCTTATGATGCCGTACTTAAACATTTCCGTTAAATTGCAATTAAAGTGCGAAATCAGTTTTCATTATGTTATCGGTACATCAGACGTGTATGTCAGTTTGTCGATTTTATTTTTCTTGAAGAAAATTTCATAAAATTCTGCATCCTTCCCGTACTTCATTACAAAACACCTGCATCGCTATACATATCAATAGAAATTTCATTACAAACGATTTGTACGACACACAAACATACATAAGCTCTGACAGAATAAAAACTTGCTGGAAACATTGAAGATTGACTGTTTCCTTGTTCGGTTTTTTTTTCTTTTATTATCATGTCATTATAGGTGTTACTCGAATAATAACATGACATACGTTAAAAAAAGCAATGAATGAGTTTCTAGTTAGTCGTCGGATACACTTCGACCATATTTGGTGTTTCCAAATCGCCGTTGTCGTTCGTGTAGCAACAGATTGTTCATCAAACGTTGATAAAAGCGATTTGAACGAGAGTTCAGCAACTTACTACCGTGTGTGTTGAGCTGATGGGACAATACTGACAAATCATCTTGGAAATCTCCTCTGGATGATGAGACGAATGTCGGTGCAGCCTTCTGTTGATGAAATTGAACGAGGAATATGAGCAAACAAAAAGTAAAGATTATAGTTTGTTTCATTGCTGTAAAGATGGATGATACTATGATTGAATAGATAGAACTAATCTAAAAGGAAAAAAGCAAAACCGTCAAGTGAGCCTACATTCAATCTATGTCTTTGAATGATTTCATCTAACTTGTAATTTACTTTGTTTCTTCCAAGAAGAACTTACCTGAAGATGTTAACTGACGATATGAAGAATGATTGCGCTATTCGACGCTGGTTTTATACGATGAAATTGAGAAGAAATTACCACGGAGGAGGGTACTTTGGCAAATAAAGGAAATCTATATGTTAGGATTGAATCTTTTCCAGTAACTTGTTACAAGATTCCTATTTCCGTTCTACGCACGCACATATACAAATAATTATTTCATCTGGCGTTTTCTTACCGACAAATTCACTGGAACGCGATGTCCTACTATACTGTTTATCTCAATGTGATGCTGAATATCTTGCTCGTAAATGTCATTGTCAACTAAGCTATTCGGTCCTGCATTTATTCATGAAAACAAAACTCATTCGATTGGGTGTCTCTGACAAAAAAGCCATGATCATGATAAGACGACATCATATAGGTCTTGAGAACTCGAATAGTTTTCAGAAGAAACTCATGTAACCTTTAAACTATTCTATTGTGTTCGGACGTGAATTATTTTTAGTGAACATTCTGTATAATCTGATTGAAATACGAAACTTCATATGATTTCATGGACCATCGCCTTTCGCGACTGGCTATATGTGGCTATAAACAAATGAACTTCGGTTGAATTCATCTTAGCAAGTCTACTGATTGTCGTCAATTGTTGCAAACATCTGTTTATGCCGAATTTGCTAATTGTCTTGTATATATATATATATATCATGAATAAATGCTCATCGGGTACATCGCCAAGAAAAATAACATGTTATCGAACTTTGATTGTGACAATTCCACAGATTTTTACTTTGCTCTGACGTAAGAGATGTTCTTCTCATGCTTTAATTATTCCTTTTTTTACTTATGAAATTGCTTTGTCGGTAGCAATTAGCATAAGAAATTTTCTCTTTTTTGTTTCTAATCAATATCCTGCTTGTCAAAATCTTCCTGGCATTCATCGTTCACTTTCACGCGCATACCTATTGTGAATCTTGACAGATATTCGGGGACAATTCAGTTTAGAATTTTGCGTAGCAACCATGGATATCAGTTTGTTCGTAAAGTGCATTGTAAAGCATTTCTCTATAAGTTTACGATTGGCAATTGTGTAAAAACTGAAAATCGAATATAATATACATTTTCTACGCTTATTTAAACTATAAGTTGGTTTAGGTGTCTAGATATTTCAATATTGATGTCACAAATAGAAAAGAGCACATCTACTATAGAAACTTAGAAAAAGGTAAGCAAGAATGAATATCTGTTATGTGATATGAATTCTAATTATGAGAGTATTAACATGGTTCTTTTTCGAGTTAGGAAACAATATGTGTTGATAAGTTGCTGCACAAATCGAAATCATCGAAAATTTCTCGTCATGTTTCCAGATAATGAAAACTTATATTTATGTGATGCACTGACAAAGAACTATCCATCAATACTCCTACAAATGTGTCGAGATCAATTACATGAACATGCTGTCAGCAAAAATGCTGGTTCCTTTTTATGACGATTGACAAACTGAAGAGTAAAAATAGAATGCTGTGCGTACAGCATCTAAACCATAATATGATGTGATTTGGTAGGTGGATATCGTTGAACTTCAGCCTATTTCACATTTCCATGTATTCCCTAAGTCAGCACAGCTAATAATCAGATTCTGTTTCTAAATCGTTCATCACATTTGCACTTGTTGATCATCCGTACTGTCTATAGGCAAGAGCGCTACTCGTATGATTAATTGGTAAACAGTAATATCAAAGAACGATTGCAGTCAAATGTGTTTTTTACTTTTTCCCCCTTTCACTGCAGGTAATAGATCGAATGAGGTTATCCGATACACGATCATGACTCTAGATGTGTTTTGGTCGAGTATCATCATCCTGAAAAAGGGCAAAAATGCTCTGAATCCTATTTGAGTTGTTTTATTTAAAACATAACGATTCAGAAATCTTCCAAACGTCACACAATCGAGTTTTGTTTTTCTCTTTCGTCCTCAAATGAATCCCCGTTCTTTTCTGCATTCCATTTATAGCTTCACTGTAATAACATCTGAGGAGTACAAAGGTGTGCGTTTTTTTCATCTCTCTGTCTCCCTTTATTCTTTGTACGCAGAGGTTAATGAATAAAACTGTTTTTGTGCTTTTCGCACATTTATTTAGCAGATGAAGAATGCAAAATTCCACATGCTTGGCTGTTTAAATGAACACATACACGAGAAAAAGAAAAAAAATAAAATGAAATAACGCGCATCTACAGATAAAACAGAGTGTCTACGATGAGGATCACAACACAATGGAATCTAGCGCATGACGTTCAAATTGATTTTAGCTAGATTTAAGCGTTTGGAACGAGTAAACGACGAATGACTGGATCGTTTTTGCAACCGGCGATGAACTACAAAGAAGATATTGAGGATTTTATTTGCGATATTTTGGCAAGGCTATTTACTTCTTCTTTAGTTAATTTTTTGTTTCCAGTTACATCACAGATGCGGATAATTTCTTCGGCGCGGTGTTTTGGATCGCGATCACCTAAATATTTGCATTTCGTTATAGAAAAAAAAAACAACGCAATAATTANTGGAGTTCGTCAACAAATCGGAAATTTTATATGGTGATGGGTACGATTGTTCGATGATCGACGTCCAATTGATATGATTCTGAAACCAGAGATTTTGCTTCACTTCCTTTGCGTCCATACCTATGATCGAACAACCCAGTCGTTTCTTTACATTAGGTTGGAGCAACAACCGACAAGTAGATTTGACTGAACTACTGAGTCGTAATGGAAATTTAGCGCGATGATTGCAAAGAACATTTTCGTGTGTTTGCATCATCGACGAAGCATAAAATGGTGAATATGATGTTAACATTTCAAACATAGCAATGCCTAATTGCCACCAGTCCACAGAGAACGAGTACGATTGACCTAAAAGCATTTCCGGTGGCATTAGATCAGGCACACCGACGATGGAATGAGTTGAACTTGTATGGGATGGTAACAATCTTGTGAATGCAAAATCACTTAGCTTGATATAACCATGGTCTGTCAGAAGAATAGTTTCTAATTTGAGATTTCGCTGAATTCGAACAAATAGTTATATGAAGCTCATCTTTACTACGTTCGAATGGCTTACATAAATAAGATTTAGCTCGTGGAAATATTCGAATGCGAGTACAATTTGTGCACTGTAAAAGGCTACAACTGACTCTTCAAACCAACGAAAGCGTCTTAACAGTTGTAATAATGTTATTCCATTAATATATTCGAATTTCATCGAAAAACAATGATGTTGCGTATCCGTATAAGCCGAAATTAGCGGAAGAATATAATTCGATTTTAGACAACCTAACAATCGTCTTTCTTCCCATAGACGTTGTCGAAATCGATCGGGTAGGGAATCATCAATCCGTTTGAGCAGATATATCTGTCCATCGTTCGAATCTCGAATTAAATAACTCGAACCATATGCTCCAGTGTTCAGCTTTGACAAAATGTCATACTTTTCTGCGTCAGTCTCATTCGATGGAAACAATAGATTCGAATTTGAGGATATCGAATGGATTTTCGTTGAGAGAGTATCAGAATGATGAAGAGAAGTGTCTGCTCGCGATTCGAATAGTTGCGGTGAACTCAGCGAATAACGACGACGACGATTTTGCCGTTGTGCATCGATAAATGAATGTGAATGAATACTCGGACTGATTTTCATCTTTTGAAAATGAAATTCTATGGTAACGAAAGTGAAAAGTAATTAACTGTCAATAAATGTTCGATTCCACTTGTTTCAACTTCATGATCATTCGATTAATTGATTCTTCTCAACAACATGCATCGCAACAGTTTGAAAAGAGAGATGCTACACAGCAGGAAAGAGAGAAAGGGAAAGCTTTCCACCAATCATGAACTATTTTTCTCTCTTCTTCTCCTACTTCTTGATTGACAACACGATCACGATCGATGAGTATTGACTTTTCAATTTAATGTTCATACCATGAATTCAACGAAAGAACTCATTTTAAAGTAAGATACAGTCCAAAACGATGATCTTTGAAAAGAAATTTTTCCGTTTTCAGTCATCCACTTTTTCCATTATTAACAATCGTTTTTCATAAATGTGAATTAGCAACCATTGCTCCCTACGCACTCGATTCATTCAATAAAGATATCATCGAATTTATCAAACAGGTATGAAATATTGATCAGAGTTCAATACGGTTTGATTGTTCTTCTTGCTGTTAGCTAAACAAAGAACATTTTCGACATTATGTTTCAAATGATGAAATCGACGATTTCGTAAGTTGAGCAACTTTTGATGATAAATCTTATACATTACTTTCAGATGATACAAGTCATTCAGGTTCTACGATTTCATCTACTGGAAATGGACAAAGTGCATGAGTTGTGTGACAATTTCTGTCAAAGATACATTGACTTATTAAAAGATAAAATGCGTTTGTAAGAAATAATTTTGATCGAATGCTATATTTGTTGTATCTTTGTTCATAGAGATTTTCCTTCGGAGAATTATAAATCAGACGACGAAGAAGAAGACGACGACGATGACGAAGTAGAAGCAGAGCATTTAAGAACTAAAGAAGTTATCAAACCATTTCGTTCACTGTCTGAAAGTAGTGAAAATTTCGAGCGAGATGCCTACAATCAACCAGTAAGAGTACCATTTCGTCAAAAGAAACGCGGCATATTTCCAAAATCAGCTACTTCACTGATGCGGACTTGGTTATTTCAACATTTGAATGTAAGATTGATCGTAACACGAAACTATTCATCATCAATTTCTCTTCATTTCAGCATCCATATCCATCAGAAGAAGAAAAACAGTTTCTCGCACAAGAGACGAATCTTAGCATCATTCAAGTTAATAACTGGTATGTTGATCGCGTGATAAGCTACAGCTGTTGTACCTTCCTCTTTCTCGATTCCGTTCATATACATTCGCTCGGAGAATGTGTCATAATGAGAAACAGAAAAGTAAACCTGCAATTAAGTTGTCATCAACTCATCAACATCGAAATTGATGGTGAAAGGTTTTGTTGTTTGAATTCATCAATCATTTTACATTTCTATTTTGATGATTCACTTATTTTCGTTTGTTGAAAAGGTTTATCAACGCTCGACGACGAATTTTACAACCAATGGTTGACCAATCGAATCGAGCTGGTAGGAGCATTGTTAATGACACACGGAGCTTTTTCACATGACTCTTTTACAGCAGCAATGATGGGAACAGAATATCACGATTTGATGATCAATAGCTCCTATCCTGTAACCGATCGGGATCATATCTTACACACAATTTCACCAAGTTAGTTAAAGTGGATGCTCATTAACGTATTGATTGATTCTTCGGTTTTTTACAGATACGTTTAACGACATGGCCGCAGCTTATTATCCATCATTGGATCAATCAAGTGCATACCTTTCGACGAGCACTTCCAGCGATCAACGTTCGATATCCCTGCCAATACAATACGAAGTCCTACCCTGATCTTACAATAGAAGAGAAAATGAAAATAAGAGTTTTTCAAGATGTATATAACCATCAATGTCGATTATCTTCTTTTGATACAAAAACATGCAAATAAATATTGTGATCAAGCAATTATCATAGACCTGTTTTACGTCATATCGATGTGCCGGATTGATTTTCATTTGATACAATGAACGTCACTTTCTGCCTATTAGCTTCAAGTTAAAAGAAAGTGTATTAAAGTCAGATTAAAGACTCAGACGAAAATAATTTAGTGCGACTAGTCTGACAGGTTTCATGTAGAAATTTTATAGCGTGATATGAATTTCTTCATTGTAGAAGTGTCAATAGGATTGAGACATTTACATGACACGTAGGAAAAAGTTATATATCCATTCAAACTAAGACACAATGCTGTATTATTATCAAGTTTAAATCTTCTGCAACGAAGGATTGAAATATGATAGTTTTAATTGCATACCTAGACTAGATGTAAACGGTATCTATGAAAGATAAAGACACAAGAGAAAACAGACAGGTGCAAAGTAAAAAGGTCCTTTTTCACTCTATTGACATCAAGTCCGACACGTTTAATTCCATACACATCAGCAAGTTGCGATCATTACGACCAGACAAAAGAAGTGATGTCCAAGACACTTATTAATCATGCACTATCGTCTATTAAATCCGGTTCACGTGTTTTCATACATGGTAAGCAAGCCGATCTTGTACCACTTTGATAGAATCGCGATATTCTCAATTATCTGTCTTCGATCATGTTCTTCATAGGCTGTGGTAGTTCCCCAAAATATCTCAGTCGTCTTCTCACCAATCGCTCTAGTGAACTCAGGCGTGTAGAACTTATTTCAGCATTATCGATCGACAATACCTTTATGGATCCAAAATTGAAAGATAGTTTCTTTTTCAATTCTCTCTTTGCGTCGGCCTATGTTCGACCTGCCATTGCCAGTGGAACTGCCTCGTACGTACCGATCTTTCTCAGCGAAATGCCTCGTCTCTTCGACGACAACATCCTCCCACTCGATGCTGCTCTCATTCAAGTTTCACCTCCCGATCGACATGGCTACTGTTCGCTCGGTATCTCCGTTGAAATCACACGAGCAGCACTAAGAAATGCGAAGAAGGTATTTGCTCAAATCAATCGGTGCGTGCCGCGAGTACACGGCGATACATTCGTTCACATCAATGACATCGACGCGTATGTCGAACATGATGAACCACTCGTAGAATTAGACTACTCATCGGAGATTACTGATGTTGAAAGGCAGATTGGCCAACGAGTCGCTGAGCTCATTGAGGATGGAAGTACCCGTAAGTGATACACATTAGTTAAAATAACCTCAAAGCTTCGTTTCACGATCATAGTGCAAGTGGGAGTTGGTACTGTTCCTGACTGCGTGCTCAAGAGCCTCGAAAATCACAAAGATTTAAGCATTGCTTCGGAAATGATATCTGATGGTGTTGTCTCGCTAATTCAAAAAGGTGTAGTCACCAATCGATACAAGAAATTTCATCCTGGAAGAACAACGGCAACTTTCATCTTAGGAACGAAGCAATTCTACGATTTCGCTGATGACAATCCGAACGTTCTTCTGATAGATGTCGGAATCACCAACGACCCCGCACAAATTAGAACGAATCCGAAGATGTGTTCTATCAACTCTGCACTCGAGATTGACCTCACCGGTCAGGTCTGTGCCGAATCGCTCGGCACAGCACACTATTCGGGTGTTGGCGGCCAGATAGACTTCATGCGTGGCGCTGCTCTTAGTCCTCAAGGCAAACCTATTCTTGTTCTACCATCACAAACGACCAAGGGCATCTCACGAATCGTCAACACGGTAAGTACAGCGAAAGAGAGAAAGAACTTAGTGTACATTTGTTTTCGAATAGTTGAAAGAAGGTGCGAGTGTGACGACAACTCGTGCACATGTTCACTATGTGGTGACGGAGTATGGTGTCGCGAACTTATTTGGCAAGAACTGTCAACAGCGAGCGAGAGCATTGATAAACATTGCACATCCGAATCATCGCGAAACACTGGAACGTGCTGCGTTTCAACGATTCAAAAGTATTTATTGAAAGAAAAAATAAATGCTGATCAAAGTTGTAAATAATCATAATTATTTGCTCTGTGATATATTATTTCAAATTTTTTGTTTTCGAATCGCGTGTTGGCTTATTTTTATCACACCTAACCACGTCATAGGCTATTTTAGTTAAAAATAGAAACACCAAACTGCCGCAAAGATAAGTAGAAGTTCTTAAATATCGGTACATGAACCTATGAGGAGGTGACCTGATTGAGTTCCATCTGTTTCCATAGATCTGTCGTTTGCTGCAAAAACAATTAATATCAGGAATGAATCACGTTACATAGTACGGCAGATTTCGCTTCAATTTCTAATTGAATATCTTGTAAGCACCAATGAAAATACCTATGTCTCGGTACATAGCTGGCGGCAAAGGTCAAACCGACTACTTCTCAATAATTTTTCAAAACAACATCGTTTTACTGAATTATCAATCCAGAAACATTTCACTATTTAGTAGGGAACAGAACCAGGACGAACGATTTTAAAATATTTCATTTCTGTGTGTAGAATACGTGATTGGAGAAAAGCATGACTGATTTCTCTTGATGTTTCTATTGTTGATATAGAACGCGATAGAACGAAAGAGCGAAAAATATGTGATAAAAAAATGTATATATACAGACAGAAACAGTAAAAAAACAACAAGCATTTGGTATTTTATGTGAGGTAGAGTGATACCAGCATGGCTCGAATGCTTATTGATCAGGGTCTATCACTAATCAAATCTGGCTCACGAATCTTTGTTCATGGTGAGTTAAATCAAATAAATCCGCATAGGTTTTCCTATCTCATGTTTCTATTGACGACCATCAGTAAAATAGAAATTTTAATATTCTGTACATCTTGTTGAATCTGATATATTCCTTTCGAACATTGCACTAAATTTCGCATACATTCCAATCTATTTCTTACCATTCTATGTTGTACCAATGTACGAATGTTTTATGAAAGTAGATGTCAGTATCTTAGTGTCGTTAAACGTTGTATACCATTTCGTTTGAATTTCAGGATGTGCTGCAACGCCACAGCATCTTAATCGCTTACTCGCTAAGCGTGCTAATGAACTGAAACGCGTGGAGGTGATGGGCATTCTTCCACTTGATAACACTTTTACTGATGTAAAAATGAAAGACAGCTTCTTTCTCAATTCTCTCTTTGCGTCGGCCTATGTTCGACCTGCCATTGCCAGTGGAGCTGCCTCGTATGTACCAACATTTCTTAGCGAAATGCCTCGCCTCTTCGACGAAAACATCCTCCCACTTGATGCTGCTCTCATTCAAGTTTCACCTCCCGATCGACATGGCTACTGTTCGCTCGGCATCTCAATTGAAGCTACAGGAGCCGCAGTACGAAACGCAAAACACATCATTGCACAGATTAATAAAAACATGCCGCGAGTACATGGTGACACATTCGTTCACATCAATGACATCGACGCGTATGTCGAACATGATGAACCACTCTTCGAAGTAGACTATTCACGGGATATTACTGATGTTGAAAGGCAGATTGGTCAACGAGTCGCCGAGCTCATTGAGGATGGAAGTACCCGTAAGTAACCAGTGGTGTTTCTAGTTCAATATTTATTCTCACCGTTTCAGTGCAAATGGGAGTTGGTACTGTTCCTGACTGCGTGCTCAAGGGCCTCGAAAATCACAAAGATTTAAGCATTGCTTCGGAAATGATATCTGATGGTGTTGTCTCGCTAATTCAAAAAGGTGTAGTCACCAATCGATACAAGAAATTTCATCCTGGAAGAACAACGGCAACTTTCATCTTAGGAACGAAGCAATTCTACGATTTCGCTGATGACAATCCGAACGTTCTTCTGATAGATGTCGGAATCACCAACGACCCCGCACAAATTAGAACGAATCCGAAGATGTGTTCTATCAACTCTGCACTCGAGATTGACCTCACCGGTCAGGTCTGTGCCGAATCGCTTGGCACAGCACACTATTCGGGTGTTGGCGGCCAGATAGACTTCATGCGTGGCGCTGCTCTTAGTCCTCAAGGCAAACCTATTCTTGTTCTACCATCACAAACGACCAAGGGCATCTCACGGATCGTCAACACGGTAAGTACAGCGAAAGAGAGAAAGAACTTAGTGTACATTTGTTTTCGAATAGTTGAAAGAAGGTGCGAGTGTGACGACAACTCGTGCACATGTTCATTATGTGGTGACGGAGTATGGTGTCGCGAACTTATTTGGCAAGAACTGTCAACAGCGAGCGCGAGCATTGATAAACATTGCACATCCGAATCATCGCGAAACACTGGAACGTGCTGCGTTTCAACGATTCAAAAATATTTATTAAAAGACTAAATAATACATTTATTGATGATAACAAAACAATATAGGAATAACTTGTTCTCTCATGGCCAACAATGAGTCAGTTGTTGTCGTTGCTTTTTTATCTGCGCGCTGCATTTGCAGCAGGTGTATAATGTAATAGACATTCCCCATTGAACACAATAATGGGAAAACGCTTTCTTTGATATACCGAACACAAGCAATAGAAGAAAGAAATCCTTGATGAATATCTATCAGTTCTAGTTCAGTTAACCAGCTACATCTGATTTTATCGTTTGCAACGATGCGATGACATTGTTACTCAATGCTCGACCAGTAGAATAGATTTGTTACAAGACCTTCCAAATGTGCTGATATGCCAACATCTATATGTCGCCTTAGACGAATGTTTCTTGTGCATGACTGCAAGTTAACGAGATGTATACAAACATTAGATTACTTCTGATCATTTACTCATTCAATGACATAATAGTCGAGTCTGTCTATTCTAGTTTGTATCATTACATTGTTCCTATAGAATATTAGCGATTTCAAAGCAATTGAATATCAAAGTATACGTATGAGCGCGTGCGATCTAATCTATACTATTGACAAGTTATGAGTTCAGTATCTATCATACATAAAAAATGAAATCGCTGACGTGTCAATACATGATAAAAAGATGAAAAAAATCTACACCTCAAGCAATAGATAACTTATCGATGATTGCAAGCACTTTCACATCGAAAACTGTAACGATGAAATACGATTATCGTTTACACATTACATTGGATCTGATCCCTATTCACTAGATTAAAATATCAGCAGGTGAAAAGGTCTTATAATTATTAACTCTTGATATGTTCGATAAGAGTATTTCACAGCTTGTTCACCGTTCGTCATTATACACCGTCACAAGCTATTTCTTTATTTCGTATTCATTGACAAACTTAACCTGTCTGAGTGTAAAACGATTGTCTCTCTATATCGAAACAAAAAGAAGAAAAGGCAAACGAAAGAGGGGGGAAAGAGGAGAGAAGTGTTGCATTTTCTCTTCTCTTCAAAAGAAAGAAAAAACAGTTGGCAGCAGTGCACGCAGCGTAATACATAATATACAGAGAGAGAGAGCGCGAAAGAGAAGCCACTAGTCCGTTCGTCCGGTCGTATACGCTCGGTCGGCGATGAATATCATTTTCTCGCAATAACAAATACGAACGAGAAGAAGAGAGAAAGACAAATTGTTGCTCCTAACGGCAAACAATTGTCGAAACGAACACACATATGAATTGATATAACTATGTTTTATTATTTATTGCTTCTTTGTTTGTTAATAAACTCAATTATAAGTCAAGACAATCAATGTTTTTATTTGAATAATAAGTTGACCAAATATAATCATTATAATTCCCTTAATCTTCAAATTACCAACCAACCTGCCATCCGTTTATGTCAAAATCTCAATTCCAATCATTGTTGTCCACAAATCTACGAAGATCGTCTGCAGAATGCAACTGCACTCGAACTTTATCGTCTATTCGAATTGTCCACAATCAATCTCTACGAACCGTTACTTCGTTTAACCAAAGACTTGAATAGTTCGTTATCTTTTGAAATTCGATAACAAAAAGAAAAGACTTCTCTTTTTTTTCTTCTTCATCTTAGATACATTCATTGCATTGATCAACTTTTCTCGCAATGAAACTCATCTAGTTCTACGACGTGGCTATAACGCGCTCTATCGATCTTATCAACATTCGATTGATAGGTTTTTTAATCAACTTTTAACTTTAACATCTCGAACATATTCTCAAGACCTTCACACATATGTCGACGATTTATTTCGAAACATTCTGCACATTTCATTAACATTGAACGATAACAAACAAATCTCACCAACATATTTCTCGTGTCTATGGAGGAATCAACCATTTGCTAATCATCCAAATCTCTTGGAAAAACAATTAGAAAGCAATCTCGGCAAATTATTTCAATTAAGTGATCTGTTCAAATTAAGTCATGAACTTGTTCAAGTTCTATCAACGGTACGTGTTTGAGTGAGAAAGCTGCGTGAGAATATATATGCTTATTGAAGTACTAGTCAAGCATGTAATCAGTATGAACGGTTTTTATGATGTAACCAATAGTCCGTATAGAACACAGTTCACCTATTATCTGAATATTCACACTTTTAATAGAACGAACTTCTCAAAAGAATAAATATCAACATTTGCTTAAAGAATAGAAAACAATAAATCGCTGTTCAAAGTGTTATTTTCACACATTGACTTGTTTTTCTTCTAGAGCGTCACAACGGATTATCATTGCATTGATTCGTATATGCAACTGTCCTATTGTAATCTTTGCCATAATCGAAATGAATTACCATGTTTAACGAATTGTATGAATATCATTGAAAGTTGTCTTGTAAATTTGACTTTCATCGACGATGTTTGGCAAAATTTTATTGGTAAGCTTTGTATTAAATATGCGAAACATCGGATGGTTATGTTTTGATTTCGTTCTAGATGCGATAGAGAATGTTGATTATTTTAATAATATCGAGAAAGTTTTATCGTCTATTGGCTTATCAATATCCGATGCTGTTATGACATTTTTCAATTCAGGCGGAGTACAAAACAAGGACGTATGTATATTGACGGATAGGACAAAGGTTGATGGTAATTATATGTGTATCTAACTAGATCATCGAACAATGTGGACATATACGTGTGCGACGACAAACACTTTCTACCGATCAAAAATCGGATGATGAATATAGTAAAACCTTATCATTATCATTGTTAGATCGACAATTGATTCATATGAGTCGATCATTGCGCATCTATCGATCGTTTTGGATGAAATTTCCAGAACAAACCTGTAAATCAACAGGTATTTCTGCTTCGAATGGAAGTGCGTGTTGGACAGGAAGTTCGATTTCGTCGGATGGAAGGTAATGAGAAAATCTTCTATTGAAAAGATGGTTCATTACAACTAATTTTAGATCGTCTGTTCGAGTCCAATATGATCAACCATTGAATCTGAAACTCCAGCGAATATTGAAAGAGATGAGAGAGAAATCGCTTCTAATGGGAAATTCCCGTCGAACTACGTCAGGTACGTTCACATACGCAGACAATATTTTCCGCGAGTTATGGTGACTAGTTCACCATACATAATTGCAACTTAGTTTGAGTGCTTTAATCTAAATCGATCAATTGTATGTGTCTTATTAAATGCTTTTAATGTGAACTTCTATGCCTTCTTCAACTTCAATAGACATTGAAACCATAAAGATAGGTTAGATGGATTCGTATTATGAAAATGCAAAAAAGAGAGGAGTGTTCAATTGAATGAGTCTTCACGTTCAGAGGAAGTTTATTTTTCGTTATTAAAATTTTCAAGAATTGTGTTTTACTTTCCAGCACTTCATATCAATCCCACGACAATTTCGTCTGTAGTCAACAATGAAAAACTGAATTTCATTTCGCAGAAATTTAATGATTCGCTATCAGCGAATGATCTCGATGATTATCCGAACGATAATGAATTCGACTATTCGGATTATGCCTATGAAGATTCTACAGATCAAACAATAAAATCATCGACTACAACGACTACTACTGTTTCTACTACTACGACTACCACCACCACCACCACCACTACCACGAGACAAACAACAACCGTAGCAATCTTAATAGATGACGAAGATGAGAAGTCTAGCGAAGATACGAAAAATACTTATTATGATTATGGTGATCATGATTTGTACACAGATGAGGAAATCGATGGAACGTCAACTGTGGAAGAACCTGTTCTAATCACAACAACACGACGAATAACAACAACACGGTATTGGAAAGATCGAATACCGTTTTACCATCGTCGACCAGCCATTATCTGGAATGTTAATGTAAATGACAATGACGAGGTACAAAAATCAAGAAAACATGAACAGCGATATAACAGTGGATCTTCTCTTCATTATTCTTCGCTCATCCTCATAACAATGTTTATCTCTCGAGTCTGACGTAATATTCGACCCGTTGTTTTTCTTTCTCTATTTTTGTATATCTTTGAAACAAAAAAAAAAAGTTGTATCGTGTTTATTATGATTACATGACCTGATATTCATACAGTATGACAAAAATATAATCATACTCATCAATCATAAATAGATATATATATATGTGTGTATAATATAAATACATCTGAGCAAGTTTATTTGATTGCATGATGTCATCTTGGGATGAGCAATTTGAAACATTAGTATTTGATGATGAAAAGAGAAGGGACACGAGCGGAGAATAAATGCTTAGTGTCTGGATTAAAAAACAAAAAGAATCGTTTTGTTGTAATGCGAAAGTAAAGTGAAATTAAGTGAAGACATCTATTTCATTTCGCGCATAGCAAACAACTTGAAACAAGTGTCTGTCCTTGTACTAAAAAGCTTTTTTTTTCTAAGTCATAAGCAAGACTAGATGATGAAAACTTCTAGTAAGAATAAATTCTCTTTAAACGTATATTTCGTTATCAAAAATGACTTGATTTTATGGACATCGTATAGAATTCTTTATGATCATAAACATTTCTGATGATATGCAATCTCGAAGGACATGTGTTCACTTATTTTTTGTATTTAAAATGCAAGTGCTTTTCTTCTAGTTCTCTTCAAACTATTTCCTACTACTTCTAACTAATTGGTCTTATTTTGATATAATTTGCCGTGGCGCGCGAAGTTTTTCCGCGACTTTTACATGTTGATTATTGAGAGAAAGATTTCCGTGAAGATGAAATTTTGAAAGTAATGCATCTTAATTGAAGAAAGTCAGGCAAGTATGTCAAAAGATTATCTTTGTACATAGCTGTGAGTATTTTTTTAAGTAATAAAAGAGACTGAGGAAAATTTCTTCTTCTGCGAGTGAGAAAACAGGTCAAGGTTGGGATTTGTGGCTAAACTAGCGGTTACCGCCCTCTATCGAGTGAAAAAATGTCGAATTCGATTTAGAATTTTCAAATAACGAT